TGCCTAAGCGCCTACGAGACTACTAGGTGTTTCGTTTTTCTTCGGATGCATGCCTAAGGCTCTTAACCTTAATTCATTGCCATGCACGTGCATGCTTGCTGCGCGTCGGACGACTAGGTCGGCCGTTTTAATGCGAACAAATGTGTTGACATATTTTGCCAAAAACATTTTTCTAAACGACAAGGACGCTGGACATGTTAACACTAAGAAACAGAACCATATGCGACACTGCGCTTTCTGGAGGCCTAAGAAAACGCGTTTATCTTATAAATAAAAATAAAAATCACTCCGGTCAGCATTTCTAGTTTTAATGACTTTATTGTTTCTATCCTTGTTCTCGCGCTGCACTAGAGACAGATAATTCTATATAAAGTATAGAGCCATGAAACAATTAAATCATATAAATATGCATTCTTTTTATCACTTATAAATTCCAATAGAAGCCCAGAGAATGCATAATTTGGTTCTATTTTACAGTCGCTTAAACTTTAACAAGTATGAGTATGACTCGCTTAATAGCACTATAAAAATAGAAATTACACCTAAGACTTCTTCTGCCGGCTTCATTTTAATATTAATACTTTGTTTGCTTGGTTTTGCCGTTACCTAATTCTTTTTTTTTTTTTTTTTTTTTTTTTGATAGTATGGTTGGTACCTAATCTATTTTTGTCTTCTTCTAATTAACACATTTTCTTCTTACAGCTTCCCTCTATTTAAATGAATCACTCGTCATCCTAATTACATATATATATATATATACACACACACACACACACACACACACACATCATCGTTCGATTTCTCCTTTCTGCTACCTCTACCATGGCAGACGGAACAAACGAACTTAATATCCAAATTCCACCAGAGGAAGTCTTAGTAGGAGCTGCTATTTTAATGAATAATTCCCAAGCTAGCAGTTCTTCACAGCCCCATGATCACACACACACACACACACACACACATCATCGTTCGATTTCTCCTTTCTGCTACCTCTACCATGGCAGACGGAACAAACGAACTTAATATCCAAATTCCACCAGAGGAAGTCTTAGTAGGAGCTGCTATTTTAATGAATAATTCCCAAGCTAGCAGTTCTTCACAGCCCCATGATAACACATCGCCAGTACAGAATTCTGAATCGCAGATAAATACCTCCATGAAGCAGCCAGCTGATGTTGGATATCAAGCACCCAACAATTATTATGTGCGCAAAACCATCGAAAAGATGGTTATCGTCGTTGAATTAGGAGCATTTCGCTTCATTATGGTGCTTTTAATAGCTGGCTTCTCGATAAATAGATTGCAGAATTACAGGATTTGGGATTTGAAGTTATGGCGATGGTGTTTATTAATATCCACTATTTTCTGCGGCAGAGTAATCGGATATCTGTTCACAGAAGCTGTGGTTTTTTTAATTTGGAAATTCAGAATCAAGTGGAAGGAGCCTGGAACTTGCAGTTAAATAACAAATATTTCCAACTTTTCATAAATACTCCATATTAATTAATTTATATTGTTATCATTTCCTTTTCTTTTATATTTGCCCTTTTAACAGATTTGTAGCATTTAACATTTAACTGAAAGAAATATAATACCTAAATATTATGTTTGTAAACCTAGAACTAGAGAATGTCAAATTATTCCAAATTCAAAGACTCGTTTTCACAATAAGAAAATAACAATGGCAGTTTTAAAATCAAATCCTTTGCATTATAGGATAGTTAGATTTTCAAAACCCAATTTTTGTTCTAGCCATGAATATTATTATCTTTTATCTGAAATTTTTGATTCAAGAACTTATGAATGGAAGCAGCTGCAAGAAATAAAATTCCCCTATGGTGCGTTTTTCATTCTCGCGCTAAGCATATGTGTCTATGGTTCACTTAACTGGCTTACAAATAAAAACAATATTTTTCCATTCGATGTGTACGAGGAGAATTATGGTATGTTTTCACTTCCAAATAATGAGGTTGATTATGATCATATCCAGCCTACGGATTATGAAGGGAAGCTTTCAGTAATTTACATGAGAAGAGATAATATTCTTATGGAGTTGTGGGAAATGGAAAATTATAAAGAAAAAGTGTGGAGCAAGAGACATATGATTGATGTTGAGCCTTTAAGAGAGAAGGAGCCTCATTCAATACCTTTGATGTTTTACAATGCTGATATTGCACTAATGAGTGGATTTTATGGAGTTCTATTTTTCAAGTTTAAGAATGGAATGGTGAGGTTGGAGGAACAAATTCAGACTTTAGGGATTGTTCTATTTAAATCTGATTTTGAGCCTTGTAATATGAAAACTTGTTTTTGCAGAAGATGCATGCGCGAGTCAAACGAAGAAGAAGTAAATCAAAGCTAAGGGCTATTGTAGAAATTCTGATTTTAATGATTGTGCTCTTTGTTTTGTTTTTCTATTTCTATTTTCAGACTTTACTCAGTGATTTTGTTACGTAGACTGTGATTTTGTTAGAAATTCTGATTTTAATGATCGATTGTGCTCTTTATTTTCTATTTTTTGCTTCTTGTCTTGTTTGCTAGAAACTTTGTTAGTTAAGTTATTGGCTGCTTCTTTAAACGTCAGTAAATTCTACAATAGAATTCAAGAATCAATCTCACAACAATATGTTCTTGCTGCTATTTTGGACCGCGCCTTCTCAGTGTTCTTTCAGGGCTCCTCTCACTGAGATGGCTGCAATGGCTGGGAGTAGCACAACAATATCTGGTCGTTTAAGTTCTAGAAATTTGAACATACGAAGTTAAGAAATAAAAAGAAAATTCTAATCTGCTCTCATTGAACATACATACTTGAAAAATTGGCTAAGCTTCCTTCTGTACGTTTTTTGTTTTTTTTCTTCTTACTTTCTATTTTCATTTAATACGTACTTTTTTACATTTCTCCATGTGACCTTCTTGCTCTTATTGTGTAATAGGCACCCTGTGAAGTTTTTGTTAGAAAATTCACTGAATCTCTTTTTCACCTTGACTCGATCTTGTATGTCTCCTATATTTACTTCTTTCTAATTTTTTTTTGGTTCTTGTTCTTTGTTTGCTCTATGAAATTCTTTTTGTTCAGTATAAGTTAACTTTGGTTGTCTTGCTCTTCTTTATAAATCGTCAGTAATTCTACAATAGAATTTCAAAGAATGGCATATCTCACAACAAATATGATTCGCTTGCTGCTTATTTGGGACCGCGCCTTCTCATGTTCCTTCATAACCAGATTGGTCTCCCTCCACTCACTGAGAACTTTCTGGCCCTATGTCCACAATGGCTAGGGAGCTTAGCTAGAGGAAGAGGAGTATTTATCTGAGGATACGGGTTTAAGTTCTAGAATTTAGTAACCATACGAAGTTTAAAGAAATTTAAAAAGAAAAATCTCTACATCTTGGTCTCTCTTCGGGCATTGAACGGAGGGTGTACTAATAAGCTACTATTCGAGAGGAGACACTAGAAGAAATGTTTCTTCAATGAGCTTGGTATAATTTAAAATGTCACCTTTTCTTTGCTTGAGAAGTTTTGTCATACCGTAGCTATGTTCTGATCGAGCAGACAGTCTAATTGAAAACCGGTTACTGTTGTTCCTGAGAGAGATATGCAGAAGGATCAAATTTTCATTATACTGTGTTCTGTGTGCAGAAGTTCATTTTCATTATTACAATACAGGTATAATCATATTTTTAGATATATAAATTATTTGAAAAAGGTTTCACGCTTTATTAATTAATTTAGAGATGGTTGTTGAGGAGATGAACATACTCTATCACCATCCTCTACAGAAGCCCTCTGATGCTTGACTTCAACTCCATTTTTGATTATTTATGAACTGAAAAATACAATCAGACAGTAGGTAGCAATTGCCTGGTTGGACTAAAAAGAAATTAGATATATTAGCTATGGCGGCTTGATTGACGGAAAAGAAGGTCTTCGTCCTGTAGACAATGGTCTTTCAAGGAAATTGAGTTGGAATAATAATTTTATAGGATTGACTTGCTAATAATAATAGGTTTAGGAATAATTTAATTTTATTTAATAATATTATGATTAATAAAATTTTAAAATCATTTTTCTTATATTAATAGAAATTCATAAAGTGCATACGAATAGAGCTGAGTTGGCAATAAAAATTATTTTTGTATTACTTTTTAATGAGTTTTTCAATTTAGATATTACTTGAATTGACATTAATATTGATACCATTAATTCTTATATTAATAGAAATTCATAAAGTGCATACGAATAGAGCTGAGTTGGCAATAAAAATTATTTTTGTATTACTTTTTAATGAGTTTTTCAATTTAGATATTACTTGAATTGACATTAATATTGATACCATTAATAATATTATAAGTTTTTAATTTTTTAATAATGAACTAAATAATTAATAATATTATTAATATTATTTTAAAAAAATTTTGCAATTTTTTTATACTTAATGGTATTAATAATATTATTTAATAATTGATTAATAAAATTTTCAAACTTATATTTTCTTACACTTACAAATTTGTAAAGTGAATATAAATACAAAACAAAAACAAAGTTAAACCTAAAATTTATAATTAGAGATTTTTTCCTAACGCAATAGACTTAATAAATTCGCATTATTAATTATTAAAAAGAAAAATCAATTGAATTGTTTGATATTGACCAGTTTTGTTTTGTCGTTAGTAATATAATGCTTTTCAGGTACCCCACGTGCCATTTAACTTTTGTTAAATAAATAAATGTAAGAAATTATTTGCTTAAGCTTGGTCCAAAGTCATATTTTATAAACCAAACAGTAAAATTTTTTTAAAAAATCAGTGTACGATTAAAAAAATATATTTTTATTGATTTTGGTAAATGAGTGGTGGCATAGTCCCAACCTGATAAAATTTTTCCATAAATCTATGTAATAAATTTGTTGCGTCGCTGTCACACCTGATGACAGCGAGTTCCTTTATGCCATTATTTATTTCTAGTAGTAGTACTGTTTTTATTTTTTCCGAGGAAAGCGAGAGCTTTTGTTGACTCACTTCTAATCCCAGTTCCTATTTAGCGCATGTTACTAACTACATTAAATAAATGCTCTTTTAGGACACAACGCACGAGTGAGAAAGAAACACCAGAAGTTCAAGATTAATTCTCCTCTTTTCTCTCCACTAATTGATTCCTTCAAGATTCAATCTTTTTCCTCTGCAACTCAATTTAAGTATATTTCTGATTCACTTCCGACGTGCACAAGCATGGCAGGGAAAGCAGATGACGTCAGCATCTCTATTTACGGAGAGGAAGAAGCTTTTGTACTAATGAAGTCCCAAATGCGATCTCCAATTCCTCAACCTACTGAGCCTGATAAAGCCACAGAGCCATTTTCCACTAAGCCTCCTCAAATCCAACTAACAAATTCAGTCGTTCAAAGAAAATCTTCCCCAACCAGGTCTTTGTCTTCGAAGCCCCTTTATAATAATAATGATAATGATAATTCTACGCTGCCAAAAGTGGAGTCGCTTGGATCACCACCATCACTAGAAAAGAATAAAGATAATGGTAAAAATCCTCGCTTTGGATCACCACCATCACTTAGAAAAGAATAAAGATAATGGTAAAAATCCTTAACGGACGTATCAACTGGAAATTGTTGATACTCTTTATCGAGTCTACTGTATCTGTTTTTGCTATAGGCCTTTCTAAATAGCTAGCTTGACAGCTGATAATGGCAAAACCCTAGAATTGGGGATTTTGGAGATATGGAAATGGTGCCGTATTAATTTGCTATCTATTTTTGCGGTAAGATTAATTGGCATACACAGTAAGGAGATGTGTTTAATTGGCTTTGATTTGGGAATTTGTATCTTGACCGAGAGAGTTCATTATTTTTGCCCCATGGCGTGAAAAAAAGTGTCGTGTTTCTGTATTTGGGTTAGGTTTGGTTACTTTGTCTTGGCGTTCACAATGTTCATCGCGGAGATGCACGACGCGCAAGACTAGTAGAGTTCGTTGCCCTGTCTTCTAATTGGAATCTGGTGTTTGGTTAGTCAAAACTTTTTTTTAGTTTAGGTTAATTGGTTCTCTTCAATGCAAGAAATTGTTTGAAAAGATAAAAGAAGCAATACGACACGGAAAAGTCTCTTAAACAAGATCATCCAAATGGGAACGACGAACATTGCTTGACTCCTGTTGAGAAACAGAACGGGAAAAACATTTACAGGAAGAAGAGTATGATAGAACTGATGAATGCGGTTCGAGGAAAAATGCTCCTCCTCTCACTTATTATCGCAGCAATATTAAGTAAGTCATGAAGGACGAGAAATCAACGATGAAGCAGGAGCTTAGAGCAGCTGCCGATGAGATTTTCGTCGACTAGCGGGAAAATGATGCTGACAGGTATTTTTAATTAATTTGCTATTATAATTCCCTAATAGTTTCTTAGGATGATTATCTAACTGCTTTTTCTTTGAATTTAATATCAGCCAAATACATATATTGGAAAATCTGATGAAATACTTGTTTGATGATGAAAAATGTGATTCAACATTTCCAAGGTTTAAGGCAGAAGATATGTACAGATTGCAAGCAGAACCCGACAAACACAGATGAAAATAAACTTGATTAAAAGATCAGTTTTCAGGAGCTGGGTGGGTTTAGATTTTTACTCTGCCTTTTCTTTTCTTATCATCAATTTTTGCTTTTTTGTTTTGGTTAGACTCTAATTTGCATTGTTGTTGCCCTCTTGCAGGTCGACGTGTACATAAGGACCATGAACTTCATGAATAGCACACTAAACATAAGCAAAACGGCCTCTTGATGAACTGAATCGTAATTTTTTTCTGTGATTCGTGCTGTTTTGTCATCACAGTTGTTATGGTTACTTTTCAATGGATTTTTAACAGTAAAAAAATATTAGTCTTCTTATCATGCTCAACTGCTGCTAGTAGTTTTCATGTTCGGTAACACTTGCAAGACTATTTTCGAAGCCAATCATTTTTGTAATTTTGTGGTTCATCCGTTCGATATTGGTGAAAGATCGCCTGCGTTAATTGATTTCGGTACAGGTAAGTCCTAAATACTTATATAAACAGCAAACATTTATTTTTATACACTTATAGCTGTAATAATAACAATTAATTTGCAGATGACTGTTGATGAAAATGAAATATATTGACCCGACGACATTTCTGCGACCATGATGGTGAGAAAAATATACCTTATCGCAAAATGCAGTTTTAGCAACGAAACCCATCAGACAATCTTTACAGGAGTTCCACCGAGACTGGATTGTTTGGAATTGCCAATTAGTCTTCGTACAAGAAGGATGTTATCAACCATATGCAAGAGAAAAATTAAAGGTAAGTCCAACTTTAATTATTGTTAATCAAAAATCAAATGATTATATATATTGAAGAAATTAATTAACAATGGGGATTTGCTGATAAAATTCTGATGCAGTTAATGTGGAGAGTAATCCAAGGCGGTGGCGGCCAGAGCACAGTGTGGCAGGTTCAAGGAGAATTTGAGAATGTGAACAAAAAATGAAAATGGTTTTGTACGTTAATCATACAATAATTTCCAATTATTTCGCAAAGAGGGGCAAAAAGAAGATCAGATCTAGTTGCTAAAAGATGAAGGATATTTTTTGAAGAGCTTAAAAGTACGAATATAGTCCTTTCTGCCTTCAATATGTTAATTTACTTAGCTATTCTGCAGCTGCACCTTCAAACAGTCCACTTCCTGTTGGACGGCCATGTTATTTCTGAGCCACACAAACTTCTGCTCCCCTTTTTGTTGTAGTACAACCAGTGTTAAGGAGTTTGTTTATGAGTTTTTGTTATAAAAAAGAGCTTCTTTGTTTGTAATATATATTTTTAACTGCATTGGAAAACAAATAGTGGCAGTCGTATTTGTATTTGTTCCTCGTTTAGGACCAGCTTGTCGGTCCTATTTTTTGCAAGGCCCTACGAGACTCGGTGTTCGTTTTTCTTTTCGGAATGATGGCTGCTTTACCCTTAATTCCATTGCAGATGACGGCAATGCTTGCTTGGCGGGCGTGTCGACGAGCTAGTCGAGTTTTAAGCGAACAAATTGTGACATTTTGCCAAAACCAATCTAAAACGACGGACCGCTGGGACATGTAAAGCCACTAAAAGAAACAGAACCATATGGACCACGGCTTTTGGAGTAGAAACGTTTATTTTACATAATAAAATAAATAAACTCGTGTCAGCAATTTCTGTTTTTGAACTTTATTGTTTCTTTAATCCTTGTTCTCCGGTGACTAGAAAGCAGAAATCATATAAAAAGATAGAGATGAAACAATTAAATCATATAAATATTGATTTTTCTTTTTTTCCTTATAAATCAATAGAGAGAGAATGATAATTGGTTTCTATTTTACAGGTTAAACTTTAACAAAGTATGAGTATGACTCGCTTAATGCCACAATTTAGAAAATAAGAAATTTCAAACCTAAAGACTTTTTTGGGTTCAATTTAATAATTAATACTTTTGTGTTGGTTGGTACTATCTTTTTTTTTTTTTTTTTTTGTGATAGTATGGTTGGGTACCATAATTATTTTTGTCTTCTTCCTATTACAACATTTCTTCTTACAGCTTTCCCTCTATTTAAATAGAATCACTCGTCCATCCTAATTACTATATATATAATATATACACACACACACACACAACACACACACACACAATCATCGTTCGATTTCTCCACACACACACACACACACACACACATCATCGTTCGATTTCTCCTTTCTGCTACCTCTACCATGGCAGACGGAACAAACGAACTTAATATCCAAATTCCACCAGAGGAAGTCTTAGTAGGAGCTGCTATTTTAATGAATAATTCCCAAGCTAGCAGTTCTTCACAGCCCCATGATAACACATCGCCAGTACAGAATTCTGAATCGCAGATAAATACCTCCATGAAGCAGCCAGCTGATGTTGGATATCAAGCACCCAACAATTATTATGTGCGCAAAACCATCGAAAAGATGGTTATCGTCGTTGAATTAGGAGCATTTCGCTTCATTATGGTGCTTTTAATAGCTGGCTTCTCGATAAATAGATTGCAGAATTACAGGATTTGGGATTTGAAGTTATGGCGATGGTGTTTATTAATATCCACTATTTTCTGCGGCAGAGTAATCGGATATCTGTTCACAGAAGCTGTGGTTTTTTTAATTTGGAAATTCAGAATCAAGTGGCTTGATGAGAAATCAATTTATTTCGCATATAGAGTGAAAAAGAGTATCATTGTTTTTATTTGGTTTCTTTTAGTTTTTCTAGCTTGGGCTTTGTTTTTCGATCGCGGAGTTACCCGAAGCAATACTAAGACTAACGAGACTGTGAATGATGTGACCAGAGGTCTTGCAGGTTGTCTTATTGGTGCTGCTCTGTGGCTAGTCAAAACTGTGTTAGTTGAGCTTGTAGCTTCTCTGCATGTGACAAAATTGTTTGAGAAAATCAGAGAAGCAAACTACCATAGAAATGTTCTTATAGCTCTTTCAAGAAAAGAAGTATTAAAAGAGGACAAAATGGATGGTTTTATGGATGCAATTCGAGCTAAAAACCTGCCTCCTCTCACCTTCTACGGTGACAAAGAGGTTGAAGAAACCATAAAAAATGAACAGCAAGCAAAGAAAGCTGCTAATCACATTTTCAAGAACCTTGCATATCCTAATGATGAGAAGTATACCTCAAAAATTAGTTACTTTTAATTTTTAGATATTTATACTTAACTAACTAACATTTTTTTTATGATTTCTGAAATGGGAATAGGTATATGGACTTGGAAAAGATATTAAAATATGCCAGAGTCAAGGAAATGGCTGATCAATGCCAAACAATAAAGGAAGTTGGTGACCATTTCCAGGCTGTTGCAGAAGATAGACAGAATTGCAGTGATAAACAAATAAAAAGATCAATTTTCAGGAAATGGGCGGTTAGTGACAGAATTGATTAATTAATTAATTTTTTGTTCTTTTTCTTATAACTCTATTAGAAGATAAGATATTGGTTTTTGTTTTACAGGTTAGTGTTTATAACAATTATGATTCGCTTAATAGCGCCTTGAGACATAGAAAAACAGCCGTTGATGAACTGAACAAGCTGGCTTCTGTAGTCATACTCGTCACGATTACAATTGTGTGGTTACTTTTCATGGAATTTTTAACTACAAAAGCAATTGTCTTTTTATCTTCTCAGCTTTTACTTGTGGTTTTCATGTTTGGAAATACTGCAAAGCTTGTGTTTGAAGCTATCATATTCGTTTTTGTGATGCACCCGTTTGATGTTGGAGATCGCTGCGTTATTGATGGCACCCAGGCAAGCCAGCACTGCCTCATAGTTATTAGTAACTCTATTAATTAGTATTATCATACTATTCATATACTTCTGATAACAGATGGTGGTGGAGGAGATGCAAATATTGACCACGATATTCTTGAAGAATGATGGTGAAAAAATATATTATCCAAATTCAGTTTTAGCTACAAAACCTATCAGCAATCTTTACAGGAGTCCGCCAATGACAGATTCTGTGGAATTTGCTATTGATCTTTATACTTCAGATCATAAAATTACAGATCTGAAATATATAATAAAAGAGTAATTAATGTCAACTCTCTTTAATTTATTTTTGTTCGTTAATAATTAGTTGCTTTGGCTAATGTATTATCTGTTTCAGGTACTTGAAGAGCAATCCTAGGCGGTGGAAACCTGCGCACAGCTTGCAATTTAAGGAGATAGAGAATATGAACAAGATGAAGATGGTTCTTTATTTTAATCACACCATAAGCTTTCATGATTTTGCAAAAAGAGGACAGCGAAGATCTGAGCTAGTCTTGCATTTGAAGACTGTTTTTCAAATTCTTGAAATCAAGTATAATCTCTTACCTCAACAGGTTCATGTTACCTATTCCGGATCTATGGCTCAATAAAAAAAAAAAAAAAAAAAAAAAAATCTGTTACCTATTCCGCGATCTACTGGCTTCAATAAAAAAAAAAACAAAAACATAAAAAAAATAGGAGAACACTATCTAGTCTTCTATTTTTGCTTTTTTATCGCACGCAAACGTTCACTCTTCAAGAAATAAAAAAAAAAAAAAAAAAAAAAAAAAAAAAAAAAAAAATAGAAACTATCTAGTCTTTATTTTCTTTTATGCAGCAACGTCACTCTTCAAGAAATAAAAAAAAAATTATTATTTTATCCAACCATTGAATGAAAAGATGGAGATATCTTATTATATTTAGAAAAAAAAAATTAAATTAGTCTTTTGTTTAAAATATAGATAGTATAATTTTAGAAAAAGACATACTATTTATATTAATTTGAATTCGATCATTGGAGTTCTGATATATTTATTTAAAAAAAAAATTAACCAATTCACTTTTTTTAAACAACCAAACCAATTATTCATTCTAAAAAAAAATAAACCAATTTATGTTAGACGTGAAATTAAAAAAAAAAAAAAAAAGAAAAATCACATGTTGTGCATATTAATTATTTCGTTAGCTGACTAATAGTCACCTAATCACCCAATCATAATTATATGTTCCTTATTCTTATTAATTAATTAATTAATTAATTTAATTAATAAGCCTAAACTATATTATCGGAGCCAGGCAGACATTACAACGGTGAAGCTAAACTAAATTTTCGGCTTATGGCTGTGAATGTTAAGACAAAATTTTCACATTCCAATTTTATCCTTATATGCCGCCAACCATAAGCGGTACGGAGCCCCGTTCCATCAACTAGATTTTAAATAAAACCATTCACCGCCATGTCTGCAACTTGTAGTTTAAATAACAATTATTTCCAACTTTCCATAACTACTACATATTAATTTATAGTTATTTTCTTTTTATATTTGCCCTTTTTAACAGATTTGTAATATTTAAATCGAAGGAAAGCGAGATATATCATGTATGTCAATGTCAATTTTCTTTAGCTTGTCTGAGTCAACTAATTGCAGCGCCACTGTTTCAACAAAACATTCTACTCTGTTTTCTGTTTTCTTTTTTTCTTTTTTTATAACATTTGCTTGTTTGACGAAACAGAATAACAACGGCGTCTCCAAATCCGGCTCTCTGCCATTGGAACAAAGACTTGAGCTTTAATATTGTAGCTATGAAAACAAAAAATCAAGCTCCCTTTCTTTCTTCATTTTTCTTACTTTTCCCTTAAAATTGTTACCAATTTTCCCGGGGAAAATTGAAAGTGAATTATTTTACGTCGATAAATGCTGGGATTTTAACCAAAGAAAAAGGAAACTAGGGTAAGAGCAAAGAAAGAATGGAACCCGTTGGAGGCTTGGTTCAGAAGAAAGAAACAGATGATGTCGTACTACAAATTTCGACGAGCCGGGAAGCTTTCTTTAGCGACAATAAAGATGCTAAAGCTTACTCTGTTTCAAGGAATTCCCAGTTGGATTCTTCTTCTCCCATACGTTCAAATATTGAGTTAACTGGCTTTGAGGATCCAAGATCGAGAATCCAAACACCGAAATTTACAAACTCTCCTTCTTCGTCAGACTTAGCAAGGCAAAGCCCAGTTCAAACTCCAACTTTAAACAGGCCTCCAAAAATTCCAACCGCCGAATCCATTACACCAAGAAAAGCGCTTGCTCGGTCTGAATTTTCAAAGCCAAAATCAAGATTTGCAGAGCCATCATATCCAAACGATGCAAAATTAAAAGAAGAAAAATACCGTTTGCTAAATTCAACTTTGTCCAATATTAGATCACCTAATGCAGCTTCACCGTGTAAAACGCCTAGTGTGTCTACCCCAAAAGATAACTTGAAATCGGTTCCAATTACCCCGAGAACGCCATTGGTTGGATCGCCATGGCCAGAAGAGGAGGACGATGAGGAGGTTTATAAGACTGCAAGTCTTAAAGTGGGTAAAAGAATGGGTAAGAAATGGAAAGCATTGATATTATTTGAGTTGACAGCTTTTGTTTGCTTTGTGGGGTTGTTAATTGCTAGTTTGAGTATTGATAGAATGCAGTATACTATGGTCTGGGGTTTGCAATTATGGAAATGGTGGGTGCTGATATTAGTTATTTTCTGTGGGAGATTGGTGACAGAGTGGTTTATAAACATTTTGGTTTTCTTGATTGAAAGGAACTTCTTGCTTAAAAAGAAGGTGCTTTATTTTGTGTATGGATTAAAGAAAAGTGTTCAGGCTTTTATTTGGTTGGGTTTAGTGCTTTTAGCTTGGGGTTTGTTGTTTAATCACGGAGTTAAACGATCCAGGCGAACTACAAAGATTCTAGACTATATAACAAGAGGTCTTGCTTCTTGTCTTATTGGGTCCGCAATATGGCTACTCAAAACTTTGTTTGTTAAACTACTAGCTTCTTCTTTTCATGTGTCTAGATTCTTTGATAGAATTCAAGAATCGATCTTCCATCAGTATGTTCTCAGAGCGCTTTCAGGGCCTCCTGTTATGGAGATGGCTGAAAGGGTTTGGAGCAGTAAGACATTGCCTGGTCAGTTGAGTTTTAATAATTTGAAGAATAAAAATGACGACAAAAAAGAAGAGGTGATTGATGTGGATAAGCTTAAAAAGATGAAGCATGAGAAAGTTTCTGCTTGGACCATGAAAGGATTGGTTAATGTGATTACTGGTACAGGTTTGTCTACTCTTTCCAACACACTTGAGCAGAGTGATGATGAGGAGTGTGAGCAGGATGAAGAGATTACTAGCGAGTGGGAAGCTAAGGCTGCTGCTTACAAGATTTTCAGAAATGTAGCAAAGCCTGGAACCAAGTGAGACTATTGACCTTCTAAAATTTCCTGCAATTTTCTGATTGTAAGGGTCAACTCACCTTTCTGTGTGTTTAATGGGCTAGGTACATTGATGAAGAAGACCTTTTGCGCTTCATGAAAAAGGAGGAGGTGGATAATGTGATCCCACTCTTTGAAGGAGCAGCAGAAACTGGAAAGATTAAGAGATCAGCTTTAAAAAATTGGCTGGTTAGATCTCTGTCAAACTTCTTATTTCAGCTACTATAAGCAGAAGCAAGAAGTTCAGATAATCATGATTTAATTCGCACTAGATTATTATATATGAACTTATAAACTAATGTAGAGCTTTTCATGTCTGGTTTGCAGGTGAATGTTTACAACGAGCGTAAATCGCTAGCACACTCCTTAAATGATACCAAAACAGCCATTGAGGAGCTGAATAAGCTAACTTCAGCTATTGTGCTCGTTTTGGTTATTGTTGTGTGGTTACTTATGATGGGACTTTTAACAACCAAAGTGCTTGTCTTCATTTCATCTCAGCTTCTGCTTTTGGGATTCATGTTTGGTAATACTGCCAAGACAGTGTTTGAGGCGATCATATTTGTATTTGTGATGCACCCATTTGATGTTGGTGATCGTTGTGTAATAGATGGAGTACAAGTAAGTTCTTAATCCTATAATAGTTACCAATTCAAAAGTTAAGTGAAAGCCAGCTTTATAGACACTTTGATCCGTTGCAGATGGTTGTTGAAGAGATGAATATTTTAACAACAATCTTCTTGAGATATGACAATGAGAAAATATTCTACCCAAATTCAGTTCTGGCTACAAAACCCATCAGCAACTTCTACAGGAGTCCAGAAATGGGTGACTCCATAGAATTCGCTGTCGATGTTTCCACTTCAGTTGAGACTATTGGAATTCTAAAAGCAAAGATAAAAGCGTAAGCCAAGACTTATAAAAATGCAGAGTTTTAGCAGTTTTGTTTTGAATGAATTGCTATATCTACTAATACACTACAGCTTATTGGCTTTGTTTTTGAGATTTCAGGTACTTGGAGAGTAAGCCTCAGCACTGGCGTCCTGGCCACAGTGTGCAGGTTAAGGAGATTGAAGATGTGAACAAGATGAAAATGGCTCTGTATGTTAATCACACCATAAACTTCCAGAATATTGCAGACAGGGGCAACCGAAGATCTGATCTAGTGTTAGAGATGAAAAGATTTTTTGAAGAGCTTGGTATAAAATATCATCTTCTACCTCAAGAAGTTCGTCTTAGCTATGTTGGCTCAGCTCCACCTCCAGCGCGATGATGGCCCTTATTCTTCTTGAACTTCAAATCATAAATTTTTGTTTTTCATTTCTACTTTGAGTGAGATCAATGGTTTGATATTTTGATGTCTAACACTCTTAGCTCTCAGAAATGTGTTTTTGTATAATTCTTTAATCATTTATATCAATGTGTAATTTTTCCTTTTCTTATATATTTTTTTTAGAATAATTTGGTTCCTATTGGGTGTCGAATTCTAGATCTCACCATCTCTAATACCACTAAGTTAAAATTTATTGGTTCAATTTGTAACATTTTGGTGTCTTTTATGCTTTTTTAATTGTGGTAAAAGATAGTTGTTGATATTTTAAAACCACAAACTTGACTTGAATTTGGCAGGCCTCTTATTGGGCTAACAAAACCCATTTAGAGAGCCCAAACAGAACCCTAACAAGTTTTTAGCCACATACAAAAATTGAGGAGGCATTACTAGAGAAGGAGGAACTGTTCCAAATATGAAACTTGATGGTGATTGGCCCAGTTAGATAACCTTATCCACTAATCCCAAATGGAGAAGCTGCCACATAGGACATCTATCAAGATGACAAAGCCCCAGTTGATATCTCAAATTTCCACCTCTCATTCTCGAAAACAGCCTTAATAATACCATCTTCCCAATTTGGACAGTAAAATTCACAAAAGAAGCAGCAGTTGTTGGAGAGAAAGAAAGAGAATAGGAATGGCCTCTACCTCAGCTGTTTCAATGGCTATGCCATTTACTTCTGCAACAAGCCAAAAGAGGTCAGTGGGGAATGTTCCAAGCTCAGAGGGTTTCTTCAAGCCATTGCCAGTTAGGTCATCAAAGGGTATGGTGACATCATCAAAGCCTAATGGGAAGTTTCAAGTGAAGGCTTCATTGAAGGAGAAGGCAGTTACTGGTTTAACAGCAGCTGCACTGACTGCTTCAATGGTGATGCCAGATGTGGCTGAAGCTGCTGAACTTTCTCCATCTCTCAAGAACTTCTTGCTTAGCATTGTAGCTGGTGGAGTTGTGCTTACTGCCATTGTAGGTGCTGTGATTGGTGTTGCTAATTTCGACCCTGTCAAGCGGAGCTAAGGAATATGTATAAATAGATTTCTGAGAATTCTGGGAATTCTTTTTTCCTATAATATCATGTTAAATGTATCTCTCTTTTGATTTCTCCAGTGATGATCTTTCTCTATTTCTTTGTGTTTTTTACGTCTCTTTATTTTGGTTGTAATTTGACATTGAAACCTGTGAATTCTGTTATTCCAATTTCTACTTTGGCCCATCACAACAAAGAAACATAAATTTCCAGCAAAATTCGTATAGTAGATCTACAATTTCGCAAACAGAAATTAGACATGCTTTGAGGCTTCAGCAATTAGGCAACGAAACTACGATGCCAGAAAAATATGAATTTCAATTTCAATGCACTTTACAAGTGATTACACCACATTAATTGAAGGGTGCCAACAAATGTATATCTCTGACAATGTTGATTTAATCAGTAACATGAAATCTCATCAAATAATGAATTTCAAAGAACCAAAGCTACTGGATCTAAAATTAGTTACTTCTGATTCAGAATATTCAATATCTAGGATGTTTCGAAATCAAATCAAGTAGATATCTGCTCTCTGAAGAATAGTCCACCTTGTCTGCCTTAACAACCGTGATCTTAACCCTCTGTTCATCACCATACATTTCCTCTTTGATCTTAAGCCTGAAGAGATACTGCTCAAAGAGTATGCTCCGAAGTATATCTGCAAATCTGGTTTCGTCCTGCAATTCATTTTTCAACAAGTACATTTCCTTTGCTGGGTAACCCAATATCTGTTCCCCCGATTCCTGAAAAGCTGTTACCCATGTTATTCCTGTATGGTCTTGAATCTGAGCCTGAAGAAGATACCTGTAATCGCACTCATCAAATTCTTGATTGCATCTATCACATTGCCATCTCGAGTTTCCCGACCTTGTCACTTTCTTATTACACTGTCTATCTCCAATCATCAATGGGCAAGCCGTATAACAGAATGTATCTGTCTTTACAAAAGTTATTCTTGCACTCACTGTGACCCAGTCCGGCTTATCTGATCTTCCAAGACCTTCATCCTTGATCTGAGATACAGTTTTACGTATCTCATTCTTGGGAGCACCTGGCATAATGTCTCTAGAAATGGACACAGAAGTTGCATTTTGCCCCCCTCGATCAAACCAGTCCTTCACACTATAGGCCTCGGGAATATCTGGATTGATGAAAAGCTGTGTCGAAGAGATTGTCCCCAAGGATTTGCCACTGAAATCACTAACCTTACCTGCTTTGACAGCTAAAACTGGAAAAACCCCAGAATCAACAATTTCTTGCAGCTTTTGACCTTCCTTATTGCAGAAATCTCCCCAAAGGGTCAACTCAACACTCCTGCCAGAACCATCCTTCAGATTCAGAATTCTTCTCTGAGTTTCCATACCATTCTTTCTCAAGATAGGAACTGAAGGATTAACAGATGTCACAATACCAATAACATCAAATATGGAATTGTTTTCTGCATTCTCGATTTCACTAATGGGTTTGAAGGAGAATTGCTGTTGTGGTATAGAACCATCTTCCTCAGTACAAAGATCCACGGTAGAAGTTGCCTCCAAAAATATCTCCCATTCATTCTTCAAATGGTTGAAATTCTTCTGTGCAGGTTTTAAGTTACCCTTTGAAACCAAATAGACTCTGCCAACCTCAATAACATCATAAAAACGGTCAACAACAGCATTGAAGCAGGTTACCCGTATTTCACCTCCATCAGAGTCAAGAAGGTCAAACGAAAAGACTTTTCCATCTCCTCGAGCATTGTTGTAGCGACGGAGATCCCCTTTTGCAGTTACTCTAGCCTTGATAGCCCATCTACCCTGATAAGGATTCAAAGCAGCAATTGGAATGATGCGAGCAGGTGCCTCATTTTTCATAATAGCACCATGATTTCTATAGTTCGGAGGTGGTCGGTATGCAGGTTGAACAGTTGGTTGGAAACTCTGCACGTTATTACCATGATTTTGGGCACTCATAGTGGATCGGGAACTTTGCAGATTATTGCCACGACTTCGAGAAGTAGGAGCAGGTAGGTTACTATTATTTTGGGCAACTAAAGGGGGCTGGAAACTCTGCATATTATTGCCTTGAGTTTTGGCAATTGGGTTGTTATAACCAACCCCAGTTGACTGCACTGAGTTTCCATCAGGTAATGCCTTCTGGGAAATTTTATCAGTAAACAATTTTGGATTTCCAAGTATTTCACACTCTGGCACTATAGTTTCCAAGTTCAGCACAACGATAATTCTGTATAAAGAGGTCAAAAAACAGAACAGATCATAAAGATTTGCTAAATATGTCTGCTGGATGTAATGACTCGTATATTAAAAAATAAGTAATCATTTCCATTATCTTTCTCTCTTTCCAATGTTTTAGTTCACTTCTCTTTTTTACAGTTTTCTTTTCCATAGCTTATCTAACGCCAATTATGATCTAAAAAATTCATTCAATTTTACATCATATTGTTCAAGCTCAAAGCAAAAGATTTTTGCATCCAGATCAAAGCAAAACATAAGTCGAGCAAATCAAATCTAATAATCATCAGAATAGAGTCAATCAAATAGGAGAAACGACACTTCAATTTCACATAAAGGAACAATCATAGGAAAATACTAAATTTACAAAGTCAGCCTCCATAAGTAAGTTTTGAAAGATACAGTAATCTTACATTCTAATTGCACTAATGAGAACATCACTGCTTCAATTTTGCAAGAAGATTATGCAATTTTCATTTCTATGCTTCAAAAATTCCCCAAACAAATCAAAATCCTATCTATTCCAAACAGTACTTCAGAACGAAGGCAAACTTTGTTTTCTAAGACAAAATAAGAAACGACAATTACTGGGAGAAAAGCATAATAATGCAATGTATGAAGTATAAAAATTAAGCTAACCAAAGATTTGCATCTGTAAAATTAATATTAAAAAATTGAAGTATAAAAATTAAACAATAGTTTTGCAAACAGAAACAGCTCCAACAACATTCTGACTGTGAATAAAAAATTGAAGCAAAATAACAATTGTGGGAAACAAAAGAGACGAAATCTGATAAGAGAAAGATAAAACAAACTGACTTGCGCTTTTGAACTTCGCTGCAAATATAATCTATCAATTGAATAACAGATCCTTTCTTGACGAGGCCGTTCCTAACTCGGTCGTTAAGCTGAGTAGCGAGCATAGCGTGCTGAGTGGAGACGGAATCGGAAATGAGGAAGCGATACCTCTCCTGCGCGCTACCTATCTGTTTTATATCCAGAACCTGAACCAGCGGTTTCATGTTTACATCGCCGCCGTTTATCAGCGCTATCGCGTTCGGCGTCAAATTCACAGGCATCGTCTTAGATCTCGTAATAAAAGACCAAAAAATAAAAAAGCAGATAAATGTAGAAAGAAACGAAAATCAGAGAGGATTAGGAGCAAAAGAAACCCTATAAACGGAAATGTAAAGGCAAAAGAGGAACTAGAAGAGAATTCCGTTAAATTTTAGCTTCTAATAGTTCCGGACATTGATGATTGAAAAGAGAAGGAAAGAAGCAGTGAAAGATGCACGATATAAATTTGGAGGGGGAAGAATGGCGGGCGTTGGGGACGGAAAACATATGACTCGCTTTATTCATTGATTTATTAAGTGCTTAGCTTAAATTATTTTTTTTTAATAATCAAATTTTTGAGCGAAAACAAAAATTATAAACAATTTTTTGAACAGGTTCCGGTTCACATAACCACCAATTCTAGTCTAATCCAGATATTGGCGGTTCTGTGAACCGGAACCTGAACCTGAACCTGGGTCCACTTCAAAGAGTCTTTTATTTTTCTTTTACCGAGTGAAAAATATATGGTAAATAATAAAAAAAAAAAAAAGCTTACAAAATTGAAAAATACTTTTGCTACTTATTTTTCTAATTTAGTATCTACTAATTAATAAGTACCAAAACCTAGAACTCTACTTATATTATGTATTCGTTACATTTTATTTTGTTTATTTATTATTTATTTTTTGAATCTTTTAAAATATTTATAAGATTTCTAAATTTATACACACAAATAATTATTTCTCTGTTTAGAAATTCAATTTCAACATAATTATTTTTCTGCTTAGAAATTCAATTTCAACATAATTATATTCAAATTCTATTATATATTTATATCAACTTTTTATTATTCAAATTTGTTGTCCGCTTAAAGACATCCCATGTTAGAGGCATGTGATCTTATTTTGTATTTATTAATATATAAAACTTTATTTATTATCATAAAATTTTTTGTAGTTAAAATGACTATTTTTAACTAATGGAAGTGGTTTGGAAAATAAAATGAGAATAATGAAATTTAATTACGATAAACGTGAAATTAACTTAAATTCCATTTTTTATTTGTATACGTAGAAGATGAAAAAAAAAATCCCGATAAATTTAACAGCTCTTGTGAAACATAATATTCAATGGCTCTAGTAAAACAAAATTTAGTATCACTTGACAAAGGGTATCAAAAAGTCAAAAGAACTAGCACGACGCCATCGTCACAGATAAGAAAAATAAAGCTCATTAAATAAAAATCAGGAAATAAACGGCATGGGCTTTTAGTCTAAGCTACTGCTACTGGTACTGGGACCTCGATCTCGGTCGCCACAACAGGTACCCGGGCGTACTCCTCTTCCTCCTTGGGGGGATGGATCGTGACCAAATCTGGTAGAGGAGTTGTTGGGCCCTGCTTCCCTTTAGGATCCCAATCAAGCATTATCTTGACCTTGATACCAAGAACCCCCTATTCGAATTAACATCCACAAACTCGATCAGTGAGGCAATGAAAATTACCAATAGAGAATAACACTTGGGCAAAACTAAGAAAATGTAAACAACCTGTCGTAGGAGGACATGTCTCACAGCAGAATCAATATAATCCTTTACTGGTTGGCCAGATGAAATCATGTATCCATCCTTGAACTTCATGGATTTTGCACGCTGTGCCCTTAGTTTCCCACTGACAATTACCTGATCATAAACCACCAGCATTAATCATACAAAATCAAACACTAAAACACAGAAGTGTAAACATGACCAAGGAAATCGTTATGGACAAACCTCACATCCCTTAGCACCACTTTCCATTATGAATCTCAACACACCATAGCAGGCCCTAAATAATGGACACAACCACAAAACAATTAACAACAATTTAGGACTTGAAAATTTGAACTCTACAATTATATGTTCATCCCAAAAAAAAAATTTGCAAAGCTGGACAACGCTGAATAGACCAAATAGCCTGAAAGCAACAAATAATTACAGAATGTAAGACTTCATGAACTCACACGGCAACAGAAGAACAAAAGGCCTAACAATGTATCCTCCCTACAGTTGCTAGATGAAAACAGAGTTCCATAAGAATGACAGCATGAAGGAGCTTAGTTAATCTTGTCATCTTCCGACACAAAGTTGGTAGAGGAAGACCAAAATGCTTTGTAGATGACATTAAAAATGAAAAGACCCAGAAACAGCAGAAAAGTTCTAATTCACTAGTAAAATGTTTAAGTTGTAATTACAATTTCAAAGTTGATGACCTAAGAATTCTATTGCCACTTTAAAAAACAAAAAGCAATTATAAGTTACCAAAGACCAAGAAAAAAACTATGACTTCTGGAAACAGAAAATTTATCAGTTCTATGGATTATTGAAAGAGTCAGCAGAAACAAGAAAAAGGTTACATGCAGTCCGATCTCAACAAAGAATAAAACCAAAGGCATATATAACAATATCTCCTCAATAATGTTACTGCATGAAAATGAGAACATTTCACGAGGATGATGGTATGGAGGAGAACCGTACATTTTGTCATCTTCCGACACAAAGTTGGCAAGGACATACCAATCTGCTTTATAGATGACATGAGAGACACAAGCCCATACATTAACTCTAAGAATCGTCTATAATTTCATCATGGAAATCAAAACACCCTCCCATTACAGGGCCAAAAGCTTCAAAAATATTTTTGATTATTTCACAACAGTATTTGCCAATTTAGAGAGAAGCCGCACACATACAAGGGAATATAATAACAAATAGGATAATCATGTAACGGAGTGGACATAAGCACCAGAACTACCCGTCCAATTTTTCCCACATAAATAACATTTTTACTACTGCTTAAAGTAAATCAACTAATATGATAGATATATACTGACTTAAAATTAAAAACTCGATCAAAATAATTGAGAAATGATATACATACCTACGAACAGCAAGACCACCGAGAAGCTTGTAACGAAGAGACTCAGCCTGAGCAATGGCGCAAAGGCCTCTGCTGTTAACTTTCTCAGCATAGAGCTCCACACTGTTTTCTGGGAATTTAAACCTCTTTTGCACCACGGAGGTCAGCTCTCTGATCCTCCTACCCTTATCACCTAATGACCTCAGTATATAATAACCATATTCAATCAGCAACACCTCCAAATCCAAATCACAGAACTCAAAAAGAAGTGAAGTAAATATAAGCATTTATTACCTAGAACGTTTTGGGTGCGAGTGGCCCTGATGATGATCTCGGTGCGCATAGGAGTGACCCTAACCTCAACACCAGAGTATCCATCCTCGGCGAGCTCTCTGGTCAAAACTTCGTTAAGCTCGGCGAAGAAAACACCGTCTGCAACAAACTGTGACACCACAATTACAAAACGATAGCCAATTATCGCAAAAATGGGTAAAAGGGTACGAAAGTAGAATAAAAAAAAAAAACCTTTCGCTTCTTGCTCATTTGGGTCGCCATTATGGATTTAGATGGATAACTTGCAGATGCGAAGATCTAAGACGACAGTAGGTGGCGCTCTGAAAACCCTATGTTGAGTGAGGGTTTTTATGCCTGAAAAGACTTAGGTTTATATATCAAGAGGGTTTCGATCAGACGGCTAAATGTAATTTTAGGGTTTGGTAGTCAACGGATGCGATTGTTTGAAGGGTTTTCTCCTACATTTGGGTAATTCGGATCTCCATATCGACTCACTGGAGACTATAGAACGCTGCGTTTTGACGCCTAAGATGGGCCTTGTAGTTGCGACTATGATCCACTAGACGGGGATCAACGGCCCAAATTGGGTAACTCATTCGTGGGCTCGCCGAATATCCAGTGGCCACAAAATAAAAAGTTATTTTAATTAAACTTTTTTCTTTTTCGGCCTAAAGGAGTAAAACTACGCGAGTATCAAAACATGCGATCTTAATTATATAAAACGATGTACCGTTTTAGGCCAAACCGCGATACGGATAGCTCGTACCAGGCGGTCCCACATCGAAAACCACATGGAAGTTTGTCTTTTACTTTTTCTTTTATTTCTTTCTGGAATGTATAAGTGCCCACCAAATTAAAAAGAAACCATATATGGATGGGTTTGGTACTTCTGTCCAGCCCTATACATAACACATTTTCGAAGTGAATAAAATAGGTTTTTTGTAATTTTTTTTTTTAATAAAAAAAATGCATTTGTTGATAATTAGAATGGAAAGGAACTTATTTTAATTTTTCAAAAATTATAAAGAAAAATAATAGTTTGAATGTGAACAAATCTAACCAAAAATTACCTAATAAAAGGAGAATAAATACTATTTGTGAGTTGCTCAATTAATTAGAAGAAGGAAACAACTTTTTGTAGATTCATTCATTAAATTTAAAGTGGCTGTGGATTGTCCTAAACGGCGCCACTTGGACGAGAGACGGTTGCTGGCCAGTGACTTGGAATCCTATATGTAATTTTTCAAACAAATATACTCATCTTTTTATGATTAAATTTTGATCAATATCCAAGTCCTAGTTAATAAAATTAATTAAATGTCATCTTATTATTTGGAAATGGCAAAAAGTTTAATTATCAATGAGTGTGATTTAGTCAATTTTTTTATTTTAATAGAAAAATATAAAGAGAATAGTGGAGTTAGAAATCAAATTTAAAGGAGGCAAAAAAAAAAAACTTTAAAAATATTAGGAGACCTAACTAAAAAAATAAATTTCTCAAGGAAAAAATTAAAAAATAAAATAACTTTTTTCATAGAAATTTATAGCTAGAAGGCGACCGCTCTCTTTGTGATTAAGAGAGGTTAAGATATTTTAAATTGAAATTCTCTTAATTATAATAATTTTCATTAATTTAGATATCCTATGTATCGTTCGTTTCATTTCAACTCCCAATAAATTTTTTTCTTTTTTTTTTTTTTTGGAAAAAAAAAACTACTATGATGTTTCAAATATGAACAAAGCAGAAGCCTGAATACCCACCAAAAGAAAACTGCTTTATCCATTTTTTTTAAAATAAATGTCCAAACCAAGCACAACCAGAACCTCCAATGTCCAGTTGCCATGGCATTGGTCACCCATGAAAGGTAGGCTATAAACTAAACTATATTTTAGTTAAAATATGATAAAGGATATGGGAGTGCCCAGGTGTTGGCAAACTGAAATATGTAAAGCGGCTGGTGCAGTTACTGGAGGGGTATTTAGAAACGAGTTGGGACTGGTTGTTTGTATTTTTTATTAGTCGATTGGTGTTTTCGATTTAAATGAACCAGAGCTTCTTGTTATTTTTCATGCTGCAGAATTGTTTTGGTCCTCACCTTACAAGAACTCACCTTTGATTATTGAGTCTAACTCAAAAAATGTAGTTTATTGGGTGATTCGGAAGCAAAAGCGTGGTTGTCGATGGTGAAAACTTTTTAATAAGTTTGATATGATAATGTCTTCTTTGATATAATTTAGCTTGGATATAATTTGAATTGAGCCGAGTTTATAAATCTGTTATTGTGATCATTGCTTGCTAACTCTCTCTTATCATTTCTCATATCAAGAAACAGTTTTGAATGGTTAGTATAGCTTTAGATTACTGCTTCTGTTGTTTTACCTTTTATAATTCAATGAGATATTAGTTAATATGGTTGGATTTTGTTGTATCTGATTTAAGTGAATATTGATGTTTTGATCATGTTTTTTTAACTTAAGTTATCTAAGTTAGGTTAGTTGTACGTGGAAATCTATTTGTGTACACTGGTATGGTAAGGTTTGTTGAGCTTTTGCTTTTTTATCAATATTATCATGATTATTATTAATTATATAATGTAATGTTAATAACCCATAATTGGTCACTTCAACCATAGGTTTTATATTAATTATAATTATTAAAACTTAGATTACTATATTTGGGTCCAACTAATGATGTAGATACCTATAAAATCCCATTATTATATTTGGTTAAGGGGGGCAAAGTAGACTTGGGTTTCTTTCCAACCTATTTGCTGGAAATGCAAGAAACACATAAAAAAAAAAAGTAGATTCCCACTTCACATGTGATGTTATGGCATGTTTAAATTTTGTCCTGGCTTGGCTTGGCTTATAGACCAAATGCTTTCAATCTTCTTGCTATTGATGATTACCTTAAACAAATCACATTTAAATTAACTAATTAACTAATTAATTATAAAAATACCCGTCACAATTAGGTCTTCTCTCTCTGATTAAATTAGAAAAGACTCAGCTGTAAATTTTCAGTTTCTGTAGCTTTAATTATGCCCTTAATCTCCTTGTAGATAATGGTTATCTGCGAGATGGATGATTCCAAGAATTTTCTCGAGAAAGTGACACTGCCTACCTGGTACACTGGTACCGTGTGTTCCTGTTGGTGTCATTACTGTTATAATTATTATTAAGGCCCATTTTATCTTCACATTCATCTTTGTACTATTTTTTTTTTTTTTTGAAAAAAAACAACATTAATCTTTGTACTTGTTAAATACTACAGGCACAATTATTATTATCGCTATTTTTATTCCATTGGCAATCCAAAAATGCTTAGATAAATATCAGTTAAGTTGCTAAAATATAATTATTAAGAAATAATAAAAGTGATTTTTATTAAGAAATATAATTTAATAAAAGTGATTTTCAATTCAGATTAACCTAGTAATAATAATTTTATTAAGAAATAATAATAATAATAATAATAATAATAATATGGAGAGGTACATACCCTGAAATGACGCAATCACAATTGAATTATATAAATTGTCTGATTGTCTGAACCTATGAGGAGTGAGTCTTGCATGGATGTCTATGGCAAGTTATGGGTTATAATTATTAGCAGTAGCTATCCTTTTATTACAAACTGTTCCATATGCCTAGTGTGAGATTATTAGCTGCTATATACTACAATTTTTACTTTTATAACTCTAAATAAAATTTACTTTTAAAAAAAATTAAAAATTTAACAAAGTGACATCTTAAAACAAGGTCTTACAGATAGAGATAGGTGGTGGAGCAAACAAGATTAGATTTTTTAAGTGAGATGAATGAATGTTGGACCAGATTGTAGATGAAGTAACACCCTTACCACTAACTTAAAAAAAATCTTTACCAGGAACAAGCTACTTCCAAGTTCCAGCAATCACTGATGTGTGGGCCTTTTTGCTCCTAATAAGATGAAAAAATTAGGCTGCCATATACACTAATGGGTCCACCAAAAAAAAAAAAAAAAAAAAAGTGTTCCAGCCAAAAAAAAAAAAAAAAAAAAAAAAAAGATAAAAAGACAGTTTCTCAAATTGAACAAAGTCATAAATGATACTAAATGCATAAAGAGATTAAAAAGAAAAAAAAAAGAAGAAGAAAAGAGAAATTGAAGAGTAAAAGAGAAAGAACAATTGGTATAGGAAGAGATAAGCATGGGGAAGTAAGTTCCAACCCAAAAAAGAACTCTTAATAAGAGGGCCCTTGTCATGTTGTTGGGAGTCACTGTTTACACATACCTGTCTGTCTCTTGAAACTATAGTGCTTTGTTTTTAAACTACCTAAAGAATATGTTTTTTTTTTCTTTTCTCTTCCAATACCATCCAAGACTGAAAGATTTGTCATTGGTTACAACAAATTTATAAAAATATAGTCAAAAAGCTCATCATCTCTTATCTGAGATTCTGTTCCTGTGGTGGTGTGTGATTGGGAACCAAAAAGATTATCTAAAGCTGATTTCTTTCCTATTGTTCCAGAGCATCTTCACAGAGATGTATGCAATGTATGTTCACTTCTTGCACTGACCCATAAACAAAAAGCAACATGAACAGTAACTAACATTAATAATATAGAGAAGGATAAAAAGGGTAAAGAAAGAAAGAAAGGAAAATAATAATGACAAAAAAAAAAAAAAAAAAAAAAAAAAAAAAAAAAAAAAAAAAAAAAAAAGGTTTGAGAAAGGACTGTTAAAAAAAAAAAAAAAAAAAAAAAAAAAGGTTTGAGAGGACTGAATACAGTATCTGCACCTCTTTTTTTTTTTCAGTTCTCAGCTATAAGGTCTAGAAGAAACTTGGATTAAGGTTGAAAAGGGAATTATAAAAAGGGCACTGGACTTGTTTTGTGGAGAGTTCAAAAAGAATGAAAAGTATATTATAAACATTCATGAAAAGGAGATTCAAAGAGAAATTTTTGCACAGAGTAATAATAGATAGATAACAGCCTTTTTGACAAACAGAAAAGGTTAGGAGAAGCTAAAAAGCACTTAAATCTATTTCTTTGTTTTGGCATCAAGAAAAGTGTTAATTTTTGTGCAAAAAGATAAAAGAACCTGGTATTATGCACAGAAAATCAAGTGAGTATGTAATTTTAGTCTGAAAAACATGCTGAGCGTACATACATCAGACATAATCGAGAACAAGAACAACAGGAAGAAAAATACTAAATATAGCACAGACATGCTTGATATCAATTAGATGAAAGGCTACACAGTTACAATTTGAAATTTTGACCAATTATTTCTCTACGAAAGAAATGTAGGAAAGAAAGAACTAGAGACAGTTCAGTGATAAAAAAAAAAAAAAAAGTTACAAAATCTAATAATCATTTTCTACCAGCTGCCCTTCAAGGCAAATGTGAAATTCTTCTTTCCCCACCGAGAAAAGAATGAAGAATAGAAAACTTTAAATTTTTGTTTTCTGTTTTCTCTCTACGCAGGCCTGTTTCTCTTATGGCCAGCTTTGCCATCAGATTTCAAAACCCCACTAGAATCCCCTTCAGAGGAAGCTTCAATGGATTTGGTGAAGGAACTGGAAAGATCAGCATAAAGGTCAACAACTCTTCTTATATTGTTGTTGAGCTCCCTTATTAGACCCACATTTCTGCTAAGGTTATCAGGGATCTTGGATTCATGATTCTGATTTATCTCATTGATAAGCAACCTATTTTGATCCAAAATATGTTGAACCTGAACAAAATTCTTCTGAAAAGTCTGCAAGATCTTGCTGTCTATCTGAGTACCATTACCAAGACCTGAAAATGTGTCCCCTTCCATATCCTTACTAACCTCTTCTCTTCTTTTTTAGTCAGGATTCTATGAAATCAGAACCTGCATAATGAACAAACCAAAAACAAGATGAATTTGAGAAAGAACAAAAGATAAGACAGTGTTTTATTAAAAACTGAATGAATCTTTCTTTTTTAAAAAAGGAAAGACCCATACATAATCATATATATCTTCTTATCTGTACATAAGCTACACTAACCAAAACCCCAGGACAAACCAAATTGTTTAATTAAGGTGTTTTTGTGCATATGAGACAAGAGCATGTAGTGGAAATCATGACCTCCATGGGTTCCACTTTTTACAGAGGGATCTAGTAACTAATAACCAATAATAATAATAATAATTATTATTATTATTATCATTATTGTTATTTATGATGAGATGTGAAAAAGCGGATCCCATTTCCATAAAAGGGAACCTTTTTTATGTACTGAGAAAATACCCATCTAAAACTCAGTTTCAAAGAAGAATCTCAGAGACCCAAAAAAAAAGAGTCAATGATGCAGAGAAGATGAGGCCATGAGTGTGTACTACTACTTCACAGACAAAATCATTAATCTTTACAATTTTTTTTTTAGAAAGAGTATAATAAAAGAAATTTAAAACTGCGAAATGTTGATAACAATTAAGTCGAACAAATCCAAATGGAATTACTTAAAACTCAGGAATATCAGAAACCAAAGAACCAAAATTGGGAATTCAAATGTCCAAAACCGTACATGAAAACTTGCACTTCCAGAACTATATAAATTCCTGAAATAGAAACAAAAAAAACAATAATAATAATAAAACTACCTATACAAGTATCCGCTATTTTTTCAAGAAGGAAAAAATCTCAACAAATCCAGTTATCAATTTTACCATATGAAGATCTTCAAAGAAAATTCTTTAAAAAAATTAAATAAATAAGAAGATAAGATCAAAGGCGTTTAGTGCAGGAAAAAATAAATTGAAATCAATGAAGTCATATCGTCTCAATAACAAAAAAAAAAAAACACTTAAAAAAATGGAAGAATATTGTTACTTTATACAAATACCTTGTTTTTTGTATATATATATATATATATAAAAAATAAAAAAAAACACGTTAAAAAAATGGAATGAATACTTGTTAACTTTTACAATACCTTGTTTTTTGTATATATATATATATATATATATATTATTATAGGGGAGAGAGAGAGTAGCTGTATTTATGTATTGGTACCTTGAAAATCTGGAAACATATTATATTCTCCTGGAGAGAGAGACACAGATTGAAGACGAGGGATTTCCGAGAAATTAGAAAGAATCGCCGATATATGTTTATATATATATATAGGGAGAGAGAGAGAGTAGCGTATTTATGTATTGGTACCTTGAAAATCTGAAACATTATATTCTGGAAGAGAGGACACAGATTGAAGACGAGGGATTCCCGAGGAAAATTAGAAAAGATCGCCGATTATTTTTGAAAAATGAATCTCCGAAACATGGCTTCTTTCTGCATCTGAATTATGAGAATTTAGACGGGAGAGAGAGAGAGAGAGAGAGAGAGAGAGAGACAGAGTTAATGGAGAAAGAAACTAAGAAGAAGGAAGAAGAGATAGATAGAGAGAGAGAGAGAGAGAGAGAGAAAGAGAGAATATGTAGATTTGACAGTCACGCTCGGACCCCTCTCTGTGTCTAAAATATATTTTAGCTCTATTAGCTTCTCAAACTCCCAAATATATATCCACCTGTTAATTTCCTATTTATTGGCTTTTTCTATTCTTTTTATTTTTATTTAATTTTCCTTGATTTGATTAAGTGGGTTTTTTTACTATCTTTTGCTCAGATCCAAGGTTTGATTTCTTTTGTTCTTTAATTATTCAGCACGTGGCATGTGAGTGATTCTGGATGTAATGTTCATTCACATAGGCCCCACCTCTATTTATTTCATTTATTTTTCCCTTTTTTTCTTCTTTTTCCTACAATGATATGCTCTCTATGCGTATATAATTGTTTCCCAATGAGTCAATTCATTGACAACTGACTCATTGCTCAATAATTCTCTCTCGTTTTTTTACAAATTTATGATATAAAAATTACCTTAATATTTTTTCTTTTACAAATTTATGATCTGAAAAAATCTATTTGTATATGTTTCATTTGGCGTGATATTAATAAAATCGACGCCTTTTTCATCTCGTGATTATTCTAGTAATTTGATCTCGAGATTCTTTTAAGTAAAATTTTAAATATTAATTGCTATGATATAACAAAGTCATGTTGAAATTTTTTATTTTAGTGCTTTAATTTAAAAATTACCATAAGGATATCATACAATATTAACCACATTAAATTAAATTAAATTATTCCACTTTCGGACATGCTTAATACATTAGACACAACATGTCTTAAAATAATTTAAAAAATTCATTATTAACTTGTTTATAATATGTGATAATAAATTATCTATCTAATCATCCAAAAAAGATTACTAGTAATTTTCAATTGCGGAAACAAAGGAAATAAAATTGGAAAACACCTAAACCAATAAGGTTATAAAGGGTAAAGATGACGTGTCATGCGGGCAAAATTGTAATTTGAGTCACGGGATAATGGTCTCGGCTTGCCCCAAGTCCACCGGGCGGATCTTCGTTTTGGCCGAGAATGGGAAGTTCCCACAATTTTTAAATCAGAATCCGCCCAACAATGAAATCTGAGGAACAACTTGTTATCAGCCAATAATATGATGCCGCGTGTGATATTAGGTTCGGGAAATCTATAGGCTCGGCACCAAACCTTTGATGATTTCCAAGCCTATAGGTGTTGATTTAGCTCTGCGGCTATTATAATTTTGGGGACCCATCCCTCGCATCACTCCCGTTAATAATATATTGATTTTATATTAGATTGTTGTACATGATAGTACGAGATAGCGTAGGATATTGCCATGTGTACTGAAACATAACGAATGACACGATCTCCAACGCTGATGTTCTTGCCCCTGACTGTACCTACGGACACACTTGCCTTACCCCCTGTCACCTTATCTTTTTCACAGTTTTGCATTTTTTATTTTTTTAGAAAACATTTCCATATTGTTCCATGTTTGCCTATTTTTGAGTATATGATTTTTTTTATATGCTATCACATTAATGCTGTTTTATTAATTCTGTCAAAGTACATATATATGCAACATATAGTAATGCACAAAATAATTGATAATGCATTAAAATCGATTAATCACTTCAGTTTTTAATTTTAAAATCAAAACCACTCTGATAAATCTGAATCATATATATTATTTTTTTTATCGTTTTTTGAATTAGCTAATTTATTTTTCCATGTATATATATATTACCATAATTTTTATTTTATGCATTTTTCTCATTTTTAAAATTATATTCATAAAAATATAAAAATTTTATAATTTTAAAGACTTCTATAGTGGTATAATTAAAATTTGTATATTCAATTTGCAACTCTAACTAGTAGAAAAAGGAGATTTTCAGAAAAAGAACTATTTTAATGCATGTACATGAATTTTTTCAAAAAAAAAAAACTTTGAAACTAGCAATAACAGTGGGAAGAAATAAAACATTAATGAGATGTGATATAATATTTATAATGTTCCATCTATTGTAACTGAAGATGTAAATGACTAGTAAGAATTTTGATAATAAATATTTAACGAGAATCTTGGACATTAATTACGTGATTAAATGACCCTTAATAACTCTTTAATCGAGCATTATCTCTATTTGAAATGGTTTGAACAACGCTTAGCCCATTTTATTAATTACTCATCACATTATATTAATTGTGCAAACCATTCTGGTGCTTGGAATATTTTATTGTTTATCCCATTCTGTTGATTGCTCATACCAATCTGTTGCTTATCTTATTTTGTTAATTGCTCAGTCCATTTTATCAATTGCTCTTAACAGTTATGTTTTGACTTTTCCCCCTTTTTATATTTTAGGAAGAGATATTATGAATGTTCTTTATTGTTTTGTTCTATTGAAGTTGTTTTTTTACCTAATTTTTTCACCTAACATTTTTAGGTTAAGTTCAAGTATTATGAGAATCCCATTAGCTCAGGTTAGAATGATTAAATAAATTAAGTTTTTTCAAATATGCTTTATCGTAATAAAATAAATTAATTTCGCTAATAAAAAAAAAAACAATGGGGATATCTATGACTATTAATTAATAATCTGCAGTTGATGAGTAGAAACCTAGACCAACGCCAACCAATAGATAACCTTGAACCATTATCATAATAATTGTCCCATTTTTCTTACATTACATGTAAATAAGTGGTACTCTTGGGTGCATACTGGTCAAGGAAAGGGACTCACTTGGGCCCTTCTGTTTTTGCACAAGCCCCTTTCGCTTTCTCGGCTTGCTACTCTCTTTAATAATAATTAATTAATTAATAAATAATAATAATAATAATAATGGAGAAGTTAACATTATACGTTTAGTACAAATCCGTGCACTGTTGGCAGAGTCATTATTCTTGTTTGTTGCATATTCTTATTTATTAAATGGGTATTGATTCATGTTTTGCGCTAATTATAAAGATTAGTAAAAATTAAACTTACGATATTAAAGATTATCAAAGGTTTGTATTTCACTTATATATTATTATTATTATTATTATTATTAGTATTATATCTGTAATAGATAACACGTTTCAAATTCCCAATGATTTCAATGATTATTATCTGTAATTTCCTTACGTGGTTTTCTCAGTGGGGGACAATTTGACTGTATAAAAATTTTTTAGTTATTAATTTTTGGGGCATTGAGACGCATGTGATTTCACATTTTCAAATCTATATAATATGCGTCTTGATTGTAAAATAAAATTATTGTATTATCAATCTAATAACATATAATTTCTATTCTATTATATCGTAATATTATTAAGTAAAAATAAAAAAATATATCAAATAAAATGAATTTAATTGGTTTGAATGAAAATAATTCAGATTTTTTAAAATACAAATCTGAATAGATAAAGAAATATTCACTAAAAAGCACTTAACTTTCTGGCTCATGTGATGAAAAAAATTGAAAAAAAAAAAAAAAAAACTTATAATTTCATTGTTAATAACTTAATAGGAAATTTTAAAAATAAAAATATAATTGAAGTCAGTGTTCGAATAATTAATTAGTAATAAATAGTTAGAAGTTAGTAGCAAATGTACGAAAAATCGTCGGTGTCAGCCAGCAAATAACAAAAAATGTGATGTGACGCCAGTTGATTAATTATTACTTATATATTTACATTGTAAAATTAAAAAAACACACTAGATCTATTCTCTCTGTCATCCATCCACTGGTTCTGGGCCGCGTGTATGTGTAATTGGATGCTCTCATCACATCACATCTCATCTCATCTGCCGCAAAATATTAATTAATTAATATAATATAATAAAATCATATATTACTATTTGTTTGTGTTTTGTGTGCTTATATATTAATATTATTCTTGGTTTTGTTCGGTCAACATTTAACCAATCACCTCCTCAGTCTTGGATAAAATTATTATATCCAAAGTTTTTAAGGCGGTATAATATTTTAAATGATACAATCAATCGGATATTTTTTTTTAATTTACTAAATTAACAAAAATAATTATGATCGATAAAATTTAAATATTAAAATATTTAATCTGGTTAAAATTGATTATTTAATCAATATAATTAACAAAAAAAAGAAACGGAATTATAACTATAATCAAATGTAAGACAACAATAATTTTTTTTATCTTAAAATAAGAGGGAGAAGTATATTGTGTTTTGTGATCAAAATGGCATTGGAGAGATTCTTAATTAACATATTTATGGAAATTTTCTTTGAGGATTTTCTTTATTGCAATTAATTTTGTGATTATAAATACATATATACGTCCCTGCTTATTTTTTATCTGTACAATTTAATAATTGTAAGTGGTTCATTGGAGATATGGAGTCTTTTTTTTTTTTTTTTTTTTTTTAATTTTAATAAATTGTAAGTGGTTCATTGGAGATATGGAGTCTTTTTTTTTTTTTTTTTTGCTTTAGATTTTTTTGATGATGATTGTCCTTTGTTTTTTTTTTTTTTTTTTTTTTTCTAGATGTTTATTGTTTGATTAACATATAAGGGACATAATTGACTTTTACTTATATTTTTAAATAATGTTTTTAGACTGAAAGATAATTTAGTTAATTGAAGAATTTTTTAACTCAACTCCTTCTATAATTTAATAATGGGTTGTGCTTATCTAATCTACTAATAAATTTAGATTAAAATTATCTAATTATATATTATATAAAAAATAATCAGACCATTCAATAAGGATGAAAATTCTTATGATAGAGAATTTTCTAATCGAATTTCTATACAATGTGTTTTTTTTTTTATCCTTTTGGAAGAAAGTGAAATTCATTTTGAAATTTAAAATTGACTTAAATTTCTTCCAATAATTTTTAGTCTCTGCCGATTGATAAAATATTAAGAATTGGCAATTCTTTTTTTTAATGTCTAAGAAATAAGCAAAAATAAATCTATATGTAGAATTTAGAAAGATACATCTTGAACGGAGTAAATCGAAAAAGACTTATATTTATTGAGAAAGAAAAAAAAAAAAAAAACGAAAAAAAACGAATAGAAATGAAAAACTTCACTGCTCCTAACCGCTATCACTATCAACCATAGCATTCAAGCACGCCGTTAGGTCACACTTATTGGATGAACGATGCTGTGAAAAAAAAAAAAAAAAAACGAATAGAAATGAAAAACTTCACTGGCTCCTAACCGCTATCACTATCAACCATCAGCATTCAGCCACGCCGTTAGGTCAGCACTTATTGGATGACGATGCTGTGTCTGGGAGCCGCTCGCTCGCTCTTTTCTTCCCCATTTTCCCTAAGTTTCTCATCTCCCAAACGCCACCTCAAGGTACCTTCTTTTTCCTCCTTTAAGCCTTATACTCACTCTTCACCATTCAAATCTCAAATCAAGATGTCAACTACTGCCACCGAAACCATCGAACACATCGTCCTCTTCAAAGTCAAAGACAACACTGACCCTACCAAAATCAACTCACTGGTCACTTCTCTCGGCGGCTTGGTCTCTCTCGATCCTGTGCTCCACCTCACCGCCGGTGCGCTCTACCGTACCAAGTCCTCTCCCATTCCCTTTACTCACATGCTGCATAGCCGTTACTCTTCTAAAGAAAACCTCAACGCATACTCCGCCCACCCTAGCCACGTCTCCGCCGTTAAAGAGTCGGTTCTTCCGATATGCGATGATATCATGGCCGTCGATTGGGTCGCCGATGATCTCCATGGGCCAGTGATCCCACCTCCGGGTTCTGCAATAAGAGTGACGTTTTTGAAATTGAAGGAGAATTTAAGGGAGGAAGTGAAAGGTGAGATTTTGGCTGTAATCAAAGGGATCAAAGGTAGTTTTGAAGGGATTAATCAGATTACTTGTGGAGAGAATTTCTCTCCGGCGAGAGCGAAAGGTTACTCAATCGCGTCGCTTGCGGTTTTTCCAGGAGTGAGTGAAATGGAGGCGTTGGATTCGAAGGAAGAGCTTGTGAATTTGCAGAAAGAGAAGGTCAGGGATTATTTAGAGAGCGTTATTGTTGTTGATTATGTTGTGTCATCTCAACAGTCTGCAAGTCTTTAATCTTTTGACTTTTAAAGATTACTTTTTCATGTATTTTTACTCTTCTTCTTTCTTTTTTTTTATTTGCTAGAACTTGATTGAGATATACTCTATCATTGATTTTGCAGAATAAATTTGAGATGTCATGAATTTTGATAGTTCATTTTTTTTTCCTGTGCTTGCCAATTTTATGATGCTTCTTGCATTTGGTTTTGGATTGCTTTGGCTGATCATGCAGCATTTTAATATTTTTCTTAGCTATGAGGTTGGCTAAGGGTTAAACCAATGTGACTATGAAGTATACGTTTGTGTAGATTAGAGAGGCCATATTTGCCTTGGACTGACACATTGATATGAAGTATGAAGGAAATGTTTTAGGGTACTTCTACAAATTTTGTCATTGGTTTGAATAGCTTGGAACTGATAATTTTACTTTGTCAAATTATGGCACTTAGTATGCTTTTATCGCCCATTTGTTTTCAGTCCATTGTGTTGAATTTTAAAGCTCCGAGTGACTTATTTAAGTATGATCGACTGCATCAGAGATTGATAGACCTTGGAAACTAAGGAAACATTTTATCATAATGATCGGAGGTTGGAGACTTGGATGAGAGAATTAGATATTCAATTGCAATGTAAATAAAGAACTGGATACTGATATACCGCTATAGTGGTGCTGGTGAAGATTGTGTCATTGTGAAGACTGATTGACTGTGATGGCACCTGACAAAATCGTTGCTTCCCAGGTGCAACCTATGTTTGTAATTAGAGATTCAGCTGTGAATTATTTAGGCTAATTAGAGATTCAGTGACAAACTAAATATATCCTATTCCTATGCATTCTTTATACATTAGCATGTTGGTGTTGAATGTCACTGTACTTTTGGAAATTTATTCAAGGTTGCAATGCTTCTCTTGTTTCTAGAGGTTTTATGCATCTGGTTTTTCATCTTTGATGTCGAAAATGCATCGACAAATGCTCAAATATTCAAGAAAAAGTCTTGTTGGCCAATGGCAACTTCAGGCTACGCAAGGTAAAAGTGTATGACTAGGTAATAATGGAACAAGACCTTCGGCTTTGGCCCTTATATACAGGCAAATGCTTTGTAGAGTTTGTGTAGAAATACGTACACAAGCATTGGAATTTTCCTTCTTAGTACATATTAAGGCCCACCTAAAGAGTCCATTATAGTAGCTCCAGCCCAGTGCATCTATTAAATTTGGAGTACTAATATCCTAAGTCGTGGTCCATCTCAACCTGAATATTAGCTGCCAAGCCAATTTAAGTTTATACGTGGTCGTCGAATCGAACGAACCAGTGGACTAATCCATATCATTAGACACCAGTTTCTGAAAACAAACGACAGGGTCGCTTTAATTAGGCATGTTGGGTTAACCTCTACCCATCTCATACTGGTTGTCCAACACATTGGGCTACAGAGCTGGACTTGTCATAATAAGGGTAGAAGTTATAAAGTTAAATCACCATCTCAATCTTAATCTAAATCTAAATCCTATCCCCATGTGTACGTGTGATTCAGATTGTTTAATTTTCTGCTATTCTCAATTTTTATTTTGACTATTAAATATTTTAATTTATAAAATTATACATTTTGTTGAGCAAAACATAATAATAAGTAATGGAGAATCTAATAACCATAAAACTAATAATTTCATTAGCACTTATTAAAAAAACAAAAATCATTTCAACAGCACGCAGCCACGAGGTAGTACTTCTAATTTGGTGCAGTTTCCCCATTTTTTTTTCACTTGAAAATGAATTAATTTCAACAGAAAAACGACAATTTATCAAAACCAATTATTCATACAAAACGACAATAATCTCCAAACAAAAATAATGATAGTAAAAGGAGACCAAGTGTTTTACGTTACCTGGACCATGGACAATCTTACAACATTGCAATGCATGTCGTTACTGATATGGGCCTGCACCGGAACTATAGATTAGATCAATAAGAATAATTTTTTTTTTTAAATGATGTTATTTTTATAATATATTAAAAAAATGAAATCGAAATAATTTTTTAAAAAATTTTGATTTTTATTGATTTAATTTAATATCTTAAGGCAATACGTCAAGTCTAAGCAAGTACAATCCTCCAAATATTGTGAAGTCATCGATGTGGAGAATAACAAACAAAAAAAACATTCACGTGGGACATGAAAATTGTAGATTAGACACATACATTACATATTTTAAAGATTGCAAAACTATCTCTATATATTTTGTCAATGTAAAATATACTGTAGCTGTTATTTAGGGTTGTCGAATGTATAATATATTATTAAAAATATTTTAATAATATATGTTACTGTAAAATCATTTAACACATGTGTTTACATGACTAGGAAAAAAAAACTAATAATAATGGTGAAACATGCGACGATAAAAATATATAGATAACTAGGTTAAGACAAAATCAAATTATACTTGATAAATAAATTCATTTAAAATAAAAAATTCCAATAACAAGTTTTGTTCAAATTGCAATAATATCAAAAAAAAAAAAAAAAATCAAATCTAAATTATTAAGTGCAAAAATAAATTTATAAGAGAGCAAACCTAATTATTTAATTGTGGGGCCAAATCCGAATAATTATATATTATATAAAAAAAATTTATAAAAATATATATTGAAAGCAACTGTATGGGGCAATCAACTGAAAGCTGACTCAAATTCAATTCAATCTATTAAAAAAATATCAATTCGATTTGATGTTTGAACTAAGAAAAATTAAATCAAGCTTATTCGGAAAAAGAAAACAGGTTTTAATTGAAGGAGGAGACGAAGGGTTGTGGTAGGTGGTGCAGAGCAGTGGGCAAAAGGGCAATAGAATGTTAGGTCATCACATGGTATAGATCAAGCTCTAAAGTTCAGTAGGTGAAAATAGTACGTTGATCATATGGGACCCATGTTTTTTTGTTCTTTATGGTATACTATTATTTATTATTGCTATCAGTTTAATATTATTTCTTTTATTTAGGAATATGATTAATAAGAGCCGTTCCTTTGATTGACATGTGAATCGTATGCTGTGATGCGGTAAGCCTGTCACTTTAAAAAAATTTTCATTGGGCCACCTTTGCATGTGGTCTCCTCTTATCATTGCATGATGTATCGCTTTCTTTGTTTCATTAATTAAAGCGACTACAACTTCTATTTGATTCGCCAATTATTAAACATTATTTTTATATTCATGATTCTTTTTTTTTTTTTTTTTGGGCACCTTTGCAATGTGGTCCTCCTCTTATCATTGAGATGTATCGCTTTCCTGTTTTCCATTAATTAAAGCGACTACAAACTTCCTAATTTTGAATTCGCCAAATTATAAACTATTAATTTTTTATATTCATGAATTCCTTTTTTTTTTTTTTTTTTTGCATTTTTTATATTCATGGATTCTAAATTCTTAAACCACCAAAATACCTCAAAATTTTTCATTCATAAATTTTTTTTTTTTTTTTTTTGACATTTTTATATTCATGATTCTATTCTTACACCAAAATACCTCAATTTTTCATTCATAAATTATCACATTAAACGAATATTCTAGTTTCACATTCTGTTTATTGACCACAAAAAAAGAAAAAAAAAAGAAAAGAAAGAAAAGAAAAAAAAGAATTGGACCATTACCGGTGGGCCACTGACTGTGCCACGTAGAGTAGACGTGGAAGCTATTGCTAGTGTATCTTTTAACAATAAGAATTAAATAAATAAAATAATCGTGTGGAATTTTTCTTGTATGGTAGCATGACTCTCCAAGGAGTTTGGGTCATCTATCTTTGAGTTTGAGTGGTAAAAAATTATACAAGGTACCATATAAAATGTCTTGAGTAAGGAAATATATAAGTATGCATTGGGTTGCATTGAATAATCTCTCCTAAGCACGTGCTATATGCATGTGTGACTAGCAATGCATTAATCCCGGCAGCTCAGCTTATATACAAAACAAGCACTTCCAAAAGGAAGCAAAGAGAAGTAGGAAACAGAAAACACAGGCAACCTATTTTGGGTTTGGTGAAATGGGAAGGACACCGTGTTGTGCTAAAGAAGGACTCAACAGAGGTCCTTGGTCTTCTCAAGAGGATAATATTCTTATTAACTATATTAAAGCTCATGGAGATGGCAAATGGAGAGACCTTCCCAAAAACGCTGGTACATTGTTACCTTTCTTTCTGCAAAAACCCAGTTTTTGTTCATTGTTTTGCTTGCTTATTTATTTTATTGTGAAAAATCAAGAAATGAGAGTTTTTTTTTTAAAGTTAATTTCTTGATTAATTGACAAATGGTCTGTTATAGGATTGAAGCGCTGTGGAAAGAGTTGCAGACTTAGATGGTTGAATTATCTCAGGCCAGACATTAAGAGAGGTAACATTTCTGTTGAAGAAGAGGAACTCATTATCAGACTACATAGTCTACTCGGTAATAGGTAATAATCTATTTTCCCTCTCCCCAAATAACAATCAATCTGACATATTATGATCTAATATGTATACATAAAATATTTCATTTCATCTAAAAATTCTTACATTTAAAAATAATTCATTCTTTCTTTTATTACGTGTTTATTCAAGAATTAGGGTGATGTCTGAGTATATTCAACTAGCTACATGACATGACATTCAAGGTCCTAAAATGAGTTTACTCCACCTGAAATGAAAGAAAAATTTCCTTTTGAATAAAACAAGAGTGAAAGGCAAATTATTATTTTATTCTTTATTTTTTATCTATTTCAAACGAGAACGAAACTAATCTCATTTTATAGTTACTGGTATTTTTCATGATTAAATTTTTGATATTATAGAAATGCTAAATTTAAACGTGTCTTACTATTTGAATCACTATGATAATTTTTTTTTTCATATATGAAAGTATAAGAAGGAAGATAAAAAAAAAGCTTAATGAACAAAACTGCCGCTAAATCTACAGCACCAAAGTCATAATCAATCCAGACAGAGAAATGAGGAACTTGATATAAAGTAAAAATAAAAAACACGAGGACAATATTCAATTTGATAATAGTTAACAATGTCGGCAAATAATTAAACGGCAAAGCAAAATGCAATAATTAAATGCTGACGCAAAAGAGAGAGAGAGAGAGAAAAAAAAAAGAAATGATGGATCAAATAAAGTCAAATATATACTTCTGATCTAGCTAGTTAAACAATCGTGTAAGTAGAGTATTAATTTTTTTTTTATTTTTTTATTTTGCGGTTCAGGTGGTCCCTTATTGCTGGAAGGTTACCTGGACGAACAGACAATGAAATAAAGAACTACTGGAATACCAAGTTGGGAAAGAGACTCGATGGGAAAAAGAAAAGTCGAGGTTCCCAAAAACAACCCCAACAAGATGACATTCTCAGAGACAGCAAAAGACCCTCACAGGATGAACCGAAACAAGTTGCTAATACGGGAACATCAAATCGACTGTTTCGAACAAAAGCAACACGGTGCAGCAAAGTTATCATGATCCCTCAACCGCTGGATGATAATGATGATAATAATAATAATAATAATAATAATAACAATAATAAAACTGGTTATCTGCTGTTTGATCCAAAGAGCTCAGATAACAAGAGGACCCCATCTTCTCCAATGTTCCAGGAAGACTACTCGTTGGATCTTTTGTTGGATTTGGACATTGATGATCTTCTTTTATTGGATCAGACTCAAGAGACGACTAATGTTTTGTCTCAAGAAAACGTCAACGTTGTTGGTGGAGACAACCAATATTATAACTTCAATAGCATTTCGTGTTTGGATTTTCCAGTTTCAACACTAAAAGCTGAACTCGACCACGTTTTGATCGATGATAATAATAACAATGGTAAAAATAATGCTAGTCCTAAAAGTTGGAGCTCCTGTGACCGTTTTGAAGCTAAGGATTGTTTGGATATCAATAATTTAACAAGTTTTCCAAGTTTAGAGGACTGGATTGTATGACTTCTAGTCTCCAGATTATTTGGTCTAGGCATGAGTGGCTCTATCTCTGAATCAATAATCCTGAGTCATTTCAAGCTAGTTGTCGCTTCTGCACCCTTCAAAATAATGCAAATGTTCTTTGTCTATATATACAACTTGAGTTCCTTAACCTAAATATGCGAGTGTAGAGACACCGTATACAACTTGAGTTCCTTAACATAAATTATAGTGTTCTTTTTCCATTGTGTTAGATGTAATATGGTTTGTTAAGGAAATGCTTTTTAAAATGTCAAAAATCAAGATATTAATCTTTTTAACTCAACGACATTAATTAATACAAAACGTGCATTAATACTAATTTACTTATTGAAAGTGAAGCATTTTTAAATTTCATAACTAATTTCTTCTCCCAAAAAAAAAAAAAAAAATTCATAACTAATAGAGAGGTTGATGGTACCACAAGCTGAGTGTTTGGTGAGATAATTTATTATGCATAAATGTTGTAGCGAGTGAGTGATGCAGCAAGTTTAAAGATTAGAGCCAAAAATATTTTTCAAAACTCAGACGGACGAAATTAAAACATGCCCTATTTTAATGAATAAAATTAGAAAATTTCAAAAATTTAAGTGTAAATTAAAAGAACATTTGCTAAGTGGGCCGAGGAGCGACCCTGTCACCTCTGTATCTGAATATATATATATATATCATCTTCTACTGTTGGAGATGCGATATTCTTCTATGATTGGACCTCTGGAAACCTTTGTTGCTCGTATTGTTTAAAGTTGGATCTATGGATTCGGCGGTTGATGCGGTTGTTAATTGTATGTAAACTTGTAATACATTGGTTGTCTGCAACTTGAAAATCTCGCAGGTGAATCATACGATTACTGATCCTAGTTGGTCAATGATGGATTCTCGAGTAGGGGAGATTCGAACCCGAGTTTATTCACTACAAAAAAAACGCTAAATTGTGACCGATTTGTGATTTATAAGCAAACAGTCGCAGATTTTAGCGCTAAAAATTTCCGCGAGTTTGGTTTGCGACTTAAGTACTACGGATTTGCGACCGAAGTACTACGGATTTGCGACCGATTTTGCTACCAATTGTGTTTCTGTCGCAAAATTGCGCGCGTCAAAAATAGGGATAAGTTCTGAGACCGAATGGCGACAAAATTGCGACCGATTGTGGTTTTCCTGTCGGCATAAATGCGCGCTGGTCCAGAAAAAATAGGGATATCGCAAAATTGCGCGCGTCAAAAATAGGGATAAGTTCTGAGACCGAATGGCGACAAAATTGCGACCGATATTTTGCGACCGATGTCTTCAGTCGCAAAGAGGTTGCAATTTTGTCGCGTAATAAAACGACGTCGGACAATTAAAAATTGCGACCGATGTTAATTAATTTTACGATCGATGTGTCGGTCGCAAATTTTAGGGCTTTAAACGCGACGTCCTCTCCTTTTCCTTTCTTCTTCTTTCTCTATTCTCCTTTTCCTCTCCTCTCCTCCGTCCGCAGCGCCGCTCCAGCCCCTCCTGAGAACGCTCCAGCCCGTGTGACGCCGCCACCGACGCTCCAGTCACTTCCTCATGCCGTTTGCCACCGTTTGGGACAGCAATTTGAGGGTAAGCGGTTTTTGGCATTTTATTTTTTTCGATTTTTTTTATGCAATTTTTGTGTTTTTTTCAATTTATTATTATTGCTTACTGTTATATTGTTATTATTATTAATATGTTAATGTGTTGTTAGGCGTTGTTGTTATTATTATTATATTAAATATAGTTATTTATTATTATTAATATAGTTATACTAGTTTATATAATGAATAATGAATAATCAATGCTTTGTACTTGAAAAAAATATATTTTTTTTCTTTTACTGTAAACGATTTGAAAAATTAAAGGGGAAAAAGAAAAGTAAATTTTTATAATTAGTGAGAAAAAAAAAAAGAGAAATTGCACTATCTCCAGCTTAATTATTGTGATATTTGTACGAAATTTTAATTCTATTATTGGTATAAAATATTGTATAAGATCATTTCATTTTGGATATCATAAATTGCAACAATAACTATTTGTAATATATATAAATAAATTATTGCTTTAGTTTAATTAAAAAGTTTGGGATTTTTATATTTATTTTAATGTATCTTACTATTTAGAGTTAATGTGTAATATTCTAAACTGATTATTTAAAAAAGTATAATTATTTTAAATTATGAAATAATTGTGTTTTGAGTTCATATATGAAATTGAGATAATTTTTTTTTAAAAAAAAAAGTTATAATTAAGCAATCTATGACATTCTCATGCATACATAACATTATTATTATTTTTATCTCGAGGCTGTAGGGGGCGAGAAAAATAGGAAGGTATACGGCATCGGGTCTCAGGCATCACAGTTTTACTGCGGCTCAGCAGCTCACGCTTCTACAGCCAGCGCAGCACCACAGCCCGAGCACAAGCATATAACTGATGATATACGGGCTCCAGCTTGCTGATCAGCAGAGACATAATTGCGAGCTTAGAGTGCTGTGATGGCGGCTCGTCCGGTGAGCCCCGTGTGGTTGGTCTTAATTCTTCCTCTGATCTGGCGCTGCTACAGACCGACATGTTTCGACGTCTAGCACAGCCATCACCGGCTCCTGATTCCACTGACTGTAGCGATACCTTGGTCATCCCTTCCTGGCGCTACATATACATCCAACAGGTACTCTCCGGCGATCCTCGGGACATGGGAGGATCCGCATCGATCCTGGCAGATGAGCAGCAGCATAAGATTGATTTGGACCTTTTTAGTTTTTCATTGTATTTAATATTTTAATTTAGTTCAGTAAAATAAAAATTACAATTTTATATTGTTCTTGAAATTGCGTGTTGTGATTATAATGTATATATGTAATTTTCACAGGTGTCAATTTTCACAGGTGCGGAAAAATTTTAGTTTCATAATAATATTTAATTTTTTTTATTTTTTTTTCAATTTTGCGACCGATTTGCGTACCGATTTGATACCAAAAATTAAAATTTTAAATTTACATTTTGTGACCGATTTGCGACCGATTTAAAAAAATTGCGACAGTTTTTTCTGCGACCAAATTTGCAACTGAATTTCCAATTAAACTACGACCAAAAATTGCGACCGCATATTCAAAGTTGCGACCGATTATATCGGTCGCTAATTTGCGACAGATGAAATAATCGGTCGCAAAAGTTTTTTGCTACCAGGTATTTTGCGACCGATATCTTTCGGTTTCAGATCGGTCGCTAAGTGAAATTTGCAACCGATATGAGCCATTTTGCGACCGATTGGTTGGTCGCAAAATAACATTTTTTTTTGTAGTGATTATTAGATCGTATATTCATTTATCATTAGATATAAATTATAATTTTTTAATTATATTTTTATAATTTAACATAAATTATATGAATGTCATTTCACAAAATTTATGAATTCGCATGTCAAATGTATCTTTCACTAATAATAAAAGATATATGTTTGTGATTTGTCTTGGCTTGAATCATTTTAATCCATTCTTATTAATAAATAACAAATATTAAATGAAACTATTATAGAGTTAAAAATAAATAAATATATTTTACAATTTCCCTTAAAATGAAACGATCCAAAGTCCGCGACATGCATGCAACTACTGTTGGCGTTAACCTGCACCCGCAAGGCGGCGACAATATATGCCACTTGCAATTTTCTTTGTGACCACATTGGAAAAATCATTACTTTCGTCTTATGCTTAAAGGACACGTGCCACATACATTAATGGGAGAAGAATATTAACAAAAAAAAAAAAAAAAAAAAACAAAAAAAAAAAAAAAAAAACCCCCCTCTTCATTCAATTTTGTGGTGAAAAGAAATTAACCACCTTCCCACTCCTTTTTTCAACCTTCAATCAATATATTTTTTTATCATATTAAATTGAATGATACGGAGTTAAAAATCAGTCTTAAAAAAAAAAAAAAAAAAAAAAAACTCTTTCATTCAATTTTTGTGGTGAAAAGAATTAACACCTTCACTCCTTTTTCACCTCATATATTTTTTATCATATTAATTGAATAGATACGAAAATCAGTCTCCTAACCAATTATTGAAGAACCCAAATGTGTCTTTTCATACAAATTTAGATTATTTCGTTTTTAAATTATTTCGATACTCTCAGTAGATATAATAAAAAAAATTTAATAATCTGACATAGGTGCAGTTGGAAACTTTAAACTAGATCTAAAACCTGAAATAGTTATGGGTTTAATTGATTAAAACTTTAATCTGGATAATTTTCTGTCAGTTAGATCTGAACTTGAGGGAGTGAATGAGTCTGGGAGGTGGCGGCTGGCTGTGCCTACAACTAACTTTCATAGCCTTCGAGAAGGTTAGTTTCAAAGGTAAACGAGGGTATTTAACTTCGCCCTGACAAATGAAAACAACGTAAGTAATTATTCAATACGTAACATTAATGTACTATTCTCCCACAACTTTTGGGATAATATTTAACATTTTAATTAAGATCAAAATACTATTTATATTATTTATATTATTCATATGATATAGTATTTATAAGAGTATTTAGAGTTTGAGAGAACATATTATGCAACGCTGTTCCTTTCAATATTCAATGAAACGCTGGTGAAACAATTGACAATTAAGGTGCCTTCTCTTAAGTTTTTTGTTTTTCATTTTTTTTTCTTTAAAAAAATAATAAAAGCTGTTTGTTTAAGCTTGTTTAATTTTTTTTCTTTACTTTTGATAAAACTGTTTTGAAAATAAAAAATAAATTTAATGAAAGCATAAATAGTGATTTACATAATTAAGTTTTCTGTTTTTAATTCTACATTTCTCATTTTTTTTATAAGATTTATCCTCATAAATTATTATTTTGTTATTACTATTATTTTCTCTATTTATATAAATCTAATGTCATTTATTTATCCAAAATTAACATTGAAATTTTAAAATTAAATTGTAAAATATTTTTAATTATTTCATCTGAAATTTTGGATTTTTTAAAAAATTTATTATTAACTAAAATCTTTAATGACTTAATAAGAGATAGATTTGGTAATTGAAAGAATCTTTCACATTGTGAACAAAAAGAAAAAGAAAAAAAAATTAGAAAAAAAATAGCTTTCAAAAAACAAGCAATCAAAAATTAAAAACTGTTTTATGTTTTTAATAAATAAAAAAACTCAAAACAAACAATTATAACAAACGAGGTCTAAGCTTTGAGCCAAAACACTACTTTTATTATTTACGGTGTTTGATATTATTGCATTTATATTAGTACTTAAAGTTTGAAGAATCGAATTATAAAAAATTATTTCATTTTTTGTGACAATCTAATTCTAGAAATGAAATATTGTTTCGACTAAAATGGAATTTTATTCAAAAATGTTCTTGATAGCTCTATAGTTAATATATACCAACGTCACGTTCCTCACATTGAAGACAAGGAAATATTCAAAGTGTCTCCTTTGCAGCCTGCATTATGAATTTTAATTCTCAATTTATATATTCATATATTTTTTAGCTAAATGGACATGCTTAAATAGTGATTAAAATTAGAAATATATATAAAAAAGAAATAGTTATATTTGATTATAAATTCAAAATAAATACTTAATTTATTGAATTATAATTAGTGTAATATCAATCAATATTATTAATATTTGTCGTAATGAAAAAATTTTGAGTCACTGACAAGAAAATTAGTATGGTGGCTGAAACTGTAAATGAATGGGGAAGGTAGCTTTATTTATATATAATAGCTTAGCAAATTCCAAAGGGTGATAAGAAATCATTAAATCACTTGTCAATTCTGGTCCCAACCCCATTGAATAATATGCTACGACCAATTATTGCACATGCAAAACTAAAAAAGCACTCATTTTTTAGATTATTTTTTAAAAATTATTTTAGTCATCATTTCTATTTCTGTCCCTCCATTTCAGAAATACTTTTCTTAAAGGGGAAAGAAGAAAACAATTGAAGAAATAATTTCATCCGTCACTTAAACTTAGTACTTATATTTTATATATTGTGTCTATTATTTAAAAAAATTATAATTTTTTGTTTATAAAAATGTTACTTTTTTTATTTTTATTTTATTTTTTTCCAATTGAGTCACTTTCTATCACGTGGTTTTTAATGAGATTGAGCTGTGACCCACTCTCTAACTCTAAACGTGTATTTTAAGTATGGCCTCTTCCCAGAACTGTGGAAACAAAAAAAAAAAAAAAAAAAAAAAAATTATGGGGAGAAACCCTTGTTGTGCTAAAGAAGGCTTGAACAGAGGTGCATGGAATGCCTATGAAGATCAAATTCTTATAAACTACATTAAAGCTAATGGCGAAGGCAGGTGGAGAAGTCTTTCCAAAAGAGCGGGTCAGGTTCATTTTCTTGTTTCCAGGATTCTTCTTCTATGCTTAAATTTAATTAATCGCCATTTACCTAAATACAGGTCTAAAAAGATGTGGCAAGAGTTGCAGGCTTCGTTGGTTAAATTATTTGAGACCAGACATCAAAAGAGGAAACATTTCTCCAGAAGAGGAAGTTTTTTTTTTTTTTTTTTTTTTCTTTTTATGTAATACTCATTGCAAAAACGCTTATTTACAGATGGTCGCTGATAGCAGGGAGGCTTCCAGGACGAACAGACAATGAAATAAAGAACTACTGGAACACTAATTTGGGGAAAAAGACACAGAAACTAAAAAGCTTAAACAACATTAATAACAAAGCTGAAAATTCATTACTGTCCTCTGACGAAACAGCCTTACCATCTTCACCTCCAAAAATGGCCACACACTCACATGTGTTTAGATCCAAAGCATTTAAGTGCACTAAGGTTCTTCTTTACCCAAACTCCATCCAACTTGAAAACTGTCCTGGACCATCGCCGCCGCCGCTGTCATCATCTGTTATGCCCGGAGAAACACGACCGGAGTTTTTGAGAAACGGGGTACAAAATAATAGTGATATTAATAATAAAGATCGACAGGATCTGATGATTGGAGATGATCTGCATTTCATATCGGAATCCGACGGTTTGAATTCTTCTAATTTTGATTATCACAGCAATGTTAACAGTGTTGATCATAATGAAGATGACTTTGTGTTGTCGTCAATGGAGGAGTTGCCTTCGCTATTATCAGAGGATTTTACTGTGACAAACAATGAAGTTTCAGATCATCATCTTAATCTTAGTCCCTTGACTTCATTTCTGGAGTCTGGATGGGTATGTCCTGGAGATAATTGACTTTCTACCACTCTCTTTTTTCTCCTGTAGTTTAGTAGAAATGAAACTTTTTGTCTGTATTGCCGTTAAAACATGTGTCTACTAAGGTAATAATTTTTCTGTATGGTTCGAGTAGAAGCCTGTTCCACTTATAAAAAAAAATCAACTATATAACTAGTTTACCTATCTTTTCTTTTATAATCGGTGATTTCGGTGCAATTTTAATTTTTTTGTAATTAGTATATTTGTTTTTATCCACGTATCTCTCAAATTGACTCGAATCCCTCACGTCACTTTTATAAATAATTTGAAAATCAAATTAATTTGAGAATATACTTTTAAAAGAAATTTATTTTTCTCATGGATCCATTCATTATTTTGGAGGGATTAAAAATTATTTTTATTTTATCTTTTTTTTTAAGAATGCTATCATATAATAAAATATGTTTTCTATTTATTAGATGTATAGATAGATTAATAAATCGAATATAAATAAGTAATTTTCATAATTTTGGCACGATATTCCTATATGACAAGTCATTTTCGTAATTTTTGGTAAGATGTTGCCATGTGATACAAAAATATTTATATATGGCATTAATATATATTTTGTCCTACACGTTCGGTTTAGGTTTTATCACTTTTATACATTTCTAATCGTTATTTTTATCCACGTTTTATTATGTTAGACTTTTCAACAACATTAATTCTTCAAAAAAAAAAAAAAAAATCAACGACATTAACGTTGTTCTGCGCTTCTGATTTGTGGGCTTTCTTTTTCTTGGCACGGAACTTTTGCAACTTGCAGTCGCTGATAATGATATCACGGGGCGAGTACAATCAACGACGAGAGTTACACAGTTTGTAATTTTGAGGTGACTCGCCTTTCCGTTTAAAGACTAACTTGGCCCGCTGTAACCTTCAAATGTCACCATTTCTTTCCAAATCTTACTTTCTTCTTCTTCTTCTTCTTCTCTCTCTCTCTCATTCATTCATGGAAAGGCTACATGGCTAGAATAAGATAATGGTCCACATAATAAAAATAGTCCTTTAATTATTACCAAGAGAACTTCAACACAAAACTTTATCCCTTCACATTTCAACTGCAGGAATAACACGTTGGCTAAATAAGATAATGGTCCCATGAATAAAAAGAGTAGTCCTTTAAATTATTACCGAAAGAGAACTTCAACAAAGGAAATTTATCCCTTCACATTCTTTGAAAAAATATTATATATATAAATATATTTTATAGTAATGATTACGATACATTCATATGCAAATTCACAAATATATCAGACTTAATTTTAATAAATACATAAAAGAACGGAAGAATCTTGCGATATCAAGCATTTCCAATTGGAAAAAAAAGAATATAAAAGGATTTATAACGACACTAAGAAAAAAAGTTGTTAAATGACAATTATTGATTGGCTTAGCATCTTATATATAAAATCACAAATATATCAGACTAATTTAATAAATACATAAAATGAACGAAGATATTATTAATCATTTCATTGAAAAAAAAAGAATAAAGGAGTTATAAAAAAAATTTTAAATGACAATTATTGATTGGCTTAGCATCTGACTTTTGATTTTGGTCCTATTGCATCCAATTTTTATATTTTTTATTAATTATATCTATATTTTTATATATGTACACATATGCTTTTCTTAATTTTTAAACAGTGATGCTAATAAAAAATGGAGGTTCAACTACCAAACTCATGATTCGGGTTTCATGATGTTGGCAAGGAGTTAAATTCGCACGACCCTCGAGTTACTTCTGCTAAGTAGGTACTTTTAAAAGAGAGGGAGTCGCCGTATCATCTGCAGAATAGCTTTGCTAAGATGGAATCAAGAGAAGAAATTTTTCATTCGAAGAGTAGTCCAAAGAGCAAAAATTTTTCATCATTCTTTTCCCTATTCTCCCATTAAAAAAATGGCTAACAGACAAAAATGCATAACTTGTATAACTTTTTTTTTGGGAAAAAAAAATATATAAATTTACTATTTTTATCTATGCATAAGGATCAGTATGTCTGTCACAAATCAGCAATACTTTTAATAATGGCATCCACATCAGGGATGACTATAGCATGCTTTCTGATCTCCGCAACAGTGCAGCAATGCTTTTCTGCTGTATTTATAGCCACAACGTCCTGGGAAAATGAACAATCCTGACCTGGGGAGACCTGCAGCCATTCCAATAATTAGATGCACAAATTATACAATGTTCCTTCTGGTTGGGTGTGTATGTTAATTTTCTGGTAATGATTGTTCTCTATACTCACATCATAAAGGGTGTCACCAAGCTTGAGCTTCACTGCACCACTCTTGTAAACTACCATTTTACCCATGTAGCCAGCTGGTAACTCCTCTAATTTAGAGCTCTTCTCAATCGAAAGTGGATCTCCAGAAGGCCTTGAGCTTTCCTTGCCACCATGGCCATCTGCAAGAGCTGATCGCTTTACCATGGGAACAGTTGGTGGTAACTGAAGAAAAAACATACTTGCCTCACTATTTTCCTCCTGACAACCAAACCTCCAAAGGCATAAGAAAATAACCAAACTGGTAAGAACATTTAAATCTTAATAGTAAATTGACCAACCATTAAACCAAGATCTACGGCAGGATTTGTAGAATTTTCATCATAATTTGCTGTTTCTGAATTCTCCCCAAATTCCTCTATATCAAGAATTGCTACAAGAAATATGAGAGAGTTAATGCAATCTTGTAACAAAGATACTTTAAGCAACACAACATAAAAATGAAAGAACATTATCCACACATGTAGGTGTTTTGTTTGCTCCAATTAGAAAACTATCAGCTTTAGTAATTCCATTTGTACAACCATCAACATTGCAATTATACCATGTTCCTAGTATAAAGCATTGCATTTTTCTACTTGAAAGATGGCCCTCACAAGTACCTGGATCTCCTGAATATGGCAGCCTCAAAGGAAGGGTTACAGGATAGTTGCTGCGATAATCCTGCAGTAAAACCAACAAATAATGAATCAAACTGAGTAGAAGGTTATTCTTTGTCCATGCATACACTCACAGAACAAAGAAACAAGTAACTATGTACTAATTGGACTCGTAACTTGAGCCACGGCTCACCTACCCATGGTTCCGTGTATTCCTTCTCTCTAAGTCCTGAAGAATAAGCACCACCTGCAAAACGAGGACATTGTAAGGCACTTGAACACTGCCTCAGTGACAATTAGGCATCAGAGGATCCATGGATAGCATACCATTCAAAGCTGAGCCCTGATATTGGTTGCTTGCACTCCCAACTTTGGGGACACCATATGATTTTAAGTTGGTTGATAAAGCTCCATGACCAAATGCAATTTGTGAAGCATTAACTGTTTAAGGACCAAAAAATCTAGTAATCAAGAATTAGATTGTAAAAGATGACAAAGAATATAATTGCTGTTTAAAGAACATACGTGATAAATCTAATATTCCACCCTTTTGGTGTACTCACGGTATGAGATACTAAAATTCAACAATTTTTTCAGTACATTTCATGTTACAAAATAAGTTATCTATATGCTCAGTAAAATGGCATAATTGCGAGGATTATCCTAGCATCAACGTATAAAATCAGTTCTTACTAATTGTCAATGTTTACATATGTTGGACAAGCTCAATCAGCAACACAAGGAAGGTAATACATTCAAAAAGTAATGTTGTTTTAACATTATTAACTTTAGGCCATGACTCCAGAAAAAATTAGCTCATTTTCTAAACAATTTTAAAGACATTAACATAATTTTTATATACATAAGAAAGTCTGATTACATCAGAGTACTATATTTTCTACATATAAGCTTTTATATATAACACATGGCTCTTTAAATATTCTTTATATTTGCATATGAATTTAGCAGGTAATAGCACCAGATAAAGAGAAAGGTAAAACCTATAGACTGATCTAGTAACAAGTCATCAATATATCCTGATTCAAAAACTTGCAAACATGAAGCAGAAAGACCTGATGTGAGCTTAACAATGGTTTTCACATACTAACAAGTTGCATTTGCAGAGTAGGATCTCTAAGGGAATGGCATGAAGAGAAAACAAAACGAAATAAGCAGCTGTGTTATTGTTTGATTGAGTTACACCATGCCAAAGATATTTATGGAGCCAAATTTATTGTCAGTGACTCTAAAGATTCTATTAGAAGGTTTCTTATTATCTTAATCTTTTATCAGAAACAAATGTAATGCTCGAGCTTTCTATGCATTTAATAGATTATAACAATAATTGAATTAAATCTCAAGTCAAGAGTACGAGATGCCCCACTAGAGATACCAAGCAAACCCAAAATGCACAAAGGAAGGGGGGCAAACTAACTTAAATCTCAAACCAAGAGCAGTAAATGCCCTAAATTAGGAAGAGAAGATACCTTTCTTTTCAATTTTAGGCCTTGCTCTCATAGACCTTTCCTATTCAAAAAGCAGAAAATCGAAATATAAGAAAATACAAAGCACAAGAAAATTGAATCGGATTTTTTAATTGATTCACAATAAAAAAAGAGAAATAACAAATTGATGCAGAGGCATGTATACCTGGAATTGTTTCATCAAATTCATTGCCTGAACAGCATCAACTTCCTCAATCTTTTCGCTGCAATAGAAAGCAGAGATTAACACAAAAATCGAAAAGAAAAAAATTGAAACAAGTTTGGAAATACCAACTTCAAGAAAATTGCCAGTCAACTTAAAATGACATTTACCTTTTAATTTCAACCTTTGGTGCCCGGCGTGGCGGAGCTTTAGGCACAAACTTATGCTGCAACATATAAAAAATGCTCAAAGATCATCATACAAAATAGAAACCATCTTCACTTGGGTAATTATTACATGACAAAAGGGTATTGAAAAAAAAACCTTTCTAGGTGGATTTTGAGGAAGATTTGACTCCATTGGATTTGAACTCGTAAACCTCTGGCAAAAATAAAATAAATTTCATCAATCAGTTCAAACAGTAATTCATGCTTCATTGATTAGCAAACTCTACTAATTGCTTGCTACTTAACAATAAAAGTTCACAAGTTAGATTGAACATAAAGTACTGGCAGTATCCAATACGTAAACAAACGTATGGAGCGGTTATAAGCAGATTATGATCACTGTCAACACTTATTAGTATATATAACAGATACTTTGGTGATTGTAAGTGAAAAAGAAGATAGAAAGAAAATTATTTATATCGAAAGAGGCAATCAATATACATTGTCAAAACCTGTATTGAGAGATTTTAAGCAGAGAGAAACTGGAAACGGCCAATCAAAACGTGAGTCGCTATCAAACCTTTGGTTTTTATACTAAAAACCTAATAAACAGCGCGCCCAGCTGCGTGCTTCACGTCCGGCCCAGCAGTCCAATACGCATTTTCACTCTTTTTCTTTCTGAAAAAAAGATATTTGTCATATTAATTTAATTAATGTTATATAACTTTTTATTTGTAAAATAAATTAGTTTGTTTGTTACTATTAATTAAACATTTAAAGCACTCAAATCATAAATGAACTTTTGTGATATTCTATTTTTTCCTAAAACGAAAAAGTATCGATATTTATCAAATTAAATGAATTACTATTATTATTGATTTTTTTTTTTTTTTTTTTAGTATGTCTGGATCTAATTGTGGTATAAATTTACGGTACATCACATTCTATTATTTTGTAAAAAGGATAGTGACAACTGTCGAGGACTTCTGGTTTTGTTACTATTTAGTTTAGAAGGCCGCGATTATAATAAGCACTCAAATCCATACAAAAATTGATTTCTTCTTTCGTGTTTGATATTTATAAAATTTTCATCCAATTTACAAGGATTGGGACACTTATTGTTCTTTTCACTTATAGAAACGAAAAAGTAATTGTCGCATATTCTTTCTATCTTATACATATTAAAATTATTGAATTACATTTAATTTATTTTCTCTCCGTCTCACTTTCCATCTCTCTTTACTTTTATTCTGGTTTATGCAATTTGAGACTTTTACATTCAGTTAGTATCTTGATACAGTGGGAATTTCAAATATCTGCTAATTTCCGCACTGCCTACAGATCTTTTTGTTATTTTTGGGTTTTTTAATGTCAGTTAAGTTTGGATTACTGGCCGTACTATTTTGTATTTTGTTTACAATCTAACTTGTGAGACTTTGTATTAATTTGTTATAGTATGCAAGCCATAATTTAAGTGAGTTGACTCACTATCTTAAAAATTAAATGCATGTGATTTTTGAAATCATGGTTTGAACTGGATAGAGCTGAAACATTGATATTTATTATTTATTTTTTGTGTCTTTACGCAAGAAGGGATTATTATCTGTATAGTATAAATCTCTAAATGGGGTCAAATTTTCCTCAAAAATTGTCTACTTATAGAATGAGTATTTTAAATTGTTTTTTTTCATATACTATTTTGAAAATGGAGGAGAATTGTACCACGGTAAATATAATGCGACACAATGTTGAAGGGATTTTTCTATTCAATTAAAATTATAGTATAATTATTGTTTTGATGATAAATAGTTATATATTGATTGATGAAATAAGTTTTAGGGGTGCCTGTAAGAGAGCATCCTAGCACGTACCGAGGCGTCAGCTCATAATGAAGTTGGCCGTAGAAATTTAAAAAATATGTGTAAATGAAAATGTAATAGATCTTCAGTTATTTATTAAGATTTGACTAGACAATTATTTTTTGGGAAATTGGTTTGGTAAAATTTTTTCCCATATAACTTTTTGTTTTTTCTCTCTCCTTCCCCTTAATCTCTCTAATTTTTTATTTTACCCGATTACCTTTTCCTGATGAATATTTCTGCTTTTGGCGTCAATGTGTCAAAAAGTAAAAAGAGACGTACAAGAACGCATATTGTAGTGAGTTTGAAGATGCTGTTCCGGCAATGAATTTGATGCACAACACAATTTCCACGGTGTTATATCAGTTGTCCTCTGCTCATACATTTGTTGTATCAGTTTTTTCCAATGTTATTATTTTTAGGTGTGAGGGTGATGCAATTAAAGAGAATCCCGAATTTCATTGTGTTTCTTCTCTGCTCGCACTCTTGATGGTAATTGTTATTTATATTTCGGAATTTTTTTCTCGTCAGTTGTATGGAATATGTGCTAATATAGTGTCATACACGCTGTTATTTGCGAGAAAAGTCAAATGGCCTAAAATTGGAAAAGAAAGGTATTTCTCCCTTCCTTTTAGGGCATTTACTGCTCTTGTTGAGATTTAGTTATTCATAATTTGGCCCCCCTTCCTTTTGTGGACTATTTTCTTTGAGCCCGTGAGTGTGGAACTATGTGCTCGCATATATCCCAAGTTCCGGTGTCGTCTGGCAGCTCGCTTCCTCTTCGGTACACTCACTTACGGATTGAGAACCTATTTTGACTTTTCCAACTTTAACATCCGTAATCTATCACTCAGCCAAAGTAACACACAACTTAGCATTAGGATCGCCATTCGAAATGATGAGGGATTGCCGCAGTATTGGCTTATCCGTGGGATCTAGTAGCATTTTCACGTTATATTAATTTTTATACTATGTAAACGTTCCGTATAAGATAGAGACTTATGGTAGTCCGAAGAACACCTTATACAAAATGTTCTGTCTGTGTCGTTCCATAACAAAATTTCACTGCGTTTGCTGAGGCGAGGACTGTTGAGTGGACGTTGAATACGCGATGAGGACGGAATTTACACGGAGCTTTCTCTGTATCTAGTCGTTCCCTATGTGTTATTGCCCTCTTCATGCCATTTCTGATCCACTCTTAGCATCGAGACATTCCTCTAACTCATGCGACACAGTAGCAAGCCTTGCTTGCTGATATGTCTGCTGATAAATACACCATTGTTAAATGCTGGCGAGCTCTATCGAGGTCCTTTCTTTGCTTCAAAAATCAGTGTTTGTTCCCTTTGATGCCTATCAAAGGTTTTTGTTTATTCGGACAGTTGAAATCAAGGATATATTGTTAGTCGTTACTAGTTGTTTCTAGTACACTTCAGTTTCATATTCAGTCGTTATAATAATCACATTTTCGTACTTATTCTATGGGTGCTGCACATATGATACATACCTTTGCTAACTTAATTTCGGCAAATTAATCATTATGTAAGAAATTTTATACAGAGCAGTTCACGCTTATGTTGTTATCTAAAGTATAAATAACGAAAGATCTTTGCTTATGAAGTAGCTAGAAATCTAACTAGAGTATCTTACTCTGATGTAATGCCGAAGACTTTCTAGAATAAAAAATCAGATATTATAGTTTGTCAATGGTTCTTATATAAATTGTTTGTTGCAGCACGACACTAAGCTTTTATCACAAATATTTTGGATCGTTCTATCATGAGGAGTGATTGTTGGTGCCTTAAAGTTAGATAACTTATTTGCAAAATAAAGACTCCCAACTATTACTTTTTGATTATGTATTTATAATTATACCATTTCCCTTTCGAGTTATGGGTAGCTGTGGATACTGATGTCATATATAAGCAATGGCAAAACATACTATTGTGTAACACAATTACCCGCCAGTATATTTGGGAAAAGCAATTAAGGATCATGTATAGCAATCGGTAGTATTATATTCGCTGTTCTAGAGATAATTGCCGCCTAATGGATTTCACTTAGATTCCTCTCACGCAATTTGTAGTTGTCGTCAGTTTTTACTGTAGTCGCATATAGATTGTATAGACTTATTTTGTAACCCTTCACCTGATAATAGATTAATTATCTTTCCGGAAAAATAATTTGTATCTGAATTAGTATCTCATGCGTGAGTACACCAAAAAGGGTGGAATATTAGATTTTATCACGTATGTTCTTTAAACAGCAAATTATATTCTTGTACTTTACAATCTAATTCCTTGATTACTAAGATTTTTTTGGGTCCCTTCAACAGTTAATGCTTCACAATTGCATTTGGTCATGGAGCTTTATCACCACTAAAATCATATGGTGTTCCCTGAAAAGTGGGAGTGGCACCACCCAATAGTTCAGGGCTCAGCTTTCGACATGCGTATGCCATCTCAATACGGTAGTTAATTTTCCATCTCGTGTGAATGCTCTCGCATTGAAGGTTGTGTTCATCTGCTAGGTCATGTGTTTATGTTTGCAGAAATTCTAGAAGGTGCCTTTGAACAATTAGTCTCTCTCATGGGCCGATAGTTTTTTGGCAAGGTATGGTGTGGCTATTATGCTATGCGAGCAGTATTACCAGTGCAGAGTAAAAAGGTGCAATATTAAACGGAAGGGGACCCTTATGGGTAAGCGTATGTAGAGGCCGTGGGCCTTACTACAGCTTCACTTGAGAGGATTACCAAAATTTATGGATTGAACCAAACCTAAAAGTTAGAATAAGTGAGGATACATGTTTTATACCGTGCGCCCAATACTATCTTGTCAATACTGGAAAGGTCTTCAGAGGATTGGACCTCATGCATATGGGCAATGAGAACCGGTATACTTTAACCTTGGCTGGTTCGCTGGAAACAGGTCACTGTGTATGAATTACATCATATTTATATTTTGTTTTAGTTAGGTTATATGTTAAATTGCACAGCTATTAATCTGGGGAAGCAACTATTTCCTTGGAGATCATATGCCTTAGATTTATGGGATTGAGTCCATGAAATTCGAGTCGAAGAAATTCACAAGTGTCTTACTTAGGTGAAGGAACGGGTCCTCTCTTTTTGACAAGTCATAGATACTAAATTGTCTGCATTTGTCTTTTTATACTTGATTGGATTACACTGTATTATGCCTTCTTTGCAATCTGTTAAATGTTTCTGATTGGTCTTGTACTTACCAAAATATGGGAGTTTTATATCTTCAAAATATGATGCCCTGAATATCGTTTTAGTCTAATTTGCGATGCAAGACAAAAAACTATACTGACTTACATGTGTTGGATAATGTGAATTTTTTCTTGTGTCATTTTGTTGTGTTCTCATTGTATTAGTTTTTTTTTTTTTTTTTTTTGCAATGAGAATTCATACTTATTACTAATATTATGCTCAGTTTTGATTTGGTTTATGTAATTATACAAAGTTTATGATGTATTCATAATAAATTAAATATTTTGATATAAAACTGATTATTTATTTTGTTTAAATATTTGATTATTGGGATTAAATGTTTTAATAGAAAATTGTTTTCCTTGAAAAGGAGAGAATACGAATTTGCAATTTTTCTATTAAAAAATATTTTTATTATGTATATAAAAGAGAAATATAACGTGTTGAATTCGAGAATTAAAATTTATGAAATGTAAAACTTCAGTATTTATAGAATATTGAAATTTTATTTTCCTTATTTCTCCCTCAAATTACCTTACCTTCCTATGAAATTTGGGCAATTAAAAGTAAACAAATCGACCATTTGTTAGACAATCGTATTGTTTCGATCGTTTCAATGATAGGGAAAGGTTTCCCTCCACAGGTAATATTTTCGGTCCAGGAGGAAACTTTTCTCCGTTTCGAGAAAGTATAATTATAATTTCTGATCCCAGTAGGGAAATCTCGCATAAGTGTCTCTGCCACTCGCTCCTCTCATACCCCAGCTTCCCTAACACCAATCTACCCGCCAAGTAACCAACAAGCTAGATGCTATAGAGAGAGGGAGCTAGGGTTTCTTTTCTATTAATTTTTCTTTAGTCGAGGGAAATTCCCGAGAACCATCAATGTCGTCTGTGTACATTCCGGTGCAGAACTCGGAGGAGGAGGTGAGAGTGGCTCTCGATCAGCTTCCTAGAGATGCCTCTGATATTCTCGACATCCTCAAAGCCGAGCAAGCTCCTCTGGATCTCTGGCTTATAATTGCGGTTTGTTCTTAAATCAGTTTCCCTTTTAGTTCAGTTTGTATCTACAGTTGTATTGTCGTTAGTTTTCACTTATCTCACTAAATAATGATTAGCTCACTTGAAATATTCAATTCGCATAATCTTGTGATTTCAGCTTAGCTTGTACTAAGAAAAGAACATGCTAAGCTGAAATCACAAGATTATGCGAATTGAATATTGTCGTTAGTTGCTGTTATATTGGCGCTGGCTTTTAAAATTGGATGTCTATCAATGTTGTGCTATGCAATGATATTTTTTTATTTATATTATTCAGAGGGAGTACTTTAAACAAGGAAAACTTGAACAATTCCGCCAGATATTGGAAGAAGGATCCAGTCATGGTAATTTTTGTTTCTAGTAATGCCATTCTTGTTTAGTTGTTGTTCCTATCTTGTTGAACTCACCGTAATTAATTTTCCAAATTTACCTTAACTAGTTAATTTATGTGATCTGATGGTGTTCTTTTTTATTGCAGAAATTGATGAATATTATGCCGATGTTAGATATGAGAGGATCGCCATCCTAAATGCTTTAGGGGCTTACTATAGCTATCTTGGAAAAATTGAGACAAAACAAAGAGAAAAGGAGGAACATTTTATACAGGCGACCAAACACTACAATAAAGCTTCAAGGATTGACATGCATGAGCCTTCTACTTGGGTTGGGAAAGGTACGGTAGATCAATCTGTTATAAAGTAATTGATTATATGGGATCTTGAACTTGCAGATTTGATTATGATGATCACAAAATTCTCAGTAGAACTTTTGCATCATTTCTTGCTTTTTGTTTTCTTTGCCTTCTTTCTTAAATGCTTCTCTACTTCATATGTATCAATTTCATGCATATATTCTCAGAAAATCTAGTTCATTGAATTCTTGGTTGTGTGTCGCTTGAATTTGTCCATACATCTATTACTGTTGTAGTGTTGTCATGACATAAAAAATAAATTATTTCGGCTGCGAACTACTATTATTAATCATTCTTGGATGATTGTGGCTCAGAAGAATCTAAATGGTAAAATCTCAGTCGTGTGCTTACACTTATTTTTAGGTAAACTTTAGTAACATATTGTTATGTCTGCCCTTTACAGGTCAGCTGTTACTGGCCAAGGGTGAAATAGAACAGGCATCTAATGCATTTAAGATCGTACTGGAGGGAGATCGTGATAATGTTGCTGCTCTTTTGGGTCAGGTATACTCAATCTTCTCCATATCCAATCAATTGTGTTAATAATTACATAAAGGTCCATGTATATTTTTTATCCAGAAATGTTTTTATGCTGTATTGTTAACTTCGTCACTATTGTGCCTTATAAATAACCGTCATGATGTTTGCAGGCTTGTGTTGAGTACAATCGTGGTCATTACATTGAGTCTTTGGCAAGATACAAGGTTAGTTATTTTTACCTCTCTGTTTGCGATTAAGCAGCAACATTTACTTTCTCAATCTGATTCAGTTTGTATTCTGAATATGATTTGGTGTTGACATAATTTTTCTTGCCCATAGCCCATGGTTAACATTACTATTTTTTACCTTTGGTAAGAGGGCATTGCAAGTTTATCCTAATTGTCCTGGGGCTGTGAGGCTTGGAATAGGTCACTGCCACTATAAATTGGGCCATTTTAAAAAAGCTTGGCAGGCATTTGAACGGGTTTTGCAGGCAAGTGATATGATCTGGTGAACATTCATTGCAACTATGACTATAAACATGCTGCATGTTTTCATTAATGATGGTATCCCTATAAATTTGCATTTGCAGTTGGATCCAGAAAATGTTGAAGCTCTTGTAGCCCTTGCAATTTTGGATTTGCAAACAAATGAAGGTGGATCGATAATTGTTTTTCACTTTTTGTTTGTCCATACTAATTCTCATTTAAGCCAACTTATTCTTATAATATTTTATGCTGCACAGCTGCTGGAATAAGGAGAGGAATGGAAAAAATGCAGAAAGCTTTTGAGATATACCCCTATTGCGCAATGGCATTGAATTATCTAGCGAATCACTTTTTTTTCACTGGTCAACATTTTTTAGTAGAGCAACTTACTGAGACTGCACTTGCTGTGACCAATCATGGACCAACAAAGTCACACTCTTACTACAACTTGGCACGTTCCTATCACAGCAAGGTTTTGATGCTATCCTCCTTTTACAATTAGTCGGTTGTATTCTTAAATTAGGGCTAAATTTTTTTGGGGAGGTGGAGGAATCATTTCTATTGAGTAATTTCTTGCTTTCTTTCTCTATGTGCTTGCATGTGCACACATCAATTTGATTTCAGTTCTAGACAAATTTGATTGAACGAGATACAACATAGTCCAAGTTGTTTAAATGACTTTACTCATTTTAAGTTTTAACTGTGTGCGCCTTTTTTTTCCCTGTAGCGTAGGCCTTACTACCTAAGTATCTGGTGATTTATGTATATAATTTTATTTTCTGAAGGTCTCTTCCATGTTTCTTTCTACCTTCTAATAATGGTTGTCTAGTCATATGAATGGGTTCTGATGGCCTACATCTGTGATGATATGTTGTCGATTTTTGTGATGGATATTCTCTATCGGAGTTAAATTGTTACATATTATAATGTCTGGTTTCCCAGATATCTGATAATTCGGCTTTCTTTGCTGATAATTGCAATAAAGTTTTTGCATCTGTCTGTGCTGGACAAATAAAAAGAGCAAAGTTATTGGCCATTTTTTCTTCAATATTTTATCTCGCTTTCATTTCTGTCCTCCTGTTTAGTGCTTAAAAATTGATAGGAATTCTAATATCAAAATTTTTAACCCTTCATGCTTACCAATTATGTCAGTATTATCCCCTTTGAAATGATGCAATTCTCTTGACTATAGGGGGACTATGAAACAGCTTCAAGATACTACTGGGCATCTGTCAAAGAAATTAATAAGCCCAGTGAATTTGTGTTTCCATATTATGGTAGGGGAAAATTGTCTCTTGTGCTTTTGTTTCTAATTTTTTATCATTAAGGGGTCAATCTGCTTTAATCCTATCTATTAATCATATCTATAGATATTTGTATGTTGACTTCTTATGAGTGACATCATGGCTATGTTTAAACTGCCTCTCCTTAATGGAAATGAGGCTCACTATTATTGTAATTTTTGTGTATTTACCTCCGAGCATTACAGTTGCAGAATTATTTGATTCCTTCTCTCTCATCTCACCAGTTCTGAACTTAAAGTTGATTAATTCTGACAGGATTGGGACAAGTACAACTGAAATTAGGAGATATTAAAAATGCACTGTCAAATTTTGAAAAGGTTTTGGAGGTCTATCCAGATAATTGTGAGACATTGAAAGTGAGTAAAAGTAAAATCCTGTTTGGCTTTTTGATGTTTCTCTTCTTAAAGTTTAATGGGAGGTTAACTCTTCTTTTGAGTCTTCTAATTATGGCTGAAACTGAATATTACTCTTGGTTTAGGTTCTTGGGCACATATATGTTCAGCTTGGGCAGACTGAGAAAGCTCAGGAATTTTTGAGGAAGGCTGCAAAAATTGATCCACGTGATGCACAGGTAACAGAAACTTATTTCAGTTCCAGTAGATTGTAATTTAGGTTTTTTGATTTCCAGTCTATCCACACATCTTTTTATTGGTGCATTGAAAAGTTTGGGTTGATCTTTAATTAAAGTTCCTCAGGCCAAATGTTCTTTTCATATTTTTATGTGCTAATTCCTTTGAATTCATGCTAAACAAGATACTTAACTACGGAAACAAGTATGTCTATTTACTATTAGCACGTAAAAATGATATTAGGTACATTAGGTCCATTTCCTACCTTAGAAGTTCATGGATCTCAACTATTTGTCTTGAAAGCTAGAATGCCAAGTTCTTTCTTTACATTTAAGGTTGTTCTTTTATCAATATGGATTTGTTAATCCTACAAGTTTCAACATATAATACAATATTAGCAGTGAACTACATGCTTTGTTATATATTGACACTTATATTTTCTTTAATTTCTTACTGTCGCATAGGCGTTTCTCGACCTCGGTGAATTGTTAATTTCATCTGATACAGGAGCTGCTCTTGATGCCTTCAAAACTGTGAGGACAGGCTATTTGTTGCTCTTTTTAAGTATTGTGAATATTGTACTTCTGGAATTGAAGAACTCTATCTTGTCATATCTGTTTTGGATGAATCAGACTTGAAATATTGTAACAGGCACGCACTCTACTGACCAAGGGAGGTCAAAAAGTGCCAATCGAAGTTCTTAACAATATCGGAGTTATTTATTTTGAAAGAGAAGAACTTGAGGTTTGTATGATTCTCTTTGATAGAAAAATGCAATCATATATCCTTTGTGCAAGAAATTGTTTATAGTTTTTCTTTTTTATATTGTTTGGTTAATTTGCTCTAGATAAATTGCAAAAGATTTTTGAACTTTTACTTATTATTGTTTAACAGCCTGCTCTGGATGCTTTCAAGGATGCTCTAGGTGATGGCATATGGCGTGCTTTCCTTGATGGTAAAGCAAAGACCTATAAAATTGATGCAGCTGCATCTGTTCTCCAATACAAAGACATGCAGTTATTTCATCGATTAGAGGAAGATGGCTTTGATGTGGAACTACCTTGGGATAAAGTCACAGCGTTGTTTAACTTGGCCAGATTACTTGAGCAGATGCATAACATAGAAACTGCAAGTGTGTTATACCGTCTCATAGTGTTTAAGGTAAATACATGCATCTATCTTTGATAAGCACTCTTTATTGTTTATTTCTGTTTATCTAAAAACACTAACATTGAAAGAAAGTGCAACTTGAAATGATTCTTTATGGGATGATTTTAATACAATTTGTTGCAAAGTATTGAGTAAATTAACTGCTTTGCCTGTGCACTTTCCAAATAATAATATATTTTGGGTAAAAAATTTGGAAACTTAAGTTCCTTCCGGTTGGTGCATAAATAGATAACACTGAGTAGTAAAATTTAAAAGAAAAATATTACAACTTTATTTTGATTCATTGATTCACGATTTTCTTTACTTGCAACTTGGTTTGCACAATTCAAACTTTGAGTGTCCTGTAAGATTTTACACACTTAAGTATGGGCTTGATTAATTGTTTTATAGTAATTTGTAAATCAAGGAAAGGCCTGGTAGCTAATGATTTGTTAGCTCATCCTACACTTCTCAATGACAATTGTGGTGTATCTTGAGAGAAATTGCAGAAAAGGATTGTTTAACATTTTTGCAGTGTGCCTAACTATGTCTCAAGGTATCAACAAACTGGATTCAATCTCTCAATTCCGTTGCTGGAACTTCTTCTTTGCAATTAATTTTAGTCAATTATGACTTGCTTTCTTGTGTCTCGCACATCCTAAACTGTTCAAAAGTTTTCTTTATTGTGTAGATCCTGCTTGACCTAACCATATTTCAAACAACAATGCCAGCTACTTGACTTCTGCTTGACCTAACCATATTACTGTTTTCTTTTTCTCCAAACCTTCCCTTTATTGCACAAATCCTACTCAGCCATGCTGCAGAGATCAAGCAATCAGGTCAGTCACATGAGTCTCCTATTCTGCCATTATCCTTTTGTTCGGCCAATCTTCTTTTTCTACATCAATAATTTCCTAGGAGTTGTAAGGTGGCAACTCATTTGGCTGTATGTACGAGGAATCTTTTCTTTTTCCTTTTCAATTCACATTGTTCAATTTTTTTCTAACATTTTCTTTGTGGCGTAGACACTTAGCATTTACTTTAACAATCTTTCACCGTCTTATTTTTTGGGTCTGTATTTAGACATATTGAATGATCTTATATTAATTTTGTTTATTCCTTTTTGCAGTATCCAGACTATGTGGATGCTTATCTAAGGCTGGCTGCCATTGCAAAAGCTCGAAATAATCTCCAACTGAGCATTGAACTGGTTATTGTCATCCTCTATAAAACTCCATTGTGCCATTAAATTATGCTATCTTTTTTTTTTTTTTCAATGGTTACTGATGTGTCTCTTCTTCTTAAGGTTAATGAGGCTCTTAAGGTGAATGATAAGTGCCCAAATGCATTATCTATGCTTGGTGATCTGGAGCTGAAAAATGATGACTGGGTTAAGGCAAAAGAAACCTTACGTGCTGCTAGTGAAGCAACTGACGGGAAGGATTCTTATGCGACCCTCTCTCTGGTGCATATCTTATGCATGATTATTTGGATTCTTTTTAGATATCTTGCCATCATACATACATCCACATTTGTGACTACTCACGCAACTTTTTTTTTATCGTCTATTCACTGTTTGTGCATCTCTCACACATCTTGGCATTTAAAGGGGAACTGGAACTACTTTGCTGCAATACGCAATGAGAAAAGGAATCCCAAGTTGGAGGCTACCCACTTGGAGAAGGCCAAGGAACTGTACACCAGAGTATGAATTCTTTCCTGTTCGCACCTCCTCATCATCTGGGTCTTAGTATCTTATATTGGATCATGCTTCTGAAACTTTTTTATATTGATTTGCATGTATGTCCTTTGCTGTGTGGTCAGTCTCCAATCTATTGTATTATTGACATTATGCATATAAATTGTTTCTCATGTAGATTTTCTCTCCCATTTCCCCTCTTTCCTTTCTATTTTTTTTGCTTTTATGCGAAACACAGTACATTATTGTTATTTGAAACTGAAACACTGTACGAGTCATTAGGCAATCTGACAAGGCAGATGTTCAGATAATTATATATCTAATCTTCGAGCAAATAGCAAGTTATTTGCCTTTTGATACACATACATGCAGCCATATTTGTTAATGCAACAGTGTCCTTACAGTATTACCTCCAATTTTTTGGCACTATAGGTTCTGGTTCAGCATACAGCTAATTTATATGCTGCCAATGGTGCTGGAGTAGTGTTAGCAGAAAAAGGGCATTTTGATGTATCTAAAGATCTTTTTACGCAGGTATGCCAAAATTTTTTATTCACGTTTAGATTACGTAGAATTTGAAACTTGTATCTCCAAGTCCACTCCATTTCTACTGGATCTTTTGTGATGATACAGGTCCAAGAGGCTGCAAGCGGAAACATTTTTGTCCAGATGCCAGATGTGTGGATAAACTTAGCACATGTTTATTTTGCTCAAGGCAATTTTGCTTTGGCTGTTAAGATGGTGAGTTGTCTCATTTCATTCCATTTGTGCAGTTTTGTTTCTGTGTTAAAAATATTCTTTCTGACTTGCTTTCCATTGGATACATGTTTCATTGGCTCTCCCTTATTTGCAGTATCAAAATTGTTTGCGGAAGTTTTATTATAATACAGACTCTCAAATTCTCCTGTATTTGGCCCGTACACATTATGAAGCTGAACAGTGGCAGGACTGCAAGAAAACTTTACTGAGAGCCATCCACTTGGCACCTTCAAATTACATATTAAGATTTGATGCAGGTGTGGCGATGCAAAAGTTTTCAGCATCAACGCTACAAAAGACAAAGAGAACTGTAGATGAGGTTATGATTTTGTTGAATGTCTAGTTTTCTTCTGTTTGTGGTTATGTTATGGTCAGTAAGTAGAAGAGTTATTTCTCCTTAATAATTATCGAGTGTATCTTATGATTGGGAAAGCTCTGATTTTGAGCTACATAACTAGACTTGAAGTTTTGGATATGATTTCTTGGTCCCTAGTCCAGATCCCATCTTAATATCATCTTTTGCTGTTGTTACAGGTGCGCTCAACAGTAGATGAGCTGGAAAATGCAGTTCGTTTATTTAGTCAGTTATCTGCTTCTTCCAATCTTCACTTTCATGGGTTCGATGAAAAGAAAATCAACACACATGTTGAGTACTGCAAGCACTTACTTGAGGCTGCAAAAGTTCATCGTGAAGCAGCTGAGCGTGAGGAGCAGCAGAACCGGCAGAGACAGGAAGTGGCTCGTCAGATGGCATTGGCTGAGGATGCCCGTCGCAAGGCTGAAGAACAAAGGAAATTTCAGGTCTTGCTTCGTAGCATCTACATTGACACTGCTGAGTGAAGATAAATTTATAATAATTTCCTCTTTTTTTCTTTATTTTGTTGGGGAAAAAACAGTTGGAGAGAAGAAAACAAGAGAATGAACTAAAACGGGTACGGCAACAAGAGGAGCATTTTGAGCGTGTAAAGGTAAAGTTTTCTCCTGATATTGTATGCATAACAAATTTGAAATTAGATTCGAGCTTGGTCAAAAAGCCCTCGATGGTTTCATAGTTAAATATTTGTGTAGAGATTAATTATTATGTGATTCTCATAGACTTGGATTGTCCTACATAAATTTTGTGCTCACAATTGGATTTTATCACATGCGTAGTCTTCAGTCACTTAGGATAAATTGAGCCAATAAGACATCTTTTGGCATATTTTGCATCTTTCCAGAAATCAGACCACCTGCCACCTACCACCTGCCAAATTAATAAGACTACTTTAGGAGAAATAATTGATGCATTGGAAAATGGACTCTTTTTTTTGGGGAAAATCTGCGCTTATATGAATGTATTGAGTTTCTGATTCACCTAATTCTGGCGCCTCCAGGAGCAATGGAAGAGTACATCTGCTTCTAAGCGGAGGGACAGGTCTGAGATGGATGATGAGGACGGTGGGCATAGTGAGAAGAGGAGGAGAAAAGGTGAAAGGAAGAGAAAGAAGGACAAGAGCTCAAAGTCACACTATGAGATGGAAGAAGGAGAAGCTGACATTATGGATGATCATGAAGAACTGGAAGACGAAGATGCAAATGTGAATTACAGGGAACAAAGAGATCAGATGAATGATCAGGATGAGAATGCAGAAGAAAATGCTCACGAACGTCTTGCAGCAGCTGGGCTTGAAGATTCTGATGCAGAGGATGAGGCGGTAAGAAACTAAGGAACCGTTTTCTCTCCTGTTTTTACTTGCATTTGGTCCAAGTCCAATACTGTTTTTTATCTTGAAACCTAGCAACACTATCAAGTCCAATCAGTTAATCATCACTTACCATCATTAAATGGAAGACTGGGTTGGTTCCTCTTTTTTTTTCTATTATGGTTGTTGTTTGCATTTTAAGCTCCAGTTCATCGATATGGAATATTTTTATTTTCTGGCTGAAATTTATTTTATTTTCTTGGGAGAAGAATGTGCCTACATCAACAAGTAGGAGGAGGCGGGCATGGTCAGAATCCGATGATGATGAGGCATTAGAGAGGAAGTCTAGTCCTGTTCGAGAAAATTCTGCCGAGTAAGAAAGTGATATAGAAATCAAAGGATGTTGACAAGCAATGTTGCTGTGGGCGATGAGGTTTGATATCAAATGAAGTTAACTGTGTGGCAATATTAGGAACAAACTAACTTGTGAATGCTTTGAAAAAAAAAAAAAAAAGCAAATGCCTTGAACAATAGGGAAATAGAAATTCCTTTATTGGTAATAGATGCTTTGATGCTCCCTGGAGAATTGTACCATAGAAGTTATAGATGATTTTGTATGTTGTACTGATGTAATCAATTTTAATGCAAAAACAACCTTCCCATTTTCACACATGTGCCAATCTTCCTAATGGTCTCAAAGATCTTAAAAATTTGGGCATATGAAATCATATATTTTGGTGAGAGATTCTCTGCCATAGATCCTTAGCAACTAGCTAATATTACTCATCTGGTTAACTAAGCTTCAACTTGTATTTGTTACTTCAATTCGATGACACATTTTAGGTTTAAGATTAATATCTCTATCTACTTTAAACAGGAACAAAAGGAAGGGAAATACAGCAAATGCTGGATAGATATGGGCGTCAGGTGTGGGTGACTATTATCTTTTTATTTTTTTTATCCTTTTATCTTCTGTATTATATGCTGTTTCGTGCTTCTGAGATTTAGCTTTAGAATATTGAACCTATAATTCTCTGATGAGAATTACTTGTGTTTAAAGCGTGTGATATAAAGGAATATAAATATATGTATATGTAGAAATATTTTCCTCTCTCTCTCTCTCTCTCTCTCTCTCTCTTTCTGTTTCTGTCTCTGTAGTGATGACTGACCGATGCAGAGAGTCGGAATTTTCATGGGCGGGTGAGAGTGATGGGTGAGAGGATTAAAAGGCGTACTGTATGGTTGTGCTTCCTTACTGGCTACTGATTCAGTGTGAAAGCCTTTCAAGTCAAGTCTCCAACACTTTTCTTTTCTTTTCTTTTTTTTTTTTTTCTTTCCTGAATTTTCTGATGCAACCAGACCCACGCTCACCCCACCAGAACCTTCAGAACAGATACAGACTAATGCTCTGTTTGCCATGGCCTTTACCTGACCTGACCTCACCCTGACCACCCCTGGTTCTCTGGCTCCATTTCTTTCTATTACTGAAATGCCCTTGTTAGTTTTTTTTTTTTTCCACTTTTACTATACTAGACTGTCCACTTGGAGTTTTTATTCAACAGGAAATATTACATTTTACGCATGGTTCCCAATCTTTGGAAATTTAAAAGCATCCCATCTAAATTATTAATATAGACTTAATTCGTTTTTTGAACCTCAAGTTGGCTCAATTGGAAAAAAAAGAAAAAAAAAATGTTTTTCATCATATTCAATTTTTAGGACCAACATGAGATAATTCTTGAATATATTAACCAAATATGGGAAACACACACTCTCATTCCAATTGAAACTCATCTTGAAAAATATCTTAATCATCCATATAAAAGAAAAATCACACTTCATTTTTCTCTTTCACGTTAGTATATTCTTTATGATTTACGAGTCTCTGGTATCAAATGAAGAAGAGTGGAGAAAATTTGCAGCAAAAAACAAATTAAGTTCGACAAAACCCCAATTATCAAAACCTTGTTCGAAACAAAAGTGTTGCACATTAGGTTAAAAAGGCCACCATTTCTAATTTTGACAATGGCAATAATTGTATGAAGACAGGGTCTACTACTACTACTACTACTACTACTACTACTAGTAACTCAGGTTGATAGGCGTTGGACTGTTGGGTGAACTGAGAAATGGCAAGGTAACAAATTATGGGAACATTAGGTCCCTCAACTATTAACTACTTGTAGATGCATGTATTTGAATTTAAAGCATTCAAACATAACCCTACTTCGGCTACCAGTAAAACATATTTGGCCGAGTCTTTAAATCTTTATTTATGAACTCTAAAGTGAAGTAGGGAATCAACAAAAAAAAAAAAAAAAAAAAAAAAAAAATAATAAAAATTAAAAATTAGGCGGTTCTTAAACGCTAACAAAAAGCAGCTACCCCACCAAGTAAGGACATTCTTGGCCGTCGACAGAGAAAACCCACATCTACAAAATCAACCATCTGCCAAAATAATAAAACGTGTTCGTGAATAAGAACGATTGGGTCTTGAATAAAAGAAAATTTTATTAATTTCCTTTTTTTGAAAAGGAAAGAAAGACAATTACCATTATGGGTTCTTGAATTGAAGATGGGGAAATCATGTGAAGAGGGAATGGAGATTGAAAGCCTGGTTGTTGATACTGATGTGCTATTTGGCGATTTATCGTCCAAATCAAGCCACGAATCTTTGTTCTTTGGTGGCCATTCATCAAAGAAACGATGAACAGTTTTTTGGGGTTGTTCTTCTCTTTCAACTTTCATAGGTGGTTGGCATTTCATTTCATTTCCGAGAAGATAACTTCGTTGATGATACATCTTTTGTTGCTTTGGAGTACTATCATGATCACTTAAGCTATGAAGCTGCAAGTAAGAATACTCATTGTTCAAGCTAGACAAACCCCTCTGGTTTGAAGAAGAAGTCGAGGAAGAATTCATTGTAAGTGGAGTAAATTGCCAAGCATCATCTAAAGAAGAACCGCCAGATAAGCTTCTCATAGAACCAGAAGGTTCTGATGAGAAAAAAGCATGCTCATCAACTTCTTCTTTCATCCCATAAGCTTTCCTGTTTCTTATTTTAAACAGGAAAAAATGGAAAATTAAACCAAATTCAACAAATCAAGATTCAAGAAAGCAAAAAATAAATAAAGAAAGAAAGAAAAACAAATATGACCGTTTTCAATCAAGATTCAAATTCAAGAAAGCAACCAGAAAATACAAAGAAATCGAAATGTCAGTTTCTTTTTTCAAAAACCTGTAGTCTGCTGTATTAGTCAAAGAACCAGAACCAGGAGCAGAGTCCAAAAGCAAAGGAGTAGAGTTGTCTTGGTGTGAAAGACCAATGTTTCCAGGAGGTCTTGAAGAAGAAGACAAAAACTGATGGTTATTAAGATGGGCATGGTAGGGAGCAGAATAGTGCAGGTGATGATTTTGGTGGTGGGTCTCAGATGACAATAAAGAAAGAGAATGAGAAGGAAGTGGGGTATTTCCAAGTAGAGTAGTAGTAGAAGAGTGATTTTTGTTGATTGATGAGATAGTTTGTGTTGTTATTGATGGGTTTGCTGTCACTGTTTGGGTTGGGACTTCCACAGGCTTTCTTGAACGATTTTTGCCTCTGTGCATGTGTCTTTCACAGTATTTGGAATCTGGGTATGCTTCTTTTGAGCATCTCCATTTCTTTCCATCTGTTCTTCTACACCTTCCTGGCTCTGGGTCTATTTTTCTCCCCAAACCCATTTGAAAACAGCTCCAGCCAACTACAAAAATTCAAAATAAAAAACATTAAAATAAATATCTTGGCATTGGAGTTATAAATTGAAGTCGTCTTAATTAAGCTTAATTACTATGTGAAGGTTGGCGAGGAAAAAGCTTTGAAGAAAGTGGAGAGTCCAAGCAGCTTCTTTTAATGGTGAAAAGAAGATCGGACGGAATGGGAATGCCCGAGACCATATATTTAAATATTAAAGCTTGATGTTCAAGCTCTTGCCATTGAGAAGCAGTGAATGGAAACTTGGCTGTTTCACTCATCATCTCCGAAATTCAAGAAAAATGAAAGAGTGGTCTCCTCCTCCTCCTCCTCCTTCTTCTTCTTCTTCTTCTTCTTCTTAAGAAAGAACAGTGAAGTGGAAGAGAGACAGTTGCAGGAAAGAACAGGGAAAGCAGGTGGTGTGTGAATGTGTGGGTTATGAATTGTTATTATTACTACTAGAGAGAGGAAGAGTAGAGTAGGTATATTTATTTCAGGGACCATTGGCCTGCAGAATCTTCTGTACATGGATAAAACTAATGGTTCTGATTATAATGCTGACACCTCTCTTTTTCTCTCTCTGCTTATATTATGACTGCACCTCTCTGTTGCTTCTGGTGCTGCAGCTAAGCTGCCTGTGTGGCAGCTCTTGTCTCTGACAACTCTACGGAAATCCATAAACTAAAGCGAAGAGTGCATTAAAAAGACTGTTTTTCCCAAAAAAAAAAAAAAAAAAAAAATCATCTTGACAAGAGACTATTATAAGAGTTGTTGGTCTCTGAAGCCAATGCCTGCCTGCCTTCCTGCTCTGAGAAGATTGTACGGGTTTGAGCTTTTACTGCTACTAACTCTTTTACTTTTTCTGTGTCTTTACCTCTGTAGTCTCCACTTACTACTAGACCTTTTTCGATTTGGGAAATTGAGTAAATAAAATTTCCAGGTAGCTGCTGCTCTTTTAGGTGAGGTTCTTATACACCCTTTTACTCTTTCTTAATCAGTTTCCTCCTTTTTCTTTAATCCAGGTTTTGAAACATAAATTTTTATGTCTGTTTTCCTTTGCTTGTCTTTTTTTAAACAAGCTAAGTTCTTAACAACTGACACTATTTTGTTTCCTTTTTGGTTTGAGTCTTTGCTTAATCACTTGAAAAGAAGGATTTCTTGGAGGGTATTTGAATTAAAAATAGGAGTAGAAAATTGGAGGAAATTGAATTTTAGTTGGGGTTGCATGCATTAAATTCCCTGGAACTATTCTTGTATTGTAAGTTTGGCAGAGAGTAGTGCGCTATTGTTATATCCCCTGGCAGACTCAAACACATGCAAACAGCCCCTTTTTTGGTACAAAAGCCCCACTTGAAACAGAACATCTCCTCTTGATTAAATTCCCTTTTCAAATTTCCATACCCATCTTTTGGCCCAACATTATTTCACTGCATTCTCAGATATAACATTTGACTCCAGTGGGTCATATCTTTTCTTTTCTATATTCAGAATTTTTCTTTTTTTGTTTTTTACCTCTGGTAATTAAATTAAACACGTTTAACATTTCTCTCTCTTTACAATATTGTGGTTCCCATTTCAAGTTTCACGGTAAAAAACATAGCACGAGCTTCAGGATTCACTATCAGTTCAAAATCTTGATAGAAATTGTAATTTTCTTCCTCACAGTTCTGAGTCTGGATGTTTCTTGTCAAAGAAAATTTCAAAGCTCAAGAATTTCCTCCAGAAGGGGCCACAAAATCCTGTTTCATATACAGTTTGCGTCCAAAGCATGAAACTGTTAAAAATGAATGGTTATTTAGTTTTAATCTGCTACATAAAAAGCATAGTAAATTCCTCAATTCCAGGCATCAAATTGGAAAATATAGTTGCACCAATAGAACCCCTTCTTCAAAGTCTTTAAAGGCTTTTTTTTTTTTTTTTTCATTCACATCTCATAGATAAATCACCATCTTTGATCTAGAATATTTAACGTTTAAGTGAAACTGTCCTCACAGTTTTCTATTTATGTACATTTTCTATTTACTAACACATTACATTTATATAATTTAAATCTCATAATTTCTTGATAGATTTCATATGCATGTGATATACATTAAATATATGATTGAATAATTGGTTCTAGTCACATTGAGTTGTGAATTTCACAAGATCTAACATTAGTTTTTAAATTTAGAAATTTTTTATTCTATTCTTAAACCATTTAAAAATAAGTGCACGAAATATTCCATATTTATAAGTTTTAACCATCAAATCAAATCAAAATATAGTTAAGTAGCTGTAGCTTGTTGATAGGGAACAATCCAGTTATGGTTAATTTGTGACTTCAAAACCAAAGAACAGAGCACTACCCAAAGGCCATAGTTTGCACCACCCAAAGGCCATAGATTGCACCATCAAATTATGGAATATTACTGTCGTCACACGTGCCTCTGAGGCAGTGGTCCACACGCATGAGCTAACAAAGATAGACCGAGTAGCTATTTTAGTGAAGCAACCAAACTAGTACCTTATAAAATTGCAGTTCCAAATTTCTACTCTTGGGCCACAGCCATTTTATTTTTATTGCATCTAATGGAATAGGAAATCAAATCTAATTCTGCATTTCATTTTTCATTAGCATAGCTTCAATGATCAGAAATTAAAAATGGACGGGAAATTGGTAAAAATAAAGATTCTTGAGTAGGTCAAAGTTAATAATAATCAAACACATGCCATTGGTTGCTTCACTAAAATAGCGTGTAGTCTTGTAGTTTATATAGAAGAAAACAATTCAAATGCTAAAAAATAAATTTCCTAATCGTTTCAAATTTAATCTTATGAAAAATAATTTCAAAAATCGTGCAGATTTATAAATTTTATCTGCATCAAAAATTAAAAGTTACAAAGGAAAATAAACCAAGGGAAAAAATATAATCTAATAAAACAAAAATTTAAGTTCATTTTTAGTTTCATATATCTTCGTTAAATAAATTATTAATTTACAGTAATGTTTACAAATATTTAATTTTTTTTAGTAATTCTTCATTCTAGTCCTCCATCCATTCTCACAGCCTAATATTATAACCAAATAAAGAAATAAAATCAAGATTCTTTTTGTTTATTCCACTTGATTCCATGTAGACTTACCCGAGCATAAAAGTTAAGATAACATCAAGAATTCAAAATCCAGTCCTGTTCATAAAAATTATAAAAAAAAAAAAAAAAAAAAAAAAAAAAAAAAAACACATAAAGAAACTAGAATCAAGATTCTTTTTTTGTTTATTCCATCTTGATTCCCCTGTAGACTTAACCCGAGCATATAAAGTTAAGATAAACATCAAGAATTTCAAAATCCAGTCCTGTTCATTAAAGATATTGTATGAGAAGAAAAAAAAAAAAAAAAAAAAAGAAAAAGAAAAAAGAAATGAAAAAAAGAAAAAGAAAAAAGAAGAAAATTCAAGTCAACCCACCCTTTACAAATTTTCGCGATACCAACTTCAATTGAAAAAAAAAAAAAAAGAAAAAACAAAAAGACGTTTTTGCTGAATAGATCCAACCAAAAATTATGATGTTTCACTCATGGGCCAAGCATCAAGGTGACAGGTACGGATCAACTTTCATAACTTTCATTCATCGTCCATATCTAAGGCAGTGAAAAGGGCATAGCCACCGAGAAAGAGCTACCTCGTTCCACATGGTAAGAAAGAATGTTAACTGGCTATAAACATGTACTGGTCATATCAGGTATATAAGCCAAGCATGTAGCAGCCAGCCACTTTTTTTTATGTCCGCCCGTCTTGCCTTTACTGTGAATCCCCTTGTGGTTGGTGGGTCCGTCACGGGAAGGCACTTCGTCCGGCAAAAAAAAAAAAAAAAAAAAAAAAAAAAAAAAAAAAGAAAGAAAAAAGAAAAGAAAAAAGAAAAGAAATTCAGTCAACCCATCCTTTAAAATTTTCCGATACACCAATTGAAAAAAAAAAAAAAGAAAAAACAAAAAGAGTTTGCTGAATAATCCAACCAAAAATATGATGTTTCACCATGCCAAGCATCAGGTGACAGGTGGGATCATTTCATATTTCATTCTCTCATATCTACAGTCGAAAAGGGCATAGCCACCGAAAGCACCTCTTCCCATTAAGAAAAATGTTAACTGCTATAAATTACTGGTCATATCATATATAAGCATTACACCACTTTTTTTTATCCCCTCTCCTATTACTGTACCCCCTTGTGGTTGTGGTCCGTCACGGGAAGGCACTTTCTCCCCAACCCTTTTAGGGAGCTTTTTGAAACCGGGCATGCATGCCCTGAGGCTCCTGAAATAGTGTGACTTTTACCAAACGGGAATAGGAACAACATTATACATGCTGAACTTACGTTCATGTGCCAACAGCTTAATAATATAATAACTAAAGGCACTATTCCTTGAACAGCGGGCGTTATTCCTTCTGGAAAAAGGAAAGAACGAGATCTGTATGTACAGAGAAGAGCTGTGTGTCCACAAAGAGCTGCACACCACAATCAGGAAAAATTTTTAAGTACAGCTTCAGATTCAGATGTCTTCCACAGTTGAGATAGTACTAAAAATAAAGTACTGATGACAGATACTTTCAATTAGGGTAAAAGGTTAAACTACCAAAAAAACCTTATTTATCGCGGTAATTAAGAAAACAATTAAACACCTAAATTATAACAAAGTATTCTATAATTTATTTAAATTTAATCTCAACAATTTTCTCTCCATTATTCTACCACTAAAATTAAGAGAGAACAAGAGGGAGATGATAAGATGGGTTTTAAAAAATTGTTGAAAATAGCTAATGTATCTAATAGAGAAAAGGATAAAATTGGAAAAAATAATTAATGCTCCTTAATCTTCTTGAAGCAACAGATAATTTTGAATAAAATCACTTTTTTTTTTTTTTTTATAATAACAACAAATAGAAGTGGATAACTGTGGATAAAATTACATCTTAAAAACAACAAATAGAAGTGGAAGGAGGGAGTAATTTCCCAAAAAGCCATCAAGCATGATGGGGTTGATGGAAAAGAATAAGGTAATCATCAATTTGTAGCTAAATCATACCAATTTACCATCATTAACCTTCCAAAGGATAAAAAAAGGAAGAGAATTGAAGGAAAGAACCTTCATGAATGGTCGATCACGATTAGGAAAAGAGTCTATGAAACTTTCCTTTAAGAGCAATGATACCTACAGGAAAAAATGAATGCAGTATGAGGTTTATAGCTCTATATCTGCCGCTAGCATTCTAAATGGGAAGACACAAACCTTGTCATTATTGGATTGCACATTTGTAATCGTATGCGAGCGTAAGTTAGAGCAGAGCGAATCCAAGTAAGATCTTAAGACTGCTAGAAAATCCTTGGCAGCTTCAACCTGGCAGTGATTATAATGCATATGAAATATGATCAGTCAACCATCAAAAACACCTAATCAGTTCATAAATAGCCAACAAACTCAAGAAGAATATGAGACAAGTAACGGTTCACAGAAAAAGTGTTGCCAAAGCACTAATTAACACTGATGGCATGTCAGAACACAAGACTTGAACCAAGACAGAATAATTAGATCCATATTCTCAGAGGTGGAAGTTATTCTAATCGGACAAATTAATGTGATCAGGTTACGTCCATGGAATCGATACTTCAAGTGGAAACTGGCAACAATCTGATCTTATACATAAATTATTGACTATCACAAATCTATTTGCTTGCCGGTAGTTAGGTCCAAAAATTTCACTTTTTTAAGTACCAACTCCCCAATCAAGTCCAGTGTGAAATGCAATCATGCACCAAAATATACCGTTGAATATTTACTTCCTATACTAAGATTATCGAATTTTCCTATTCAAGGATTATAAACTTGTATATGCTTCTTTGTATAGATTATACAAGAGTAATTTCTCTCTTAAAATCATCTAAAATCAAAAGATACAATAACATATTAGGTAGGCAGATGTATTATGAAGAAGAGAATAATTAAGCAGAACAGCTTACCTGTACATCTGTACACTCATAAACGGGCCTTTTCCTTGCCAAATAACTTTCTCCCACAAGCTTTGCATGATAAGGACTCAAGGAAGAAAACAACTCCTTGTGTTTAGGCAGTTGTGGCACTGTTGGTGACTTTGTCTATCAGAAAAGTTAGAAATATTAAAAAACTTGGCTCATAATGTAAACTGCACAAAGCATTAAAATGAAGGGTCCACAGTCAGCAGACCAATTAACAAAAGTATGCTAAAAACAGACAAGCTATTGTTTGAAATTTTCTCATTTGTTGTTAGGACCCTGGGAACACATTTTCCAAATAAGTTTTTAGCATGTTAGGCAAGCTCTATAGAATGGCGGAAGACCTGCGACATTATACAAGAGTGAACATTGTGGCCAAATGTCCAATATATTCACAAGATTGATGTTGCAGAAATAAGAATGTAAAGATTGATGCTTGTTCTCACAAGATTGAAAATGACCACATCATCCGACAAAAGGTGCAAGTAGCACAGGTTGCAAATAAGACTAGAGGACAGTTGATGGTTTGGTCATGTTATATGTAAGATTGATGTTGACAGGAAAATATATAGAATGTAAAGATTCGATGAGCTAAGAATTGTTCCTGCACAGATGGAAAATGACCCACCATCATCCGACAAAAAGGTGCAGTAGCGACCAGGTTGCAAATAATGGACGCTCAGAGGACAAGGTTGATGGTGTTTGGTCAGTGGTTATATGGTAGACTCCCATAGAGAGAGAGTTAGATGTTGGACGGGGGCTAAAGGGTGAAGGTAGGACCTAGAATCAATGGAAGCTTGTATTTATCTCAATAAAGATCTAACCACTCAGGGCTTTTCTTGACCATTAGGTGGTGGGACTTAGCAAGTGGATAAAAACATAAGTGGAAGCCAACAATAGCTGGGCTCCAGTCTAGTTTAAAAGAGAGAGAGAGAGCTTAGTTGTATGTTTTGGTGTGTAATCCCTTTTAAGTGCCATGCTTGGGCAACAAAAATGCCTGTGATCACAGGGACTATATTGAAAGAATGTTAAGGTCATGAAAGTTACACAATGTTCCAATGTGTATGGAGTCGCAGTGAATTAAATGAGATTTCAGACCTTTGGTCGTTAAGCAAGTCAATAACAGAATGGCATTGTGGTTAGAGCGTTTGAAACTGTACTTCACAGTGTGTTTGTTCTTTACACAGCCAACCGTACAAGCATATATAGTGAGAATAAATTGCCCAGCCATAATAAAGGCCGTCAAGTACAAGAGTACTAACTCAAAGTTACGTGAAAATAGTGGTAATCATGGTCGTGTGGACAATTCCAAAAGCTCGCCATCTTACATCTGCGTGCAGTTTGAACTCTCACAGGTAAACTGGCACGCCCTATTGAGCTTTCTAGGAAACTAAACATTGAGACATATGAACTACAGCGAAACGGCAATTTGCAATAAGATTTAAATCGAAGCGACAGTGACTACATGAAAAGAATGCTGGGAATTATATATATATATGTGTATAGTGTGTGTGCATCTCACATCCTACATACCAGTCCTAGCAAGTCCAAAAACTTATGGCAGCCTGGAAAACCATACTCACTAATGTAAGGAAACGGTGTGCAGTTGCGTCCAAAAAATTGCCAGGCATATCGTCTGTAATACCTGGAGATTTATGCAAATAATTAACAAAAGCACGAAATTCTGTCTAAGACATAAGAATCACTAAACCCGAATTGGCGCGAGACCATCAGTGAAATGCATATCGCCGGACAGTCAAATAGGGCTTTGGCCATTGAGTAGGGACGGATTAAAGGGACAATTGTATAATCACCAAAGCAGATAAAGAAGTTCCCGTGTGTAACACATTAAAAACCAATTTGAGATTAGGAGTCCAATTTATGTGGTTACTTACTAGAAGAGTTCAAGTTACCACAGAATGATTCAAAGAATGGTCCCCAAGTTTGGCAACTTATGAAGCTCAAGGGTAAACTGTGATTTTCAGTAGAGCAAAGTATGTATATTATATTCCATGTCAGAGAGTACTTATTGGGACCTTGGCCATGACGCGGCGATAGAACTAATGTGATGGAACGCAGATGCTCAAGTAAAACGCAACAGAGAGCCGCAAAAAGCAGGCAACAATGGTTAACGCACTGCGAAGCAGGATGGATTTAAAGTAAGTAGAAGCAATGGTGTTGGCCTTGTAAAACTCTAATATGGCAGTATACGAAATAGATACATAAGCATTTGGTCTGTTATATTGCTGTTCTACATGATATGAGCAGACGGAATGGTAGAAACCAAGTGGTCTTAACATATCAAAATGAAATGAAAGTATCAAGAATATCATCTAATTGGAAGTCAACAGAAGACGCAATCGATGAAAGGAGAGGGACATCGCACATGGTAGTTCGAATACAGTAAATTTAATTGGTCAACAATAAATGTGAACGCAAAACACGAGAGTGCAGACAACAACAGTAAGAACAGGAGAGACTTGCCAAATTCAATGGCGCTAAGTCAGTTTTCTGGCCAACCACTGGGATCAGAAGGAATTTTTAGTTGTTGTGATAATCTACAACGCTAGGATGAGTACAACAAATCAATCCTTACACGCAAGTTTTCAAATGCAAACAGTGTGTTTCTCGCACCAGGGACACCAAGTTGAATCAAAGGTTATTACGCTGCATTTCAAAAACTACCCAATGGCACCAGAAACAGTCAATAAACACTGAAGTATCAATGCTTGGGAAATCCATGGCACAAGTGACAGTTCTCTAGACGCAAGGGATCCACATAATTGCAGTGCTACACCCGCCATTGTTGGGATGACTGCAGTTGCCCTATCCGTCCTCTGCCGAAGAAGTGCACTGTATGTGCCTGATGAAACAACAACAACACATCATGCACTATATGTCTAAAAGGAACAATGAATCAGGAAGATGATTGGCATTGATACTGAGAATTTAAAGGAAAATAGGTCACCAGGACATGTAATGGCCAGAGGAAGCCTTAAGCAGTCCACAGCATCTCACTGGAATAGTGGAGCTGCTGCAATTCAGACTTGTACTCGCATGTCTCTCAATTCAATCTGTGAGGGCAGCAATGAGTGGAGAGTTTTTAACTCTGGGTCTATGATATTCCAAATTGATGAAAGATGCTACCAGAAGGATGAAGAGAGCGTTGAACCCCTAGAGAGGCATTGACTGGTAATCACCTTGCAGATAATTATTGTCCATAGTTGTTTGTCTCCTTGGAAAATTAACAAAAATTTTTGTTTTTAAAGAGCGGTCAGAGTTAACTCGCTAAAGCGAATGTTTTTAAACATGGGTGCATGAATTACCACTATGGCAACATAGAACATACTTCAAGGACCTATATGGCCCATTCAAGGATAAGTCCCATGTAAGTCTCCAGTTAGATCATCTTTCTGGGCCAGAAAAGGAGATAGGTCCCGTGCTATGTGTATATGAGGGACAATCAACTCCTAAAAGCGAGAGAGTGGGCGGAAGCTGAACGTAAAAGGAAATTTGCCGATGAGGCAGCCATAGGACTGGAATAAGCGCACCGCCTCACTGTCATCATATTCACTTAGTGCTCGCTCCACACGCTCACACATGGGCATATAGCTGAGAGCCAAACACCATGGTTAGAGAGCACAGAGATACACTCGAATAGTAGCTTTTGTGTACTGTGGGGTCGGTATGGGGGGGGGGGGGGGGGGGGGGTGACAAAACTAAGCAAATAAAGGCGAGCCTATGTGCAATCATGAGTTCAACCAGAAGAAATAGAACTGCTCTGGATATTAGAACCAAATTCCCTCAGCTTAAATTCTTTTTATGTTCAAATCAGCAACATTTAATGATGCGTGTCATCATTAGAGGAGGTAAGTATGCATAAACAACTTCCTATGAGCATTAAACAAAAGTAGAAAAAATCCTATTTGATGAGATGATGCATCCAAGATAACAAGGTTAAATAATATATGCATAGATGGAAATAATATCTCAGCAACGTGCAGAAAAAGTTTCCAACTTAGCCTTCAGCCGCTCTCCATTCACCTTAAAGTTATTAAATAACCAGTAATATTCTCAAGAATCTACTAAACCCTTCAGCAAATAGGACACAGGAAAAAAGCTTAAGTTGATGGATTCATAGCCTTAGGCTCCTCAGCAGTTCCCTGTTATTTTCACACATCAATTCAGAGGAAACATGAACTCTCAACCTGCTATTTTTCCCATTCGAAACTTCATTGACCACAAGTAAATTTAAGAAAGTCATTGGAACGACAACATGCATAAGGATATTAAATGCATTTTTGATATCCATGCATTAAACGTCAAAGAACAAAAATGCATACCTGGAGGAAGAATCTGAACTTTCATACTGATAATAGCGCAGGAGAGGCAGAACAGCATTTGGTAAACGTTTTTCTTCTGCTTGTTTGTTAGATAAATCATCAACATCAGTGTCACAATCTTCGAGGTTTCCACCACCAGATTCTCCTTTGTTGAAGACTATCTCTGTTTCAGAATCATCTGGAACAATATTATCGTCAACATCTTTCTTCGACAAGTGAATCTGCCCCTCAGGAATCTGATGCTCCAAGTGACTCCTGTCATCAGCAACACCCCCAAATGTAGAATCCGTTAAACTTGATTGGAAATTTTCTGATTTTCCATCCATTTTTTCCTCTGCAGCTCCATGACTTGGTAATATGCCATCTAAATTGTTCCCAAAACCTTCTTTTTCGCTGTAATCCTCCAATGATTGCAAGTTCAAAACACCAATATCTTTTGTTAACCTTTCCAACCTTTCCTCCGTGAAGATGCTACCCAAAAAAAAAGGTGAAATGTCAAACAAAAGATCATATGACAAAAATCAGTTCATATATTAGATGCCAACCTGTTTAATACACCAAAATGCAATTCGAAGAATGGAAGCCTTGAAAGAATGCAGTAACATCTGCGAGTCGTTAGTACATGACGACTCAAAGATGAGCAGGAAGAGCGCTTATCTGAAATCATGGAGAGCAATCCAGAGGGTTTTTGCACAATTTCATCAACTAACACACAGCAACCATACAATGTAGAATCGTCAGCAACCTGAGAAACAAATATCAGATGTTCAGAAATAAATTCAAGAAAGAGGTCTTGTTAATTGCATTTTCATCCAGAAGAAAGTGGCGTAGTATTTGAATGTTACCTGTAATCGAAATACGAAAGACAGGTCACTTTTTTTAAGGTGCTCCTGCAAACAATGCACCACAATTGAGATTTAATTAAGTAAACTGACATGCATATTTGGAATCATATATAGGGAACATTAGCATAAGCTTTCTAACACATTTGCAGGAGTAGGTTTTTCGTACTTTGGACATAATAGAGACACGTGATCAAAATGCAAAAGAAAATGGTCCATGATAAAGCTAAATGACAAAGAGGACATTTTGTAACCAATCCGTGCAGTTGAAATGCAGTGTTCTAAAAATTAAACTTAAACATTGCACTTAATTAATGGAAAATATAGCACAAACTCCAATGGGAAGGGAAAGTCATCAATTTGCTCTCAGCTATCTGGTACTTACTGAGACTAGGTATTTTAGTTAAGAATTAATAACATGTTAAGAATTAATAACATGTTTAATAATTAAGGTTGAAGGAAGTCATATGAGAAACAAACCATCAGATAGTATGAGAATCCCACATTACATTGTAGCTGAAATACCTGCCCAAGAAGAATTTCATTTAACTCGCTCATTGAAGGAGTTCTCTCAACTGCATGAACCTAAATCACAATGACCAGAATTTAGAAACACCTCCATCTAAGAGCAAATTGATGTTAATGAATATGTAAAGAGAGCAAAAAATAAAATGCTCTTGATTCAAAGAAAACAAAATAATGTCTCCAAACTATTTATAGTGAATCTGAAAAACAGCAGCACAGTTGAAGGCATAACAAGTTACCAGGCATAACAATGTTATTAGAATAAACACCCTGCCAAATAAAATATGCTGACTGATTGTTCAATACAAATGAGAGGCACAAAACCTAGTAAGCAGGAAGCAAAATGATTAACTAATATGCATATCCAACCTCCAGGCCTCCAGGGAAGCAAAATGATAGGAGATCCTTATACTTAAGTGGCAATTGTTTGTCCGGAGGATAAACAAACAAGACCTGGAAATAAATGATAAACAATGTTAGAAAAAAAATTAGCCATTTCCAGACATAAATATATTAACACTTAGTTGAGGACTTTCGACAAAAGTCCACACCTGAGGCTCAAGAATGGGTTCTACACGAGACTGATTCTGAGAACCAAGTGAACTTTGCAATCTTCCAGAAACTTCAGACTTTCGAGCAACATATTGCCTGTGAAGTGTCTGAAGATCACAATTAGGATGAAGTCCAACAACTACCATGCTCTCAAAAAGCCTCAATGGCTCCTTTAAAGACCTATGATCCTGCACACTTGAATAACAAAGATGTTATGAAAACAGTATAAAACAAAAATTCAGGATTGTTCAATAATTACAGAATTTCATTATGATAAAAGAACATAAACTAATTTAAATTTTAACATAAAAAGTATGAACTTTGCTTCAAGACTTCAACTTATAACTTTAGCAATAGATGCACTGAGTGGCTTAAACAAGGCAGTAAGAGAGTCAATATATATCTCATTCCAAATTGGTTTAATGGATAACTGCTAAAATTGCTCATGCACACAGACGTAAATTAGACATGGATAGAAGCCCACTTCAACCAAAAAGCATACCAAGTATTGTAACTGAAAGTTTGCCCATTGACGTTTTTGGCTAGTTAGAACTTCCGGATTGTAAGTTACTCCTTTCACTTCAGGAGGAGGAGATGAGAAACCCTTTATCATTCTTGCAACTTGACGTTGTAGCTTCTGAAGGTGGCTATCACCACTATCATCTTTTGACGAAAACACCACAGAAGGCCGCGGTGAACGGGGAGCAGTGGCTGCAGCAGCTGCGGCTGCAACAGCTCTTGCAACATCTTCTGTGGTCTGCAAAAAAAGTGAAGCTTTCCAGCCAGGGCTACCAGTATCCTCATTTTTAGCCATACTGAAAAGCTCTTCTACTGTCACATCAAACAATACCCAAAAAAGAAAAAAGGTAAGTCAATGCTTAAAAATGTATTTTAATAGAGCAGCAACAAGAACTACTTAAGAAGCTCTAGACCATCGGATTGCATTCGTTTTATCTATATATCCACATCATGATAGAACACTAGCAAAGAAACAAATGCATTACGTCTTCTCACACTTTCTAACAATAAACCAAACAAAATAAATTGTTGAATAGATGGGCTAGTCTAGCTCTTTATGGCATAAACGGTATCACACTTCAGACGTCTTAAAGAATCACCAACTCACCTAGTCTTAATCGCAAAAAATAGTCAGCTCAAAACAAGAACTTATTATTTTCTCCAGTTATAAACATAGAAACTCATCAGCTCTTAGAAATTTACAGTTGAATCAAGCAGGTGGCAGACATTAATATTCTATAAGTTACTACCAACGTTCAGTTACTTCTGCCGCGCTTCGTCCGTTACCCGAGTTCTTAAAATTAAAAGCAGAAAAATAAATTTAAAAAAAAAAAAAAAAAAAAAAAAAATAAATTAAAAAAAAAAAAAAAAAAAAAGCTTCTTATGCTAAAAAAGTTTTTAACACTATCTTCTTTCCTATATCAATTGACAAAAAAAAAAAAAAAAAAAAAAAAAAATCTTAATCAAGCACAAGCACCACATAAAAAAAAAAAAAAAAAAAAAAAAAAAATCTTAATCAAGCACAAGCACCACATATTTCATATGAATTGATGTACAAAACAAATTATTTTAATCAAGCTGATGGCTGGTTAAGAGAAACAAAATACTTTTCAATCTCCAAAAAGTTAGCAGCAAAGAGGAAGAGAGATATTAAAAGGCGCAACAGGCTTAATTAAGAAACTCACCTTCACAGCAATTAATTAAGGGAAAGAAAACGAAAGAGATGTGGAGCAAGAGGCAAAAGATAGACAAAGAGTTGAGGTTCAGGCGGTCATATCAAAGAAAACTCAATATTGCCGCTCTCGTTGAAAACCCCCAAATAGAGAGAAAAAAGTATTACTATATGATAAAAGCTGATTAATGAAGTAATTACTGTTAATTATTACTAGGGAAAAACAATAAAAGAAAGCAGAAAGAGACGAAGTGTTGGCTTAGGCTCGTCCTGGTGGTAGTGGTGGTGGTGGTGGTGGTGGTGGTCGATGACGGTCAATTTCTTCTTCTTCTTCTAGTTTGGTTGATTTGTCGTTTGTTTGGTAAATGTACACGCTTTGATAAATTACAATTTAGACTAAAGAAATAAAAGGATTTTGTTTGGTAAATACGCATCCAATGTCCTCCTTTTTTTTCACCTAATTTTATTTTCTTTTTAGTAATAATTACATCATGTTCTTCATGTAATATTATTCATAAAATTAAAAAAATTTTTGCTTTTATACTATGTACGTATATATTATACATAGTAGCACGCTGTGCGCCACCTTGACAATTTTTTTCTGTTAGGCTATAACAATTTACAGCTTTATTTACTTTTCAGATTAAAATATATATTTACATATGTCTCAGTATCAACCTTATCACGTGCCGATCATATATAATCAATTTAGAGTCGATCTACATGCTAAATACATTTAAATAAGGTTTGAAGGGGTCAAATATTTTGGTTTTGTCACATTATAAATGCATTAAACCCTCAATATGAGATCATCACTTTACTGAAAAGCACTTACGCGAGTAAATCAATACAGAAACAAGAAAAAAAAAAATTTATTTGGAAATCGTAGAAAGCAATTGTTTTAATAAAATTTATTTTTGAATTCAAGAATTGTCATTTTAAGTGAAATTAAAAAATCAAAAAAAAAAGTTTCTTAAGAAAAATCACAAAAATGTGATAGTAATTTTAAATAGTTGAATTCTTTTAACACAATCAATTAATGAAAATTTAATTCTGTTTGTTTATATTTCCTCCATCCCATTTTGTTTGTATGATTTGACAAAACACGCATATTAAGAATTTAATCAACGCAAATTATTTTTCATATTTTTACCTTTAACTCATTAAAATATTAATAAAAATCACTCATTTAATGAACAGTTATAAATGTTATTATGAAAAAATAATTATTTAAAATTATTTGGCAACCTTTCAAATATTTTGATACATAAAAAAAGATGAATAACAAACAAACAAACAAAATTAGACGAATGGAGTAATAAACTAGCAATATTTTCATGAGCTATGCATGTTTAAAAAAATAAATACATTGTTGATAGATTTTTTTAGTCAAATTTTTTATATTATGCTATTAATAAATAATAAAATATATAGTTGTAATTTATTTTTAATTATGAGATCGAGAATTAATTAGTATCTAGATAACCCAAAGGGTTAATCTAATAGAAATCACGTTGGATAAACTTTCGGTGATTCTAAGTTCAATTATTAGAGGTGTCTAAGCAGTTAATTAACCATTGTTTGGGCTTAAACCTATCAATATTCATGGATTTATAACCTTGATGTGTATTAGAAATTTTCTCGGCCCATACCGAGGGGAGCGGCATTTACATGGACGCGAGAACAGAAACTACGCAAATAGGATATAAATAGATATTTAACGATATGGGTTAAAAAATGTGAAATCTATAGAAAAAAAAATAAAAGTGAAATGAAAGGCATTAAAATTTATTATTTTTATTTATTTTATAATTAATATAAAAAACTATCATTAAAATCCACTTTAAATAAGTAAAAGTTATATAGATTGTCATCTTATCATGTTATTAGTTCCGTAAAGCTATAATTAATTAATTATATTTAATATAATTTATATTTCTAAAAAAATGTATTTTAATATAAATTAATATATTTAATTTATAATTTATATTTCTAAAAAAATGTATTTAATATAAAAATGTATTTTAATATAATCTAATTAGATAAATAAATAATTATTCAATTTATTTTTAAATAATAAAAACAACAACCATTGTTTCATAAATTAAGCAAATTATTTATATCATTAAAACTATATAAAATTATTACTTAATATAGCTATCAAATTATCTAATATTGTATTAATCAATCATATTTAATACAATTTAATTCAATCAATGAACGATCATAAATTTATTTATTTTTGAATAAATACAAAGGTAAATAATTAAGACAATATATACGTCATTATTTGGAATCCGATATTGCATTCAAATAAATATATAGCAAATAATTAAATTACACATCTCAATTTTTTAAAATATTACATAGCAGCATGAGAAAATACTTGCTTTATATATGTATATATATTAATATTGATATAAAAAGTTTATTAAGTTAAATCCTTTTAATATATAAGTTTTTTACTAATTTAATTAATATCATTTAATGAAATAATTATTCTAATATGTAACTCACAGCATTATCCCACTTATAATTATATAATATGCTAAAAGATGATAGAGTTGCACTGTTCATGCAATCCCTCTCACTTTGAAAAATGATATATATATATAATTTATGTGAATTAACGACAAGCAAATGGTTGTATTCAGCTATATAAAAAAAAGGAGTAAGCACGCTTCAATATGTACCCGGTTCAATACGTGGATTATTAAAAATAAAATAGACTAAAATAGCAGCATTTTTCTTGATTAAGTAATGAAAAAAAAATGAAATTGATTTGTATTAATCATAGTATAGTCAACAGCATTTACACATGCCACATGTGTGGCTAGGCTTGGCCATATTACGGTTCCGGGAATCAGAACTGTCGGTTCGAACCGTAACTGGAACCGGGCCGAACCGGAACCAGAGAATTCCGGTTCGGTTCCGATTCCAAATTTTCTGGAACCGGAACTGACAGTTCCAGAGAACCGGACTGGAACCGCCGGTTCTCCGGCTGGTTAGAACAGCCGGTTCGAACCAGCGGTTCTAGCCAAACTGTCAGGATTTTTTTTTTTATTTTGTTGTGAAATTTCTTAATTATGTTAAAGTCTTTAAAAAAATAAATTTAATTGAAGTATTTTTAAATTTTTTAGGTTTATCTTTTAATTTTTTATGTTCAAATATTTTTTTTTAAACCGGTCTTCAAAATTTAAAATTATGTTCAAACTTTTTTAAAAACTTTGTTTAAACAAAAAATAAATTCAGGTGTTGAAATTTTTTTTTTTAAAAAAAATAATTATGTTCAAGTCTTTTAAAAAAAATAAATTTAATTGAAGTATTTTTTTAATTTTTAATTGAAGTATTTTTTAATTTTTTAGGTGTATCTTTTAATTTTTTATGTTCAAATATATATATTTTTTAAAACCGGTCCTCAAAATTTAAAATTTAAAATTATACGATTCGCCAAAAAACTGATCAGAACCATCGGTTTGGTCACCGTACCAAAACCAGAATCGAAACCGAAACTTTTCGGTTCGTTTCCGTTTTCAATTTTTTTAGAACCGGAACCGCAGGTTCCTGAACCGTGGCCACCCCTGCGTGCGGCAAGGATTTGTGTATATAAATCATAAGTCTTCAGTCAAAGGACGTTAATAATGCTTTTCTGGGAGGGGACTTTTATTCATTTTAATTTTAAATAATAAAGAACTGTGTAGGGAAGTAGCCAGTAGGGGTGAATTAGCTTGAAGCGGGTGACAAAAGAGGACTGTCCCCCTGTCCTGTCCCTTCCTAATTCTGTTATAGGAGAGGGACCAAACCAATATGCGGTCCATCCATGTCTATTAGTAACATCAATTTTTTTTTTTTTTTTTATCATAGTTTTTAGCACATATACTATTCACCTCGTTAAACTTTTCGATTAATGTATTCATCTAACAAGAAAATCAATAGGTTATTTATCTGAATTTATAAATTAAATTTTAGATGAAAGAAAAAAAAATATTTCTAAAATTAATTCAACAAATTATATAATTTATTAGATAAAAGTAAAAAATTTTCCTCGTAAAATTATAAAATGATACTATAAAATAACTTTTCGATGATTTAACAATTAACTATTGTTATTACTTTTTAATTAGTTGGCTGAATAAAAAAATAAATTTAAATTCAGTATTTAAAATTCAATCCAAACAAACGGCTTTTAAATTTCATAAAATATTTATAACATTATTTTGGGACATATATTTATAACATTATTTTGGGACATCAAAAATTTATTTTCTTTTCCACACACATATATTTATACTCGAGTCAAATATGATTTAGATAAAAAAATTTCATCGGTGTTTTGACTATAGATTCTGAACATTTATCACATATTAGATTTGGATAAGTTATTTCATTAATAATTTCCAAAATTATGGCTCGACGAATTAGATTTTGTACCATTAGTACAAATTTCCTTGTGCAACGTGTTATGATATGATTTTTTATTTAGTTTTGAACAATGGGAAAATAGTTATGATCCCTTAGGCCTTATCGTTGACCGTATCTCTCTTGGACTGAAAATGGAATAGAATTTGCAAGAATCTAGCCAACTTGCTGTTAGAGGATAAGTGAGAGTTTAATAGATTCATATTTAGATGACAGCGTTGAAAATAAATATAAGGAAATTAGTGTTGGAGACTCCGCACAGACGTAGATGATGACGATGATCTTTCACCCACCTTCCAAAGTATTCACAAGCTGGTAAAACGGCATACTAACTTCACCGGTCAGTCGCCGTTTAGGTTCGGAAGTTCGGAAATGAAAAAAAAAAAAAAATTCATGTCAAATTCTTAAACTGAATATTAGCATAAATTAGGTTTGTGGAAATGCCTTTAAATTGTGCACGTGAATTATATTTGATTCGGACTTAAATGAGACAAATAAAAGATCGTATCAAAATTAATCGACAATTTTAATTCTATATTGGATTAAAAGCATTACCCACAAGTTCGATTCTAATTTTATTTATTTACAATTGACATTTCAATTAAGTTCGATCATTAGTTTAATAAATTGAAAAAAAAAAGGGTTTGATTTTATGTATTTTTAATTCAAAAAAGTCCGAATTAGAGTAAAATGGACAACAAAATCAAAATGGGGTGGATTGTAAATATCTGTAAATTCAGAATATCCTGATATATTAGGCTACATATACGTGACAAACATGAATTTGTTAACTCATACTCTTGCTTGTATATTACAGATTAGAATTTGACCTATAAGTCAAGTGGTTTTCATTTCCTTTTTAATGTTTGTGTCCTGCCAAATATGGTATGATTGATTTATGGAGGAACCACGTTATAAAGGGAGAACCAGTATGATAATCCTCGGCAATTGCACTGAGTCGGCTGATTATTCAACCGAGTCCTCCTGAGTCAACGCGGTCGGATCACCAATCAACATATCTTTTTGCCTCAATTATACTGGGAGTCGGACCTACCATTGTCGACCTACCATTGCATATACTGCGTGAAGCCCAGGAACCGGTGACCGACGACCTGTGCGAAGAGTTAAACAGTGCGCTGCAAATTAGGATTTTTTCTAAAATTTCCCACGCTATTCTTATGGCGAAATGAAACTCCCAATTACCTGTCAACGCCAAACACACGCTCGGCTTACCTATATAAATATTACACAACCCTTTCTTTGACTGTCTCTTAATTATTTACTAATTCCTTCCAGGCTTTTTCGATCCAAAATCATCATCATTCACGATCAGCCAGCAGAAGATCAATTAAACAAGAAGCAATTAACAATGGCCAAGGCTTGGAAAAGAAGGGACCAAACCTTGTTTTCTCCTTACAAGATGGGCAAGTTTCAATCTCTCTCACAGGTCGTGAACTCTGCCTCTTAACAAACAGATTGCTGAGTTTCGAGATTAGCGAGCGATCGCGAGAGAAGAATCTGGGAGGGCAATTTTGTTATTGTGATGGTTTAGTTAGTATCTTTTTTTTTTGGGACAAATTTGTTTTCCTTGAAATTTACGGGGTTGGTTATGGAACGATGGCAGGGTGTAACTGGTCCGAGACTAGATGTAGAGCTTTGATGGAATTCGCAAACGCCAGCTTTGGTTTGGAGTATTACACGCAGAATCACTCCCGGCGGCTTAATCTTCATCACCGAGGCACCACCGGTGTCTCCTACTGGCCCTGGTAATTTTGTCATTTTACTCATGATCAAATAGCTGCCTTTGTTGGATTGGTGGCTCCACCGAAGCTCACTCAATTGGTGATTGGCAGTGGGCCCCAAGAAAGAAACAGCCACGTTGCCCAAATGATCTTTGTTAGAAATCAAGTCTAGAACTCAAATTGGTCCAAGGTTTAAACGTCTGCGTGGTTTGACTACTAAGTTTTTCTTTTTTAATTTATAAAAATCATAATGAAAAAATTAGAAGATTGAAGCGTTGAAGAATTTAAATTTGGTAATTGATATACTTTTCTTACAAAATATAACAATCAGGTGCTAAAAATGAAACATTCTCATATAATAGAGAGATTATCGGGAATTAGAAGATGTTACATAGGAATTAATGGTTTTAAACTTACAATGACATTATCTTTTGCCTCGAAACAGTATTTTTTGCTTAAGAAGACCAGGAAAACTTTTAAAAGGAACTTTATTGGCAGTTTTCCTTTTCTTTTTTCCTTCATTTGTTTAATTAATAATAGATGACGATCTATGCCCTTTTGGTGAGGAGGTGGACATGTTTGTGAAGAAGCTTTTAAATTGTGTAGCGAAAGTAGTATCATCACAATTCCAAGTAATTATTTTAATTAGAAAGAATTATGCACTCTATGAACTTGAGTTTGAATCCATTTTGATAATCATACATTCATATGTATGAAAAATCTTATCTGCACGACCAAATTTTTTTTTTCAGCTCGAATCTATAGGTTAGGGCGGTAAATATGCGCCCAGCTAATGTTATCAGACGTGGAATAAGAAAAGCCTTACTGGGCAATGGCATGATATTTTTTTTTTTTTTTTTTTTTTTTTTCATTTTAAGTGTGCATTAAGCTCGCAATAATGCATATATAAAAGTTGTGATCATGGTCTGTTCCTGCACCCACTAGAAACTCCAATAAAGATTTTTTTCCCCTCTTTAAATCACCTTTGGAAGTTCCTGTTTTATATTATTTTCCAGCTGATTTAACTAAATCTTTAGTCCTCAAAAACGCAGGTTTCCTCATGTCCCGGAATTTATTCAGATGAACAAAGGGAGGCATGGAAGAAGGTGGTGGATGCAGTTTCATGCCAAAGGAGCATTATAGCTTCTGTCAACTGTGGCATGTTGGCGTGCATCTCATCAAGGGAAATTTTCCACGCTGGATAAAGTGAACAATGCCAAGCTTCTGCCTTTTCACTTACAGACAACACGATGGCATGAACAAAAGCAGCAGCAGTTCTACATTTCTGATTTCAAGATTTTATACTTATATATATAGTATAATATATTTATATAGTATTATTATCATATAGACAGGCACACACCATGAACGGTGTGGGAGCCATTAGGTTCGTTTAATATCTTATCTTTAAACAAGATCCTCTTAGTTACATTGATATTTGTTGAACTGGTAAGCTGGCTCTTATTGGTTTTGAAGCACTCGATATTTTAAATTGTGGTATCTACCACAATAAATTAAGTTTTATCAACGCCCAACGATGAGCTGGCACCACATATCATCGGACGAGCAGGCCGCATTCAAACCCAGATGGAGGAATTCTCATGCCAGATGGGTCCTAATGCAAGTACCCTAACACCTTAGCGATTGGAAACCCTCTGAAATACTTGACGTAGTGGATGAATTATCGCCAGGCAGCCGTGAATGCCATTCGAAGGCAAGGTAGATACTGATGATTGCATTACATTTATTCTTTAAGGCTTCAAAGCAGTACGAAAGCTGAATTCAAATAAAGAAAGAGCTATAATTAAATATCAAAAAAAGAAAAAAAGAAAAGAAAGGAGAAGAAAAGGACTATGCTTTCTTGAAATCTTACGAAAGGGTGTTTAGCTATGATGCCCCTCTATGATGTATCCCATGATCTACACTTGCATGCCAACTAGTGGAGCCACTATCATTGTGCCTCGTTTTGGTAGCATACATTATTATAATCAAGAAACCGGTTCAGCACACATCACTGTGGACTCACTTCCTATCCATGGCCCACTTCTGGGAGAAAGATGAAGTGGACTCACTTCCTATCCATGGCCCACTTCTGGGAGAAAGATGAAGTACTCTGGGCTAACTATGCTTTAGGTTATTGTTGATCAAGACAATAAATAAAAATGGAGTAAGATAACTTCAAAACTTCTAGTTTTTAATGACTTAATGTTTTAAAATTAGAGCTGTCCTTTGGTAAAATTTTAGTCGTCCTGCAAAAAAGGTTGCTGGATTGCTGTAGTTCGGATATTGGTATCATCGGCATGGCCTTGTGCCATAATAGTGGATCTCTTTGCGTGGTAGTTTTGATTTGAAGCTATAGGTCAATAGACACGCTATACAATAAAGCAGACACGAAAAACATATTTCAATTCTTGGGCTGACCTGATATCTATTAATTCTTCAAATTATCCAGCAAAACGAAAAGACTGTTTCTAACTGGATTTCCCTGTACTCATATCATCGACTAAAGCATGCATTGATCATGTGATTTTCAGGATTTGATGGTTCAGGATTTGATGGAATCGAGATCCATGGGGCTCATGGTTACCTCATTGATCAATTCTTAAAGGATGGGATCAATGACCGAACAGATGATTATGGTGGATCAATCAACAACAGGTGCAGATTCTTAATGCAGGTGATTCAAGCAATAGTTGATGCCATTGGTGCAGATCGTGTTGGTTTCAGAATGTCACCGGCAATTGATCACCTTGATGCAGTAGATTCTGATCCACTGAACTTGGGACTTGCAGTGATTGATAGACTTAACAAACTTCAGTTAAACGTTGGATCAAAACTCGCCTATCTCCATGTCACTCAGCCTCGCTACACAGCTTACGGTCAAACAGAATCAGGCAGAGGTGGCTCTGAAGAAGAGGAAGCTCGGTTATTGAGAACATGGAGAAGGGAGTATCAAGGAACTTTCATTTCTAGTGGTGGGTTCACAAGGGAGCTAGGAATGCAAGCTATAGCTGAAGATGCTGCAGATCTGGTATCCTATGGCCGACTTTTTATTTCAAACCCGGACTTAGTTTTGAGATTAAAGCTCAATGCACCCTTGAATAAGTATGTCAGGAAGACTTTCTACACCCAAGATCCTGTTGTCGGCTACACAGACTACCCATTTTTGAGTGAAGTAAATGGGAACCAAGAGCCACTTTCACGCCTCTGAACTCAAAGTAATTGGAACTTTTGTGTATCGTATATGCATTTGAAGTTTTAATAAACATCCGGTATTTGGTCTATAAGTGAATGGCTTTGTCAAGACTTTCAGCTCAAACAAAGGTAATTATTTGTATCCTTCTTTGTTTGAAAGATTTAAAGTGTTTTGTATAATAATTTAATTCACATAAACATATGTTCAAAAGAAAAAGGTTTGTGACATTCTCCAACTTTGTAGTAAAATAAATAATTATATATATTATGGAAATTGTGATATTTAAATTAAGAAATACTTGCGGATGCTATTAAAGAAAAAGGCGATATTGGTTAATTTAGTAATTAACTATTATTTTCTAAACATGCGTTGCCAATTAGATAAGAAAATTAAAAATCTTAGTTATAAAATGCAGTAAGAATGGAAGCCTTGAAAGAATGCAGTAACATCTGCGAGTCGTTAGTACATGACGACTCAAAGATGAGCAGGAAGAGCGCTTATCTGAAATCATGGAGAGCAATCCAGAGGGTTTTTGCACAATTTCATCAACTAACACACAGCAACCATACAATGTAGAATCGTCAGCAACCTGAGAAACAAATATCAGATGTTCAGAAATAAATTCAAGAAAGAGGTCTTGTTAATTGCATTTTCATCCAGAAGAAAGTGGCGTAGTATTTGAATGTTACCTGTAATCGAAATACGAAAGACAGGTCACTTTTTTTAAGGTGCTCCTGCAAACAATGCACCACAATTGAGATTTAATTAAGTAAACTGACATGCATATTTGGAATCATATATAGGGAACATTAGCATAAGCTTTCTAACACATTTGCAGGAGTAGGTTTTTCGTACTTTGGACATAATAGAGACACGTGATCAAAATGCAAAAGAAAATGGTCCATGATAAAGCTAAATGACAAAGAGGACATTTTGTAACCAATCCGTGCAGTTGAAATGCAGTGTTCTAAAAATTAAACTTAAACATTGCACTTAATTAATGGAAAATATAGCACAAACTCCAATGGGAAGGGAAAGTCATCAATTTGCTCTCAGCTATCTGGTACTTACTGAGACTAGGTATTTTAGTTAAGAATTAATAACATGTGCATGATAAGGACTCAAGGAAGAAAACAACTCCTTGTGTTTAGGCAGTTGTGGCACTGTTGGTGACTTTGTCTATCAGAAAAGTTAGAAATATTAAAAAACTTGGCTCATAATGTAAACTGCACAAAGCATTAAAATGAAGGGTCCACAGTCAGCAGACCAATTAACAAAAGTATGCTAAAAACAGACAAGCTATTGTTTGAAATTTTCTCATTTGTTGTTAGGACCCTGGGAACACATTTTCCAAATAAGTTTTTAGCATGTTAGGCAAGCTCTATAGAATGGCGGAAGACCTGCGACATTATACAAGAGTGAACATTGTGGCCAAATGTCCAATATATTCACAAGATTGATGTTGCAGAAATAAGAATGTAAAGATTGATGCTTGTTCTCACAAGATTGAAAATGACCACATCATCCGACAAAAGGTGCAAGTAGCACAGGTTGCAAATAAGACTAGAGGACAGTTGATGGTTTGGTCATGTTATATGTAAAACCCCCATACATTCTTGCCAAATTATAAATTGATGGTAGAGGGTGCTAAAAGGGGTGAAAAGGTAGAGCCTAGAATCACATGGAAGTTATTTATCTCAAAAGGAAATCTTACCACTTCTTGACATTAGTGTGGGACTTAGCAATGTATAAAACAATAATGGAAGCAAACAAATAGCTGGCTCCCCATCTAGTTTAAGATTAAGGCTTACGTTGTATTTTTTGTCTGTAATCCTTAAGCATGCTTGGCAAACAAAAAATTGCCTGATCACAGACTTAATATAACTTAAGTCATGAAAGTACCACCAATTCCAATTGTTATAAATTAAAATTCAAACCTGGTTTCTTGTTAGCATCAACCAGAATGGCATTGGTTAACTTTGACTGTACTTCATTGTTTTTGTTCTTTACACCAACCTAAACATGGATAATAAATTGCCAGCCAAAATAAAGCCTAGTCAATACAAATCTAACTCAAAAAAAAGATCACGAATATTGGTGACTGGTGTGAAAATCAAAAACTCCATCCTTTACATTTGATTAACTCTAAAGGTAAAACTCCTTTGACTTTCTAGAAACTAACTTAGAGAAAACAATAGAACTAAGGCCAAAAAAGATGCAAATTTGCAATAAGTTTTAATCCAACGACAGTGCTACATTAAAAAAAATGATGATACAAAAAGAAGTTGGCAGTGCATCCACATCCTACATATTCCATCCCCAGCAATCAAAAAAACTTATAGGAGCCTGGAAACCAATACTCACTATGTAAGGAACCGGCTGGGCATCCAAAATTCCAGCATATTCGTCTGGTAATACCCTGGAGATTTATGCAAATTAATTAACAAAAGCAAAAATTCTAAGGACCATAAGAATCACTAAACAGAATTGGGGCAGACACCAGTGAACATCATACGGATCAATAGGCTTTGCCATTGATAGGGGACGGTATTAAATAGGGACATTTTGATAATTACCAAAGCAGATAAGATTCCCTGTGATAACACATTAAAAACCAATTTATTTTAGTGAGTCCAAATTATTGTTACTACAAAGATTGAATAAAATCCAAATGATTCAAAGAATGGTCCAATTTGGCACTTATTGCTCAAGTAAAACTGTGATTTCAGTAGCATATATGAAACCATGCATGAGAGTATTAAACTTGCCATGAGCATGATAGAAACATAAGAAACTCATTACCAAATGAACAAACAACCACAATTCTGCTTTCTCCAGGAAGTGCTCCAGCAACAATGTTAACACCTGCAAGCAAGGAGAATTAAAATAAAATAAACAATGGTTTTCCTTGTTAAAACCTCTAAATTATGCAATACAATAAAACATAAGCATTTGATCAACTATACACCAAAAGATTGAACCAAGTAGAACCAAATGTTAACATTACAAAATAAAGAAAGATTCAATATCATAATGATCAACCAAAAAGCCACGATGAAAGGAAGGGCAATTCCATTGGTATGACAGTAATTTAACTTGGTCAAAAAAATTGAAGCAACAGAATGCAAACAAACATAAACAGTAGACTTCCAATTTCAATGGCTAGTCAGTTTGCAACCACTGGACAGAAGAATTTAGTGTTGTTATCTACAACTGGGATGAGTACAAAATCATTTTACACAAGTTTCAATGCAAACATGTTTCTCACAGGGACACAAGTTGAATCAAAATTTACCATTTCAAACTACCAATGGCACAGAAACATAATAAACAAACAATAATCAAATTTGAAAATTCCATTGCACATACATTCTCTAGACGCAAGGATCCACATATGCACTGCCTACAGCCCATGTTGATAAATGCAGTTGCCTCCTCCTCTGCCAAGAGTGCACTATGTGCCTGATAAACAAGAACAACATCATGCACTACTATCTGAAAAGGAACAAATTAAAGATTGCGCATTTAATTAAAGAAAAAGTCACCAGCATGTAATGGAAAGAGCCTAAGAGTCCAACAAGCTCTCACTTGAAATATACCTCTGCAAATTTCCAGACTTGTAACTGCATTGATCTCAAATCCAGTTGTTGAGCCAGCAATATGTAATACTGTTTTATCTGGTCTATGATATTCCAAAGGATGAAGATGCTCCAAAGATGAAATCTAAGCGTTTGAAACCCCTAGAAGGGCATTGTAAACTGAATAACTTGCATATTATCTGCAATGATCCATAGTTGTTTTTCCTGGAAAAAATTAACAAAAATTTTTAGAAGCGGTTCGAGTTACCCCTAGCGATGTTTTAAAACATGTGCAGAAATTACCACATAGGCACAACATATCAAACCTTAGCCCATTCAAAGAATATCATGAATCATTAGAATCTTCTTGGCCAGAAAAGGATGCCTCATCTGTCTCTGTATCATCAGCATCACTCCTAAGTTCCGATCTTCGCTAGGAGAACCTTGGAAACTGGAGAAAGAAATTCTCATTAGGCAGCTTAGGACTGAAATAAGCCACCGCCACCACATTCACTTAGTGTGTACAAGTACAATGATATGAGCAAACACCATGTTAAAACATGAAGCTACCTCATTGTACTTGTGTATCTGTTTGGGGGGGGGGGGGGGTGACAAAACTAAGCAAATAAAGGCGAGCCTATGTGCAATCATGAGTTCAACCAGAAGAAATAGAACTGCTCTGGATATTAGAACCAAATTCCCTCAGCTTAAATTCTTTTTATGTTCAAATCAGCAACATTTAATGATGCGTGTCATCATTAGAGGAGGTAAGTATGCATAAACAACTTCCTATGAGCATTAAACAAAAGTAGAAAAAATCCTATTTGATGAGATGATGCATCCAAGATAACAAGGTTAAATAATATATGCATAGATGGAAATAATATAAGGTTAAATAATATATGCATAGATGGAAATAATATCTCAGCAACGTGCAGAAAAAGTTTCCAACTTAGCCTTCAGCCGCTCTCCATTCACCTTAAAGTTATTAAATAACCAGTAATATTCACAAGAATCTACTAAACCCTTCAGCAAATAGGACACAGGAAAAAAGCTTAAGTTGATGGATTCATAGCCTTAGGCTCCTCAGCAGTTCCCTGTTATTTTCACACATCAATTCAGAGGAAACATGAACTCTCAACCTGCTATTTTTCCCATTCGAAACTTCATTGACCACAAGCAAATTTTAAAATAAATTTAAGAAAGTCATTGGAACGACAACATGAGCCGTGGCCACCCCTATGTGTGGCAAGGATTTGTGGATATACATCAGAAGTCTTCAGTCAAAGGACGTTAATAATGCTTTTCTGGGAGGGGACTTTTATTCATTTTAATTTTAAATAATAAAGAACTGTGTAGGGAAGTAGCCAGTAGGGGTGAATTAGCTTGAAGCGGGTGACAAAAGAGGACTGTCCCCCTGTCCTGTCCCTTCCTAATTCTGTTATAGGAGAGGGACCAAACCAATATGCGGTCCATCCATGTCTATTAGTAACATCAATTTTTTTTTTTTTTTTTCGGTCCATCCATGTCTATTAGTAACATCAATTTTTTTTTTTTTTTTTATCATAGTTTTTAGCACATATACTATTCACCTCGTTAAACTTTTCGATTAATGTATTCATCTAACAAGAAAATCAATAGGTTATTTATCTGAATTTATAAATTAAATTTTAGATGAAAGAAAAAAAAATATTTCTAAAATTAATTCAACAAATTATATAATTTATTAGATAAAAGTAAAAAATTTTCCTCGTAAAATTATAAAATGATACTATAAAATAACTTTTCGATGATTTAACAATTAACTATTGTTATTACTTTTTAATTAGTTGGCTGAATAAAAAAATAAATTTAAATTCAGTATTTAAAATTCAATCCAAACAAACGGCTTTTAAATTTCATAAAATATTTATAACATTATTTTGGGACATCAAAAATTTATTTTCTTTTCCACACACATATATTTATACTCGAGTCAAATATGATTTAGATAAAAAAATTTCATCGGTGTTTTGACTATAGATTCTGAACATTTATCACATATTAGATTTGGATAAGTTATTTCATTAATAATTTCCAAAATTATGGCTCAACGAATTAGATTTTGTACCATTAGTACAAATTTCCTTGTGCGACGTGCTATGATATGATTCTTTATTTAGTTTTGAACAATGGGAAAATAGTTATGATCCCTTAGGCTTTATCGTTGACCGTATCTCTCTTGGACTGAAAATGGAATAGAATTTGCAAGAATCTAGCCAACTTGCCATTAGAGGATGAGTGAGAGTTTAATAGATTCATATTTAGATGACAGCGTTGAAAATAAATATAAGGAAATTAGCGTTGGAGACTCCGCACAGACGTAGATGATGACGATGATCTTTCACCCACCTTCCAAAGTATTCACAAGCTGGTAAAACGGCATACTAACCGATGATCTTTCACCCACCTTCCAAAGTATTCACAAGCTGGTAAAACGGCATACTAACCTCACCGGTCAGTCGCCGTTTAGGTTCGGAAATGGTAAAAAAAAAAATTCATGTCAAATTCTTAAACTGAATATTAGCATAAATTAGGTTTGTGGAAATGCCTTTAAATTGTGCATGTGAATTATATTTGATTCGAACTTAAATGAGATAAATAAAAAATCGTATCAAAATTAATCGACAATTTTAATTCTATATTAAATTAAAAGCATTATCCACAAGTTCGATTCTAATTTTATTTATTTACAATTGACATTTCAATTAAGTTCGATCATTAGTTTAATAAATTGAAAAAAAAAACGGTTTGATTTTATGTATTTTTAATTCAAAAAAGTCCGAATTAGAGTAAAATGGACAACAAAATCAAAATGGGGTGGATTGTAAATATCTGTAAATTCGGAATATCCTGATATATTAAGCTACATATACGTGACAAACTTGAATTTGTTAACTCATACTCTTGCTTGTATATTACAGATTAGAATTTGACCTATAAGTCAAGTGGTTTTCATTTCCTTTTTAATGTTTGTGTCCTGCCAAATATGGTATGATTGATTTATGGAGGAACCACGTTATAAAGGGAGAACCAGTATGATAATCCTCGGCAATTGCACTGAGTCGGCAGCTTATTCAACCGAGTCCTCCTGAGTCAACGCGGTGGGATCACCAATCAATATATCTTTTTGCCTCAATTATACTGGGAGTCGGACCTACCATTCTCAATATTACTGGGAGGTCGGACCTACCATACATTTCCTGGCGTGAAAGCCCATGGACGGTTGACGACGACCTATTTCGCAACAGAGTTAAACAGTGCGAATTCAAATTTAGATTTTTTTCTAAAATTTCTCCGCGCTATCTTATGGCGAAATGAACTCCATTACCGTTCAAACCCAAAACACACGCTACGCTTCATATTAATATTACACACCACTTTCTTTGACTGTCTCTTATTTATTTTACTAATTTTCTTCCAGGCTTTTTCGATAAACAATCATTACATCATCACGAATCTCAACCCAGCAGCAGATTTCAATAACAAGAAGCAATATTAAACAATGGCCAAGGCGGATGCGAAAAGAAATGGGACCAAACACTATGTCTCCTTTACAAGACGGGCAAGTTCAATCTCTTCTCCACAGGTCAGTTGAATTCTCTCCTCCTTACAAACAGATTGCTTGAGTTTTCAGATTACGCGAGCCGATCGCGACTGAGAACTCATGGGAGGGACAATTTTTGTATATTAGTGAGTGTGTTTAGTATTTCTTTTTTTTTTGCGGACACAACTTTGTTTTGAAATCTTACAGGGGTTGGTTTATTGGAACGATGGCAGGGTGACGGTACTGGCTCGATGACTAGATGAGATCTTTTGAATGGGATTCCAAACGCACAGCTTTAGGGGAAGTATTACACGCAGAGATCAACTCCCGGACGGCTTTCTCATCACCGAAGGCACATCCGTGTCTCCTACTTGGCCCTGGGATAATTTTGTCACTTCTACTTCATGTCAAATAGCTAGCCTTTTGTGGATGGTGGCTCACCGAGCTCACTTCATTGGTGATTGGTCAGTGGGCCCCAAGAAAGAAACAGCCACTTGCCCAAATGATCTTTTGTTAGAAATCTAGTCTAAGAACTCATTGGTCAGGTTTAACGTCTTGCGGGATTTGACTTTTACTAAGTTTTTTCTTTAGATTAAATTTATAAAATCATAATGAAAATAATTAGAAGATCGATAGCGATTGAAGAATTTATTTTCGGTTCATTGATATATTTCTTACAAACATATAACAAAATCAGGTGCTAAGAAATGAAACATTCATTCATATATAGAGAGATTATCGAATTAGAAGATGCTATCATAGGAAATTAAATTGGTTTTTAAACTACATGACAATTATTCTTTTTTGGTCGACAGTATTTCTTGCTTAAAGACAGGAAACTTTTTAAAGGAACTTTATTGGCAGTTTTCTATTTCTTTGTTTCCTTCATTTGTAATTAATTAATTGATGCCATCTTATGCCTTTTGGGGCGAGGAGGTGACATGTTTGTTTAAAGAAGCTTTATAAATTGTGTTTAGCAGAAGTGTAGTTTATCATACAAATTCCAAGTAATATTTTATTAGAAAGAATTGCACTCTCATTAACTTTGAGTGATCACATTTTTCGATAATCATCAATCTAGTATGTCTGAAAAAAATCTATCTCACGACCCAAACAATTTTTTTTTTTTTCAGCTCTGAATCTCATAGGTGATGGGCTGATACATGCGCCCAAGTCTATGTTTATCAGACGGGATATAAGCAAAAAGCTTACTGGGCAATGGGCATATTAGTTTTTTTTTTTTTTTTTTTTCATTTTAAGTGTGCATATAGCTCCAATAAATGCATATATAAAATTTGATCATGGTCTGTTCCTCACCCACTTAGAACTCCAATAGGAAAAATTATTTTTCCTCTTAAATTCACTTTGGTGGAAGTTCGGTATTTATATATATATTTCCAGTCTGGATTTACTATCTTAAATCTCAAAAAACCAGGTCCTCCATGTCCCCGGAATTTATTTCAGATGAACAAGTGGAGTGCATGGAGAAGCGTGGTGGATGCAGTTCATGCCCAAAGGGAGCATTTATTACTGTCAACTCGTGGCATGTTGGCCGTGCATCTATACAGGTAAAATTTCCACGCATTTATCTTGATTAAAAGACACAATGCACCAACTTCTCCTATTTCACATTACACCAACACGATGGCATTTGAACAAACAGCACCAGATTCTACATTTTCTGATTTTCAAGATTTTTTACTTCACCACATGAACGGTGTGGGAGCATTTATGTTGCGTTTATATCTTATCTTTAACACAAGATCCTCTTAGGTTACATATAATCACACACATGAACGGTGTGGGAGCATTAGGTTTCGGTTTATATCTTATCTTTAACACAAGATCCTCTTAGTTACATTATATTTGTTGAATGGTAAGCTGCTCTTATTGTTGAAGCACTGATCATTTTAATTGTGTATTCTACCAACAAATTAGTTTATCAACCCAATGGAGCTGCACCCATATCATCGACGAGCAAGCCCATATCAAACAGATGGAGAATTCTCATGCCAGATGGGTCCTATGGCAAGTACCCAACACCTAGGCGATTGGAAACCTCTGAAATACTTGACGTAGTGGAGAATTATCGCCAGGCAGCCGTGAATGCCATTCGAGCAGGTCAGTATAATGATTGCATTTATTCTTTAAGGCTTCAAAGCAGTACTAAAGCTGAATTCAAATAAAGAAAGAGCAATAATTAAATATCAAAAAAAGAAAAAAAGAAAAGGAAGGAGAAGAAAAGGACTATGCATTCTTGAAATCTTACGAAAAGGTGTTTAGCTATGATGCCCCTCTATGATGTATCCCCTGATCTACACTTGCATGCCAACTAGTGGAGCCACTATCATTGTGCCTCGTTTTGGTAGCATGCATTATTATAATCAAGAAACCGGTTCAGCACACATCACTGTGGACTCACTTCCTATCCATGGCCCACTTCTGGGAGAAAGATGAAGTCCTCTGGGCTAACTATGCTTTAGGTTATTGTTGAGCAAGACAATAAATAAAAATGGAGTAAGATAACTTCAAAACTTCTAATTTTTAATGCCTGAATGTTTTAAAATTAGAGCTGTCCTTTGGTAAAACTTTAGTCTTCCTGCAAAAAAGGTTGCTGGATTGCTGTAGTTAGGATATTGGTAACATCGGCATGGCCTTGTGCCATAATAGTGGATCTCTTTGCGTGGTAGTTTTGATTTGAAGCTATAGGTCAGTGGACACGCTATACAATAAAGCAGACACGAAAAACATATTTCAATTCTTGGGCTGACCTGATATCTATTAATTCTTCAAATTATCCAGCAAAACGATAAGACTGTTTCTAACTGGATTTCCCTGTACTCATATCATCGACTAAAGCATGTATTGATCATGTGATTTTCAGGATTTGATGGAATCGAGATCCATGGGGCTCATGGTTACCTCATTGATCAATTCTTAAAGGATGGGATCAATGACCGAACAGATGATTATGGTGGATCAATCAACAACAGGTGCAGATTCTTAATGCAGGTGATTCAAGCAATAGTTGATGCCATTGGTGCAGATCGTGTTGGTTTCAGAATGTCACCGGCAATTGATCACCTTGATGCAGTAGATTCTGATCCACTGAACTTGGGACTTGCAGTGATTGATAGACTTAACAAACTTCAGTTAAACGTTGGATCAAAACTCGCCTATCTCCATGTCACTCAGCCTCGCTACACAGCTTACGGTCAAACAGAATCAGGCAGAGGTGGCTCTGAAGAAGAGGAAGCTCGGTTATTGAGAACATGGAGAAGGGAGTATCAAGGAACTTTCATTTCTAGTGGTGGGTTCACAAGGGAGCTAGGAATGCAAGCTATAGCTGAAGATGCTGCAGATCTGGTATCCTATGGCCGACTTTTTATTTCAAACCCGGACTTAGTTTTGAGATTAAAGCTCAATGCACCCTTGAATAAGTATGTCAGGAAGACTTTCTACACCCAAGATCCTGTTGTCGGCTACACAGACTACCCATTTTTGAGTGAAGTAAATGGGAACCAAGAGCCACTTTCACGCCTCTGAACTCAAAGTAATTGGAACTTTTGTGTATCGTATATGCATTTGAAGTTTTAATAAACATCCGGTATTTGGTCTATAAGTGAATGGCTTTGTCAAGACTTTCAGCTCAAACAAAGGTAATTATTTGTATCCTTCTTTGTTTGAAAGATTTAAAGTGTTTTGTATAATAATTTAATTCACATAAACATATGTTCAAAAGAAAAAGGTTTGTGACATTCTCCAACTTTGTAGTAAAATAAATAATTATATATATTATGGAAATTGTGATATTTAAATTAAGAAATACTTGCGGATGCTATTAAAGAAAAAGGCGATATTGGTTAATTTAGTAATTAACTATTATTTTCTAAACATGCGTTGCCAATTAGATAAGAAAATTAAAAATCTTAGTTATAAAATGCAGTAAGAATGGAAGCCTTGAAAGAATGCAGTAACATCTGCGAGTCGTTAGTACATGACGACTCAAAGATGAGCAGGAAGAGCGCTTATCTGAAATCATGGAGAGCAATCCAGAGGGTTTTTGCACAATTTCATCAACTAACACACAGCAACCATACAATGTAGAATCGTCAGCAACCTGAGAAACAAATATCAGATGTTCAGAAATAAATTCAAGAAAGAGGTCTTGTTAATTGCATTTTCATCCAGAAGAAAGTGGCGTAGTATTTGAATGTTACCTGTAATCGAAATACGAAAGACAGGTCACTTTTTTTAAGGTGCTCCTGCAAACAATGCACCACAATTGAGATTTAATTAAGTAAACTGACATGCATATTTGGAATCATATATAGGGAACATTAGCATAAGCTTTCTAACACATTTGCAGGAGTAGGTTTTTCGTACTTTGGACATAATAGAGACACGTGATCAAAATGCAAAAGAAAATGGTCCATGATAAAGCTAAATGACAAAGAGGACATTTTGTAACCAATCCGTGCAGTTGAAATGCAGTGTTCTAAAAATTAAACTTAAACATTGCACTTAATTAATGGAAAATATAGCACAAACTCCAATGGGAAGGGAAAGTCATCAATTTGCTCTCAGCTATCTGGTACTTACTGAGACTAGGTATTTTAGTTAAGAATTAATAACATGTAGTGGATTCCTGCATGGCATAGGCACAGATCCTGTAACGACCACTAAAATGACACCAAAAGGAAATCTTTATCACTCCAGTATCTCTCTATATATAAATGGTAGCAAATATCCATCACTCACGCCCTAAAGTGTGAATTTTAGAACAACTACTCTCAGAAAAGATGATTCTTGCTATCTTCATTGTCTTTTCTCTTCTCTCTTCTTCCTATGCTTCAGTGCAAGACTTTTGCGTTGGGGACTTATCAGGTCCTGAAGGCCCTGCAGGATTTTCCTGCAAGAAAGCTGCATCAGTTACAGTAAAAGATTTTGTTTATTCTGGGCTTGGCGTTGCAGGAAATACAACAAACATTATAAAAGCTGCTGTTACACCAGCATTTGCTGCACAATTTCCTGGGGTCAACGGGCTTGGAATTTCCATGGCTCGTTTAGACTTGGCCCCTGGAGGAGTTATTCCGTTCCATACACATCCAGGAGCATCAGAAGTGCTAGTTGTAATACAAGGGACAATTTGTGCTGGTTTTGTTTCCTCTGCTAATAAAGTTTTCTTTCAAACACTTAAAAAGGGAGATATTATGGTATTTCCACAAGGTTTATTGCATTTTCAAATAAATGGAGGTGGGTCTCCTGCTCTTGCATTTGTTAGCTTTAGCAGTCCATTTCCAGGTCTTCAGATTCTCGACTATGCTCTTTTCGGAAACGACTTGCCGTCTGACATTATTGAGATGACTACCTTCCTAGACGCTGCTCAGGTTAAGAAGCTCAAGGGTGTTCTCGGCGGCACAAACTGAGGCCTATAGGCCACATTGTCAAGTTTTAAGTAATAAAGAGTCTAGCTAGTCAGTGTTAGTGTTTTTAATTTCCAATAATTGTTTCTTGAAGTTGAGTTGTGGTTCCTGTTTCGTTCTTGAGTTTAAGTGCAAAATGCAATTTTAATTTAGGAAAGGCAAATTAAACGCCTTCAGTTGTGTCAGTAGTAACTAGCATATGTGCACTGTTGGACAAATAAATGCACGCTGTTTATCAATAATTTTAGATGTCATTTTTGTGTATTTGGTCAGTTTTTAGAAACAACAGAAGGAAATGGGTATGGATTGAATATGTGATAACCTTATCTACAACTTTGTATGGGTATGGATTTACCAAGAGACACAAATCTTTTACCTGCAACAAAAATCAAATCCTATTCTAGTCACTGCTTATTTAAAAATAATATTATATATATATATATATATACTATTCTGGTCACTGCTCCTATTGTACAAAATAATCACTTATATCTTATATAGTCACCTACTATACTACACAGCCGAAACGCTCAGCATAGCACTAATAACGGTGCACGTGTCGAAATTGTTAACGCCTACGTATACGTCGCAATTATCAACTGAAAAGCCAATAGACATACCCTGGCATTGTTTTTTATCTTTGAAAACTGCTTTCAGGCACCAAGTAAAATATATATATATATAAGAAACGCTCAGTAGCCTATAACGTGCAGTGTCGAAATGTTAAAGCCTACGTATAAGTCCAATTTATCAAATGAAAGCCCAATAGACATACCCTGCCATTGTTTTTTATTTTGAAATGTTCAGGCCCAAGAATAAGCTCAAGTAATCCCATGAAAACCCACCATTTCTGGCCCAACTTCTCTAGGGTTTTTTTTTTATTTATATATCTATTTATATAATCCATCAATCCTATACAAATAATTTTTTATTTTATTTGTCCTAAATAATAGGCCACTCTTGTTTGGAGAGTGCAATTGATTTGCTAATTCTTTAACGCCCCTCTATTCAATTTGTTTTGTCATCAACAGCTTTCATTGGCATGAAATTATTAAAATATTAGTTTTTTTTTTTTTGAAAGAGTATTAAAATATTAGTATTAATTAATATAGGAGTGCATTGAAAAGATGGAGGCAAAATTTATTAATTAATTTATTTGAAAATAAAAACAAAGTATATTTATTTATATGAAATGGATAAAATATTTAATTAAAGTTATGATTTGAATTTTCATAAATGAAAGAAAATAAAGATTTGCTGAAGGAAGAAGCAAAGACATTAATTATTACTGTAGTTGTCTCCAACAAATGATTGATTGGACAAAATTTATGTCGCCAGCCAATTCTCTGTCTTTAATCACAGCCAATACATGACAAAATTCCATACAGCTAACAGTTACAACCTTTATCCTTTTCTGGCCCCACCTATTCCCTTTCTTTTCTCAATCATATCATATCTCCATGAAAAAAAAATTAAATTCCATATAATATTTATTAGCTGGATCCGAATAATTTTCACTAATTTGATAATATCTCGTGTAGCTTATAATAATATTGGTCTATTTCATATAAATAAAAGAATTAAATTTCATTTTTTCAATATATGTTTAGAAATAATCCTATTTAAATTAAAAAACTATTTGAATTTGATTTGATTAATACAGGGAGTAAGTATTTCCCTTTCTATTATATCAACTGCTGTAAATTTTTTTTTTCTATTTTTAATTAAATTATTATAATTATATTACAAAAATGAGATTAAGAAATAAGATTATACGCAGGGAGGAGAGTTGTCTCTAGCTACAATTGCAAACAAACATGATTGATGATCCAAAATAAGCGAATCAATCGGTTGACAAGTATAGAAAATTAGGATTAAGCAAGTCAAATGGTAGAAGAGAGAGAATCGGCCAGGTAAGCAGGTTGAGGTTGGCAAATGGAAAAGAAAGGAAATGGACCTTCTCTCTCTCTCTCTGTCTCCCTGTCTCTCTGTCTTTGCTGCGTATGAAATGGAAATGCTATGAGAGAGAGAAAGAGAGAGAGAGAGAGAGAGAGAGAGAAAGAGAGTTCTATTTCTTTCTCTTTCTTTGCCAGTCTGTCATTCATAGAACCTCTCTTTCTCATCTTCTATACATATATATACTCATATGTTTTTTGTTTGTTCCGCATTTGATTTGATATCTTTCGGCCTTAATTAGATTCAATAATCAGAGAGACCCTCCGCTTCCACACCATGAGTCTCTTTGGCCTTGGAAGCAGGTATTCTCCTCTCTTCTTCTTTAATCATCGTCGTCGGTTGTTTAGGATTTCATTTAATTTCTGTCCAACCAACTGCAATTTTGAGCATCGGACATTTTTGAAAATTGTGTACAGGAATTAATTTCGTCGCTTTATGTCTTTGTATATATTGATTCTTTTTCAATCTTTCATATACGTGTAGACCTTCTCTCACATGCAATGCGTAAGAAGTGCGGTTGAATATTGATGGATAATGATTTAGAAATTACTATGATTTAGCTTTACGAGTTTAATGATTAAATGCCCTTTGTGTGGTTGATTTTTATTTTTTTTTTATTTTGCAATACAATGAGTTTTATCAATGGTTTTGAATTTGCATAATTACGCTTTATTTGTAATTATACATTTTTATATAGTGGATCACTTAATAGCTTATTAGCATCTATAAGCATGCATACATTTTAGCTAGGTGGATATGACTTCTAATTAATAATGAAAGTATTCTTATTTTCAGTAAAATGGAAAATCTAATTACTGCCATTTGAATAATGCAGAAACCAGAAGACATTTCGGCCTAAGAAGAATGCTCCGTCTGGAAGCAAGGTTGGTGGATCTTCGCTTTTGGTTTTGCGATTCTTATGTAATGTTTAATTGGTATTAAGCTCATAGTTTTTGTTCATATGCCAATTGCAATGCTACTTGAATCTATTTACAGGGTGCTCAACTTCAAAAACACATAGATGCTACCTTGGGTAGTGGAAACCTAAGAGAGGCTGTGCGATTACCTCCTGGAGAAGATATCAATGAATGGTTGGCTGTTAACAGTAAGAATAAGATCCTCCGCATTTTTATTTTTTTCGTTTAAATTTTTATTTATTTATGTTCTTGTCGTGCAGCTGTGGACTTTTTCAATCAAGTGAACATTTTATATGGAACTCTTACTGAATTCTGCACAGCAACAAGCTGTCCAACAATGACTGCAGGACCAAAGTATCCTTATTGACGCCTTAAGATTTAAATTGATTTTTCTTTATGTTTGGTTGTATAATGTTAATGTTAATGCTTAACCTTATTTACTGGGATAATAGAAATAATTTTATTAAGCATTTTTTGTATTAATCAAAGTCCATTATAGGTTTGTTTCCCTCTTTTTGTACATTGAGGTATCTTCCAATTCTTAAACCATGGGTGTTGAAAATTTAAAATCGTATAAATGGAAAGTAATTCTTCATATATAGGCAATAAGCTCATATCTAATATGTCATTTTACTTTTTAACTTATGCCTTCATGGTTTACATAATTTTGTTCATTTGTCTATAGATATGAATATAGATGGGCCGATGGAATAACCATTAAAAAGCCAATCGAAGTGTCTGCTCCAAAATACGTTGAATATCTGATGGACTGGATTGAGGCTCAACTAGATGATGAAATGATTTTCCCTCAAAAATTGGGTAAGTGGAATTCCCTAATGAGATAAAAGTTAAAACAAGCACCTTCTTTTTTTTTTTTTTTTTTTCAAAAATACGGTTTGGATCATAGTCTGATGGACTGGGATGTCGAGGCTCAATTGCCTAGATGATGAAATCAGCAATTTTCTCAAAAAATTAATCAAAGTGGATATTCCTAATGAGATAATATAGTTAAAACAAGCACCTTCTTTTTTTTTTTTTTTTTTTGAAACCTGCAGTTTTTTATAACCAAATGCTGTATGGCTAGGATGAGATCATGCTTATTACAAGCTTTGTATTGATATTTTTTTTTTTTTTTTTTTTGAAACCTCAGTTTTTTATAACCAAATGCTGTATGCTAGGATGAATCTCTTATTACAAGTCTTGTATGATACAGGAGCACCTTTTCCTACAAATTTCAGAGATGTTGTTAAGACAATATTTAAGCGGCTATTTCGAGTATATGCCCACATCTATCATGAGCATTTTCAGAAGATTGTGAGTTTGAAAGAAGAAGCTCATCTAAATACTTGCTTTAAGCATTTCGTTCTCTTCACATGGGTAAGTTTTTTTTATATCATGAAGTTTTCAGCTTTATGTCGTGTTCTTATACTATATCTCCAGCCAGACAATTCTCATTTCATTTTTGCTTTTATCAAGCTCCAAAAGCTTAGTTGAAAGCAATGGGAACATACAATTTTTTTTTTTTTCATTTTTTCTATTTCTTTATTTGACATTATTTATTTCATTATTATCATTTCTATTGAGCTTGAAAACTTCAGTTCCAACTATTCTTTAACTTTTTTTTTACTCTGACATGGTACAGGAATTCCGCTTGATTGACAAAGGAGAGCTTGCACCACTGCAAGACCTTGTTGAGTCTATTCTGCAATTGTAGTAAACTGCAGATATCAATTTCTTAATTTTTTAGCTTTTAGCATGAATGTTCTGGGTAGACATTTTTGTGAGCTTCTGTTTGTTCATGTTATTTGTCCCTTCATTTATTGATTTATTGTTCTCAACCAATAGAAATGACTTGATAACCTCATAAATGAAAATAGATTTTGATTCCAACTGTAATGAGACACTTCATTTTTTTTTTTTCTGTTAATAATTCAAAAGCGGCAAGCTATTGAGTTTCAACTCTCTGTTATTGGTGGCTGTTTCAGCAAGCAACAAACTGGATAGGTCTCATGGCAATCTGTCAATATAATTTTAGGCTTACAAGCAACGCAGCATCTCCACCTGAACCCAGCAGAAATATTATTTTTTGCTTCTAGCCTTCACCAAAAAGAATTTTGATGATGCTGTAACGATAAATAATGAGGATTCTTTGTGTTATGTTTTCCGATACAAGGGAATAAATAGAGGGGAGAGGGGAGAGGTCAGGATGACATTTGTAAAAACAGTAACGAAAGCAACTCAACACATTTCTTTGGAATGATATTTTCATATTATTGATATCCAACATTCTAATCAAATTAGTAAGTTAAACATCGTAAACCTAGTTGAAGAGGAAGCACCTCCCAATCTTTGTTTTTACCCACCAAAAATCCCTAAAGTGTTCAAGTGTAGTCAAGTACAAAGAACATTTTCATGTGTCCATTTTCAGTTGTAACACTATAAGAATGGTGTATAAACCTGTCCGCGATCACCAGTATATACTATGTTGCAAGAATGACCTTGTTGAATTGGCTGTCCTCCCTGAGATTTTTCTCCCTGAAATCAGGAACTTCTTCAAACAGTAAAACAATTCTCACTTGGTTGCAAATGTTTAAGATTTCCACTTTCCATGATAGTGTGTGGAAAAATGGTAGCATGCAATTTTTCGCAAGCAGTTGAGCTCACACCATCAAATATTTCAATACTTGCCTATATACTCTACTTTTCAGGTGTTCTTTCACAAATACATCCTGGAAGGGGATTTGCATAAAAACTTTCCTCCAGCTTTGGAAACTCTCCGGGCTCCCTTTGATATGGAGCTCCGATTCGATCTTTGTGAAGTTCTTTCACTTCAGAACTGAATGTCTCCCAAGATATTTTTCCTTCATCCAACTCATCCACAAGTTTCACAAAATTCACCCTGCAATAATCAGTAACAGCAATAATTATAATTATTATTATTATTTTTGTGAATGATGAAATAACAAGCAGAAAGTTAATGGAGAAAAAAATCAATGACCACTGAGTCAGGCAAAAGGTTGACATTACTTGTCTGGATTGATAGTCTTCTTAAAGTCCTCAAATCGCCTATGACCTTGAACTGCCTTTGCCATATTTCCATCATACGTATATACAAATACATCGCTCTGAAGTGCAACGACATAGTCTAAACCAGCCAACATGTTTTGATGATTCTTGAAAGGATTAAGCTCGTCTTCTGTAGAGAGAGTGGAATGTGAGAATATGTTAGGGAAGTCATCCAGAAGATATTGCATGCTTCCTTTCCCATAAGCTTCACCAGCAACTAAGTAAATCCTGGTACTGGATGGAAAACCCAGCCCTTTAAGCAAAAGAGAAGTCTCCCTAGGCGTCAATGGGCAACTACCAAGCAATCTTCTTTCTGTTCCATTTATTTCTTTCTCCTTCCAATGGCTGACTTCATACCGCATGTTACGTAGCTCTTCATTTTCTTCTGCCGTCAAATTATGACTGCAGCCAGTAAATGCAAGCATATCCTTCTCATACCTATAGTCAGAGAGATAGAGCACCAATTAATGATATGAATTGGAAATGAAAATAGGATAACTTGAACAAGTTTCCATTGCAATGTAAAATATTTCTGATACTATAAGAGCAAAGGACATAAAAGCGCAGTTGTTCCCCGTGATAGCCATGCATAATTTTGCCAAACCTTAGAACTAATCCAGAGAACAGATTTTTTTTCCCTTAATTCTTCAGAAAGGGGTGGTAAAATAGCATTCATGAGAAAGTAAACATGTTTTATAGCTATAAGAAAACAACTCATCTTATTTTTAGGAAGAGATTTAATGATGAGAACTTGCCTCAAATGAAGAGCAAGATAAGGGCTTCCACTTTCTCTCATTCTGGACACCAAGACATTTCCCAGCTCTTCTATTGGTTCAGAATATCTTAATGCTCTGTAATTAACACGGCATCTCAGCTTTTGTATGGATTCTCGGATATCATTGTTGGCAAGCCGAGAATCAGTGTGAGTAAAGTACATAACTTTGTGCTGCTTCAACAATGGCAGGACTTCAGTTTTATAATAACTAACCTGAACAAATAAAACACAGGTCAAACAGATAGTTAGCAGTCTTTGAGAAGGTAACAGTAATCATGAAATCCTTATGGACTAGTCAACACTGTACTGCTTCTCCACAGAAAATAAAAGGAATAAGAGTTAATTAATTATACACCAACCTTAGACCAAGATATAGGTGTTTTCATAAAAGGCTCAATTGCAGCATAGGCAGGTGGTAATGCCTCCACAATGTGTATATCATTCTTCAATGTTTCAATAAAATGTTGCCAATTGAAGAGATCCTTAAAGCCACTGCAATAAATGAAATAGATTAGCTCGTAGATCATCTGAAAAATTTACAGCATGCTTATGCAGTTCAAGCACTGGATAAAAGGTGCCCAAAGTACCAGAGTGAAACCCCCTTCACTGTTAGGGTTTTCCATAACAATATAATTTAGTCTAGTAGTAACTCATATTACAAGTCATATTCGGATTGAGAAGAACATGAAAAAATTATACTCTTCCATAACAATAATATGCTCACGTGGATCTAAAAAGGTCACTGCTCTTACTGTTAGTATACTCTTCTAAGCATAAGAACATACTTCGGATCAGTCATCATATTCATTTCTATCATAAGCGACTAAAATATTCTACAGCCAAATCAGATCAACAGTAGTCAGCCTAGAAGGAAAAATGCCAAAATCATTGTTGAAAGTTATTCCTATGCTAAAGCAGTTGTGGAGCCACTTAGACAGCAGACAGGATCTGGCCTCCCTGAAAGTCTATAAGGTCTCTTATTACCGAGTTTTTATAAATGGTAAGTGGAGACTTCATAAGACACACCACCAAACAACCCCCCCAAAAAAAAAAAGTTTTTTGAGTCTCATGGTTTTCTATTGATATGGACGACTAAAAATCTAGAAATTTTAAACTCAAGCAAATCATCCATAATGCTACAAAATTCTGCCCCTAATTGTTAAGAAGTCCCAATTTTGTTACATAAGATTGAAATTATGTTTATAATTTTGTTACAAAATTATGTTTATTTCATTTTTTTTTTCTAATATATATTTTTCTTATTTATATTTCTGTTTCTAATAAATCTAAAACTCGTGAGTTTGAAAAACAAAATAACCTTTCATCAGCCCAGTAGGAGGTATGATCGAGAGACGGGAGAACAAGCGTCGCCTTCATAATCTTAGTGACAGCAACCATATCACAGATCTGCAAACTAGAATTTTTGACACATCAGACCATTTGTGTTATGAAATGTAAAATCAGCCAAAAGAAACTATCTAAAGCACAAAATGACCAGACCCCAAATCTCATCTGATTTAAGCCACCATTTGCATTTATAAGAATGTAACCGTTTGTCTTTGGATCCAGCTCTGTCAAGAAAAGAATGAGGAATTTGAGGAAATCATAATACAACATGTGCATAGAGAGAGATTGAGAGAGGAGATCATAATACATGTAACTGATTAAGTTCCATACTTTTCTGGCTCTTTGACTGGCCAATACACTGAGTGAAATTCTCACTGTTGGGTTTGGACCAGATACCTGAGAACTGAACAAAATGAATTTCAGAAACGACGCAATGAAATATTTTACACAATTTTTCACAAGGTTTAGTTTTCTGCTGATTCTGAGATAAGACAAATTTAGATCTTCTGCTTTCTTGTCTTTTGATAAAATAATCTGATTTTCACTATGTAATAAAATACTTTAGATGAAATTCGGCAACTTACTTCACCAACAATGCCTGATTTTACCATCGCCAGGCGTCGCTCTGTATCAACCTCTCCCTTGCCATACCCATAAGCACTAGAGTCTTGAGAACTTCGAGAAATGTCATGCATTTGAGTTGTGGAATCAAGTAAATCCTAATTTCAAATGCAAAATAGTTTAGGTGATATAAAATGCACAACTAGCAGAATGAATAACATGCAAGTGCATAAAGCTGCACAAATAAACTCAAACTATTGAAAGACAAGTTAGACTACCAGAGCAAGAAACACATCCACAGAGAAAATAGATATGTTCATTTGTCATCGGTATAACCAAATTTATATCAGATAGTAAGAATGAAATGTCTGGAGAACATGCATCTCCATCTATTCTACATCATGCAGCAAGTGATTCTTATTATTTATTAATGTATATATTCATCATATTGAAGTGCAGTTTATATTGTTCCCAGGCACAAGAAATCCACTTTGCAGGTATATGAATACGATAGATAAAGAAATTGGAATTTTCTACAGATGACCTTCATAGGCCATATACTAATTTAGTATTAGATGCCCAGAAGTTGGATTTAGAATATGATTTCAAACGATATTTGGACAACTTAAGTTTCATTTTTTCTTGTCAGTAAAAAATGATAAAAGCTATTTAATGCTTCTATACTACGGGCATTATCTTATACTATGGAAATCATATGGCAGAACGATATCCTGTAAATATAGTCCTCAAGTTGCTCATGCTCTGACATTAGCTAAAAACAATTTCCTCGTCCAAATACGCGCAACTACTCTAAAATGGTGAAAACTACCATCCAAATGGCAATTTGTACCGGAAATTCATCAACAAAGGCATTTAACAAATGATCTGTGATAGAAACTCCATCACTCAAAAAGTATCTACTGTACAAATGTATGCAACCGAAAAGGGGACATATGAACTAACCTGATCAAAGGTAGCTCTGTCAAGGGCAGATCCAAACCATCCATTGGCACAAATCTTGAGAACACCCAGAAACAAACACACGCCACAAAACACAAAGAACATCAAATGCCCCAACTTCTTCTTCTCTCTCAACCCCAACTCCGCCACAGCAGATCCAAAACCTCCCTTTTTATTCAACAAGCTCTTGACGACTCCACCATGAACTCTCTGTGTGACATACTGGTGAGTTTGCCTTTCAAAAACCTCAACAGATTCAGATCTAGGCGAATTAACTTGTAAATCAATTTCGTGACTATTACTGCTGCTAGTGGTAGTATTGGTACTACAGATTTGGGTATTATGGGTATTGCCATTATTGTTGCGGGGGGAAGTGGACGAGGAAGTGTTACTACGCTTAAACGAGTGAGCCCGGCGAGTCATAGAGCCCGAGAAACGAGGGCTATTAACTCTCTGAGAAACGCCATCAGTACTATTATGGTTGTGGTGATGACCCATGAAAATGAATAATTTTTGAAATAGGTAATGCCAGTGTGATTTACTGATTTGCCTTATCAACAGGCAGCAATAACTGATTCTTATTAAGTTGCCATTAACGAACGAGAAAGATAAAATTTTTATCTGAATAATTACCCAGTCTTGTAGCTGTTTTGCTTCTCTTTCCTTCTTTTATCTTTTTCTGTCTGGAAAAGAAATCTTCAAGCTTTGTTGCAGAGATACTCCTGTAAAGCGCTCTCTCTGTCTGGCTCACAATTCTGAAGTGAGTTAGATACTTAGATCTAAAATTTTGTTATTTTTCCTTAAAAAAATTATTATTTTACTCATAAAGAATAATGCCATTACTATTGCTAATCTATGGAGAAAAATAAATTATTCAATGGGTTAATGTTATTTTTATTACCAAAATTATTTGCATAAAAAAGCTGTTAACCTATTTTTCATAAAATACCAGATAAAGATGGTAAAAATCTAGTATGAAAAGAAGTCTAATGGTGTCTGTCAATTGTTGTTTGAAAAAAAGAGCATTCGCTGTCCGTTGAAAGATCAAAGCTTTAACCTTTTGCCAAAGAAAAAACAAATCAAAGCTTAACAACTTTTTACAATAATAATTGATGCTGCAAAAGTTTATTTCTGAAGAGAGATTAAAAATGTGGTGATTGAAACAAAATCATGTCTTAATTAACAAATATAGTTAATTAATAATAAAAAAATTATTTCTCTATCTATCTATTTCAATTTCCAATGGAAATTTAGTTCTATTTACTACAGTAATAAAAAGTGATATTGCATTTTGAAAAGGTTTAAATCTCATTAATGAAAAATCCAACACATTAATTAATTTAAAAACTGTTCCTTCAAAAGGCAATTTACATAATTGCTTGAATTTGAAAGATTGCAATTCTTTTCAACTAAAAAAAGAAAATCCCATCAATATAGCACACAGAGAGACAGTCTCCCATGTGTCAAAAGGAAAATAGTAGGAGTACAAAATTGACCAAAACAATGACTTTTTAAACCATGCAATAAAACAGTAATAATATAGCGTAAAAAAAAAAAAAGTTTGATAATCTACGGAGACAGGAAGCAATGAACTCGAAAATTAAATTAATTTGAAAAAATCATAAAAAAAAGGTTAACAAGGTCTGATTTGATTAATTTTTCTATTCATGTAGAGTTTCTCGATTCATTAATCTTTCTATTTATATGGAGTTCTTCGATAATACGAATTTAGTAAGTAAATAAGTTATTTATGTATGTTGTGTATGAAATAAGGAAAAAAAAAAAAGTTCTACGGCTACATTAATACAAATGGTTGCTTGAGCAGTAAATTATGGGTAACACAACAAGAGAACCTGATTTATAAATTGAAAACGCGTCTTCTTATTCTTGGACGTTATGATCTATACATCACATGTGACAAGAAAGTGAGAAATCAACCTTTGAAAAGGACAATACATGTGATTGGAAGTGAGACATCAACATTTAGTTATATGCAATGCAAGGATGACCAAATCTTGGTTTGGACTAAATAATTGAATTAAATTCATCTATTTAATTCAATGTGGTTTGATTTTTTCAATAAAATCGATTCAATTTGGTTAGCTAAAATTATTAAATTTAGAGACTTATTAGTGATTTTGTTTTTTTTTTTTTTTTTTTAAGAATGAGAAAGTTGACTGACTAAAATAATCAAAACAATACGATTATCATTTTAAAATACAAGTCACTCTACAACTAAATTCAAACAATACGATTTTGGTTGATTTAACTAGATTTCAGCCAAATAGAAAGGTAAAATTTATAACTTTGATTATTCGAGTTTGTTTTATTTCAATCCAATTAATTTGATTCTGTATATTTATTTAGTTTAGTTTGGTTTACGTGTTCTTAAAATTTGATTTTTTTTTTTCAGTTAGGACGGTTCAATTTAATTGGGTTGAACCAAATGTTCCGCCCTAGCAAGATGCTACTATATTATAATTTTTTTAAGTTAGTTATAAAACTCAGCATACACATGTAATATGTAAGATATTGAATTAGTAATACAAATAATGGTTAAATATTTTTCTAGGAATAAATAAATAAATAGTAATATAACAAATTATTTTCCATATAAGATGAAACCCCTATCACATTCGCCTTTACATGCCAATGTTTAAAAAGATTCCTGTATCTGTAAATGCTAAGAAGCTGCCTAAAAATCATTGGTGCAAACTGCGATGCACTGAGGGTCCCTCTCCCTCCCCCATTTGCTGCCCACCAAAGTTGACTAAAGTGGAAAGACAAAACAACCCTTCAGTTCTCGCGTTTCATTCCAGCATCTTGCCTTCCGTCGGAGTTCGGCCAGGATTTTAAAGTCATTTGGGTTACAATTAGCTGAAAAGGAAATAAAGAAGCATGCCGACGTTACGCGGCGAATAAACGGTGGCCTGCGTAAAGATTAAAGAATGAAACGCCGTTGATGATCTTATAATTCTTTCTTTTTTTTTTTTTTTTATTAAAGAATAATAAAGATACGGTAATATCCCTCTCACGTTTTTTTTTTTTTGGAATCGTCCCTCTCACGTGTGTAACGTATCTAACGTAATGCTAAATACGATATGCGCTTGAATTATCATAAATAAATTATAATTTTAAACAAATTTTACTTATAAGTTAAATATTTAATTATAGATGTAATTTTGAAATATTCAATTAGTGAAAAGAAAATTTAGCGTGAAATAAAATTTTTTCGCAAAAATCAAATGCATCAAGTCAAATTTTACATTTATCACTGTTTCAACGCAACTCTAGGCTTATGCGACATTGGGCCAGGCCAGAACCGGATCCGGATCATTATTCTTCTCTTCCAAACACTGAATTTGGCGGGAAATCCCAAGCGTCGCGCGGGATGCCTAAATCACTAAACCCTAATTTGTCGCCCCACAGTGCGGCACAAGTCCACCGCCGGTCTATTTCCTCCGCCGTCTACTGAACGAAAACATCGTTTGTCTATTTCTAACACTCTCACTTTTTCGCTCTAGTTTTCACTTCTCGCCATGGTTGTGCTCAGAAATCGTGAAATACTCCCTACTGAACCCACCCCGAAATACCTAACTAAACAGTCCACACCGGAGCCTGTCACTCCTAACCCAATTCACGAACCATCCGCGAGCCGGTCCAGCCAGTCTCCGCCCTCGCTCTCCCCGAACCTCGAAAATCACGAATTGGGCTCAGATTGTAAATCCACCCTGAGACGGAGTCTCCGTCTGGCTTCCAAATCTGTTGCAGCTGATGGTTACGTTGAAAATGGTTCGCGTAAGAGGAAGGGCGCCACCAGCATTCGATCGATGGAAGAGAATAAAGTGGTTGAAGACCAAATCGTTAATGAAGGTAAAGCGAAAGGTGATGATGTAGATTGCAAAATTAAGGAAGTTCTGAGTTTGAGGTCTGGTAAACGCGTTGTTAAGAGAAGAGTGGAATATAATAGTGGTGATAAGCCGGTTACTGAGAAAGGAAGAGAAGGTAAAGACGAAGATTTGAATGCTGAGGAAGTGACTAGAGAGAAAGGAAAGGGCAAATTAGGTGAGGAAATGGAGTATGATGTTGGCCAAGGTGTGGTGAATATAATTAATAAATTGGAGAACAATCAAGACACTTATGAGAGCTGTAATTCCATGGTAAGGAAGAGATATAGTGAAGAGCAGAAAGGGAAAGGAAAGCTGGTTGATGATGGTTCAGTATCAAATGTTAAAGAAGCACTGGAATTGAAATCTATGGTTAAGGATTTAGTTGATAGTTTGGGGGATACTGTGGCTATGGAAAATGGAAGGCAGTCTAAGAAGGCAAACAAAAGGGTGACTGTATCAAGAATGGAACAATTTCGGGATATAGCTAGGCAAAATGCTTCTCGATTTGCTCATTTTGAAAATCAAGAGCAAGAGGAGGAACATTTGCCTTCACAGGTTGATGTAGAAATGCCATCAGTGCAAGGGAATCAGGAAATTGAAGACTGGCCAGGTCCTTTCTCTACTGCTATGAAGATTATTAGGGATAGAGAAAGTAAGGCTAACTCACGGCAGGGTCCATCTACTTTAGAAAAAGCAAAATCTGTGCCAATTACATGGATTCCTAGAAGTAGTAAAGGCTCCAAATGCTCGAAAGCATCCATTCCTTCATTGCAAGAACTATGCATGAGAATAATTGTCAATAATTGTGATGCAGTTAGTTCACTTGAGCATGTCCCAGATGCTTTGAGGCACAGACTTTGCCAACTGCTCTGTGATAGTAAGAGAATGAATAGTCATTTTTTGGACCTTCTTGTCCATGGATCCCCTACAGAGATACGTGTTAAGGATTGTTCATGGCTGACAGAAGAAAATTTTCTGAAAAGTTTTGAGGGCTGTGACACCAACAATTTAACGGTATTTATATGAAAGCTTCAGTTCTCATATAATATCTGAAATGAAGTTCTGATTATTATTACAATGTTTTAGCTCTGCATAAAGCCCTAGGATTTCTAATGTGGTCAATCTAGAAAGGAATTGTTGTTGTTGTTTGTGAATAATCTATATTTTATTTTTTTTGAAATAATTTAGATGTTAATTTCTTCGCATATGGAGAATGGATTATTGCTTTTTCTTTCAGTGTCTGGAAATTGCATATAATCTGATTTCATTAAATCGTTGTTTTCTGCAATCAGGTTTTACAACTTGACCAATGTGGTCGTTGCATGCCAGATTATATTTTACCTGCTACCTTAGCAAGGTCATCAAGAAGCTTGCCTGCACTAATTTCTTTATCCCTAGCTGGTGCCTGTCGGCTTTCAGATATAGGACTGAGTTCAATTGTTTCTTCTGCTCCTGCATTAAGATCCATAAATCTCAGTCAATGCTCCCTTCTTACTTCCACTGGCATAGTCACTTTAGCGGATTCGTTGGGATCAGTTCTGCAGGAATTGTACATTGATGATTGCCAAAGCCTGGATCCTATGCTTCTTTTGCCAACATTGAAGAAGCTAGAACATCTGCAAGTATTATCACTGGCTGGAAATCAAACTATTTGTGATGATTTTGTCAGGGAATTTCTTGCTGCTCGTGGTCATAATATGAAGGAGCTTGTTTTGTCGGATTGCGTGTAAGCTTCTTTGGAAATTTCTATTTCTGATGTTTGTTAAATTTGCTTGGCCTTTATGGATGATTGTGCTTGGTGTTAATAATTTGATGCAGGAAATTGACTGATTCTTCCATTAAAGTTATTGCTGAAACTTGTCCTGGGTTATGTGCACTAAACCTTGTTAACTTGAGGAAATTAACAGATTTTTCTTTGGGATATCTTGCAAATGGTTGCCAAGAAATTCAAACATTAAAACTCTGCCGCAATGCATTCAGGTAAACACATAGTGTTTTGTTATTACTTATCTGCAATGCATTTCTATTTTCTGCAGATGTATGCTTTTACTTCTGTTTGTGTGCATGAGTATGGATTAGTGAGTGTTTAGGTTTCTCTTTTAGTACCTTATAAGCTTGCTTTGCATGCCAAAAAGAAGCATACACATTCGATTATAGACACCTTGTACTGAAGTAACCTTGATTGGCTGTTGACTGCCGCTAATTATTTTTTTTTCCTTCTCTTTTTGGTATACTTTTTCGTCATGGGTGTGCTGGAGCAGTTTCTCAGAGGGGGGTTGTTAATAATGGATCATGCTAGTGATGTTGAAGTTACTCCTGCTTTAACACGCCTGTTCTCATTTCTATTTATTTTGATATTGCTTGGCTAAAATTATCGTTCTGTTGCATTTTGCTCCCCCTTAAAGTGTTTGCCGATACAAGGAGAAGATTTCATAATTTCTTTTTAGTCTGCAGAAGGGAGGTTTCCTGAGTTTATACTCACTTTTTGTTGCTACACCTTGCCAAATTGTTAACTATTGAGGATAAGTTTATTTCTTCATAATAATGCTTTTTTTGGCTGTGTTGAAGGAATTCTTTCTCTTATGAAATTTTCTTCTTTGCTTTGCTGAATATAAACATTGTAGAACCTAGTGCTGCTGAATAGGAAGGATTTTAAGTTAGGTACATATTCTATCATGGAATATCAAGCATGCTAGTCTTTTCGTCTGTTTTGGCCATGTCAAAGTTCATAGTATCTTTTTTGTGCTAATAATGCCCTTATGTTGGGTGCTCACTACATTATTTATATAATGTTTTAATCCTTTTGTGACAGCGATGAAGCTATTGCTGCTTTCGTGGAAACCTCTGGGGAGGTTTTAAAAGATCTTTCACTGAACAATGTCAAGAAGGTAACTGCCCCCTCCCACCTCTCTCCAAGGCAGAAAGTTTTCATTCAGGGATTACTTTAAGAGTTTCCTTCATGTGATTTTGGTGTCAAATTACATTGGTCAGTTTGAATATGCACTCACCCTTTTGTTCTGCATAATTGCTGTTCTTGCATAATTCTCATTTTTTGCTGTCACGCTATTAATTGGTCTCGGTTTAAAGTTTTGAGCTTGTTTGAAGGGTCTGTTGGGAACTTGGAGCAAATCTAGGGGAATTAATTCTTGAATAATGATATATTTCCTGATATGGGCATCTTTGACTTAATTCTAGGTTGGAAACAATACAGCCTTGTCCCTTGCTAGACGTTCAAGAAACTTGCTAAGTTTGGATTTATCTTGGTGCCGGAACTTGACAGATGAAGCTGTGGGTTTGATTGTGGATAGTTGTTCATCATTGAGGGTCCTTAAACTCTTCGGATGTGGTCAGGTGATATTCCTTATAATATTAAGCCACATAAACCTTATTTATGTGTCTTTTTTATAAGCTGCCATTACATTTCTGAAATTTTATTGACCTTTAAGTTGGTGCTTTCTTTGCAGGTCACAGAAGTGCTCCTAGACGGCCACTCGAATCAACATGTACAAATCATTGGTCTGAAGATGTCTCCAGTGTTGGAACATATCAAGGTTCCTGATTCACAAGAATTTCCACTGCGATATTCCTGGGTACCTTCTATGTAGAACTGGCATGGACTATGGAAGTTGGTTTACCAGATGTAACTCTCTAACAAGTTAGAATGGTTTTCTACAAGCCAAATACGTTATTATTTATATATTATAATACCCTGTGTTTCTCTTTCAATCTCAAGTATTTAATGCAGCCCATACAAAACTGTTGGTAATCCCTACTGCCTAGGAACGTAGTTGTTAAATCAAATATTCTAAAAGAATCGTGAATTGAATCGGATGATAGGATTTGATATGAATTCTCAAAATTAATTGAAAATAAAAATATATATAAATAGAAACAATTCGAAATGATAATTGTCCCCCATTGACAAAATTACATAAACCTACGAATCAAAGGACTAACAGACTGGGATATGGCTGGCAAAGCTGCTGATACGATCACTATTTTTTTTTTTTTTTTTTTTTCTAGGAACGTAGTGTTAAATCAAAAATATTCTAAGAAAAGAAATCGTGCAACCATTGAATGCGGGAATGAAATAGGATTTTGATAATGAATTCTCAAAATTAATTGAAAATAAAAATATAATATAGAATTAAGAAAACAATTCGAATATTAATTGTCCCCCATTGACAAAATACATTTAAACCTACGAATCAAAGACTAACAGACTGGGATTATGGCGTGCCAAACTGCTGATACGATCACTATTTTTTTTTTTTTTTTTTTTTTTTTGGCAATTTGGGCATTGGAAGACTTCGGAAATCGGGTTCGGGTTTGAGCCTGAGCCCAAGATGGAACCCGTTTGCAGGTGAAGGTTGCTTGCTAGTTGCTACAACGTTAAGCTTCTCAACATTCAAAATGGGCAGCTGCAACGTTTTAGCATTATCAAGGAGGATTATTTCGAGCGCAAAGCTACCAAAATTATGGATAAAAATATTGGAACTTGTTGAGAATTTCTAGTTTTGTTATTTTTTTTTAAACTCGCAAATTTCCGGTTTAAAGAATGTGTTTTTTTTTTTTTTTTTTTTTTTTTTTTTTTTTTTTTTTTTTTTCGCGGTTTAAAGAAATGTGTTTTCTTTTTTTTTTGTTTTTTTTTTTTTTTTGTTTTTTTTTTTTGAAAATTATAGTAAGATTTTTTGTATATCAGAGGTCAGCGAATCTTAAGTAAATTCCCTTGCGAATCGAAGCCGATTTACAGCGCGGGAGGAGCTACGGAACAAGGAAGTTGTCATGATAGCGAGTTCATTATGTAGAGAAGCAATAATTGAGCAGGCAAGGTTTGACAATTAAGCAGTATGATGAATTGTTGTGCTTATGCACAGGTTCAAAATGTTTCGAACCACCCCTGATGTATTTTCGAGAGTGTTTCTACGCTTCTGGTATAGATGATGCTGTTCTGTTATTTCTGCAACATGTGAAAGTGTGTGGTATTAGACAGATTTTATAACCGCTGCAGACAAGAGTAGGTAAGTCTGTTTTCTCTTCCAGTACTTGAGAGATTGCGTGCTTCAACAATGCTGATAAAGAGAATGGCATCAGGATTGCTATATGAGCGTCAGCTTGGTCAAGGTCAAAAATCCAAACTCCAGAATAAGTAACCTACAAATGGGTGTACGCGCGGTTAAAGCCCCATCTTTTGAAGTACTTTTTTTTTTTTTTTTTTTTTTTTTTTTTTTTTTTTTGAAATTATAGTAAGATTTTTTATATCAGGTCAGCAATCTTAAGTAAATCCCTTCGAATCAAGCCATTTACACCGGGAGACTACGAACAAGAATTTCATGATACATTCATATTAGAACAATAATTACAGCAAGGTTTACAATTAGCAGTATAGATAATTGTTGTGCTTATCACAGTTCAAATTTTCAACCACCCCTATGTATTTCGAAGTGTTCTACGCTTCTGGTATATGATGCTTTCTGTATTTTCCACATTGAATTTGTATTAGACAGATTTTATACCCTGCAACAAAGTAGGTAAGTCTTCTCTTCCAGTAACTGAGAGCTTGCTGCTTCAACAATCTGATAAAGAATGCATCAGATTCTATATGAGCTCAGCTTGTCAATCAAAAATCACAAACTCAAATAAGTAACTACAATGGGGTTACCTTAAAGCCCATCTTTTGATACAGATCCTGTGCAGGGCTATTGTCTCTATGCACATGCACAAACAGGTGTTCTACACCTGTGACACAAAGATGGAGTTAGAAGGGAAATCTGAGTACCAATTTACACTATATTGCACTGGTTCATATGAATCTACCGTCAGATTTAACCGATTCAACAGCAAAATGCAACATGTTGCTTGCAATCCCTTGGCGACGTGCTGATTTGGCAACACACAAGTTCGCAACATAGCCATATGTATTTGGACCCCTCCTGCAGAAGGTACGGAAGACAGGAACTTTCACTCGCTCCTGTGAGAGAAACCATCTCATTGCTATTTAACAAAAACATTCGATCACATCTAATGAACTGAAAGATCAACACCTCAAGATTAGAAAAACATCACATACCCCTGGAAAACTCTCTCCCTGCAACAAGCACCGGATACTCAAATCAAGAGTTCCAACTACACTTTTCAGCACAGTTCGTTTTACATTTTTGTCTTCTTTTCTTACCTGAAAGATCCAAATGGTAGTATAATCTGCTATTTTTCATTGAACTGAAGAGAAACTGAGAACATCTTCAATTAAATCAACTTTTGGTGATGAAAAGGATTCATTTTGTTTGAAATAATTTAACTTGTTCACTCTTTCTTCTTAACTTTCCAGCATAAATAGCTATCATAATCAATTGTAAAAAATCATACCGTGACGATGCATCTACATTTTTGTCCATGTTGAGCTGTTCGTCGCCTTTTTATGGCATGGAACTCCTGCACAATATGAAAAACTACTATGAAAATCATGACAAAAATAGATTAGAATCAAACATTTGAAAAGAAAAACAAATGTTATCCACTCCTACCTGCTCTGCAAATTTCCTTTTGTGGTTATCAACATATCTGTGTTAATCAGCGATAGCTAGAATCAGTAATATCCACCTCTTCTACTCATGCATTAACAAACTATTGACCCATCCGAGGCCCTGGCAATAGGGTCACCAGAAATATATCTTCTAGAGAGCTCATGCATTAGTAACGCGAAATCTTAATCTGGTATAAATCTAGGAGTACCTATACCAGGACTGAATTGAATAAAATCCAGGAGTAATATAGTGGCAGTCAGTTTAAAATTATTCCATTACAGGAATCTGGTTTTACTAATCTCCTTTCTACCTTTTTTTTTTTCACAGTGATAAATATACAGTACATAATGCAGAAACACAAGGATTGCATGTCAACAATTTGGACTGCTTTATGCATTAACTCATTGTATACAAGGAAATTCTAGTTTGCTTCAGACAAATCACACACCTGTCATTTATTCGATCTTCCCAGTGACTTTCTGCTCTCAACCAAGCTGCAGTCTACATCAAGATAAAATTATTCCAGGAAAATAAGAAGGAGAAGACAAGATAAGAGGTAAAAACAGAAAGGATTTTTTTTTTTTTGGCGTGCAAAGGGATATTTGGAGGAAAAGAACAAAACATGAAAGAACCCCAATAAAATAAAAAATAGCATATTTCCAAAAAAACCCAAACGAAAACAGCAAAAACCACATCACCTATATAAACTTTCATTAAAGGAAAACCTAAAACTATAGCCTACCCAGAATTCTTCATCAATTATAGCGTCTCGAGCCACAAATTGCCCAAATTCGAACTTGTCTTCATGTATCAATTCTTTTTCTGGTATTTGAAGACGGTCAAATCGCAGATCAGATAGTCTCGAGGTCTCAGCTTGAGGAATAGATGTAGCTGGAGCCTGTATTGATAGCTCTTCCTTCTTCCTGGTTTGAGAAGACCTAGAATCCATGGTCCTATAAATTTGGGTTCCCCAAATAAACAAAAATATAAAAATCAAACAATCCGATGTCCCTCTTAATTGAACAAAGAAAGAAAGAAAGGTAAAGGTAAATACTTTACATACTTACATTGTGAAAGAAGCAGCGATCTTGTGGCGTTTGTGATGATTTCTAAACCCATCATTTGTGAAGCTCAAGAACTCAGGTCTGTGAATGGAAATAGTCGACATTAGAGGGGAGCTTTAATCTCCCCACTCCAGATTGATTGTTTTAGTTAAAAAGGTTTAATCTTTGTATTATCTTACAATAAATTTTGGTCAGAAATTTGCCATCAGAAATTTGCCAAACAGTTGAAGTTTTATGGGATTAGAAGAAGAAAAAGGAAATAGGCAGGTGTTATTGGATACAGCAGTTATAGGTAACAACTGCTTACCTGTCTGGTGGTGGGCCAGATGATGGAGTGGATAAGACACAAACCCAGTTGTTTGTTACTGATTCTGCCATGGATTAGATACTGTTTCTCTTTCTCCTCTCTCTCTCTCTCTCTCTCTCTTTCTCACTTATTAATAAATATGCTTTTTCTAATTGTGTGAGATAAGAGGAGAAAGGGAAGAATTGGATACAGTGAGAGTAATTTCTTAGGTAAGCAAAGTAACCCTTTCTACGGGATAAGTTAAAAAGAGAGAAATGAGGACAAGCCACACACAATTAATCTTGCATTAACTTGTTGGATTTTTAGATTACGGAGATTTTATTTTCTATTTAAGGAAAACAAAAAGCATTTAAGCATTTATATCTGTTTTTTTTTTTTATCCTTCTTCACATTCTCAACTCTCATTGTTGAGCTAAAATTTATTGACATATGCGTTATTCATATTAAGTTTTGGATAAAAGATTAAATAGTTAATAAATTAAATTTGAAGTGCACGTTAATGTATTTTCCGGAAACGAGGGATGAAATTATTGGGATGGAAATTATAGCGGCAACCAAACGTAACATCAATGAACGGATTAATTTAAATTTTCACTTAATATTTTGAAATTCATTTATTTATAACACTAAGTCAATCTTTTTAATAAGAAAGAAAAATTATTGGTTTAAAAGGTTTTTGTCTTTTGCTTAGTGTGTAGACGACTGAGTTTGGACCACACACAGAAATATGGTAGGAGAAACAAAAACCAGCAGCGGTTATAAGTGTTGTGCTGTGGATCTAATTGTCACTTGTGAGGGACTCAACATTAACATGTGGATCTTTTTAGCAGCCAACTCATCTGATTATAGAACACAGCAGATGATAATATTAATGAATTTTGACTGGAAAATACAGTACAGTGGCCACCACAATGGTGACCAAAAATAAAAAAGTTAAAAGCCAACAAAGCAAATAGAAAGATTATTTGACCTAAAAATTAAATTAGGGTTTATCCTTCAAAATCATTTTTCACCCACATCCCATATTTGCTCTTCATTTTGTCATCAAACTCCTTGGCTTTAATCTCGGCAATTTTAGCAGCATTTGCCAATGATTCTTCTTGCACTCTTGCAATCCTTCTACTCCTCTTTTTAGCTGTGGCCTCTCTTTCTGCCTCCAAATCTGCATAATCTCTAACCCAGCAGTTATGAACAGCACAGGTTAAAGCTAAAACCACCATTTGCATTATAAGCATTGCCATTAAAACCCCACATTCCAATCTCACTAACAGCTTTGCTTCTTTAGGGTCTCTTGGGGACTTGAGCATTAAAAGACTTGATCTTTCTCTCGTGAACAAGGCCAGTATACTTAGTATTTGTCCAATTAAAGAAGCAAAGAGCAGTGAAATATGTGTTATGAAACATAAGTGAGTTAGCTGTGAATAGAAGCCGACGAAAGAGGAGAGAAGAGAAATGCAAGAAACCATAAGGAATGCAAAACCTAATGAAGTTGGTGGCATTTTTAGGAGAATTATAGGAGCAACAGAGGCTGAGGCGAGGATAAAGAGAGTAAAATTTAAGCATGAGAGGAGAAGATTTGGGAAAGAGCATGAGCTTCTTAGCTTAGAGGAAGCCATTTCGGAGTTTGACGGTAGAATTTCTTTTGAAGATAGCGAAGGATTTTGAAAATTTATATTGTAGGTGGGATTTGGCCGTTAGAGCTTTTTGAAGTTTATTGTATAACGGCTAGAAAATTACAGAGGCAGACCCACTTTACTTTCTACCTCCAATGCCGCATCATTTCTTCTTCACCGCTCTAAACCCTTTTTCAATTTCTTCTGAATTTAAAACCCATGCATTACTCTTCTTCTTTTTTTTTCTTTTCACTTTCGATGTAATACACGCCAATGATTTCTTTCAGCTCAAAATTTCCATGGCTGCTAGTTTTTAGCTTGACTTCAAAAATATTTATTTTATATGTATATTTTTCATTAAGAAATTATAAAGTCCGAGGACATACTTGGTTATCAACGGAAGCTCTATCTTAAAACATCACTTGACATGCTAATTCATGTTCTATTGTCCAACAACTTTGGCCGATTCAGAAATGACAAAATGACCCATTTAGTAACTACTTAATGGAATAACTTTTATCATTACAAAAGAAGAGCGAAAAATAAAACCAATCCACCTTGGCTTGGCTTCAAGCAGAAATTTCCCTTGTACATATATAAGAAGAGGATCGCATAATATTTCTTTTATTATTAAAGAATAAACCTGGATTCAAGGCTATATAGTTCCCAATCCATGCGCAAATGTATTCATATTCCAAAAAAACAAAAAAGAAAAAAAGAAAAAAAAAATGAAAAAATGAAAAAAAAAAAAAGGGAAAAGAACTGAACATAACTCTTCAAAAGGAACTATTCTAATATCATTATTGTACATTTTAATCAATAGGCATTTGATCGCGTTGACCAGAAGATTTCAGATACCATCTTTCATGAAGAACTCGGGCAGCATCTTTCAGGTCATGCTACAATAGCATTTCACAGTTGCATATATTTCTCCAGCCAATCCCGTGGAATACAAATTTTTGGTAAGTTAAAAGTAGAATGTTGTGAATTTTTTTAAAAAACAATGAACCCAGAAATTGTTTGATATTATCACCATCCGAAGTACGTTGGAAGAGTTTACGAGAACTTTAGATAAATTGAACAACTTAGAAACCGCAAAACAAAATGATAAATTTCTCAAAAAAGCAGGACATATGAAATAAGATGATACTTGAAAACATAAGGAATAGAAGAAGCAAGAGAGGGAAGAATGCAAAAGAAGAGGCATGACCACTATTGCCAATAGAAATTATAAATAATGTATTTATGATATATGAAAGTTCAAAAAAAACAAGATATCTAACAAAGATGGCATACTACCTTTTGAAGTGGTACCAGTCATGATGTATGGGTTACAATAGCCTCCACTCTATCCAGAGATGCTTGTAATTTTCCTGTACTCATGTTGAACAATGGCTCACCAGTACCCAAAGCTCTGTTGAATCCATTTTTTCATATATAAGCCATAACATATTAATCAAAATAACACCAAATAAGAAACTACAGGCACTTCATCAACAATTATTGCTCAAGCTTATGAAAGCAAGATATCTAACAAAGAGATGGCATACTACCTTTTGAAGTGGTAGGGCCAGTCATGATGTATGGGTTAGCAATAGCCTCCACTTCTATCGCAGAGGGAATGCCTTGTAATGTTTCCTAGGTAACTCATGTTGGAGCAATGGCTCACCAAAGTACCACAAAAGCTCTGTTTGAATCGCATTTTTGTCATATAAGTAAGCCAAACATATTAATCAAAATAGACACTCAAATGGTACCAGTCATGATGTATGGGTTACAATAGCCTCCACTCTATCCAGAGATGCTTGTAATTTTCCTGTACTCATGTTGAACAATGGCTCACCAGTACCCAAAGCTCTGTTGAATCCATTTTTTCATATATAAGCCATAACATATTAATCAAAATAACACCAAATAAGAAACTACAGGCACTTCATCAACAATTATTGCTCAAGCTTATGACTCATAATTCAATAACAAATGTCTAGAAGATCCAAGAACTTACCCTGTAAGTTCTGGAAGAACATAATCTGCCCTCCAACCAAACCGAAAATCCATTCCAGGGAACAACCCAAGTGTTGTCTTGTTCCGGATGCGAGATATGCCATCACCGCCAAAGCAGGTAGTAAGCTTCCATTTCCAACCAGTAGCATGCAACTGAAAATTATGGCCTATACCGACCTGCATTTTCAAGACTTATGATTAATCATTACTACAGAGTTGCATAGATCTGGGACTAGGTTCAACAACCAATATATTACATGCTATGAAATGTTTAGCCGAAGAAGAATAAAATATTACATAGTCCTATTAAGATTATTGCATTAAGGCCATATACAATGTAAACAAGGATCAGATCAGACCAGACCTGAAGATTTAGAAATTTGGTTATGGGAATCTTCTTGGAAAGGACGCGCACATCTTGGTGTATAGGCTCATATATGAACTTCCAATGCCGTTCAGGGGATAAGGGTTTGAAAACAAGCTTGGCTTGAAACTCATTGATTGGAGCGTTATAGAACTGAAACAAAATGAAAAGCACCAAAATCAAAATTCAGATGAAAGGATATGAGATGTGCATATGATTTACAATTTACAAATGTTTATCCACATAAATAATAACAAAATTTGAACAGGAAATTAAGAAGCTTGACATTGTTAGACATATAATATAACAGACAACTTGAGCATGTTAAATGGTAAAGGTGTGCGTTTATTATCTATCCAACCTAAATCATAAACAGAACAGGCACATCAGTTTTTTTCAAGTGTTCATTATCCGCAATCATGCTTCACAAGTGAAACAATGAAGTACTCCTATCTACTGCACAGATAGAAGCAATGAAGTAGTTAGATATTTCCTTTTTCAAAAGAAGGCACAGCCCAAATCGATTCCCTTTTCAGCTATAATCCAGCCTGCGCGCCTAACAGTGTCTTTCGGCTCCATATATTCTTTTTATTGCATCTCCTCCAATCCAATGTGAAGCATCCAAGTCACATACAACATGACTAAATGTGGCAAATACACTAAACATGCCGACTACACATAGCCTACTAAAAAGGGACCAAACCCAGACCTATAACTAAGACAATGAATTCAAATTATGTTGCATAGCCATTTTCGACCAATCATTCAATCTTCATATTAGACATAATTACATACCATTATCCTGCTGCACAAAAATCACAGGTACTAAAGAAAACAGATCCTCAGTAATATTATGTTTCAACCTTGAAGTAAGCAAAGATAAAATCTAATACATAATTCAAGCAAGGGCATAAATTAACAAAACTCCCACTTATTCTCACACTTTCATCTCATCTTAGTTTAGAAAATAAATAAATAAATAAATAAATCCATAAATATCTAAACTGGTCTAACTTAGGCACAAGCTTCTGCCAATTCAACATCTTAGTCCAATTGTAACCACACTAACACATTTATCACAGTCGCAAAGAAACCATGGGCTAAGATTTAAAAAGAAATATTACTATCTGCTAGCATCTAGAGCAAATGAAGACTATAGAGACAAAGAAAGATACCTCTAAATTAACACCAACTCGAAGCCCCTGAATTTCCTTCCTAAACTTGAAAAACAACTCCGATGGCATCAAATTGATATTATAAAGCTCTTCCCAAGAAGGGGGTTCCTCGCTATTAGAGGAAGACTCCATCTTTCTAGCAACCTAAGTAAAAGACCAACAAAAATGTCGGCTATACTGAACTCAGGTGCTCTCCATATATTTCTAATAATCCCAAAAGAACTTTATCAGAACAAGCAACAATAGCGAAAAGCTTCTTTGTACGCTTTGGATTGAACGAAGTGCCTGCCTCTCTCGCCTTTAGCAGCTAAAATATTGAGTGTCAATTGGCGTATTCTTCAGTATATTACATACCCATATACGGAGAGGTTGACGACAGTGGAGAGACAGAGAGAGCTACAAATACGGTTACGGTAAGGAAATTGCTCGAAGGACCAAATTCCTAAAATGCCCTGAATTTCTCATTTAACTATAGTTATATCCTTTTTTTATGGATTTCAATTTTTACATGTAAATGGACCTATCTGGTTGATCATGGTACTAGTCTGGTGGCCCACCAATTACCTTGACGAGATCCACTAAGCTGTTTATGGCCCAAATCAAACTGCACCTCAGTTTTTCTTTTTCTTTTTCTTTTTCTTTTTTTTTTTTTAATGTAGAAGGATATTTTGAAAAGATTACAATTGCATGATTCTTTTAGAATATGGTTTGGTATAATGGAGTATTTATTTATTTATTAATTTTTTTAAAGTCGAAGGAAAATATCAAAATTTGAACTTTTGATTTTTACATTATTATCAGCCATTCTAGTATTATATTTTGTTATTAATTAGGTTTTAATCATGTTTTAAACTAACATTCTTAAAATCTAAAATAATGTAATAAAGTTAATATTTTAGTTTTATTAGTTTTACAAGTCACACTCTCATCGTAGAGATATGGCAAAGGTTTAGTTGCTATATTTAGAGTATCATATTGATTTGTATTCTTTATATATCATGTTTAAACTACATTCTTAAATCTCAAAATAAATGGTACATAAAGTTAAATATTTTAAGTTTTATTAAGTTTTTACAAAGTCACAGACTCTCAATCGTAGAGATATGGCAAAGGTTTAGTTGCTATATTTAGAGTATCATACTTGATGTTGTATTCTGTTTATATATATATATATTATTATATATATATATATTATATAGATAGACAAAGCCCATTTAATATATATAGACAAACCCAATTAATAACATATTTTCCATTTATTTACATTTACAAAACGAAAATAAAAATTTCACTAATAACCATTATCTCCAAATTTACTTTCAATTTCATTACATGGATAGATAAATTGGAGCAGTAATGCACCACACAATAATGTAACTCTATTTGCTTATTCTACTGTAAATTTCGAGGATTTTTTTCATTCTTCCATGACAGGGTACTACTAATTAAACATATGAAATCCAATCTTATGGGCGCTTTGGCACAAATTTTCTAGCCCAAACATGTTTGCCATTAATGTTGAATTTTGCTTTGTCAAGCCCACTAAGAATCACCTGAATGATTGATGGTGAGTTGAAGACAATGCGAGCAAACAACGATTGCTGCTGTGACTCAACTTCCTGCATATGAAGGGACTCGATACAATCACCAAATCTCCTAGTAAAAAATTCCCTCACTTCCCATGCTTCCACAGGGTAGCCCTTAGAGAAGGTCACAAACATTGTCCTCTCCTCTTCGGGTACCCCGACCACAACCGTAGGTTGATGGGCAGTCATCACTTTTTGAGTAGCATTTCTTTCAATCGCTTGCTGCATTATATCGTGCACTGCCCTTATGCACACTTCATTCACAATTTTTGCCACCCCTTGAATTGCACTAAACCGGTTTTCGTGAAAATGTTTAAGAGAAACTTCTTTCTCCATTAAACTTTGCATTAGAGGGATATCGCTATTTTGGGAAGTGAATTGATCTTGGTTTATGCAGGTGAGGCATATGATTGCTTCATCTGCTAATTCATTTATCAAAATTGAAGGTAAAGAAAGGATTTTCTTTACAACATTGCTGTAACCAATTCTTTCCATCCATAACCATAAGGCCAGTATTTGCAGAGACTCTACAGGGTCCCTCCATAGATTGATCACTAGAAGGCTATAAAGTTCTCGATCAATCGAATGGAATAACTTGAACTTCTCTGTTGAAACTAACGAAGTTGATGAAGAAGAAGAAGAAGAAGAAGCCATCAAGCAATAGTAATAATAATATCTTGTATAGAACATCAAAACCCTGCCAAAGTAACATTAATGTCTGACTTAAAGAAACCAAAGGAAAAAATAACTGTGTGCATGCATGCTTGCTTCCAGGTCTAACATCTAAAAAAACGCTAAATCATCATCTTGCAAATGATTTTCATTTCCAACTTGAATTTTTTTTCTCCAAATGTAAACTATTTTTAAATTCTAAATTATATTAAATTATATTATGCACGAAAAAAATAATATTCTGCATAAATAAATAAATACATATGATGCATAGAATCCCACTGGCATTGCTAATTGAACTACCACATACTAAAAGCAAAATGAAGAGTACCAAAAGAGAGAAAAAGAGAAACATAAAACAAAACCTGAAGCCTCTTTGTGAGCAATCAAAGGTACTAGATGAGACTCTCCAGAGCCAATTTATAAGTAGTAATGGAGGTGTTCCAAGCATGGTCTGAGGTAGAGTCATAATGTTATTCCTATCAATGGGTTTGGTTGCATTATCAGATCTTTGTTGTGTTACCCTCGTGATTTTGAGGGAAATAAATTGTTTTTATGGCATGTATATGCACAATTAATGACTCTGTAATCTTTCTATAGCAACCATAGTTGGTCTATTCAAAGTTTTGCCTCTTTCAGGGCATCCAATATCGGTCACAGAAAAAATCTTACAAATGTCTAATGAGGCTAAAGGGCATACTAATTACTACCTAACTATAGATTCTCGATAATGTCAAAGGAGCTTATCTACTTATATGTTTCTTTCCTTTCCTTTCAGTTTGTAGCTTAGCCTGTTTTATTTGGAACTAAGAAATAAAAAAGGGTCACATTTATGTTAATTATGTCATCAAATAACAATAATAACAAAAAAAATTTGGGGTTAAGGTTAAATCTTACAGTTACCATATAGTGAAATAATTCCGTTTTAATTCAATCATATAACATATTAAAAGTTTGTTAAGTCGGATGAGATACTTTAATTAAATGAAGTTAATTAATATGATCGATCGATGATAAAAATACCTAAATTTTTTAAAAAGATGTCGTTTTTAATACTTAATAATTAGTTTAAAAATACCTAAATTTTTACAAAACGTTATAAATTTTTACACAATGGTAAAAATCAGACCAATCATCTTGTAAATAGTCATGTATATAAAAAAAAAAAGTCACCTTTTATAAAGGTATTAGTCAGATATTACCAAATATTTACAAATTGACCTATTATCATCAAATGGGTATATTTTTAACTCAGCAACGCTAATTCATCTTCCAAGTAAAAATAGTGATTGGCGAGACGGACAGAACATTTCCAAATATCTCTGAATGCTTAAAAATCCTTATTTTCCACTTGATTTAATTTTTTTTTTCAGATATGATATATTTTTCAGTTTTGATTATATTAAATTATAAATAAAATATTAATATGTTATGCAATAAACAAATTAATATGCATTTGCATAAATGAATAAATATTAAACTCAATAAATTTATATGAGAAAACATAGTAAAATCATGTTCTTGAATCTTGATGACACTGTATTGTATATACATCACAACTAGAATAAGATTATTGTAACCTTATTCCTACCCATGGATTTGATTGCATTACTATAATTTTGTTGTGTTGTTTTTCAATTTTGAGTGAAGGATATTGTTCTATGAAATGGGATTATTAGTTATCCTGTCATCTCTATACAGCAATTATTCAATGATTTTCTAAAAGAGGATCTTGATCGTCAATTTTCTCTATTTCATAATCCAATGATTTATTTGCAAAGTACTTACGTATCTCATAGCATGTGTTCAGCCACCAGGTAATAAAAATATTTGAGGAAAAATATTTTATTTTTTAAAAGAATTCAAAAAAATACCTGCAAAATAATTTAAAATTAATATTTTAATTTTGTAAGAGGAAAAAAAATAATTTAAAAAAAATAAAAATAAAATAGCATTCATCTTACTGAATTTCCTCGTAAACCAATTTCACTCCACAAATTCGAACACGTTGAATAATACAGTAACATTCCCCACTCAATGACTGATCCCAAATTTTCAGATAAGGAGAATCGTAAGCAAGAAATGGCAAATGATCGAAGAGTAGGTTCATCAAAGTAGGCATCTTGAGTAGTAACAGAGACATACATTCAGGGAAAACATGCAGAAAAATGCAAACAGCCCATGATAAACTGATTTAGACAAAAGGCAAGAACAAAATTCCCTAATTATGATCAAAGAGAACAAACATTTAGGTGACTATATGGTACATAAATGAGAAACAGTCAGTTCATCATCTTAGAAAGAGTAGACAGCCGCTATACGCCTTCAACACCATGGTTTCCTTGGCGATTCAGTGTCGAGTAGAAGTTATATGTCAATGTCGTATGTTGTCAATATCTTCAATTAGAATACGTCAAATCAGTTATCAAAAGTTGCTGGCAGCAGCAGCAGACTGTAAATCGGAAAGGGAGAAAGATCGCCAATGAGAGTTCCAATGAGCAGGCGGCAAACAAGATCCATTGCCAAGTGAAGTTTTTCCATGCGGATGCAGAGGTGGAAGACCAGAAGAAGGTGATGATGAAGTTGTATAGGAATCCCCCCTTTTTTCGTTGCTTTTATAACAGTTGGTCCCAAGAGCCGCTGTACTTCGATTGAAGTTTGCTGGTTTCTTTCCACTTGCATTATCTTTGGTGGTTTGATTGCATTTCTTATCCAAAAAGTTATTTCGAGCTAAAAGGTTCTTGCGCTTCCTGCTATAGGTATTTTCTGGTTTTGCGAAATCTTTAACAGAGGAAGCAGAAGACGCATCTGCTAGACTGGTGAACGACTTCGACTTGCCATTATAGAACTTTGATATGCCTCTCCTGAAACATTCAAGAAAGGCAATAATAAGCAAAATATTTTAGAGCTAAGGCAATAGCAGGGTAGAAGATGTTGACTACCAACATACATATATCTCTAATCCTATTGAAAACTCCTATGCCCAATCAGTTTCTATATGATAGATGTTAAATATGCTTCAAAATATCAGCTTCTGTAACTGCAGGATAACAATCACACGTACAGAAAGGGCTCCCACTGATAAGCAAACTTTCACATTGTATATAGTTCTTTAGCTATATACTACTCATAAGCTAAATAACATTGATTTTGAACTGATATACAACCATACACTACCTACAATAAGTCAATTACAATTTTCTCTTCACATAAAACAAGTTTTAAGCTGCCATTAGTATTACTATGTGACTACTGGTTCAGAACTACAGTAAATACTGAAGAATACATCCCTATTTATGTACCTCTTGCACTATCACCCAATTTACCCAACAGATACTTTGATTTTTCTCCTTTTCAATTCCAACTTAACCTTTCCTATCACAATTTACAATTACCATACATTAGCAAATAGCAGGCCATCCAAACCCTAGCCTGTTGGCCATTTTGTCATTTTACAGGCCTCACATCAATTCATGATTAGGGGTTAAGAAAATCAGTTATTGCAGGACTTCCCAATTTGGATTGTTTTAAAATCAACAAGAAAATTAATTTTTAGAAAACTTAACCCACATAAAACTCAAACCCCATCAAGATTCAATGAAAGCCACAGACCCATCATAGTTAACAGCTAAAAAGAGATACTTACTTGACAGGCAAAACCTCCTCTAAAGCATCCATGGTATCTAATGGTCCTTTAAACGAGCTCTGAACCTCAGATTCCTCGCAATCATCGCCGGTCACTTCCCCACTCGACGCGTCACTATTCCTCCCGATCGAAGAAGAGCTACTAGAATCTTCCAAATCCTCCTCCCTTCTTCTCTCCACCGTCGGAAACCCACGATCTCCGTTACACATCCCCACAAACGGCGACATCCGGTGAATAAACCCAGAACGCTGGATTGAAACCCCTGAACTCCTCTCAAAATCAATCGACATAACGATTAAAGACAAATGAAGTAGAATGGCAGAGTTGATAAGTATTAGCCAAGACAAAGGAAAGGCACATGGGTTCACGCCACTGGTAATACTATATACAATGGTGTATATTGGATGGATTAGACGGCTGAATTTAATAAATTCGACAGAGATAATAAATAAATAAATAAGAGAGAGAGAGAGAGAGAGAATAAAAGAAGGGCTTATCCTGATCCTGGATGGGGAAAGAAACGGAAAGATGTTTCTGCGCATATGTTTATCTGTTTCCAGATATTTTTCTCAATTGCCTTTAATTTATTTTTAAGAATAATAAAATAATGTCAAAGAGACAATGCGTTGCGTTACGATGTTTCAGGTCTGTACCGGGCACAGCTTTTGACTCGTGCGAGTGCGTGTGGGTCGGTGAGATGGATAGCTTTTGAGTTTAATTTATTAAGGGGTAGTTATTATTTTAAATTAAATTTTTTAATATTTTTAAATACTATATTTAATTTAATAATGATTGTTTATGTATCACTCCAACTCTCAATTAAGTATTTAAATTTAAAAATACTCGTCAAAATTATAAAAAATATTAATTAAATGTATAATTATACGGAAACAATGATATCATATCATTGTCAATAATTGAAATGATAAATTTAAGATATCCATCAAAATTAAAATTTATAAATTGAATTTATAAATAGAAGTAAAAATCAAAAGATAGCTAAAATACCATAGATTAAAGTAATAATATTATAAAAATAAAATACCTATTAAAAGTTTTACGGATTACAACTAAAATTAGAAATGGAAAGACAATGAAATTTACCTGTTAGATCATATATAGCCTTGTGTAGATAATGAGTTCAATTAGATTAAAAATTTAAATTATGCATAGAATATTATAAGGTTTTAAATAACTTTATAATTTTATTATTTAAATTAATTTAAACTTCATAAATTTGATAAGGTCTAATTAATCTTATCGCTTATTTAGAGAGTCAAAATTATATTAGGAGAATAGATATTATTTTAAAGTATGGTGTATACTTAAATTTGATGATGCATTTCTAAGTTGGTTTGTTAAGAAATGATTTCATGTTCATGCTCAGCACATTGTTGAGTCGAATCTCCATGCATGTACTTTTTTTTTTGCTTCATCGTGTATTAAAATGAATTATGTATTATTGTAAGTAAATACAAATATAATTTTAAATAGAAAGAGAAGTTGCTAGAAAGTTGGTAGTTGGTGGGTAGAAATAGAATATTTATTGAATTATATTCCTTCATAAAGATCTAATTATTCCAATTCCAATTCCAAATGCTAATAAACAGAGCATGTTTATAAATGTACCAAGGTTTGTATTCCCTCCTCTTCAAATGAATTGTTGGACGGTCGAGTCAAATTATAATTTCTCAAAAAAAAAAAAATCAAATTAGAAAAAAGGCACTTAATTTAATAATTAATGGTATATATATATTACCAACAGGGACGAAAGTTAATTAAAAAAATTACAATATATTTTTAAAAATACAGACGGACTAATTTTACTTTATAAAATCATAATTTTTTTTTACTATCATTTTATATTCCACCAACAAAATACTATTAAAATTTTCTGAAACCGCAATATTAGTTATTAACTAACAACCCAACCAAATAAGCCCATAATCTCACAAAGCATACGCCACCAAAAACCTCTCTAAACCCTCACTCTCAGTCACTAGCTCACTCCTCAACTGCGAATAACACGGAGGAGACGACATTAATATCATTGTAAGATGTCCACGACTGTTTCAAGGATAGAAACCTACGAGGATTTCGTGAAAGCTCATGGTGTTCTATTGGCTGCCTCAGGGCTACCTCGATCGCTGCACTACAAACTTTTCGAGAAACTTACTTCAGAGACCTTCGATGGCGGCGCATACTTCCAAGTCGAGCCCTGCGAGGAGGGCCGGCAGAGAAGGCTCGTCTTCACCTCCGATTCAATGCCTAAAGATTCCAACGTTTTCCTCGTTGACCATGCTTGGACTTTTCGTCTATCTGATGCTTACAAACAGGTACCTCCAATTCTTCTTATCAAGTAAAGTCTTTTTATTATATCTGGGTAGTAGCATTTTCTTGGTTTTTTGCGATGTTGTGGTTTTTGGTGGCTCTTTTGTAAATAAAGTTTGAATCTTTGAGCTTTTGTAGCTACAAGAAGTGCCAGGATTGGCTCAGAGGATGGCTTCTTTGATGTGTGTAGATGATGATTTCAATTCCGGTGCTGAAGAGGAGGATGGAGCTTTGCAAGAGAACAATTCTAAATTGAATGTCATGGATATTATTGAGAATGAGATTAATGATGCAAAAATGAAAGGCTGTGATACTGTTAGGTGGTTGGAACTTGAGGAGCTCAACATTGACGATGATATGCTGGTCTCTCTTGATTTGTCCAGTAAATTACCGGTCTGTTATTATCATCCATCTCAGTTGTTTTGCTTATCATTTATCCAAGTCATATTTATATCATACAGCTCGAAAGCAGAGTTCTTATTGACCGAATTTGTTTTTTAGAGTTGTTATTCACTTGCTTATTAATTGAAGTAAGACACTTATATTAGTGGAGGAGGCGCCAAATTCTAGAAGTTCAGTTATTTTGGTGTTTATAATTTTTATTTTATGGAGCTTAATATTTATGCCTCCATTTTGTTGTATTAGGATTTACTAGCGCTAAGTCTGTGTGGAAACAAGCTTAAGAATGTAGAACTAGTTGTGCAAGAAGTTACCAAGTTCAAAAATCTCAGGGCTCTCTGGCTGAATAACAATCCAGTTAGTAAAAGCTGGTATGATTGCTGATACACGGAAAGTATAACCTACTTTAAAATTGCTGTTAGCTATTCTTCTTTGAGGAATAACTCATCTATTCTGCTCCAGTGATTGTCGTATGGCAGATATAATTGTCCAAGGATGTCCAAGATTGGAAATCTACAACTCTCAATTCACCAGTAATTTTGGTGAGTGGGCTTTGGGATTTTGTGGAGGAGTGTATGAGAAGGATAATCCTGGCTATGTCAGTCAAAGTGATTCCCAATTGCAGAATGTGACATCTCTTGACCTTTCGAATAGATATATTCATTCTCTGATTAATAAGGTCCAAACTCTTCTCTTTTTACACCGGATCTTCATTTCGTGATTTATTCTTTGTTTTTATAGCTCATCAGTGCAAACTTCTTTCTTCCACGTGCATTTGCTATTGAGAAAGTAGGCTAGGAATCCTGCATGCCAAAAAATCGCGGCTTCTTCCCCTATTATGCTGAAAAAAAATTCTATTGTATAACTCACGCATTATCAATTAATTATCAAATCAGCCTGCAGTAACTAAATTTGCTGATATAATGTGGTTGTGCTTTCCTTTAGGCATTTTCTCCTGATGAGATGCCATCCCTTTCACATTTGAATATTCGGGGAAATCCGTTGGAGCAGAATTCAGTTAATAAATTATTGGACGTATTGAAGGGATTTCCATGTTTACAATCTTTGGAGGTACTCTTTTTAGAAGCAGTCCTTCGTAATATATAGAAGAAAGAAAATAAGCCCTGAAAAAAGAAGAGCTTGGGGTTGGCTTAATTTCGTGTGTTAGTTATTTTACTGTCTCTTACTTTCATTTTCTTATAGGTCGATATTCCTGGTCCCCTTGGAGATAGTGCTATAGAAATCCTTGAATCTCTTCCCAGACTTTCTTTTCTGAACGGTGTTAGCGCATCAAAAATACTAGATAAGGGAAACCATGTGATTGATTCGATACTTCAGCCTCGGCTTCCAGAATGGACAGCTGATGAATCTCTTGTTGATCGTGTTCTTAATGCAATGTGGTTATATGCAATGACATACAGACTTGCAGATGAGCAAAAAATTGATGAAACCTCTGTGTGGTATGCATTTGTGTGTTGACTAACACAGTAATTTATATTTATCTGTCCCCTGTTGCTCACGCACTCACACACTCATGCATGCATCTAATGAATGATGGAAGAGTGAAGTGCTTTATTGAGTCTCCTGCAGGTATGTGATGGATGAACTAGGGTCAGCTTTGAGGCATAGTGATGAGCCAAATTTCAAGGTGTCTCCTTTTCTCTTCATGCCTGAGGGGAAGCTGGAATCAGCTGTGAGGTTGTTTTCAGAGACTCATTTTTTTGCAATCCTTATGCGTGTTTCTATGTTCTGTGATGTAGTGATCTTTGAAGTTCAAAAAATGACATACACACAGAGACACGTGCTTTGCAAAAGGGTTCTATAAGTGTATGATTAGTACCAACCTTGTCATGAACATAAATACCTATTTTTTCTTCATTTCCAGCTACTCCATTTTATGGCCCATCCAGAATGTCCAAAGTGGAGATGAGTGCACTCGTGATTTCCTTTTTGGTATTGGAGAAGACAAGCAGCGTTCTGCTCGTCTGACTGCATATTTCCGCACACCACAGAATTATTTTATTCAAGTATTAACTCTATATCTGAATTTTGCTGCTATTTTGCACCGAAACATGGCTGTCTTTCGTCTTGGCTAATTGATGCAATTTCTTTCAGGAGTATAAGAAATTCTATCAGGAATTGCAAGCAAAAAATTTTTTCTTACCAGTGAAGTCTTCTTTGACCAGAAACTTGTGTCGCAGTGATGGATGTCCTTTACGAGTTTACACTGATATGCCTCCAGTGGAAGAGTTTTTGACACGTCCTGAATTTGTTATCAGTATGTGCTACAGTCCATTCTCCCATTGGGTCTTGATTATTATAGCAACCTCCATATTCTTTTTTATTTGTACATCCTATAAAATATTCAGTGATAAACAAGTCATGCACGCAAAGAGTTACTGTATCTATAAAATTATGTTGTAGCTGCTAATATTTTATTTGCATTTTTATTGTGGTTCTTTGATTTAAAGCTAAATCGCGAAGGTTGATTGACATTGTTTGTTTTGTTGTTTACTATTTTCCCCCTTCTGCATTGCTGACTATACATCCAGAGCGTTTTTTAGTCCTGACTAACAAGGAAAGTACAGTTGATAGGCAGGAATATTATACCTTTCGAAGATCCAATTATATGGATTGAATATATAGCAGGATTTGCATAATAGGTTTAATCATTGCCTTAATTGAGCAGAGGAATCTTTTTCCCGTTTGCTTATCTCCCTCTATGCACTATTGTTCAGGAAAGGCTCGCATGAGTTTCAGTTGTATGTTCAAATCCAATTTCCTTTACCCTGGTCTTACTGGCTTCTCTAATAACTGTTTTTGCTACAGCAACTGAGCCCAAGGATGCAGATATTATATGGACAAGCATGCAGGTGGACGATGAAATGAGAAAAGCTACCGGAATTACGGATCAGCAGTATGTAAACCAATTTCCTTTCGAGGCTTGTGTTGTCATGAAACATCATTTGGCAGACACTATTCAGAAGGTAAAGAAGCAAATCCAATTTATATTTGAACAGCCAACGTGAAACAAAAGGATATTTTCTTTTAGAGTTGTTACTTTTACTATTCATGCAGTCTATCTGTGGTAGATCAGAATGCCACAAAAATGTGCAATCATTTTCACAATAAATTAGTTCTTTGAATTTCCTCTTTTCAACAGGCATATGGATCTCCTGAATGGTTACAACCTACTTATAATCTTGAAACACATCTATCTCCACTTGTTGGTGACTATTACATACGTAAGAAAGATGGAATGAACAATCTATGGATCTTAAAGCCCTGGAACATGGCACGAACTATTGATACAACTGTAACTGATAATTTGTCTGCTATTATCCGCCTGATGGAGACTGGTCCAAAAATATGCCAGAAATATATCGAGCATCCTGCATTGTTTCAAGGGAAGAAATTTGATCTCCGTTATATAGTACTGGTTCGCAGTATAAGGCCTCTGGAAATATTTCTTACAGATATTTTCTGGGTATGTGCATTATCACCAATATTTGTGCCAATATGATGCGAAAGCAATACTTTGTAGTATTTGTAGGCGATAACTAAGATGGAACTATCTGTTTGAAGTTTAAGCATATTTTTTATCCACAATTAAAGTGGTTGTCTTCATTTTTATTTTAGGTGAGATTGGCAAATAACAGGTACACTCTGGACAAGCACAGCTTTTTTGAGTATGAGACTCACTTCACTGTTATGGTATGTGTTGAGCATTCTTGCTTTTGTAGTTTCTCTATGTTCCTTTTAGGCAGCCATATGGTCATGGCACCTTGTATGGGGATTGAAAATGAAATGAAACGGAAAATAAACTGAATTTATTTCTTCTCTTTAATGTGATGTGTTAACTTGAATGGCATGCAGAACTATGGTAGACGAATGAATCACATGAACACTACAGAGTTTGTTAAGGAATTTGAACAAGAGCATCATGGTAACATCTACTCTGCCACTTATTTAACTGCTCTTCTCCCCTGCAAGGAATAGCTCGTGGCATGCCAATGGTCACTGCTGATGTAAATTCTTATTTATGTTGCAGTTAAATGGTTGGATATCCATCAGAAAGTTAAAACTATGATTCGATCTCTTTTTGAGGCAGCTGCACTGGTACATCCTGAAATGCAAAGTCCGATGTCAAGGGCAATGTATGGTGTAGATGTAATGCTTGATAGCTCTTTTGAGCCAAAGTTACTAGAGGTTTGTAACTACCAATGCCTCCCTTCTCCAATGCTTCATTTTAAGCATTACATTTGAATTGGTCGAGTTCTCTGATAATAGTTGTATTTTTACAATTTTTATATATGTAGGTAACTTACTGTCCTGACTGTACAAGAGCATGTAAGTATGATTCACTGGCTGTATTTGGAGGTGGCGAGGCAATCAAAAGCAAAGACTTCTTCAATTATGTGTTTGGTTGTCTATTTTTGGGTGAAACTACCTATGTACACCCACTGTAATTAATTAATGAATATCATATACATATATACAGGAGTTTCTTTTGTTTTAAGCATGTAGTTTATAATATTACTGGTGAAGACGATCTATTTTTTTGAGCGATTGATGACGTGTAATCATCCCCTTTTTGTAGGGATGAGTACTGATCGGTTCAGTTGATTCAGTTTGAATTTTTGCAAAACCGGAACAACCAAATTCTTTGGAAAGAAAAGTTGAACCGCACTTAAGAAATAACTAAGCTATTGAACCAAAATAATTGAACTGAAATTTTGAGGAAAAAAAAAATGCATATATGATATATCAAAATATATTTTTATATGGTAAAATGTATAAATATATCTTTATATATTGATTTGGTTATTTTGATTTTTTTTTTTTTTTTCATATTTTGAGGAAAAAAAAAAAAAAATGGCATATATGGATATATCAAAAATATTATTTTTTATATGGTAAATGGTTATTTAAATTTTATCTCTTTATATATTTTGATTTTGGTATATTCTTTGATTTTTTTTTTTTTTTTCATCTTTATCCAAGGATCAAGTTTCCAAAGATAAACATCCTTGCTTTCGTGACATTTTGCAACGGCCTATTGACTTCTCCGAGGTTCTTTATTCCAACACCCAAAGCAAGAAGAGGCAATTTGGGCTAACTGCTTAAAATAGCTACAAAACCTGTTTGTGGATTTGAGAAAACAGTAGAGACAGCGTTGGCAAAAAAAGGTAGATAACAGCTATTTCAAAACCTCACCCGCCACCAAATTGAATAACCTTAGTAATTTAGTTTCCGGCATCCCCACAAAAGCCACTTTTCGAAAGGTCTCCCACGAAAAAGAGACGTTGTTGGAGATGGCCTTCCATTCAAAAAAAGAAAATCTACACACTATACAAGCATCAAGCAAATCATGCGCAATTTGCGTTTCACACAAATTTGTTTTCCTTAATGAACTGTCATATATACATTCAGTCAATCTGTTCCTGCACAACAGTGAACTTTGATGGTTTTGTTCCCATTCTTTGAGAGAGGGAAATAAAAATTCCATTCAGAAAATGACAGTTGTGGGAAAAATTCCATGCCAGCGGCAATTATGCTGTTTACGACATGCTCACTTTGTCTCAGTTTTGTATTGCCCCAGTGCGACTCCTCTGTACTGTTATTTTGATTTTTTTTTTTTTTTTCATCTTTTATCAAGATCAAGTTCAGATAAATCTATGCTTCGTTGACATTGCACGCTATTGACTCTCGAGGTTCTTTATCCAACACAAAGCAGAGAGCAATTTGGCTACTGCTAAATAGCTACAACCTGTTTGGTGATTGAGAAAGTAGAGACAGCGTGGCAAAAAGTAGATACAGCTATTCAAAACCTCACGCCACTAAAATTAATACCTTAGTAATAGTTCCGGCATCACAAGCACTTTTCGAGTCTCACGAAAGAGAGTGAGATGCCTTCCATCAAAAAGAAAATACTATAGCATCAAGCAATATATGCAATTTGCTTCAATTTGTTTCCTTAATGAACTGTTATATACATTCAGTCATCTGTTCCTGCAAACAGTGAACTTTGATGGTTTTTGTCCCATCTTGGAGAGGAAATAAAATTCCATCAGAAATGACAGTTGTGGAAAATTCCAGGGCAATTATGCTGTACGCTGCTCACTTTGTTCAGTTTGTATGCCCCAGTGACCTCTTGACGCTGAAAGCTTCTTTTGCAGTTCCAGATTTGACAACTGCTCAACCTCCAATGCTCGCTCAAGCTTTAACACAATAAGTTACATCAAATTATGAGCTTACGTTAGAATAAACCACTTCTTTGAAAGATGACCCAAGTCATCATGCCAAGATAATTCTACAGCAGGATAGTACCATTAACACATCCTAAGCGAAACAGAAATAGAAGTTGTACCTTTGCTGCTCGTGTGCTCCATTCCCCTAAAATAGCTCTGAGTCTTTCATTCTCTTCCACATACTGTTCCGACAATTCGTTAATGAAATTAGGAAAAGCTCAACATGACCACAGTGATTTGTATTTTGTAGAATATGCAAATCACATACAACCTTTTCTTAAAGCGTGTGCAGAATTAGCAGTATTAGAGAGAGAGAGAGAGAGAGAGAGAGAACACTGGGAAACATCTAAAAACTATAACCTGACAAATACTGCAGCAACGTAGACACATAAATATTTTTGCAGACAACAGCTAAACATAAAGAAAGCACCAATCATTTAGCAGCATTTATTTAATACAGCAGAAATAATATGTAACAAGAATAAAATAATTTAAACTGAGAATGCCAGTTATAGCTATTGGAGACACCTGATTGTTTGTAGTGCGTACTCGCTGTACCTCAGCGTCCCTCTCAGCTATCAAGGATCGAGCAAGCCTTAGTTCAGTCTGTAGTTGATTCATCTGTACCATGAATAATCCCATGCCCATCCCCAACACCAGTTTAGTGAATAAAAACTTACTTCCTCTATACGTGTATGTTTATGGGCATTGCATGTATGAAACTCATGCTGCTAAAGCAAGAATATTATCACAAATCAATTAACTACCTCAGCAGAAAGAGTCCGTAATTCTTGTTCACGAGCAGCTAACATATGAGCAAGATCAACCTGGAAAAGCAGACACCAATAACCATTATACTCCACTTTTGTTCAAACAGAAGGAAAAATCCTACCAGGCTCTTTAAAATGGAAAATTGGATGAGAAATCTATTATCCATAAGCTTGTGAACTACATTTTTATGTCAGACGTATAGGAATCTAATCACAGAAACCACAAGATAAAGGACATTGTAGATTTGTTGCATAAATTGCATATTATGTCAAGTGGCAACCACTTCAGTCAACATTAGCCTAACATTCTCATGTGGACAATTCTTCTTTACCCCGCCTAGCATTTGCTACATTAAGTTGTCCTTTAGCAAGCAGGTAAAAAGCATATTCTCAAGACCCAATAATATGCATTTGCACTTGATTTAACCCCATTGATTGACCAATTCACATGATATTAGATAATTACCCATTAGCAATAAATTTCATGTTTGATATTAATCCTTTGGACACTAGACCTGGGTCTCAACATACTTTTTGATATGAACAATTACAAAAACCCACATGTCCAAAACCCTCCCATGTCAAGTCAAGTTGATTAATGTATCTTTTTCCCCACAGTTCAATGTTCATGTGAATACAACCAATCTCATTATCTAGCAAAGGCATATGATATAGGTTAACCTCATGTGCGCTTCATAATTTCACCTAGTTCTATGTGTAAAAGAACCTTAGGTTGGCCAAGATTACCTGAGGTGTGCTCCCATCATTAGATCGCTCATATTTGCTCAAGCATTCTTGCAGACGAAGAATCTGCTCATAGCCCAAGGCATTTCAGCAATCAAACAATGGTCAAATTAATTTTAAAAAAAAAGAAGATGCAGCAACAAACTTGAAGATGCAGCAAGATAGATCCAATGCAACCATGAGTTTAGTTGCCTCATACCTCCTCGCTCAAAAAGTGAAGGTTCTCACGCTGATACTGAAGTAAAGCCATTTGCTGATCTGAAAGTCGACCACCATCATGATATCTGTTGCAGAATAGAGTCCTCAATGTAGCACCGGTTTTTTTATGCATATAAAAAATTATTTAGTGGATGTACTTATTCATGTTAGTCAAATGACAGTTTTACCTGCATGTTACAAGACACAACAGGCACTGATCAGAATACCAATAATATTATGGACACCACCACAGGCAAAAGTTAACCATGTAATGCAGGATTATTCTTCATATATTATAAATTTTTTTTATCTTAATCTATTTGACCCCATGAAATATTGGAAACATTGATAAGAGGTCATGAGGACTGGGAGGTTGTAAAGAAAGCACAGCTACCTCAAGCCTTCCAAAGAACTTGATTGTTGCAGTGGGGAATATAATGACTTCAAAATATCAGGCTGAGAATCTAATGAATTGTACTGGTGCAAATAACCTGCAGGATCCAAGAAACAAGCAGAACACGTCAAGGCAAAAATTGTGACAGATTCATATCCAGTCAGCAGCATTATCTATAAGAACAGTCTATACAATGTTAAAACAATGGAGCTGATGCCTATGGATTATGGAAAGAGAATCTTCCAATATCTATAATTAGACCTGAATGCAGGAAAAACTCATCTCACCACAAGCATATAGGATCAGAGAATTGTGAAACCAATTCACTTGTACATGTACACCGCCACATAAAAAAGGTTGTAAAAGTCATATATGTCAAGATATTTAAATAAACTCACCAATATATACAGTCATAAAGGATACAGCACATATTGCTTCAGTCAGCACAATAACCCTGCACATTCAGGGAGTAAGCTGAGAAATAGCCAATATTCCACAGTTTGATAAGGTAAATTTAAAGCAGCAACCCATTTTTCATTCGTACCCAACATGAAAAAGATGCACGATATTGATTATCAATGACAATATCATCACGAGAAAAAAGAGATCAATTTCATAGCAATTTATGCTGACAGCACAATAACTAGGATGCATAGCACAAATATCGGTAATTTCCATACCTCAGCAATGCAGAGATCGAAAGAAAGCTGATTTGGGGTTTCCATACCATGACAAGCAGCATTGCAGCAGTTCCTGTAATTTATCTAAACATTCAATAAAAAGATGATAGTAATAACTTCAACAGGATAGAAGAAGTATACATAAAATTAGAAAATTGCATTTTGCTTATGAGAATATAACAATCAATGGTGCAAAGGAAAATCTAATAGCAATAAGTCTATCTACTGCAGCATCATAAAAGTAGAAGTTCTTACATAGAAGAATATTTCCTTGTTTTCACTTTTTAAATATAAAAATTTTAAGAGAGAAATTCTCGGAGAAAACATTATTTCCAAATGCTTGTATGTCTAATAACACATAGCAGATTCAGTAACCCAACAGAAGATCAGAACCATATAGTTTGTGAGAGAGTGTGAATGTGTGTGTGTGTGTGTGTGTATGTGTGTGAGAGAGAGAGAGAGAGAGAGAGAGAGAAATTAAGGGCATGTACTTGCCATACGCAGTAATGGCAAATGGTAAACGAACAATATGCTTCAACTTCTGGCTGAAACTATAATAACCCTGCAAAACAAATAATCATGTAATAGTTTCTAAATCAAGCAAGCATGGGAATATAAATCCCAACAGTACTGCAGTTAAATAAATACATTAAAGGGTAGTACCATAGAAGCCTAACTTTACTCACGATTGCTTAATTCCAAGGTTGGTGAAAAATTCACGTCCAATACATATTTCAGAAACTATTTTACCAATATAATCAAAGCCTTGAATCCAAAGTACAAAAAACCAAATTTTTAGAGAGAATATCAACTGCACTAATCACAAAGTTTTTTAAACTAGCATTTTCCTTTTCCTCATGAAGAGTACCTGCAACCGAATTTTCTGGACTTGAGAAACAAAATATTGTTGGAAAATGCCTGAAAAAGTGAAAGAAACTCATTATAATTGCAGTGCACTCACTCCTTACAAAGCTATTCTAAATTCAAATCTATCAATTGAAAATGAATCTATACCAAGAAAGCTAGACTGGTAGAGACTTAACTACAAACAAAGAAAAAAAATGTAAGAGAAAACCAGAATGGAGAAAACATATATTTTAAAGCATAAGATATTTCAGAAACCAGCTGCTCAAACAAAATTCCAGCAGACATATCATGCCACCAAAATATGTTCTGAAGCGAAACTGTACGTCAGCAATAATATAACTTATGATGCAGATAGAAAACCATTAAATCAATATTCCTATTGGACTTCACAAATTCTCCATCAATATTGACCATTAAATCAACAAGTATGATGTGGTCATTAGGTCTCAAAGTTTAAATTTGTCCGAGAGAAAGAAAGGAGAAAAACATGGTATTACAATTCTAGTTAGTAGCACTTCCTCCTGGATAAGTGACTTTAATCAAGACTCCTAAAAGTGATAAATTATCATTCAGTGAATTCAAAACAGAAAAAATGAATGCTTTTGACCTGATGATAAAACCAACAATAAATAAGATAGTGTAATGGCAATGACTGCCAGTTATCTATAAGTTGTAGTAGAGCCAGACCTGTCACTATTAGAAGAACGACATCGCAGCTACAAAGTAATGAAGGGACCAATTTGTGATCAAACACGAAAGGAGCTAATGCACCCAAAGCAGCATAACCTGCCTAAAATTGAATAACAATCAATCAGAGCATGTTGCTTTATGCAAACTCTCAAAACAGAAATTGTAAAATAATTCCTAAATTGCACAATCATGCAAAATGAAGCATAAGTGTAATAAATTGAACTTGCCAATAGAAGACAGTAAACAACAGCTCCAAAAATACTCCTGCGTTTCCGGTGACCGCATAATGGAGCCTCGTGCAGTATATCGAGGAAACTGCAATGGCAGAAAAGGCCAAACCAATCAGAACTCAACAACGGAAATAGAAATTAATTGCATTAGAAGAACAATTGAAAACTTACAGAGCGTCATCGTCAGGAGATGTAGAAGGAGAATTACTATGTCTCTCTGTGGACATCTTATTTCGTCGTCTTGTTTTCTAGGGTTTTTGTTGATTTTATTTTCTGAAAAGTGTTGGGTTTAGATTTAGATCATTACTTTGAGTGCCATTTTCGGGTTGGCTTCACTCTGATGATGATGGTTTTGGTTGGAGAGTCACTGAGTCAGGCGAGTTAACACAGTCGCAGTTGTTTAATTAGAAATGTTTTGACTTGTCGGTTGTGTTGCTTGCGCGTGTCTGTCAGCGATGGGGATGAATTGAGTGAATTAGTGGGCCCACGGATTTTTGGGATTGACCCTTTCTTTTCTTAATGGGCCGAAGACAGCCTAATTTTATTACTGTTTAAATTGGGCTCTGTAGGATTAAGCACTGAGCTGTCTTATAACAATGAGATTATTGAAAGAATATATGGCATCAAATTACATTTTTTTCAATAAAAAATAGTTTACAAATGTTTTCAAAAAAAATATTTTACAAAATTTCTTATTTTAATAATGAGAAATTTCACAAAATTCCATCTTCTAGCCTCTAGGTAGACTTAAAAAATGTTCAATGTAAGAGATGATTGAAGATTTTATAAAAGATTCTTTGTTCTTTGTTCTTTCTTTTTTTTTCCCGTATAAAGAATACCATATGTGCCTACGCTTTTACGCTTACGTAAAGTATATGTCACTGTTTATATCGCAACAAGGACCAGACTCAACCCAGACCACTTAATTATATTGGCCCACTCTCGGAACCCAGTCCAATTTTTTGTTTTTTTTTTTTTTTTTTTTTTTTTTCTTTGTTCTTTCTTTTTTTTTCCGTATAAATTAATACCATATGCCTACGCTTTTACGCTTACGTAACAGTAGGTTATGTCACCTGTTTAGCTATCGCAAACAAGGACCAGACTCAAACCCAGTACACTAATTATATTGGCCCACTCTCGGAAACCCAGTCCAATTTTTTGTTCTTTCCTTTTTTTTTCCTTTTTTCTTTTGCCCTTTTCTCCGGAAAGGAAAAACTGAAAAGGTATGGTCCTACAAATCGGGAAATCTACGACTGGGTCGTTGGACTCAACTGGTCGTCTAACGTTCATTCAAAGATCATGAGGTTAGGAGCAAGAAGGGCGTTTCTGCAATCTTACATTGGGAAATTGCGATGTGACAAAGAGGAGTTGTTAGATTGTTCCACTTGGAATTAAAGAATTACACCATGTGGCTTTTGGCGAGCGGTTTTCTTATTTTTTTTTTTTTTTTTTTTTTTTTTTTTTTTTTGCCCTTTTCTCCGGAAAGAAACTGGAAAAGGTATGGTCCTACAATCGGGAATCTACGACTGGTCGTTGGACTCAACTGGTCGTCTAACGGTCATTCAAAGATCATGAGGTTAGGAGTCAAGAGGGCGTTCTGCAATCTACATTGGTGGAAATGCGATGTGACAAAGAGGAGGTTGTAGATTGTTCACTGGAATTAAGAATTAACCATGTGATTTTGGCGAGGGTTATTCTTATTTTTCCGTGGTTGTCTCTTTTCATGTAAGAAGATAATACCAATACAGATCCATATATGGTTATATAACATTAGTGGCTCTTTGGAAAGGAAGCAAGGCGATTAATTTTATATATTAGCAGAGTTGCACGTATATTTCATTGAGGCATTCCTAGATTTATGACCTTCATAATTGTGTGTGTGTGTGTGTGTGTGTGTGTGTGTGTGTGTACAGATATTGGGGCACTGGTTTCTTATTATGCTACTTAACATAAATCAAGTTATAATTTACACAATATCTTTCTTCTTGTATATGAGATAACAATCCCAGATTCTTATTTTATACATGAAATGAAACCAATATCATTACATCACAACCTTTCATCCTAACTTCATTTGTAACTGAAACTGGAATCTTGTACCACAAATTACTAATCAAAGGGCATTCGTCTTCGAAATTACATTAAGCTACAACGGGATATGATGCGCAAGTTGCAACACCTGAGTTAAAATTATCAAAATCAAGATAAGCAACTCAAATCCAAGGTAAGATAACCCTAAAATGCACGTGACAAAGTTCAGTGTAAATGTCATTGGATAACAGCTAAGAAAACAGCTGAAAATTTCCATGTCAAAATATCATTCATATTCTGTCCAAGTGGTGTGCAATGGTTTCACACAGTCTAATTAGATAGGTCAGGAACTTACCACACATGTTTTTGCCCAGCTCCATCTTAAAATAGCCATGATCACCCCAATTTTCCCCCCATGAGTTCTTGATCAGCCAATATGGGACACCATCTTCGACTCCATATCCCACTGCAAGAACAGCATGGTTCACATCCTGCCATAAAACCACAGAATGTTAAGGAAGCATTGATACATAAAAGAGAGGATCAATGTGTATTTTGCAACATTGAAACATCCAACATATCTTGGTTATTCTGCACACGTTAATGAACCTCAACATTATCTTGCCACAAAAAATATCTGAACTTTAGTGTCATATTAAAGGTGTGACTTTGATCAGTTTCAAATTGATATATGTAAGGTCTTGTGGATTCACTGCCTAAAACTTGAATAAAAACTAAATATTTCTTGAAAATTGATAAAATTTCTTTTTTTTCTTTTTTGAAATGTGTTCCATCTTATTCCCATAATATGAAAATAAAGGCCATCTCGAAATTTGAAAAAGACGAAGAAAATGAAGAGGAAAACTCACCATTGGAGTGCCGCCACAAACATCACTAGTGTAAACTCCACTCTTGTAAAAACGGAAACCACTTACTACTTGGAAAGCTACACTCACAGGACGAACCGTGGCAACTGCATGCTTTAATTCATCTTCAGCACCCTGCATGTCATTCAGCACAAAGGAACCTTAAAGGACATCTACAATGGATCTTAAAGTTTGACATTGTGGAAGAGTAGCAAATTAAACATGATCCAGTTGTGAGATCTATCAACTGAAATAAAGCGAAACGGCTGAATGCTACGGTGGAGAGGGCATAAATATTTAAGAACTAAGATAAAGGGCTTGAGGCAGGGTGGGACGTGGGAGTGGGGATGCTATTTAGAAAAAGAAAATTGTGTCGTATTAGATTAGGGATTAGCATTTGACTGCAAAGCCAAAATAAGCACATTTGCAACAGCTAAACCAAAGCAACTAGAAAGTTCAGCCGTATCTGACTCTTGAAATTTGCTTAGTCCAACCTCACCCAATTGACCGAGATTTTTTTACCTAGATCAAGCACAACAATAAACACAGAAGTTTTTTTCCGAGAATTAGGAGATGCAACTTACAAGGGTAATGTTAACAGAATCGAGCACTTGGATGGCAACATTTTCAGATGAGAATTTGCAGGTATCATCTTCTCCAGTGTAGGGATATGATTCCTCAGTTTCAAGACCACCATTATATTTGATATACTCAAAGGCTTGTGATGGCAATCCACCATGGCAGCCGAAGTTATTAAAAGCTCCGGCACAATCCACAAGCTGTTGCTCAGACAGAGAGATTCCTTTTCCAAAAGCCTGATGATAGGCTGCTTCAAGAGCTCCAGTGGTACTGCAATTACAAATAACAAAAATTAGAAACACAGTAAAATAGTTAAACACCATTTCTACGCAAGTTGAATGCTTATTCTTAGACTTGAACCAACCTGAAAGTCCAGCAAGAACCACAGTGGCCCTGATTTTTAACCGGGCTGACTATGCCTATTTCCCTCCAGTCTTTCTGTAATCACAGCATTGGAACACAAATATCAGGCTAGCGTTTTACAAGATGTAAGACTGATTCTTACCCAGTATATATTAAAGAAGCGATTTTTCTATGCATGAGTAGGGCATTTGACCACTATAGTATTTAGGTAATAATTGATCTACAATTGATCTCTTTTAAGTTCAGTTCATTGCTGATTATCAATGACAGCGAATATACGATTGATAGCTTATTAGACATAACTGCAGTTTTATTCCCTAGGTACATATTAACACAATGGTATTCAAAAACTGAAACTTCTAAAAGTAATGAAAATTATCAGTTAATTAATTTGAAGAATTTAAACAGAAAACGTACTGTTTCAGGAAGAACAACGTCAGTAAGCTTGTGACTGCCTTTTGTGGTGGCAGAGCAATTCTGAGCAGCTCCCAATCTGTGCTTTTGGAATTCTTCCCAGGTCCAATCAGCAAAATCTATGACATCAACAAATCAAAATTGACAATTAATAGCAGAAAAGCATATTTCTATTAAGACATGAAGTGGTGAAATAGTCAATACGGAGAGTAATGGCAAAAATTCCGTACTACCGAAGGGTCAAAGTGTTAAAAGACCGTTAGTTAGCTGCAAGAATTTTGCAAATATGCTCTCAGATCAAATTAAATGAAGCAGTTAATAAGTTTATCTCACCATTAACAGCAAGAGTATATGGCAAACCCTTTTTGTTCGTGGATCTGATCAAATCCAAATTTTCCGAGAAAATCGCGAACCTCAGCTTCATTTCCTCCTCGGTCTTGTACCTCTTCCCGTACCTAAAAATTACAAGAACAAAAAATTAGAAAGCTCACTTCCACTATCAAAATCGATAATCACCATCGATCGGAAACCTGTAAGCAAAACGGGCGAAGCGAAGAGCATGGCGAGTTTCGCCGACGACTTTAACGACAGAGGCTTCGAAGTCACGAAGACGGTCGGAGACAAGTCTGATTGGGTTAGAATCGCTGAAGCTTGATCCAGCGACAGCGGCGGAGAAGAGGAATAGCAGGATGGAAGAGACCAAGGTAATAGTAAGGCGAGCCATATCTCTTCCCCTAGCTTTGTGGAGTGCGGGTTATGAGAGAGAGAAGAGGATGATTAATATAGCGAAAATGATTCTGGAGGAGAATCTGTGAGGTGTGGGCCTTCAATTGGTCAGTGTAGCTGAAGATACCAAAGTAACATTTGTTTGGTAATAGGTTGAATCGTAATCACCAATTAGCATATAGTAAATGTAAATTAGTAAACTAGTAAAAGGAAAAGGACAAGTAGTTTTAGATATGTATTATTATACTTCCACTATTATTAGTGACCTATGCAGTGACGTGGACTTCCCGCTTGTTTTGTAAGTTGTAACAGATTTAACTGTTTTTCCTGCCCATCCAAATTTCGTCCAACTCCTGTGGCATTTTCCTTCGGTGTTTTAAAGGTAGAAAAACACCTTTCTGCGTATGGACTTATCTACACAATAAACTTATTTTAAATAGTGTTTTTTTTTTTTTTTAAATGAAATTATTATCATATCTCTATTACCGAGCAAAATTATTGATTCATTACTATTTAATCTTTTATATTTAATAAAATGTTTCTATTTAGTCCTTCTATTAAATTATTATTAATTTCTTCTCTTCGTATTGAAAAATTTATACTTTTTGTACAAAGAGAGTAAATAATATGACAAAATTAAATTTTATAATTTTGTTAAAAAATTAGGAATTAAATATTTAATTATCTAAACATTATATATATAATTGTATTCCCTTAATGGATCCAGCTAGATTTTTTTAATCGATTGACGTGACTAAAAAAATCTTTCAGTTTGCACGATGCCATAAATATGGAAATCAATATGAATTCTGAGTAATTTTTTTTAACCTATTTATTTCCATAGCTCCCTGTATCTGTCTTGTATGCTTTTTTTTTTTTTTTTTTTTTTCCTTTTTTAATCATTGACGTGAACTAAAAACAAATTTCTTTTCAGTGCCACAGACTGCCTTAAAAATATGCGAAAATCCAATCATGAATTCTGGCAGTAATATTTTGGTTAACCTACTTTATTCCATAAGTCTCCCTGATTAATCTGTTCTTGTATGCTTTTTTTTTTTTTTTTTTTTCTTTTTTCCAAATTTTTTGTCATATTGGCGAACTTGATCAGTATCTAACATGATCTATTGGGCTTCAATTTTTTTTTTTTTTTTTTTTTTTCCAATTTTTTGTCATATGCGTTGATCAGTATCTAACATGATTATTGGCTCAACTTGCAATTTTTTATGACTAAAACGACAAAGAGAGGACAAAAATATACCATATCACTGCTAAAGATATTTGCAAAAAATGTTTGAATATTCAATTAAAATCAACAAATTATGGCGTGGAGATTTCTTGTTCATTCAAGAAAGAGATATGATGATGTGAGCCTAACTAGAAATAGGAAAGTTTAAATAATTTAAATATTTTGGTAATTAAATGACCTTGTCATATTTGGATGAGTTATAGAATTACAAGTCATCAATCAAAATCAAAAATGGATTTATCGGACTGTCTCTACGCAGTAGCAGTCTTTTGCAATGAAAATCACTCCCTAATTAGGCTACTTAGGTTCACACATTCCTTTTGTGTTCATAAATATTTATGGACAATGGTGAAAATGTTGGCTTCAAAATAGTCTTCCTCTTGTTGAAGCTAGCAAGTACAACAAAAGCCACCGCTTTTGTCATATTATAGGAAAGATTTATTTCAAATTTCGGATTCGATCAATTACAAATAATATTTTAATTCAAATCAAAGTATATTTGACCATCCACTAAAAATATAAAATATAGAAATAACATGTTCTTGATTGGCTTAGTAGATGGTAATACCTATACATTTGTGATTGATTTGGTGTATAAACTGACTCATATATAAAGTGTAGGTAAGTCTTTCTCGCTTCGTAGACAACACATTACATGTTACAATAGAGTTGATGGTCAAGGACTTGTTAGGCCCATATTAATTTTGTGTCAATGAAAGCCCAATTTATCCGTACAATTCATATTGGGCCTTACAGTTTGCTTCAAAGTTTTTAAAGTGGTTGAGTAGGGAAGGCCATGGCCAGCCTCGGCAAGTAAATGCTATTCGGGTTTGGAGCGAGCCCAAGTAGGCCTCAAACTTACCTTTTGAAATATAAGTATTTAATACTTATTATTTTATGATATAAAGTCAAAAGCCGTTTTTCTTTCCTTTAAATTTATGGAACTAGGGGAGCCAGTGGAGTATGATAAGAAGCTACCCTTTCAATTTTCTGATCTAATCCTACAACTTATTAGATAGAAATGCCATAATTTTTTAAATCAATTACAATTAAATACTTAAAAAACACTTTATTAAAAAATTATAAAAGATGAAACTCTTTTAATAAAATAATATTTAGAATATATAAATCCAAGTCATTACTTCCAGAACACTTGATCTTGCTGTGGGGTAACGATTTGAATTTTTCTTTTTTTTTTTTTTTTTTTTTTAAAGAAAAAGTTAGATCTAAAAATCAAGTGCATCTGATTTTTTTTTTTTTTTTTTTTGAAAAGAAAGAAAAAGTTAGATCTAAAATCAAGTTGATTGTTATTATATTTTGCAATACGAATATGACGATGAAGGGAAGGGCGTGGGGCTGACATGAGGCTGACACTCTCAAGACTTAAAGGGGATCATACGGTTTAAAGGACAGAATCAAAAGGCCAAATTTTCAGCGATGGAAGCTACTAGCTAAACATTTGACCCATAAAAGTCTGTGTATTTCTTGTTTTGCATAACACGCTTTATAGAATGTTCCGTATGTACACACCAGATTTTGCTTTACCAAAATTTCACACGTAACGAATACGAGTGTTGTGTGAAATACTTGAACAACAAGAATTATACAGAGAGAGATTCAAAGGTAGAGGGAATTTTAAAGAAAAAAAAAATTTCTTTTTTATTTTCTTTCAATATTTCTTGCCTACCTAAATTGCTAAAGAAAAAAAAATTACAACATGCACACTTGTCTATATAAACATGCAAACTTGCCTTATTTTAACCTGGCTATAAGCCTGCAAATGCATTACTATATGTAAGCTCGAGTTAGGCTTTATTGATGATGCTATAGTCGTTGGTAGTTGAACTTCAAAAAAAAAAAAAAAATAAATAAATATCACGTGTAAAATATTTAATTGTACATTCTTTAATTATAATGTTGAAAGTGGGTTTATTATATTAGATCTTGGATTACAAGTAACTGTTTGACAGAAAAATGCAAATCAAATAGATAAAAATGTCAAACATTTCCGAGTCAGGATTGGTTTGTACTAGCTTTGACTTTTCTACTTCAATACCTAAATAAGTCCTACTGCTAGCTTCTCAATTTCTTTAATTTTGAAAATCATAAAAGGACAGTGGACAGCTTTGCTTGCAGATTGAATTTCACAACTAGCATTCAAAATAATATTTGAATGAATAAATTAAATTTTATATTTTTTTAAAGGAGAAATTCATTGTTATATAAAATCTTCAAACAATAGTAATGATGGGCACTATACGATATTTAAAAAAAAAAAAAAAAAAAAAATATTTAAAAATTTTTTTTCCCTATATTTTTTTTAAAGGAGGGAAAACTTCCATTGCTTATTATAAATATCTTCCAAACAATAGTAATGGTATGGAGCACTATACGATATTAAAAAAAAAAAAAAAAAAACAAATTTCAAAAGGTTGTTTTGGTTGAAACTCCACGCACCATGGAGAAGTAAAGGTGGTTGTCAGTTTTGATTGAACTGCCCATGCCACGCTAAATTTATATTGAACCATTACAACTTATTAAACGAACCTAAATAAAAAAAATACAGCAAACTATTCTAAAAATTATATCAAAACATTTTTTAAAATTTAACTATAATGTATTTGCTCTATATAGATGTCGCAATTGGTTGCATTTCGAAAAGCTGATAATAGACACTTTGAGTTTCATTTTCTAAATTTCTATTCACATTTGATCCATCGTAAAACTGCCGAATTGATGTAAAATCCCAATTTTTTTTTAATGTATACTTCAGATTAAACAAAAAAAAAAAAAAAAAAAAAACAAATTTCAAAAGGTTGTTTGGTGAAACTCCACGCACCATGGAGAAGGTAAGGTGGTTGTAGTTTGATTGAACTGCCCATCCACGCTAATTTATATTGACCATTACAAATAAACCAATAATAACTAATAATAATTAACTATAATGATTTTGTCTAATTCGATTGGTTGCATCAAGCTGAAATAGAATTGGTTCATTTCTAAATTCTATCAATCATGTAAACTGCAAATTATGTAAAATCCAATTTTTTTTAATGTATACTTCAGTAAACATATAACAATTTCAATTTCGATTTTAATTTTAATATGAGAAAAACAAATCACTTTTAATTAACTCGTGTCCAAAGGGAGAAAAAAAAAAAAGAAGATCCAGCCCAAAAGACTTTTGTATTGACCGCCGCAGTTACTATTTGCCTAGAAAATGACTATAACGCCCCTTGACTTTCTTTGGACAAAAGTAGACAATGACAAATGGGACCCATTTACCTACTCCCTCATTGACAAAACTACCCCTCTGGAACAATTATCTGCGTACGCGACTCAAGTTTCTCAACGCAATATTTTGATTATCAGGACGGTCCAAATTAATTATTCTCCTAGAAATATTTAATTTTTGATGTTTATGTAATTTTTAATGGCAGGACTCAACAGGATGTTTAGATGACCCCTCAACCGCCAATCTTATGACCACACTATAAGGTCAACTGCATGGGAGATTCCTGACCATCTGATCCAAAAGAGTAGAAGAAATCCACAGACCGTGCGGTCGTGATCAGATTCAGATAATTAGCTCATGTGCATGTATATGGAGGGTAGCTTTGTCGTTTGGTGAATATACATGTTTAGCTTCTAGGACATAGTCTCTAGAAGCTTATATATTGCAAATCAACCTACTCTCTTTGCCCTTTGGAAGGTCCGGCGACTGGTATTCGTAATCTATTTGACGAAACTACCCTCCTTGACTGTATTAATTAGGACAAAAACATAATAATAAGATTCCTTTGTCCCTTACTAAGGGTGTAATTATAGGTTCTAATTGATTGACATTTAGCCAAAAGTGCCTTCATTTAGAAGCCTTGATGTTGATGTCCTAATATATTTTGCTTTCATATGGAAAGTTCACAAGATGGAAAAAGAAAAAAGAAAATTAATTGTTGACTTTTTTTTTTCATTTTTCTTTAGAAAATAAAATTATTAGAATATTTTTGGTTAATTTATGCATTTTACAGTTTCTATTAGTAAAAAAAAAAAAAAAGTAAATCTATTTATCCACTTAGTTAATGTTAGAAAAATATTGTTGATGATATATAGCAAAAGTCAAGAAGGGATAGCCATGTCATTTTCTTAAAACTAACTATTTAGACTTATGACTCATAACCCATTAATCAAATATTTTAAAGGATACTTAAAGATAATTAATACATATCCACGTACTAATTATTATAAAATTAAAAAACAAAAGTTGGAATAGTTCCATAATGCACCACATAAAATTATACATAGAATAGAAAAAATCAAAGGTGTATGGTAGAAAGGAGTTGGAAACCTCTTTCTCCAAGTACGCGTTTGGAGAGCTGCTGTGGATTTGAATTTTTTTTTTTTAATATTATTAATCCTTTGTCTGTCCTCTCCTTTTTAAACCCCTTCCACTCCATTTGCAACCAAACCTTCTCTTCTTCTAAACCTAACACGAGAACATACTCTCTCTCTCTCTCTCTCTCTTTCTTTCTCAGAAGTTGGCAAATCAAATGAGTTTGTAGTTTCCGGTTCAAGAAGCCGAATTGATATACATACAACAATCAATTTCAAGAATCATTAATTATTTCATCATCTTATCAAGAAAATGACTGTGGAAAAGTTTACATGGACATCCATGTTTGCGAGTTGTTTCAAGTTAGATGCAGAGAAACCATCGTCTAAACCAAAGAAAGAGGTTACTAAACAAACTTCGTTTCACAGAGTTTCAGTGTCTGATTTGAGCAATCCTAGTTTACTATCAGAAGATCTTTCCGTTTCTCTTGCTGGCTCAAACCTTCATGTCTTTACGCTGGCTGAGTTGAAGGTTATAACTCAGAATTTTTCGTCAAGCAACTTTATTGGCGAAGGAGGGTTCGGTCCTGTGCATAAAGGGTTCATTGATGATAAGCTTAGACCTGGCTTGAAGGCTCAACCTGTAGCAGTTAAGCTTTTGGATTTGGATGGCTTACAGGGTCATAGGGAGTGGCTGGTGAGTTCCTAATTGTAAATCTAAATATAATTAATTATCTTGTTAAGTTTATCTTTTAATATTTTAATTAATAAATGTTTCTTTTTGGGCAGACGGAAGTGATCTTCCTAGGGCAATTGAGACATCCACATCTGGTGAAGCTGATCGGGTATTGTTGTGAAGAGGAACATAGGCTTCTTGTTTATGAATATATGCCACGTGGCAGTTTAGAGAACCAGTTATTTAGAAGTATGTTCTGTTTTCTTGAATTTTTCAGTAACAATTAAATTATAATTAAGTTTCGTATTAAGACAAGTAATTAACACAGCGTTTTGTTTATTTTCAGGATACTCTGTATCCCTACCATGGTCAACAAGAATAAAAATTGCTCTCGGAGCTGCAAAAGGACTTGCTTTCCTTCATGAATCAGAAAAGCCTGTTATATACAGAGACTTCAAAGCCTCAAACATCTTGTTAGACTCGGTAAGCTATAGCAATTTGCATCATTATCTCTTAATAACATAATTAATAGTTTGACTAATCAAATGCTAAAACTACAGGACTATACACCTAAACTTTCCGATTTTGGACTAGCAAAGGATGGTCCTGAAGGATCTGACACGCATGTTTCCACTAGAGTTATGGGAACTCAAGGCTATGCTGCTCCTGAATATATCATGACAGGTAATTAACGTTGTACATTTACTAACATCATTTTAGATATCTTTGAAAAAACCCGGAATTCATATTTATAATATAGGGTGGTTTTTTGGAATTAACTTGAGTTTGATTATTTTCAGGTCACTTGACATCAATGAGCGATGTGTATAGTTTCGGAGTAGTACTTGTGGAGCTTCTTACAGGAAGAAGGTCAGTGGACAAGTCCCGTCCACAAAGAGAACAAAAGCTAATAGAATGGGCAAGACCTATGTTAAATGATTCACGGAAACTTGGCCGGATTATGGACCCGAGACTCGAAGGGATGTATTCGGAAGCTGGGGCTCAGCAAGCAGCTGCATTGGCTTATCAATGCCTGAGTCACAGGCCAAAGCACAGACCAACTATGAGTACTGTTATCAAAATTCTAGAGCCTCTTATGGAATCGAAGGATATTCCTGTTGGAACTTTTGTATACACAGTTCCAACAGAAAGTGATAATAGTACTAAAGAAGATGTTAAAGAATCATGTGACGAGCCTAAAAAAGATTTGAAGAAAGAAAATGGTCAGCATCACCAAAAACATCCACTCCACCATGGCCACAGACATCATCGCCACCATCACCACGACCATAAATCAGGAGCAAGATCCCCAACTGTTCACTCGGAAACCGTTCTACGTCACAATCAAAGAAATGGGATGCAATCACCATTGCGCCCAAGTGCTAAGGGCAGTATAGATAATTTCATTAGCCAAAATGTAATTAAAGTTAATTAATTAATTAAGTTATAATGTAAATACAATTTGAACAATTGCACACTGTAACAATATTAGTTAGGCATAAGTGTAAGAATTAGTATGAGAGAGGTCTTGTTTTACTTGAATTGATTTTTTCTTTTTTCTGCTTTTAATATACTTCTGCTTCTCAACTTGGTCATATATGGAATGGAAGAGTTCAAATTCTCTTTTGCGAAGCAAAATGAACTGTTCAAAAATTTGTCACCAACCTCATATTAGATACATAAAATATTTGATGAAAGAGCAGATTCAAAGTTGTATCAAATATACAGCTAATCGGTTTGAAATGTACAACGCGGAAATTTTAGTTTTCTTAGTATAATGTTAGAAATATCCGACAATATTTGTGATTGGTTTTAAATATTAGCATGTTCACATACCCGTTGTAGATAAGTTTTTTTTTTTTTTTTTTTTTCAACTTTGAACAATTAGCACACTATGTAACAATCACTTAGTTAGGCATAATGCTCTCACCTGTGTAAGGAATTAGTATGAGAAGAGGGTCTTGTTTTTACTTGAATTTGAATTTTTTTCTTTTTTTCTGCTCTTTAATATATTCCTGCTATCTCAACTTGGTCATTATCGGGAATCGGAAGAAGTTTCGAATTTCTCCTTTTTTGCGAAGCTCCAAAATGGAACTTGTTCAAACAATTTGTCACCAACCTCATATTAGATACATTAAATATCTCTGACTGAACAGAGCAGATTTCCCAACAGTTGTATCAAATATACAGCTTATTCGGGTGAAATGTGCCTACAACGCGGGAAATTTTTTTAGTTATTCCTTAGTATAATGTTAGACAATAATCCGCACAATATTGTTGATTGTTTTTTACCAAACTATTAGCATGTTTACACATACCCGTATGTAGTATAAGTTTTTTTTTTTTTTTTTTTTTGTTGGTAAAACTTCTTTAGGAAATTTTTTGTCATTTTGCTCCTCTGTAGGTTGGTGTCCATCTATCACGTTAGCCCTACTACTAAGCAAATGAAAAATTTTTTTTTAATCTATAATCTATTTTTTTTTTTTTTTTTTTTTTTTGTTGGTAACTCTAGGAAAATTTTTGTTTGCTCTCTGTAGGTGGTTCCATCTTCATATACTAAGCAAATGAAATTTTTTTTTAAATAATATAATTATTTTGTTTTTTGTTTCTCAGCGCACAGTTAGAAAGATTTTCATTTGAACTAAAATATTATATATAATAGCAAATTACTATTAGCAATAACATAATTGTGAACAAAATGATTAACGATTTCCACATCTGCCACCAAATCTGGTTTGAATCGCTTTCTCCTTTTTATATATTAATGCTAAGGAATATTAAATATTAACTAAACGAGTATTAACAGGGACAGTTGGTGAGCTGTAACCCTGACATGTCTATTCCTAGTCGCAGGTTTGTTACATAAACTCTTGTTTGTTGCATTATTTTCCTTCACGTGAAAAGAGGTAAAGTATATATTGTCTTGTCTCCTCCTTCAAGCTATATGATTAGTACACCTGGTTAATGATTAAGGTGTTAGATTGCCTTTTGATTCCCTATCCTTCACTTATTTGTTTTTTGGACAAATAAAAAAAAAAAAAAATTCACAACTCAATGTAAATCCACAAAAGCATATCTTTTCCTAATCAAAAAAAAAATATTCAAGAGATTGCAGTTGATCTATTATATTAATTCAATTAATAGATGTAATTAATTGATAATTAATTGAAGATCTATATATTAATATTGAAGTTAAGCTCATAAATCAATTAATAAAAAGGAATTAGTAATTAATAGACTAATAAAATATATGATTTGATTTAGAACAACATACTCTGGGCCTTCTTTTATGGGCCATGACTACATCTTATGGGCCACAAATCAAATCTTTCATTAATCCATATAGAAGTCCCATTTCCGTTATTGCCAAATTAACGCTATGGCTTCAAATAATTCACACCCGAACTCCTCTCCTTCACCGCCGGCGGCTAAAGAATCCGAGTTAGATTCCGCCACTAAGGCAGCGTGCGAGGAAGCACTTGCTATGTCTCTAGAAGCAAATAAATCGGAGGAAGCAGAGAAGCTGATTAAGGAAATTGTATCCCGCTATAAAAATATGGCTTATGTCCATGATTTAGAAAGCCAAATCCATTTGAATATTGCTCTGCCTCTAGGCATCGGCGATTTGGATATGAGAAAGAAGTATCTTTCTGATGCTGTTGCGTCAGCTGCACAAGCCGTTGATCTTGCTCCAGCCTCGGTTGAATATGTCATATCTCTGGCCAAAGCGCAGTTTAATTTAGAACTCACCGAAAAGGCCATTGCTCAAAGCAAAGGTTTCCTTTTCCCTTTCTCTCGATTTACTTAAATAATATGATTGTTTTTCCTCTTCTTCTTCTTCTTCTTTCTACTTGACAATTTAAATTTTACATTTTCAGAATGACAAGGTGTGCGCAGCGCAGAGAATTGTATATCTCAAGCAAGGTTAGATCATATGGAAGTTACCACAGATGTTGCCTTTAGATTCATGATTTCAAATGTGTTTATTTTCTCTTTGCTTTTCTTCATTTTGTATCATAATACAAATATTAGACATTGAATTATTAGCAGGTAACAGCCTTACAATCGCAAAATATTGTCATTTTTCAGTGAATTGGGCGATTATTTAAAATCATTCAACCACAATGGTTGAACTCAATAGTCTGTTAAGCAGTGTTATTGAAAGAAATACTAACAGCAGAAAATTAGTGATCAATAGAGATGAATTTGAAGCCTAGGCTTTGGGATTGCAACAAGAGGGAATTTTCTAGGAGTAGCCAGTCCATAAACTTCATCCATGCTTAAATCTTCTGGTTTCATGTTGTCAGGCAATTCCCAGTTGAATCCATGCAACAAATTAGCCAAGCTTGATCCTATCATTTTAAGGCCAAGGCTATAACCAGGACACATTCTTCTTCCAGAACCAAATGGCAATAACTCTAAACTCTGTCCTTTCACATCAATATTACTACCCTTGTCACTCAAAAATCTTTCTGGTCTAAACTCTTCTGGTTCATCCCACATTGAAGAGTCTCTTCCCATACTCCATGTGTTAATGAACACTCTTGTTCCTTTAGCAATGTCATAGCCAGCTAGTTTAGTATCTTCAAGGGCTAAATGGGGTGCAAGCATTACAGCAACTGGATGTTTTCTCATTGTTTCTTTCATTATTGCATCTATGTATGGAAGCTGTGGGATGTCTTTCTCTTCCACCCATCTATCTTTTCCAATTACTCTATCAAGTTCTTCTGTAGCTTTTTTAATTAAATGGGGTTGTTTCATGAGTTCTGACATTGCCCATTCCACTGTCGTTGCTGATGTATCTGTTCCTCCAGCAATAAGATCCTGGTTGCGGTGAAAATTCACATCAATGTTTAACAATGTATAATTCATTTGTTTTTTCTTGACTCGAATAAATAAAAAAAAAATTACCTGAGTAAATCCCTTGACACTATCAGAATTAAGCTTAACATCAAGATCAGGATTATTAGAAAGCTTCAATAGTAAATCCACCATATCTTCTTCTCCTGCTTTCTTCTCTTTATGTTCACCAAGCACATGATCATGAAATCTATCGAACTTAATCTTTAAAGCCTTCATTCGCTTAACATAACCCTGCAAGTCCAAGAAATTTAACCATGGTATCCAATCCCCAATATTCAAAACCCCATTAAGCCAAAATAACTCATCTAACATTTCTTGAAATTCTTCAAGCGTCACTATCTCCTCATTCTCAGACTCATTAGTACTAAAATATTTCTTGCCTAGTACTATTCTACTAATAATACTAAGCGTAACGCGAGAGAGATGATCTTTGAGAATGATAGGTTTACTAGATAAGGAATTAATACGAGCAAGAAAAGCTCTTATTTCCTCTACACGAATATACTCATAAGACTGCAGTCTTTTAGAGCTGAATAACTCAGTAAGGTATATTTTACGACCTTGGCGCCAGTACGGTCCGTAAGGCGCCCATGTAATGTTAGAGTAGTTATATGTAGTGTATTTTCCTGCGGCAGTTTGAGGTCTGGAGGCAAAGATTTGATCGTTTGATTTTAAGATTTGCTTTGCTATTTCTGATGATGAGGCTACTATGACTGGGAAGGAGCCGAACTTGAGTTGCATCACGGGTCCGTATTTGTTTGACAATCTGTGTAGAGATTGATGCGGGAGAGGGCCAATTAGGTTGAGATTGCCAATTATTGGCCATGGTTTTGGGCCTGGTGGAAGTTTTAGCGAGTATTTAGAGTTCTTGAAATATTTTTGGAGGAAAATGAGAGTTGTTAAGCATGTTAGAGCCAAAACTAACCATGAAATGTTAAGAGAATCCATTGGAGTATGAAAAGGTAGTGGTGGCGGTGGAGTCTGGAGCTGTTCTTTGTTCTATTTATAGTTGATTTTACGTACGAACTACTATCCTAAAAAAAAAAAAAAAAATCCAAAAATCTTATGGAGAGATTATTTGTTTACCCAAAAAAGAGACAGAAAATAATAGCAAGAAATCAAAAAAAAAAAAAAAAAAAACGAAACTTGAGTTGCATCAACGGGTCCCCGTAATTTTGTTTGACATCTGTGTGTAGAGAGAATTGATTGCGAGCCGAGAGGGCAAATTAGTGTTCGAGATGCCAATTATGGCCATGGGTTTTGGGCCTTGGTCGGAAGTTTTTAGCGAGTTATTTAGCAGTTCTTGAATATTTTTTAGGGAGGAAAATGAGAGTTGTATAAGCATGTTAGGAGCAAAAAGCCTAGACCATGAAAGTTAAGAGAATCCAACTTGGATATAAAGGTAGGTGGTGGGCCGGTGGTGAGTCTGGAAGCTGTTCTTTGTGTCTAATCTTATTAGTTGATCTTTAACGTACGAACTCACGCTCATCCCTAAAAAAAAAAAAAAAAATCCAAACGATCTTATTGGAGAGATTATTTGTTTTACCCACAAAAAAGAGACAGACAATCATCAATAGCAAAGCAATTCAAAAAAAAACAAACAAAAAACACACAAGTGTCTGCAAGTGTCCTGCTTTTATCTAAGCAAAGAAAATTATATTGGATTGGAATTTCTTAGATCCCCAGTGGACATTCATAAAAATTTGAAATCTTTTTTTTTTTTTTTTTCGTGAATTGAACCAATAAATGCAGAGTTAATGTTTTTCATGAATTCCACATTTAGCGGTCAAGAAAAACTAGAAATGGGAGTGATAGCTACTATATCATTATATTATATTTCTACTATTACATATCATATACTAATTAATACTATTACTATAGACTTATTCACCACGACAAGTCTTTTAACTTGCCTTGCTGGAAAACAAATTAAAACTACTTACTTTAAATAAAGCTTATTCGATTATCGATTTCACTTGATGAAAGGAGGTAAGTCTTGAACTTAGCTATTAAATTCCCAACAGAAAATTAAACCAAACTAGCCTGAGAAGGATCCGTCAGTGGTCCAATTATTACATTTTTTCTATTTTTTTCATCCGCGGGTTCAAGATGTATACTTTTCGTGCTTGGCGCCCTACATGGACGACTTTTAAATTTGGCAAAACTAAATCCCCATACTCTAACCATACAAACAAGTTTCGTATATATAGATTATTAAGACAAGTTTTAATGCCTTGGAAAACAAAATTAAATATATAAATAAAGCTTTTGATTATGATTTATGATGAAGAGTAAGTTTTACTTAGCTATTAATTTCAGAAAATTAAACCAACTAGCTGAGAAGGATCCTCATAGTCAATCATACATTTTTCTATTTTTTTTCGGTCAAATTATACTTTGTGCTTGGGCCTACATGAGATTTAATTTGCAAAATAAATCCATATCTACCAACAACAAGTTTCGTTTTATTGGATTCCTTGGCCCATTTCAACAAAGAGATAAAATTTTACGTATATATACCGTCTCTTTGGGCCTCTTGTTATTATGATTTCATTGGGCCTTTTTGTTCTTGTAGTTGTTGGTTACCGTTGAAGAAATGTTCAATTCAATTATTTATTAATTTTATTCAATGCAGCCTAACGACCGGACTAAAACAACCGTCGTCACCGACAAAACGACAGGTGTTTCAATAACGGCAGCATGTTTCTTTTATCACAGTTTCAGAAATGTTGAACTGTTTTATTTCTTGAAACTCTAATTGAGTACATTAGATATTATCAATGGCATCCATCCCAATTCTTTCTTTTCTCATATTTGATGCTTCTTACTGTGTGCGTAATGGAATTTTAAGGGACTGATCTTTATATGTCTGTTCATTGGCTATATCAAAGTATGACATTCATTAGGGTTCACAAATCATTTGTTTGCTCTTTGTACATGAATAAAAATATAATTTTTTACAGGTTAATAGGGTTTTGTGCTTGTCCTGATTGGGAATGGTAATACTACCATGTAATTTCTGGGTAATCTGATTCAGTTTACATATAATTGCCAAGCAAAGTGCTTGTAATAAAAAAAAAGGAAAAAGAAAAAGTACCTTAAAAGGCTACCCGTCTCTGTGCTGCTGACTTAATTAATACTTTAGAGTCTTTAGACTATTTCAACAAGATGGAATTGAATTCAACCAACTGTCTATATGCTATTCTTGAATTGAAGTCTTCCATGCATGAAGATCCCAATCATTACTAAACTTTTCCAGAATCATTCAAGATTTAATAATTTATGGACATGCATGGAATAACTAATAATAATTCATATTAATTCGTCAAACTTCATTATTTCACTTTGAAGAATTCAAGTATGAAAGTATTACAACACAAATAGTACATATGCTAAAAGAACTTAATTTTAGCTTCAAAAGAAGTTAATTCAAGTGGATCGAACTCCATCCATGCTATAAGAAGAGTAAGAGTAATCGCAACGGATGGAGATCGATCCACCTTTTTTCTGTGTGTATATAGCTAGCCTAAAGCCAAGATATGATGGAGAGAAAAAAACATCAGAAACACCAAAACAATGATACAAAGAAAGAAGTACAAAAGTTGTCGAAAATTATTATATTCAATTCTGTTGTGGTGCCGACTGCCATCGCCGCCCTTTCTGCGTAGACGTCTTTGTGGTTTCAGGGCCTTGTCTATGCTTTTGTCCCTCTGCATCCTAAATTTCCTTTTTCCCCACCAAAAAATAGAACGTTAAAACCTATATATATAACAACGATGGTTAATTTTGCGGGTAGTTTCGGGGTGGCTTACCAGGGAGTATCAGAGCAATTTCGCGGACATTGACCAAGAACTAAGCATTTTTGAGCTTTTAGTTTGATACATAGGGAGCTTGGATTTTGGCTCTAAGTTGGTCTGACTTCTGGGAGTTTACTTTACGCAGAGGTGGTGGGGAGAGGCAGACAGGCACTGTGACTGGTCAATCAGGTGTGAAAAGGTTTTCGCAAATGGCAATGCAATTGCTTAATTATATTAAAATTATAAATAATAAAAAAAAAAATCAAAGTGTGAAAGGTTTGACAATCAGTATACCTTTTACTAATACCCTTATTAGCATTACCATTAGCATCGAATCATACAATAATAACAATAATTTTATATTAATGAAACTATATAATTGTATTGGTGATTTAATAAACCAATTAGACATGAATAATTTTCATTATTTTTTAAATTTTTAGCTCAAAATATGAGTGGAAATAGAATTCCTAATTTAATTTAGCAATTCCTAATTGGAAATAGTATTTGCTTTATGCGTATATACTGCCTGCCTTGCCAAAGCCTGTGAAATTTCCTTTCCATTGTTTACTTAGCCAGCAAACAAATATACTACGCTTTCTCTCGTCTCTGTTCCAAAGAACCAAAGCGACTCCACAGAAACAATGGCGACTTTGGATTCCGATGTCGCTATGGTTCCAGTCGGCGAGGCATCGAGCAGCGCTGCTTCCTCTTCCTCTTCCAAGAAGACCAAGCGATTCGAGATCAAAAAGTGGAGTGCCGTCGCCCTCTGGGCCTGGGGTAGTTTCTTCTAGTTCAAAACCCTAATTATATTTTCCTTTATTTTGTTTTATACTGTACGTGTTTATGTTGTCTTTAGTGTTCGATTTTACTTGATTCCGGTGCTTATATTGTTTCTCGGTCGGTCAATTGCAGATATTGTTGTTGACAATTGTGCTATTTGTCGGAACCACATTATGGATCTCTGTGAGTGATATTTATTCGGTAAATTGGCAATTATTGATCTCCTGTCGTGGCTGGGGTTTTCTATTGAATTTTATGGTATTTTTGCTAATTATTTTTTGTATAATGGTTTGGTAATTAGGTATTGAGTGCCAAGCGAACCAGGCTAGTGCCACTAGCGAGGAATGCACTGTTGCTTGGGGTAAGCATTCAATTCTTCTTTTACATCTCTGTGTCTATGTCAGGGTCAGGTTGTGTACGTATTTATACGGTTTATGTCTCTGTTTAACAAAGAACAACTGGTCTGAGATTATGACATTCATCCTTGTGTTTTTAGTAGAGTGCACATCGACTAGTTTGGTTTGATTACTCAAAGAGAACAACAGAATTCTATAGCCCATTTAGATTCTAGAATTTGTTTTCTTAGTGTACAGATATGTGAACAATGATGCAATAACCAATGGCTAGAATATAAATTGTTTGACGACTTTTAGTGCAGTCGTTATAACGCTGCAGCATTTGAATTATGAACATTATCGATCTGATGATAAGCATGCCTGCTTTGAAGCTAATCTAATTAACAGATGGATCAGACGATCACTGAAATTTTATGTAGTCTGGCCACAATATGAGTATGAGCGGTAACAGTGGTAGCTATTTGGATTTGTAATCAAATTTGAGTTTCTTCTTTCTCATATGTATGCTAGGGTAAATTTAGCAACATGAAAGGAGAATTATATCACTGAAGATTGATATTGATATTAACAGTGTGTTGAGACTTGCAATGATATTGATTAGTTAATGCTGCATTACGTTTTCTTTACTTATTCTACTGTATTCAGTTGTGGCTCTGGGAACTTGTCTGTCACACATTATATTGTTTATACATAGATTGCCACAGAATATGCATAGTCTCTTTCTCACTCTTTTCTACCAGTGATGATAAGTTGCTCCAGAAGGAATTGAGAATTTTAGATGGTCAATTCTTCTTCTTTTTTTTTTTTTTTTTTTTTGTCGTCAACAATTATTTATGTTTATACATAATTGCCACAGAAATTCAAGTCCTCTTTCCTCACTCTTTCTACCAGTGATGATAAGTTTGCTCCAGAGGATTGAGAATTTTAGTATGTCAAATTCTCTCTTCTTTTTTTTTTTTTTTTGCATGCTGTCGGTGCATATGATCAACCTCTATCGTTGAATATTCACTGCCCCTCATATGCACACCCTTTGATGTCGTTCTCAAATTCACTCCGAGTGTGTTATGTTGGTTTGTCTTGTATTTTTTTATACCATCAAATTAAGTGTTTTACGTCCATAGGAATTTAAAAACTAGTAATTGGCTGGCAGGGGTCTGCAACCAACTGCGTCATTTTCACTGGCATTAGGCCGGGTGGCTTCACAAGACCCGTCAAAGTGTTCCATTTTGGGTATGTTTCTCTTACTATTACCCCCCCACCCTTCTTAATCTCCTGTCCTTCATTTCATTATAGTCATCACAGATTTTGTCATAATGATTTGGGTGTTCTCATTTTCTTTACTGTGGTTGTCTTGTTTACATGGGCAGATAAAGCGAATGGGAAAATGTCCAGAAGTACGGACATTAGTAATACTTCAGTATCTCAACCTCCTTTATCTTCCTGCTTAAAATGATGTTCAGATGAAACAGTTTTTTTTTTTTTTTTTGCATGTGTGGTGCATATGATACAACTCTATGTGATATCTGCCCTCATATGCACACCCTTGATGTTGTTCTCAAATGTCACTGGTGTTTGTTTTTTGATTTTACATCTATGAGTGTTACGTCCATGGAATTTAAACTAGTAATTGCTGCAGGGGTCTGCAACCACGCGTTTCATTTTCACTGCATTAGCCGGTGGCTCAAGACCCGTCAAGTGTGTCCATTGGGTATGTTTCTTGCTATTACCCCTCCCCCTTCTTAATCTCCTGTCCTTCATTTCATTATAGTCATCACAGTTTCTGTCATATGGTTTGGGTGTTCTCATTTCTTTTCTGTGGTTGTCTTGTTACATGGGCAGATAATAGCGAATGGGAATTCCAGAAGTACGGACATTAGAATATTCATCTCACCTCCTTTATCTTCCTGCTTAAATGATGTTCAGAAAATTGGATTCCTCTACTCTCCAAAGATATGACATTTACTCGTCCTATTTTAAGAAGTAATTTGATGTAAGAATTAGGACAAGTGATTGATTGGCTATATGAGCAATTTATGAGCTTTGGTTGGTATTATTTCTGAGTCTCTCTCTCTCTCCCTCTCAAAAGTTAACCTGTGCAAGCAACATGTATTTGGTTATTACGCGTACCTTTTTTCTTTTTTCTTAATGAATGTAACTTCGAAAATATTAAAATATTTAACTTACAGACCATAAAAACATTTATAATTATGAAAATTTGGTGCTTTAAGATTTTATTATTAAATATGAGTAAATACATAAAAAATGAATGTTTGTGGAAGTCGACCAATTGTGATTAATAAATTAATAAAAGACTAATATATTTATCAATGTCCAGAAAATTATCTCCTTTTTACAAATGGAAAGTAAGTTTCCTTGAAAGAGGTTTTATTTTTATTTACTGGCTTTTCTAATTATCTGAAATATTAAAAAATCCAAAATATATTTATTTTCCAGTAATAAACGGAGGCTAAATAGAATAATGTTCAGGCCTATTGCATTAAAAGCAGAAAAACTCGTTGGAATGCTCTTGTGGGGAACTCAATCTGAGTCCAAATGCATGTTGGCTAAAGTCAGTTACATGGGCTCACGACTGTGCCTGGCTGCCTGCTATTAAGTTCGACCACGGACCCAGATGGTAATCGAAATGAAAAAAAAAAAAACGACGTCGCCTGAGAGATTCGAACTCTCGCGGGGAAACCCCATGTACTTAGCAGGCACACGCCTTAACCACTCAGCCAAAGCGACTTGAATGTTTGTTTTCATTCTGAAAAATATATAGACTTTTTACCAACTTATCGTTTGGTTCTTTTAACATGAGAGAACTAAAACATCAGTCCCAGGCCAGATCCATGTGCAACATTACAACAAACTAGAGGAAGCTAAAAATCCAGCAAGAATTGAAGGTCATTTACTTCTGATTTAATACTAACATTTTTCCGGTCACCCCTTCTGATTTCAATTAGATTTGGGGATTGCTTTTCCCTCTAATTTTAATTAGATTCATCATTTATCTAATTTGAAAGAAAAAAAAAAAACTAATTTACTATTTTGCCTTTACAAATTTTATTAGAAATAAAAGGAAAATGAAAAAATTTTGTAACACCTCCTCCTCGTAAGAATTGCTCAAAAAATTCCTCCTTTTATTATTTACTTCCGGAAGCAAAAATCCTATTGAAGTTGGAAGCGGATAAAGGCCACAGATTTCATGAGATTACATGTCTTGCAATGTTGGAACTTTCATGATTTATTGTTTTTATTATTATTATTATTATTATATGAATAATTTCATTAAGCTTGATTCAGTGCTCTCACACTATTTAATATTACTTAATGCTTTGCTATTTAATATTATTTCTAGTGTCTGTTGACATACAAAGTGACCAGTGAGTCGTTTTCTTTTTCTGTTTCTGTATCTTTGAGGAATGTCGTTTTCAAATTCCAAGTGACCAAAGCACTTAATAAAGACTTGTTTTAATATTTCTACCAAACGGCTTTTTTTCACTTTTGCATTTCAGTCCATTACAAACTACACTAAAATTATTATGTTGGTTGGAGAGGAAATGAGGAATGGGGCTCTCCCTCTCCTCTCTCAAATAATGCTTCCTACCTATTCTTTCAAAGCCATCAACAACTCTCTTTTCCTTTTAATATTCAATTATATGTCACAACTCTACAACCAGGTTATAAGTGTGATTTTAATTTTTTTTTTTTTAAACCTTGTGATTAAATAAAAGAAATAATAATTAAGGACATGCTTATCATTTTGAAGCCTCGCTTAATTACTTTTTCCAAAGTTAAAAATCATTAACAATCATACCACCAACGCTGTGGTCGTCAACTATTTCCACCATATACATTTTAATCATGGTCATGCAACCAAGCCATGACTTGTGAGTTTTATGATACTTCATTTCAAACTTCACTACATGCATACATATGTTTTTAAAGATAGTATTTAGTAATTTGTTCTTTGTGCATATAATATAAAAATGGGACTTTCGGTTAAAAGAAATGTTTCTTTTTCTGAATATTAGAGAAAGAAATTCAAATCAAAAACTATTGTCAAGCTGTATATACACTTATTTTTTAAATACAAAGGTTGGAGTGTTTATCAAATTTGGAGCCTAGCCTAGACTAGACTAATTAAATCATGTTTGTATTTTTGTCTTTAGCGGACCAAATCCGTTTATTATTTTATTTTTATATTTTAATTCAACAATGAAAAGAGAAAATAAACTTAGCATTAACTCCAACATTGAAAGGACCACCTCACCTAATAAATATTTTTTCCTCCTTACATATGTAGGTAACCTACCCTAAAGTACTAGACCTCTGTCAATAATACTCCCCTCTCTTGCATCATAATTAAATCCATTTTGGTTTATTAAATAGTTAGGAGGGGGAGAACCCCAATTACAACTTTACTAGTGACAAAAGCTAGTTTGTAGTTTATTAATTATATAGTGTTTCCTATATAATACCCTCTGATATAAAATGTTATATTTATGGTCAGATGTTCATTCTGGCAATAAAAATAGGAAATGAGGTTTTTACTTCTTAGGATAAGGGCGAGTTAATCCCTTGTCATGATGTGTTAAACAAAATTAATTGTTTTGATAGCTGCTAGCTGTTTTAGTAATATTTATTTGGTAGTTATTTAAGTAATTTTTCATAAAATATTAAAAAATTAAATGTTACATGAGTTAATTTTTATAAAATACTGTCTTAGTCAGCTCAAATACTACGTTATCAAATACTATAAAAAAAATAAATTTTAATGTGAGCACCGAAAAAAACTGCCCAAACAGCCTATTTATATGTGGCTAAGCTAACTAAGAACAAAAGAGTTGCAAGAGGTAGCTAGCTAGGCAAGTGGGCAGAAGAGAAAACCGCGTGGATTTGTATATGCAACATGTGCAAGTGTGTATGAACTGAAATAGTAGAAAAAGAAAAAGAAGAAAGACAGAGAAGAGAAAGGGGTTGGTTGAAAAAGTTAAAGTATTAATAATAAAAAAGGAATTGCAAGCGTGCCCATCTGAGAGGTTTTGCTGGCTCGATTGGCGGCATTATCTGCGGATATGGCAGCTTCTTTTGTCCCTCATGCATGCCCATCATCTTCGTCTCCTCTTTTTAGATCACACACCTTCTCTACACTAATCACATCTCCAACCAGCTACATTGTCTTTTCACTTTACCAAATTTCACCAAACAAAACTAATTCTAATGCATCGACGTCTCTCAACATACTATAACTAAAGATATCATCTTGTTAATACGAAATTGAAGGAATCAAGATCGCATCCTCTCCATCACAATAATTGTTACTAATTCAGTGAAGAAATGTCACTCTGTTGAACCTCCTTACAAATTTAAAAGTCCACAAAATGTTATTTTAATTTATCTAGCACTTCCAGTAAATAGAAAAGCACGGAAGGAAAATGCGACGTGTCATAATCTAATTAGCTGATAAGTGAGGTGTCGCCTGGTCAGAAGTCAAACAAGTCACCACGTCATAAAAATCTAGCCGTTACTTTCTAAAAAAGAAGGCTTAGACTACGGAGAGGACCACTCTCTTAAGTCTCATCTCCCACGAACTTTAATAAAACGACAATATGTCACCGCATGATTTGCACGAGGCAGTTGCTTACACTACGTCATTTAATGTAGAATTTTTATATCAAACGATAAGTTTACGGCAAATAAAAATAAAAAATAATTATCAAATAAATATAATTTTTAAATTTAAAAAATTACACATTTTTATAATGAATGAAAAGTTTTGAGTTTTGCTTTAAAAAAATTAAAAAAAAGTAGAAGTAAAAAAAAAAAAAAATCTGTATATTTGTATTTTATCTTATCACACGCGTTTATTTACAAAACATATTTTGATGCCCTTCACATTCACTTTCACCTGATGGGATAAAAAAATGGTGTGGATATTAATAAAAATATCCACCGCCCGAACTAAAACTATGATCTGCAATACACTTACAGCTCTTTCATAAATTATTTATAAAAATATAATAAATATGATTACAAGTGTTAGGTGTGTGAATGTATATATATATGCATTTATCACTGATCTTACTGTAGCCCACATCTCGAATTGGCCTTAATCAGTGGACATGCTGATTTCTTAATTTTAATCTTAGGTTTCATAATGTAAGAAGAAAATATAGTTATAAAAAGAAAAAAGAAAAAAGAAAAAAGAAAAATCTGGTGGGGTCTTTTGCTTTTGTGTGTGTGTGTTCAGTCCAGCTGTGTGCTGTTTCCATGTGATGATTATTATAAAAGATAAAAAGACAAACAAGTGTTAGTACATTTGGTAACTTTCATTATAGAGAAAACAGTTTCAGGACCCCAGTTGTTATGTTATGTTATGTTATGTCCTCAGCAATGAACACATAATTGGAGAAGCCTTTGACGTGAAGATAATATTATTCATATTTGCAATTTAGATTATAGGCTCATATACATGGCTGGCTTCCACTTCTACTTTCCATTGGTTCTATTTTTATTATTTTTCAATTTTATAACATTCCAATGAATTTCTCTATTCAATTTTTTAAATTTTATATAAGTGATTTTACACTCTTTTTTTTTAATACAAAGGAAATTACCATTATTATCGTAAAAATATTAATGAATGATTTTTGCTTAATGGTTTTTCCTGTAATAAAGGGAAATTTACAAGGCTTTTTCAAATACAGATCCTTTATAAGTCTGACATGGGTCCATTTCTTCCTTCCAATACTTCAACGCAGTCGCAGCTACAAGCGACTGTTTCTCAAACTCTTTATCTTATTTAACCTTAGCCATTAACACTCGGTTATCTGCAAAAACAAAACCATTATCGGAAACTCAGGCATGGGCAACATGGCCTGCATTTCTTTCCTCTCTATCCTCCTCCTCCTAGCCTTCTCTTTCTCCGTCACCGCCAAACAAACTTATATAGTCCACATGAAACATAACGCCAAGCCTGAATCCTTCGCCACCCACCATGATTGGTACAGTGCTAGTCTCCAATCCATCACCTCCGCCTCTGATTCTCTCCTCTACACCTACACCACTGCATTTCCTGGCTTTGCTGCCTCCCTTGACCCTGAAGAAGTTGATTCTCTAAGAAACTCTGATGCTGTCTTGGATGTCTATGAAGACACCATTTACTCTCTCCATACCACTCGCACGCCTCAATTTCTTGGTCTCAGCACTGACTTGGGCTTCTTCAATGGACATACCACTTTAGATATTGATCAAGCCTCTCATGATGTTGTTATCGGTGTGCTTGACACTGGGGTAACGCCCGGGTCGAAGAGTTTCGATGACTCGGGCATGCCCGAGATCCCAACTCGGTGGAAAGGCGAGTGTGAATCTGCGCAAGATTTCAGTCCTACACTCTGCAACAAGAAGTTGATTGGAGCTCGTTATTTTTCCAAGGGTTACCGTATGGCATCTGGTGGCGGTTACTTAAGGAAGCCTAAAGAGATCGAGTCTCCTCGTGATCAAGATGGACATGGAACTCACACGGCCAGCACTGCCGCCGGTTCGCAGGTGGCTAACGCCAGTTTGTTAGGTTACGCCAGTGGAACTGCTAGAGGGATGGCTCCACACTCGCGCGTAGCCGCTTATAAGGTGTGTTGGAATACTGGTTGTTTTGGATCGGACATACTCGCAGGCATGGATCGGGCCATTGCAGACGGTGTAGACGTGCTCTCGCTCTCTCTCGGTGGTGGATCCGCACCGTATTATCGGGACACTGTTGCCATTGGTGCTTATTCTGCAATGGAGAGGGGCATTTTTGTCTCTTGCTCTGCCGGCAACAGCGGACCTAACAGAGCCACTTTGGCCAATGTGGCTCCCTGGATAATGACAGTTGGTGCCGGAACTTTGGACCGGGATTTTCCAGCTTACGCAGTGTTGGGGGACAAAAGCCGGTTCAGCGGTGTCTCGCTGTATAGTGGAACAGGAATGGGGAATAAACTGGTTGGTTTAGTTTACAACAAGAGAAACATTTCAAGCAATTTATGCTTGCCCGGTTCGCTCGAACCGACTATGGTTCGTGGGAAAGTGGTGGTATGCGATAGAGGAATAAACGCTCGTGTAGAAAAAGGTGCTGTCGTACGCGACGCAGGTGGAATTGGTATGATATTAGCTAACACAGCCGCGAGCGGCGAAGAGTTGGTGGCAGACAGTCACTTGTTACCAGCTGTTGCGGTTGGGCGTAAAGCGGGTGATAAAATTAGGGAATATGTAAGTAACCATCCAAATCCAACTGCACTATTGAGTTTCGGCGGAACCGTGTTGAACGTAAGACCGTCACCGGTGGTCGCAGCGTTCAGCTCTAGAGGTCCTAATATGGTGACACCGCAAATCTTGAAGCCGGATCTGATTGGTCCTGGAGTCAACATTTTGGCTGCCTGGTCAGACTCTGTAGGACCTACTGGACTGGAGAAGGATACGAGAAAAACACAGTTCAACATCATGTCAGGTAATTCCCAACGGCTATACTTATTTGATAGTATTAACGTTAATTTTATGCATTATTAATTTATTATTATTGTTTTAAATTCTAGGAACATCTATGTCTTGCCCACACATCAGCGGAGTAGCTGCATTGCTCAAGGCAGCCCACCCAAGCTGGAGCCCAAGCGCAATCAAGTCAGCCCTAATGACCACCGCCTACGTCGTAGACAACACCAACTCCCCTCTGCGAGATGCCGGAAGTGATGTTGCCGGTGCCTTCTCGAATCCATGGGCTCATGGATCCGGCCACGTTGACCCACATAAAGCTCTCACTCCGGGCCTCGTATATGACATATCAACTCAAGAGTATGAAGCATTCTTGTGCTCGCTTGGTTACACCATCGATCATGTTCAAGCCATTGTTAAGCGGCCTAACGTTACCTGTTCCAAGAAATTTAGAGATCCCGGCGAGCTCAATTACCCATCCTTCTCTGTAGTTTTCGCTAGTAAAAGAGTTGTAAGGTATACAAGAGAATTGACAAATGTAGGGGAGGCAGGGTCTATATATGAAGTGGCCGTTAATGGGCCGTCCACGGTGGGAGTGACGGTGAAGCCCACCAAACTTGTTTTCAAAAATGTAGGAGATAAGCTTAGGTACACAGTGACTTTTGTGGCAAAGAAAGGCGCAAATCAGGATGCTAGAAGTGAGTTTGGTTCAATAGTTTGGAGAAATGCTCAACATCAAGTTAGAAGCCCAATTGCCTTTACTTGGACGCACTTGTTGTGAGCTGTTCAAAATGGGCTTTCTCATGTTGGGCCTTTGCCCTAAGGTTTGAAAAGGAGCAAAAGGCTTTGATCCATAGAGTTTTGTGCACGTGCAAAGGTGTTTGGGTATGGCGTTTTGCCTTTAGAAATAGGCAGCCAAAAGTGAGATATTAAAAAATTATTGTGTGCTTGCCAAAGCTAATGCAATAGGGTAGCACGCAATTCATTAGTGGAAAATGGTGTTTTAAGCATAATATCATGCAAGTTTGGATTGTGATATACAACCATTGAATCATCCTCCAGATCCAATATAGTAATTTAATTTTTTTACCGTTTTATATTATAAATCCTTATGAAAAAGACAAGGAATGTCAGGATTGAATTTTCAATTCCTAAATTTTGCATGTGACTTGCTAACTTTTTTCCAAATAATGACAATGGTTACATCTAATTTGTTTTATTGGCCCAATAAAACAAATGTTTAGACCAATTAATTCATGAGGTCAATAAGGCTATAAAGTCCGTAGCGCATTAAGCTTTTCCTGTGTTAGGTTGCTAGCTTTTTGCCCTTTTTAATGTTTCGAGTACGCTTTTTTTTTCCCTTCAAGATACTGTGTGGAAAACAATTTAAAAAGATAAAAGAAAAATAAAAAAATACAGACAATTGGTAGACTAGATTACAACTGCGATGCCTTCACAGTTTTTTTCAAGGGCATATTCGGTGAATCTCGGCTTTTTAGTAACATTTCATGAACGTTAAGCGGTTAGTTCAAATGCTATTTTATTGAACATGATGTTTTATCCTTTAGCCTTGGTATGAAGTGAGGATCAGATCAATTATTTTATAAAAGATTTTCTTTTAAAAAAATTGTTTGACATTGATCAGACATGGGATTTCTATATCTAGATTGAACTAATGGGTATTTGGCAGTTAAGATAAGTTGTACTGTATCCTTTCCCTTCTGCCTTAGATTATTGGCAAAGGGAAAGGCTGTGCAAAGCCTTATCTTTAAATATCCTTGATCTTAAAAGACCAGAAGGGAAAAGACAGGTTCCTGTAGTTACAGTTTTTGCAGAATGAGTAGTCTTATTATGTCCAGAGGCCAGTAGCAACCAGATAACCAACCCATCAAACATTATGGCACAACCAATTCAATTATTTTGCATCAATAATTAGTTAATGGAAAAGGTCCACTCAGGTTTCAATTCAAAGATCATAATTCATTTGAGCATTCAAAACTAAACAAAAATATACCAATCGAGTATATGATAAGACTAGCTATTATAAACCTAATCAATATAGCCAAAGCAATCGAGCCCCCATTAATCTAATCAATGATGGATTTATTCCAATCCTTTTATCGTGTATTAGTGTCTTAGCCAAAGAGAAAACTAACTTATGAAAATTTTCAAAAATATAATATGTGAAGAAATTGAATTGTATTACAAGAGAAAACAAGTGCATGCTTCACTAATTTGCTAAAAGAATAGACAGCATGGATTACAAGAGATTTTTGTACAATTGCAAGAAAGACGTACCTTAGGACATTTAGGTCGTTTAGGACATTTAAGAGCACAGCATGTCCATTTAGGACAACAGCATAACCATGTAAAGCAATTGCAATTGCATTTGCATTTTGGCCATGAACATTTGCAACAAGAGCATGAGCAATCTGGACAAGAGGGCAATTGACAATTGCAGCAGTCACTGCTGCATGAGATCTTTCTACAGCAATTGGACTTCGGACAAGAGCAAGTGCAAGAGCAAGAGCATGGGCAAGGGCTAAAGCAAGAGCAACACCTCAACTTGGTTGCTGGGCAACGGATACACGAACAGCAGTTACTTAGACCACAGTCACTACACCCGCAGCGACAGCAGTTACTTAGACCACAGTCACTACATCCACAGTGACAGCAGCGCGGCAAGTTTAGACCAAGAGAACATCCCGAACAGCAGCAACAACAAATCCATGAGAAATTAAAACAAGGTATTCCACTGCACCAAAAAACAGCAACTTGGTTGTTACTTCTCGAAGAATTTTAACATTGCACGATAATTAAGTTGGTGTAAACATTAACTTAAGCCATCAGCATATAAATATAGATTCATAACATCATAACTGAGACAGAAGGAAATGAAAACAGTACCATAGCCACCTCCAGAATCTGCAAGACCTTCGTTTCTTCCGATTTCTAGTTGAAAGGAAAAAGGGATAAGATTAATGTTTCTCCTTACTAAACAGAGAGAAGACATGTAAACCAGGAATAGCAATCTTACGTAGGTATTAAAGGATCTGGATTTGCCACTACAAAATCAGTTATCCTGCAGAATGTGACTTCAATTAATTTAAACTTGACATCATATCAATTTGAATAAATTTATACACATAATCCAACATGAAAAATTTCCAAATGGAGTATTTGATGAATGCAAAATCAGACATACTCTTTGCAGCATCTGGATGCAGGATGAAGGCCTTGAACAGATTTTAGTTCTTCCTGCACAAAGTGAAATGAAAGAGAATAAAAACTCACAAGAAAAAACAAGAGAAAATGACTAATGACTTGTTTGCATAACTTGCGTTGTGCTTGTGCACAAACTTCATGATGGGAACATGGCAGATATGAAAGCAGCTACAAACATCAATAATTGGATTGCTCAGCACTTATCATAAAACAGAAATATGATCGATTCTCTGTCATTAGTGAAACCGATCACATGTTGCTCAATTAGGACCACCTCTTCAGACTGTATAGGCACATCTTCATGTTGCCAAGAATCAAAATTTTCAAAAAAAAGAATTTTTTTTTAAGATTAATAATTAGAAGGCTAATTACTCTCTAATTAACATGCAAATTGACTCGAATAAAATATCTTTTAACGCCTCGGATCTACATCTGCTAATTGACAACAACAATCCAATTATGTTACAACAGAGCAAGCGGGTATATACTATTAATCACTTGGAATCTATAAAATCTTATGATCTTGTGTAATTGTGCACTTTTTTTGCAATTGCTACAGTTGGTATAATTATCAGCAGAGCACTTGAAAGTTCCCTAGTTATGACTGTATCAAGTAACCAGGGTCCTTGATGCTTGCATATATATCTGACGATAAAAGATTCTGATATTGTGAAAATGGGGATGACCAAATTTTGAATCATGACAAAATGCTCTAGAGCCACAAAGTAAATGGTAAATTCCTATTAAATGAACGTGAAAAGAGACTACTACCCATTAAGGAAGGGAAAAGCCTGAAATTTTATGGTTAGGTGGAAAATACAATCATCAGTAATGACCCAGTTTCGATATTTTAGACAATAATCAATAAATAGATTCGAAAGTTTGGCATATTTCAGTCGAAGAAAAAACTTCTCACCTAGAAATGACCAATTTCCATCTTCAGCTACCTATATTGGATTGTCCCTTTTCATGATTCAATGCAATGTTCACAACAAGAAAGGTTTTGGTACCTCCGAAACTTAAGACTTCAAAAAAGCTACAAGTCTTGTGCATGAAATATTTGCTAAATTTTAAAAGAATGAAATTATTTAAAATTTTCTTACCGCGCCATAGAAATTTGAAGAAAAGGAAAGTTCAGATTTTTTTTTTTTTGAAAAAAAAAAAACCCACCTCAAGAAAACCGATCTCTCTCTCAAGCATCTGCACCTTAGCCATTTCTCTGCGTTTGCCATACAAATCAGGATACTCCGGCGGAGACTTGGGACAAGGCGGCGGCAAGGACGGCAGAGAGGAAGAGCGAGCCGACTTAGCAGCAGCAGCAACTTCTCTGTCACTTTCAGCCATTACTCTTTTCTCTCTTTCCAAGAAAAACAATTACACCACAAAAAAACTCGAAGAAAGAGATGCAGAAAAGAGACTAAACAAGTAGTACTAGTAGAAGAAGTAACAAAGCAACCGGTAGTAGCAAATAGTAAGGGACAAACAAGAAGCGAGCAAGTAATGTTAGGTGTGAATGCTATAGTAAAACGAAAAGAAAGTTTTGTATGTGGCAGAGGCAGTAATTACATGATCTGACAAGGATAATTGCGACCCAGAAAATAAAAATAAAAATAAAAATTATACATAAAGAAAAAAAACAGAGCAGAGCAGAGCAGAGGGCAGAGGGTGAAAGAAGAAGAGCAAAACAGTACATGAATGTAAATAAGGCTGCATTTATAGCAGATGCAAGAGGTTTATTGTTGCAGAAGAAAGATTAATGGGGAATTAAGGAAGAGTAAAAAAGATGAATAATAAGGATAAAAAGAGAGTGATTACTGTCACAGACAGTGCGTGGAGGGGAGAGAGATGTGATATTTTCTGGAGAAATAACCTTTGTGCATGGTAATAATGATAGTGGTAATAATGGTAAAGACGGCTGTGGAAAAGCCTGCAAGTCTGAGAGTACGAAAGAAACCATTTTGATTAAAAAAGAAAATAAAAAAGAAAAGAGTTTTGCGATCGAATTTGAGTGAGTATTGATCTGAGCAGTGCAGAGAGGGTGTATTATTTTCTGAGTAAGTGTCGCGATGGTGGGGTGGTGGATGCAGAGGAGAAGCGAAAAGCACGATGTAGTACCTGAGATGGACACGTGATGGGTGCGTAGGAGAGAGAAAAGGGCAAATGTAATGGAAATGGAAGGAGAGAGAGAGGAGTCTCCACAGTGAAAGAAATCAGCTCTGATTTTGAGACAACCCAGAAACAATGACCACAAGGAGTAAGCTCTCATGAACTGTGAATGTGCAACTCTTGTACATTCACTCTCCGCCCTTATATTCTCTCCTTCACATACCTGGAATCTTTGTTATTTCTTCACTCTATGCACTGCATTTCATACTGTTCTTCAGAAATTATAGCTCAAAATGATTTTTGAATTTTAATTAACTCACTGGATTAACATTTTAATCTACATCTATTACAAGGTTGCCAAAGCATATCTTTGAAAAAATAAATAATTTTTGACTTTTGATTGACTTAAATAATACTCGTTCAACTTTGAAATTATGGTAACTTATGACTAATCAATTTAATGGCTTGATTAATTAATTTTATAAAATTAAATAATTCAACTAACTCCAATTAAGCATAGAAATTAAATTTAAAATTTAATACAGTAAGTTCGTTGATCAGTTTGCACATTGTAGCCTTCTAATTGGTATAAAAATAACATTTTTTAACTTTTGTTTTGACACGAGATATAACTAATACTAAAATAAAGTTAGTTTAAAAATTAATTAGTTTACAATTAGTTTAAAATTAAACTTAAAAATAAATTCATGAAAATAAATAAATATATATAAATTCATAAAATAAATAAATATATATATTATTTTATATAGGTATAAAATATTATTAATATGCTGTATTAAACAGGTAGAGGGAAAACTTAAAGTGTGAAGATTAGCATTTCATGTGGTTTACGAGCAATTAACATGTCCTCGCAACCGGTTACCTATTAATTTGTTTTTACTCTTAACAAAACACAACAACCAAACCACTTTTCTCAGTTTCTTCGATCCAACTCCAGCCATTAACCGTACGGGCTCCATCCCCATCTTTCACATTAAGGGTTTTTCTCTACATTTCTGACACTTTTTTGCGGTTTTGTAACGCGCCGCCCCACATAGGAAGCGTTGCTTTCATCCCCAAGTACCCACACTATCGTGGGGTCCTGAGAATCCTGACTGGAGCTGTGTGGGTCCGACATTGGCAGACGAAAGTCGCACTGAATGCGTAATTCCCATTTCCGTCTTTCCCAGAAGTGTTGCAACCGTGCGCGGTGTTTTATAATATATAAAATAAAAAGCGATTAAAAGGAGAGGAAAACTTAAATTGAAGTAGACATTTCATGGGTTACGAAAGCAACTTAACAGTCCTGCACGGTACCTTGTTTTACTTAAAAAAACACACCAAAAACCACTCTCAGGTTCGTGGATCCAACTCCACCTTCCGTACGGGCTCATCCTCCACTTTCCATTAAGCCCATCTGACACCACGCGCGCCCACCAGAAGCGTGTGCTCTCTCCCCAATGTACCCACTCGTGGGGTCCTGAGATCCTGATGGCTGTGGGTCCGACATTGAGACGACAAGTCGATGATGCGTATTCCCATTCCCGCTCTTTCCCAAAGTGTTGCACCGCGCGGTTTTAATTTTAAAAACAATAAAAATAAAGCAAGTTAGCAGTTCAAGATGTAACAAAGTTAACGTGAGCCGGGTGCGGTGCGGGTGGGCGTTTTACTAGAATCAGCAATCATTGTCGTATCTTATGATCTTTCGGTAAAGAATTTGACACGTGCAGTATAGCGGTGCGGCGCCTGGTTGGGCTTCTGGTTAACCCAACTACCGGAGCCCATTTAGTCCGATTGGTTTGTTCTGATTTATTTTTCTCAAGTCCAATTACACGGGATTTTATCATTTTCGTCAATCATCAATTAATTCCTGTCTAAATGTGAAACGACAATGACGTTCGTAACTTGGCTGTGATGAAACGAAATGTTCACGCGGTCGTGGACTTAATTCTTTTCTTTTTTTGGTATATTGGAAGGACTGTCCACTGACATTCAAAACAATAATATTGAGAAACCTAAGATTTGGGATCAAGCCGTAAATTAGTATATTTTTTCTTATTTATCAATCTCTTACCACCTTAAAAAAAAGAAACAAACTTAGACTTCAATTCTTGAGATTAGATCATAAATGATTTTTTTTTTTTCATCTCCTAGTAAAACCTAATTGTTAAGAGATCAACTCGTTAAATTTTTTTTTAATCAATATAGGATAATTATTCCCCTTTTAGTACCATTTTAATTTCTATTTTTCTGATGCCAAATGATACCATATCCCACTTCTGAATCATTCAGCAATCTGCTCTTAATATAAATTTGTAATCATTCAATTCAATAAACTGTTAATTGAGATTCATTTTAAACAAATGACCCTAAAATTAATTAATAGGATCACTCTGAAAGTTAGCCTAAATTTGTTGGACAAGATACCCCTACATAAGGAAATTCGTGACCAAAAGGACCTCAATAACAGAACATTTAGGCTTCTGCATATGAAGTATTCGGTTTCTTAGTCAATAAGTACCAAAATTTCAAAAAAGTTCGCTAACGCTTTATTGAAACGACATTAGACTTGTTGTGTATGTGGTTTGGTTACCTCCATATGATATAATCTTTAGCTATAAATGGGTCAATAGTCTTAATCTTACGAAGCAATTCATGACACGCTCTCTTATGATTCGCTGGTTCTGAGTAATTAAGGCGCGTGAATTAACATTCTTTCTCCATCTTCAACAAGTAACTTGGGGTGTATTATATATGCTCTACATATATTCTCCTACCTTCTACGTATCATATTGTCAAAAAGGCTTGCCAAACCTTTGAATCTGGTAATGGCTAGGAATTGATTTGAAGCATATGTATTATTTCTTTCTTTCTTTATTGTTACTCTAGCATCTTCTGTACATAGAGAAACTAGGAAATAGTATATATATGTACTACAATTGCTACATCAAGATCATCAAGATCAAGATCATTAGAGATAAAGATGAGTGCGAGAAATGCAGGCAGCTGCATGGCAATTGTAAGCAAGTTATATTGTGCCTCATCTCAGGTACTACTTGTTGTTAGGGAAAGGCCTCATGCAGTAAATGGAGGAGGGTTTGTAGTCACAGACTGCAACCAAAAGGTTGTCTTTAGAGTTGATGGGTGTGGAGTTCTTGGCAAACAAGGGGAGGTAATGCTTCGTGACTCTGATGGAGATCCGTTGATTCTTATCCGTCGAAAGGTATATATAATCTCTCTATATATGTATGTTTTCACTTTATCAATTAATTGGGTTCAACTTAAGATGGAATCATCTTGAAGACGAATTGATCATTATATATATATTTGCATGTTTAGATAATTGGTGTTTAATTGTTTGAGCAGGATGGGATTGTTCAAGCACTAAGCATTCATACAAAATGGAAAGGTTACAGTTTTGACTATGAAGGATCGCAGAGGTTGGTTTTCAGCTTGAAGGAGCCAAACTCATGTTTGGTAAGGAACAACACAATTAAGGTGTCCATTGAACCCAGAAAAAACAATAAAGACTGGGACTTTGAGATCAAAGGTTATTTCCCCGATAGAGATTGTAGTATTGTTGACTATTTGGGCAACATTATTGCTCAGGTAATTATTATTTCATCATTACTACTTTTCCATCTAATTATTTATAACTCTTTTGGGCTATGTTTGGTACATGAACTGGAATGGAAAACAGAATGAAATAAGGATGAGGTGGAATGGAAATGGGGATATGAATTCCCGTTTTATGTTTCATATGAAGTATGAAATACAATTTGTTATTCACTCTTTATTTGGTTATAAAAATTGGGAGGAAAGACTTAAAGAAAGATAGTATATTTGGTACTTTGAAAGAAAAAAAAAGCATATTTGATTTTTTTTTTTTTAAAAAAAAAAAAAACTATTATGCCATTTGCTGCTCTATTCCATCCCTCCACTCTGGGTTTCTATTCCCATTCTGTTTCTTTCCTGTTTCCAGTGCCCCAATTCAGTTTTGCTAGTGAACCATAGAATTGGGAATTTCAGATAGCGAACATGTGCAATGGCTACTATGGAAATTTTGATTAATTTATTGTGAATTTACTTTTGCAATATTTACATGGAAGATTGGAGTGAGGAAGGAAGTCAAGGAGGTGATGAGAAGAAGCAAGGATCTGTATCATGTAGTGGTGAAAGCTGGCATCGATCAGGCTTTTGTTTTTGGAGTCATTGCTGTTCTTGACTATATCTATGCTGAATCTACCAGATGCTGATCGTCTCTTACATGCAGAGACTAGCTAACAAGATTCTAATTAATTGATTTAAGTTTTTGTCACATTCGCCAGTGAACCAGATGTAAATTATTAATTTTAAGAAGGTTTTTGAATGTGAATTGGAATGAACAATAAATAAAGGGTACTAGCTTGATCAGATGCTTGCTTAATAAAAGTTATTTACTGCAATTAACCTCTGCCCAGCACAAGTAATTGTCATTAGTTTTTTGTTACTCTTTTATCAAAATCAATTTGCTTCCACAATTTAATTCTTTAATTAAAAACCATTAGGTGATTTGTTGTTGGCATTGAAAATTAGTTAACTAACTCTTGAAATACCAAAATTAATTAGGTAAGAAAGCACAAAGATGGCATTAAAGAATAGACATAATTCAAATATCCAGCCACATTTAGCTAATAAAAAATTATAACTTGAAAGAGATCAAAAGAGAAACTAAAAAACTACTAGTATATAAAGCTAGCTGCTTATAATTCTTGAGTCTCGAAACAGTGCAATCCATCCAAAAAGGGCGCAATAGCAGGTGCAATATGCTGCGATTTATGATTACTAGCAGAAGCACTAGTGGGTGCCATCCCCGACAAGTTGTTGCCATCTTTCTTTATCTCGTTTTTGAGCAAATCTGCCTTTTTAGCAGCAGAAGTTTTAGTTGCAGTTTTGATGAGACAAGGCAAAGAAACGCCAAACTCGTCACGGAAGTAGTCAGTAGCAATAGCACAACTTAAATAACCAAAGAAAGACATTATCTTTTTATCAGCTGTAAAAGACATGATCTTTTTATCAGCTGTAACCAACAATAAGTTGAAGCTTGAAGATGTGAATACATAGAACAATAGCCCCTCTCCTAATCCGATGGGGAAAAGGACTTGACTTTTCATGATTTGGTGAGGACCAGCTGTTTCTTGCTTAATTCCCAATCCCATTCTTTATGGCAAAATTGGCAATTACAATAGCAAGTTCTGGCGTTTTCCTTGAAAGCGAAACTTGAGTATAGTACTAAGGAGAAGAACAATGCATCTGGCCAATAATAAACGTTAAGTACATTAATCCAGTTGGTCTAAAGTTGAAGAAGCGGAAAAGGACTTGACTTTTCATGATTTGGTGAGGACCAGCTGTTTCTTGCTTAATTCCCAATCCCATTCTTTATGGCAAAATTGGCAATTACAATAGCAAGTTCTGGCGTTTTCCTTGAAAGCGAAACTTGAGTATAGTACTAAGGAGAAGAACAATGCATCTGGCCAATAATAAACGTTAAGTACATTAATCCAGTTGGTCTAAAGTTGAAGAAGCAGATAAAAGCTGTATAGCAAGGGGAGAAGCAACGTATGGCATATAACCCAAATCAAGGACTGACCCCTCTGTACATAATATGGCAAGAAAAACCAAAACTTTAATTTGACTAATATACATTCGATCTAACCAGAAAGAGGAAAATTCACATTCAGAACTGAAAAAATTGAAAACAATCAATTCTTTGTTATTTATAACTACAATGACAGAACAAGCACAATATCAGATCAAATTTTGCAGAAAAATAGAGTATATAGTGTGTGTGTGAATTTTATCAAGCACAAGCGCAAGGATCATCCACCGCTACAACTTCCTCGTCTTCACTTCTAAACAATAGATACCCAATCGACAACCCAGCAACAATAGCCAAGAACACGCCGCCATTAAAAGACATTATCGCCAGCATCAGTAGATATCCGATCGCCGAATTGACTCCGAACAAAATGGCGGAAGCGAATTTTGCGGGTTTGAAACGACCTTTGGATCGCAAAAGAGGAGCTTCAATTGGTGATGGCTGAGAGCGAGCAGTTCTCGAGGCGGCGAGGGCTTTGAATCGGAGGCGTCGATCCTCCATGTATTGGTAGAACGCGGAGAAGAGGAAACAGGCCAACAAGGAGATGAAGTAACTGGGCCATGAATCGGTTTTCCAACAATCGAAGAGAAGCGTTACTTTTTTGCCCCAGTATAAAGTCATGTGCATCATCTTGGCGATCGATATAGAGAGAGATCAGAGAGAAACAGATTTTGTAGATGAACGGAAGGGAAGGGAAGGGCAGGAAAGGTTTGGGTTAGGTAGGGAAGAGAATGTTAGATGGAGTGGAACTTGCAAGGGAAGACAGCGTTTTCTTCTTTCTTGTTTGTTTTTGCGGATGGAGATAAAGAAAAGAAAGAACTTTGAAAAAAGAAAAGGTTAAAAATATATAGACCAATTATTGCCCTTTTTTTTTAAAGAAAAAAAATATGATTCAGATTCCTCGGAAAAGAAGATAATTACAACTAATACCATTTAAAAAAAAAAAAAAAGGGAAACAGTTGTGTTTTCAGTTAGGGGATAGGACAAGATTTCCCAAGCTATAAAGTCATTTGTTAACAGGAGTTCAGAATTCAGATCATATATATTGCTGGCGATGGCAATAGCCGAAGTTGTTATCATGACAAAACCTGTGACACTAGATAGTTATTTACCCAAAAAAATTTGTTTAACTAATTTCCGTTCTATTATTAAATTTGAGGTGATCAGGAAGCATCCAAAGAGGCAAAAAAAAAAAAAAAAAAAAAAAAAAAAAAAAAAAAAAATCCAAAAGTGGCACACAAAAATAAAAAAAAAAAAAAAAAAAAAAAGAAACAAACTTTTTCGGCGCAAAAAAAAAAAAAAAAAAAAAAAAAAAAAAAAAGAAACAAACTTTTTCGCCTACAGAAGCGGCCAGGAAGCATCCAAAGGCATGGCCATGTGTAGGTGGGGCACTAAAGATTTCAGTTGTTCAGTAAGCCCAGCAAGAGAGCAAGAAAGCAACTAAAGATGAGAAAGAGTAAGTATGCTTCAAATGGAATATATCATAAACAACAATTAAGCCTTAATCCCAAACCAGGTGAATAAAAAAAAAATGCATCGCTGTAAAATAAATAGTAGCCTCTGAGTTGAGTCAACATATTTCTTAATATGAAACGGCAGTTTACAATAATATTGTCTGGAGACTCAGACACCTGACTCTAACTGAATGCTATACAAGATAAGAGAGACTGTTCACCGAATAGAAAACAGTGAATGAAGTGGACAAGATCAAAATTTAGTACTTGAGGAGTCAAAGAATATCAAAACTGGCTAAGGTACAATGCAAAAATCAATACAATCCTGAGCCTGACATAGCACCCAAGAATGTGCTTATTCTGAAAATTAGAAACATTAAGTAGATTGTTATGAGACCAACTCCTAATATCTTGTTAGGGCGCATGTCATTCCTTGGCAACACAACAAGGGACCAAATAAGGCCCAACATAAGAAATCCCATTGTATAAAACAAACTGCTATCTTCAGGAACTTTGTAAGGTCTAGGTCTATCAGACCAGGCTCCAAGCAGCATTGAGAGTCCCAATCCAACAAGTGTGTTGAACATGGGCCCCGCATAGCACCCAGACATTGCAATTTGCAAGCTGTCCCCACCATTCGTTGCTAATGCAACATTTGACATCAGATCACCCATTGAGTTTCCCCATGCCAACACAGTTAATCCAAGGAGTGATGGATTAATTCCAAATATTACACCATATGCCACGAGCAAAGCGACGAGTTCATTAGCTACAATGTAGAACCAGATAATACTCATAAAAAATCCCCCCAGAACCCATGGAAATATAAATTTGCGGGGTGGCTCATCAGCTTTGGTATAGAGATATGCAAGAACACCAAAAACACAACCGGAAGCAACACCAAGAAAATATGAAATTTCTCGATTCAATATGCTAACATTATCTTTGGTGTTCCATAAAAGCGCCAGAAGTATGGGTGCTAATGTTGCACTGGCGACAGCATAACCTTTTGACCATCGTTCCTCCTCCACTATAGGAATTGTCAATCTTCTCAGGAGTGTCAATGGCATCTCCAGCAAGGAAAACAATTTAGAAAAGGAGCAAGAACACCAGCCATTCACTGTTTCCTCCTCATTCCAACCCCACACGTCTTTTGGATCATCTGGACTCTCCTTCATGACCTCATCTGAATAAATTGCCACATTTGAGGCCCACATCCAATGGGGGAGTTTATTTTGGAGATGTGGCACATCACCTTTAGAGTCAGACTCGAGCAGTGAGGCATTGACAGAGTCATCCTCTTCACTTTCATGAGAAAAAATACTTCCTTTCACAGGAAGCAATGGCTTTATAGCATTCAATCTCAATCTCCAAGCATGTTTCCTAAAAATCTCATTTGCAGCAACTGCAGATGCATAAATGACATAGATAGAGACAAATGCCACTGCACCCCCGATGGACACGTTACCAACAATCAACAACGTACCGAGTGACAAAAGAGTAAACATAAAGAAGCATATATCTCTAATAAAACATGCCCTATCAATCTGAATCCTCCTCTCTGCTACACAAAGAGAAACAACACCCACAACAATACAAGTAATAAAAACAGCTCCCCCTAAGACACTATTGAGACCCACTGCACCAGCATTCTTGCCAACAAAAGCAGCAATGCTAGCAAACACATCAGGGGCCCCATTTCCCAATGGCAGCAAAGTAACACCAGCGACAGCTGGTGGCAATTTCAGCAAATTTGATAACTTCTCCAAAGAACAACAAAAGTAATCGGCAGCAGTATTCCCCAAAAGATAAAACAGCGCAAGGAGCCATGTGCCCATCACTATATAACCCAAAAAAGCATATTTCTTGCAATCACAAAAGAAAAACCTAATGTAATTGAAAAATCCACCTGAGGTACACTCAGGATGAGCAATCAAATACTCACACTGATTGCTATAGTCTTTATGCTCCAACAACCCAGCACATAATTTAGGATCATGGTGGGGAATAATACTGGTATCATTGAGAGAACTAGTACCATTAATTTCAGCAATACTCCGACCACTTAACTCCCATTGTAGAGGAAGAGACGAAGGCGAATTCACAAGAAACTGATTATACAACAAAAAAAGCAAAACCAAGAAAGAAATTTTATTGAAAATCCCACGAAATTGGGAAAGCCTAATTCTATAAAACCCATTCGGCTCTGCCATATTGAGCAGAGAATCAAGCCCTCGACGATAGAGAAACCGTAAACTAATAACGAATATGATGAGAAATATAGAAAAAGATGTAACAAGCAATGGAGAATGAGACAGGGAAACGCGAGAACATTGGCAGGTTGAGAAAGTGACCTGGGAGAGACGCAGAGAGAACAAGAGAAGGAGCTTCCTTGTAGGTACTTCGTTAAGCTGAGAGCCTTCCCTCTCGTGTCGCCACGATGGTTCCAATTTCGCACTGCTCAGTGCTTCGATCGTACATTCTGTCTGGTGATTTTTGTTTTTTCTTTTTTTACTGTGAAGTCAAAACAAGGACGTTTTACGGTTGGAAATCCCAAATTCCGAATATGTTGGTGCTTACGCATGGAAAATACTGATTCAACGGTGATATAACCATTTTTTTTAACTGCTACAGTGCTACTATAAGATTTGAACAGTAAAGTTTTTCTTTTTTTTTTTTTTTTTTTTTTGGGTAAAAGTTTCTTCTTTTTTGTTTTTTTTTTTTGGATGCATTAGTAGTCGTCATTCAGATTGGAATATGGATCATAATGTTATTCGTTTAACTTAAGTATAAAACATGTTGGAGATTTCTTGACAAATTTTTTTTTTTTTTTTTTTTTTTTGCATTTATAGTATGATGAATAATGTTATTTTTAAGTATAAAACATTTGGATTTCTTACAAATTTCATTTTCATTTCATTATTGAGTATTATATAACAATAATATAAAAAATTAAATAAATTATTAGATTGTGATTCACATTGGAAAATGATTAGTGATTGACTGTTTGTTAATAGATTATTGAATATAATTTTTCTTTTTTCAACTAAAAGTCTAAAACCATCACTAATTTAAAAGGAAAAAGAAACCAAACCCTTATTGGATAAAAATTTTATGGATATAATTCATCTTTGCTTTTAAACACAATTGTTCAAGCTGGTTTTGTAAGCCATAATAGAATGAATATAATCTAATTAAATTATTTACAGTAAATGTAATGTTTATATTAAAAATGTATTTAATTACATTTTATATTCCCTCTCTACAAAAATAAATTATTCATGATTTTTGCATGGTGATTAAGAAATTAATTAATTCTCTATATTATAAAAAAATTTATTAATTTGACTAAATAATTAATTTATTTAATATATATAAGGGTAAAATTGAAAAAGTTTATTAGTTACTTCTTAATATTTTCAAAACGACTTATTTGGCCGTGAAAAAAAAATTTAAAACAAATTACTTTTATGGATAAAGTGAGTATTATATTTCAATTCGTTCGTTAAATAAAATCAAAATTAATCACCCTCAAATGTAATCCAAAAACACTTCCATTGTGTGTATATCTTATTTGGGCATAGAATTTATTTTTTTCTGAAGCTTGCATGGAGATATAAATTATTTATTATAAAACACAAGCATATTACTAATTAAAACAATTAAAATGAAAAGAAATAGTAATAAATTTAATATGTTAGCTCATAAAAAAAAAAAAAAAAAAAAGTGAAAAATAGTAATAACATTTTTAATATGTTAGCTCCATAAAAAAAAAAAAAAAAAAAAGTGAAATGAAAGTGTTGCACATATATTATTTCTCTTAAAGAGGGAGAAAAAAAAAAAAAAAAAAAAAAGTGAAAGAAAGTGTTGCACATTATTTATTTCTCTAAGAGGGAGACTTCCAGTAGTGGAATGTACAAATGAAATAAAAACAGGAAAGACAACAGTATTAATACGAGGTTAGGTGAGATCAATTGCAAGAAGTGCAAAGGGATATTCTTTTTTGACCTATGAATTGACAGAATTTGAAGTCAAAATAACTTATTAGTGAAAAAGCCCAAACTTGGACTCATAAATATCATCAATCTTCAACACTCATTAGACATTAGTCTTAGCAGAAAAGCTTTTGAAAATATTAATTAGGAAATTGAAATTCAGAATCTAAAATAAAAATCCTGGAGATATTTGAATATCATGATTCATGAATTAGTTAAGGATTGACAAACCAGTCAAGCCAAAAGAAGTGTTGTGTGCCTTCTGCTTAGTCTACTAGGACTCACCATTTTTGCTACCTTCCTTCTGCAACTGTTGTATTTCATTCTTTACCCTTCTTCTGCAACTATGTCTTCATTCTTATGGGAACTTTCCATGCACCTTCATTTCCTCTCCCTGTTTTTTTGGGTTCTTTTTCCCAACATTTTTCCTTATTTGGAATTGGTGTAAATTCCAAAATACAAATAAACCATTTTATGTAACTGGCCAATCTGAAACCATCTCTATTCTTATCAATGCCATTTCTCATTATGAGCATTAGCTGTAAGATTCCTTTATTTTTTTTTTTTTTTCATTCTTGATTTCCACATAATACGGCCAAGAAAGTAGTAAAATTTATGACTGGACTTGGACAGGATGCGTTGAATCATTCATGAGTTTTCTCTCTTGTCCTTTACATGGAAATTTCTGTACCATGTCACCAATTTGGGTTTGATGAACTTTCCAGATAAGATTTGGTTAATTCTTAAAAAAAAAAAACACCTCAAAAGAAAACTTTTTGCAAAAAAAATAAAAATAATAATAATAGAAAGAAGAATCAAGAAAATCTGAAGAACCCTACTTAATAACATAATACAATATTCTATACAAAATTTATATAGTGAAATTCCTTAAACCTATCTTCCATTAATTTCCTAAAGAAGAAAATAAAATCATACTTATCCAGTAAAACGATCTGTTCTGTAATTAACCGCCAAAAACAGAGTTTCACTGGTTTTAAAGAATTCAACGAGACAAAGCAGAAAAACAACTTTCGGATCGAACTAATGCCGATCCTTTGATCTTTTCAACATCAACATCAGGCAAAACACTACTTGAATTGGAGCGAAGAGCACGAGGTGAATCCAAACTCCTACGAAGAATTCTGCTCATAACAAAAATAGGATGCTCTGTTTGATGCAGGGGAATAGAAGATTTAAACTTGTTGCAGAAATTAATATGCCTGTTCAAAGCTTCTTCGGTAGAGATAAGCCTGTCTGATCTCAAAACCTCATCTTTCACGGCTTCAACACAGAGCCCACAAAGCCAACGGCCATTGAAGCGCTCGCGAACTCGAGAGATGTAAGCAGGGGTGCATTCCTCTGTAAATCCACAGGAATAGCATTTCACTGATTCGACTTCGAGTTGAGTGTTTGGTTTAGTAGTTGGGTTGGATTGGGTTTCTGCAGCTGAAATTGCCATTTCGTATAAACATTGAAGATTGGAATAATGAAATGAAATTCTCTCTAGAAATGTCTGCGTCTCTCTCACACCCTCTGTTTTTTTGTGATTTTATTATCAAGAGGCAGAACAGAAAAGGAGTTTTTATATGTGGGGTTTCTCTGTATTTGTCTCGTCTTATAATTGAAAATTAAAAATATTTTTCTTTATGGATAAAATAGGGCTGCTATTTTTGTTTTGGTTTAGACGTGTCAATTACTGAAATTAGAGTTTTAGAAATTGTGTGAGATTATTGGTGAGCTTAAGGGTTTTATTTTTTAATGCGGTATTCGCTATTGTACTGAAGACCCAAATTGAGATTTTAGGACACTGCTAGGGTTAGAATTAGGGTTGTGCTTTATTTATAGAAACCCCTTTAGGCTGCTAGAATTCCTGACTGTCACTCAGAATAAGTGAAGATCATTCTTTTTTTTTTTTATCAACTCAACATTTAATAGAAATTAATTTACACAAAATATATCAATCGTAATGGATCTCTCAATGGAAAGAAATAATTGATTTAGATTACAAATCTTCTCAAGGATAAATACTAATTTGAATTTAAGAATTCAACTACAACTAAATCTAGAAATTTTTTAAAAGAAATGGAAAGTATATCACTATAAGAAAAAAGTAATTTAAATAGAAAAAGATATTTCTAATCTTATCCAAACTCTTCATGTAAAGAAATCTATAAAACTATATAATTTCTAGTAGTATTAATTAAAAAAAAAAAAAAAAACTCTTGATCTTTTGTTGCCTTTTATCAAACTGCTTTCAACCGATGATTGAATCCAAGAGAAATTAATTTTACACAAAATTATCTATTTCCAATTCGATAATATAGGATCTCTCAATGGCGAAAAATAATTGATTTAGATTACAGACATTTCTCTTCTCGAAAGGATGACAAGATACTAATTTGAATTCCAAGAAATACAACGTACGAACCTCTTAAAATCTAACTAGGTGGAAATAGATTTTTATGTTGGTTTTAAAAGTAAGATTGCAGAAAAGTTTCAAGTGTAATGTCCACCTATAAGACAAGGCAATAGCACACTTTAAATCTATAGAAAAGTACTATTTCCTATACTATTATATTCCACAAGAGCTCTATTTCGCAATACCTCAATAAGCAAATCTATAAATGCACGCAATATATTTTCTCGAGTGAGTTTACTTACTAATTAACAAAGAAAAAAACAATATAAAGATGAGGTAGCCGCAGTTTTGCCCAATATCCAAGCCACTATGCGTCATATTTGAGCACCGAAGTTTAGTATACATACACTGCTAAGTTGTAAGTGAGTCCACAATGATCTCAGGTGCCACTTCCTCTTACCTCAGGCACCCTCATAATTATCAGATAAGTATGTAGTAGAAACACAAGTTTTTCAAGGTTCTGGATTGTATAGCATACCAGAGCTCGGAGTGCCATCCCATATTCAAAGTTATTCCCTATTTTTCACACATATTTATTTTTTTCTTTTAAAAACAGTTACCTCTGTACAGTATCCGACCAAAAAATTCAGTCACTCAACGTATGGCGATGACTCTAACCTCCAATATTCCTCCCCTCTAATATACTATATAGCGTGGGAATTTCGTTGGTAAAATTTAGGAAAAGAGAGAACAGCAGTTTTAATACTGTAGAAACAGAGCGCATCATCTTTGTCTTGTATTTCTTGAACAGCCGAGTAGGGCTGCCTGATGAAAGTATAAATGTCCATACTAGCTATCACGGAGTTACATCGAGCAAGATCCCAGACAGACCAATAAGGATTCCTCAACTGAAAAGTATCTAAGGAATGATAGTTGTAATGTACTTAAAAAAAAAAAAAAAAAGAAGTAGGCAAGCCACTAGGAATAAGCACGGATGATATCATATGCTAGTTTTATTACAAGTCGGTGCCACTCCTCGCAGCCTCACATCCATGATGAAAGCTATTTGGATTGAAGCATAAATGGACACCCATATTCAAAGTTTATCCATATTTTTCATATTTTATTTTTTTTTAAAAATTATTTGTACATATCCGACATTCAGTCCAACGTTCGAACTCAACCTCCTATTCTCCTAATATACTATATAGCGGGAATTTGTAAAATTGAAAGAAGAAAAGAGTTTATGTGAACAGAGATATCATTTCTTGATTCTTGAACAAGTAGTGGCTGATGAAAGAATGCCAAAGCTTCATATAAAGTCCAAGAAAGCCCAAAGATTCTCATGAAGATCAGAAAATGACTTATGAAGGAAAGCACAATGAAGCCAAATCAGCCATGTGCAAGTTGTGACTATTTAGTCTGATGTGATATACAAAGGTAGGCCACTTGCTATTATGGCGGCTTCCTGAGGAAATGAAATAGGTAAGCAATGTAAATGAACTCTGGCTTTTCACTGGGGATTTTTTTTTTTCTGCATCATACTTTCTGATTATATGTGCAAGAGCTAAATGCAGGCGAGCTCTTGTTGTTTTTGCATTTGTGTGAAAGACAATTGGTTCCAAGCTTTAATCTCTCTTTAATGTAGTTTACATTGTATCCTATGTTGCATGGTATCGGACACGAATAAAATTGGTGGAAATGATGAGAGGAAATAATATTTAAAATATAATTTTATGTGAAGAAACAGTATTTTATAAGGGAAACTGGACACGTGGAAATATTTCTGAAACGCCGAAACACCCATGGTTATAAGTTTCCGTGCATGATACGTCTTGAACTTATGGCTACGTGGACAACATTAAATGTGTTGAAGCCATTACTGATATGACTACTAATTCATATAGACCACAAATTAGTATTTCTTGGAGATACATCTCCATCTATTCACTTATCATTTAGACTATACATATGATGTGAAAGAATGTAATTATTTGGCTTTGATTTAATAGCAACGGAGTTTTATCACTGTGTTTGTGATTTTTCGATTTTAATGCTTAAAAATTTTGAGTTACTCCACTGTAAACTTAAAAAGAAGACAGTAGAAAATAAAAGTAGTTGGAGAGTTGACAGAATATCTAATGAGAGGTTAGAACTCCATCATCAATAATTCAAGATTTTTCCTTTCACCCATTCTACTGGAGCAGTTCAGGTTGCAATTAAACTCACCTTATCTAGACCATGAAAGGTTTTGTTACAGTGTCTTCAAGCTTTCTGCTCGCTTGCTTGCTTGCTTTTATCCTTCAGATCTTCTTCTTCTCTCCCATATCTCCCGACTTGCTTGAACTGCCTCCAGCTACTTCGCTTCCCACAAATAAGCGCTTACAGGTAATTAATTAAAGATCTTTATATATATATATGTATATATTTCTAATCCTGTTTCAATAGCTTTACGAGCTTTGTTGTTGAAAGCCCTTTGGTTTTTTTTTTTTTTTTTTTTTTTTTTTAAAAAAAAAAAAATTTTTCTCATATTTTTTTCTTTCTCTTTCTTTCGCTTTTCGCTAAAAAAAAAAAACAAAAAATTTCCTTGCATAGGAGCCTATGAATAAGTAATTCCCTCTTCTGTAAGAGAAAGGAAACCATTGGAATGTAGGGTCCAGAAGGATGTACTAGTGGCCAATTGTTGAATGACAGAGATGGTAGTTATTTTTTGCTAAAGGAGGCCCAATGTAATGTAACGCGATGAGGTTGGACCGTCTGACATTAAATTCATATCCGTCGAAGACGGGGACAACACTAGGATCACAAATGGATAGATAATGAGAGGTAATAGGTATTGCTTGGTATCACACCAATATCTCAAAGGAAGGTGGTCCTTAATTGTCTGTGATCTGAAATGGTACCATAAATACTTCTTTTGAAACAAAATTCCTCCAATGTGCTTGTGCCATTGTCTTATAAAGAAGCCTTCGGCGATAGACTGAGACAGATCCTAATTCATTAGTTGTTTGCACAGAGGAAAGAAAACAACTATTTTTTTTTTTTTTTTTTTTTTTTTTTCAAAAAAAAAAAAAATCCTCTAGGAAGTGATTAGACTTGGAGAAGGAACATTGGAAGGTCCAGAGGATGTCTGTGTGGACAGAGATGGTGTATTGTATACAGCAAGTAGAGATGGTTGGATCAAAAGATTGCATAGTAACGGAACCTGGGACAATTGGAAGAAAATAGACAGTAATGGTTTGCTTGGTATCACAATCTCAAAGGAAGGTGGTCTTATTGTCTGTGATGCTGAAATGGTACCATAAATACTTCTTTTGAAACAAAATTCTCAATCTTGTATTCTTTATTGATTAGGGAAAACAATTTATATATTGAAAGAAGAAACAATCTAATTAATGACTTATTATGAATCTAGGGTTTGCTTAAGGTTACTGATGATGGAGTAACAGTTCTTGCCTCAGAGATTAACGGGTCCAAGATAAGGTAAAAATCTCTGCAGATAGTTTTACTTGTATAGATATCTAAGCTTTTATATTAGATAAGGGTTTATCTTCTTGAGACTGACACAACATATAGATAAGCTATATGTAATCAAAATCTTGTTCTTTTGTGCATATTTGCTGGATGTAGAAAATATGAACACAATCACGTAGGTGAAAGATTGTTATTTATTCACGTAAGAAGATACCAGTCAACTGATTGTCGTATGCTTTGATCAGGTTTGCAGATGACGCGATTGAAACTTCAGATGGTAATATCTATTTCAGCGTCGCAAGCACTAAATTTGGGTTCCACAATTGGTATCTGGACCTGCTTGAGGCCAGACCAAATGGACAATTGCTCAAGTATGATCCTTCGATAAAGGAGACCTCAATTCTTCTTGATAATCTTTATTTCCCTAATGGTGTTGCTCTTTCAAAGGAAGAAGATTATCTGATCTTTTGTGAAACTTGGAAGTAAGTAATTTCACTCGCATTGAAAATGGAGCATAGCACATTGAAAATGGAGCAACTTTTGAGCATATATCGTGTTTCTTTCTTTCGAAACAGATTCAGGTGCAGCAAACATTGGCTCAAGGGTAATAACAAAGGAAAAACAGAAATTTTTGTTCAGAATCTTCCTGGTGGACCTGATAACATCAATCTTGCTCCTGACGGATCTTTCTGGATTGGTTTGCTACAGGTTCAAAATTCTATCAACTAAACCATTGTATCCTGATGCTCCAATTTCAAAGACTAATAAAAGGTTTTTCTGCTGCAGTTGACATCGGATTGGCTGAAATTTGTGCACACCTCAAAGTTATCTAAACACTTGGTAGCATCATTTCCGAAATTGATTGAACTAGTAACTGGACTCCGCAAGAAAGCAATGGTGGTGAATGTGGCAGCTGATGGCAGGATTATCAGGATGTTCGATGATCCTGTAGGGAAAGTAATGTCATTTGTGACTTCAGCTTTCGAGTTCGACGGTTACCTATACTTAGGAAGCCTCAACACCAACTTCATTGGAAAACTGCCATTGACATTGTACTAATGACTAAAGAGATCATCTTGGTAGTTGGAATTGTTAGCAATAAAGGTTTTCCTTAATTGAAATGATTCAGTTCATTGTCATTTCTTGACAAAGAAAAATGAAAATAAAAATGCAAATGCAGAAATTGTATTACCAGAGCCTGATAAGGTAATTTAACAAATCTAGAGCAGTGTAGTACACAATTTAAAGTAAAAATAGTCTCTTGCTCTTCTGTCCTCTTCTTGCATATCCTAATGACTTCAAATGCCAGGAGAATTGCCTCTACTCTGAAAGTAGCTTTGGTTACTCAAGAAAATCAGTCACGCTCACTAATGGCAGTCAGATGTTCATCAATCTCCTCAGTTGGCAACACTCTGAAAACTCGATTATCTGCTCTCACAACCCCCACCTGCAATGCACAAAATATTTTTATTGGAACTGATCCCTGAACCACTGCCAAATCCAGCAGACTGCCTCTGCTCTCATAAATAACAGATCAGACGGTAACAAGCTGAAAATAATCCAAATCCTACAGGAAGATGGATTTTTTTTTTGGGGGGGGGGGGGGGGGGGGGGGGGGGGGGGGGGGAGGGGGGTTTGAGGGGCTGCGCTCGGCTTTTAGCTTTCATCAGTTAACTTTGCTCGTGAATACGTAAAATATTTGCTATTAGCATCTTTTCATTTTCGCTCATTTTGATACTATCCTCACTAACTAATGAAGAAGAAAGAGAAAATGGTAATACCTCAATCTCAGTAGCCTTGAAGTCCTCTTGCAGAATAGATTGTAGAGCCGAAATGGCAGTCTGCCGGACAGTACAACTAGAGCAATTAGGACCTCTAAATATAGAATATCAGCTTGGGAACAGGTACAAAACTTATCAAATCATCAAAAAAAAAAGATTTGCCTAACTCAATCTAATAAAACCAGAAGCTAATAATCCTTTTCCCATATAACATAAGCTATTTATATGAATTAATTCATCAAGCCGACTAGGAAATCGTTCACAATGTTAATCTGATAATCTCCCTAAATTTTGTATTGAGTTGAACTCATACATACTGAACTAGGCAAGTTAAATTCCACTGCAACCTCAGAACAGAGAAAATGAAAGCACTTAGTTGAAAAGTTGATATCTAATGTCAATGCAAGTTAATCTCCTCTCTGTATCCAATTTAATGTTTGACGGGCAAAATAAGGGAATATTTAAAGAATGGAAGATCAGAAACCTCATATGCAAGCTAATTTCCCTCTTTCTTCTTTTCTAAAATTTTCCATAAAAAATCTAAATGAATAAATGCCTTTCAGCAACTTCCTTTTCAAGAAACAGAAAAAGACACAAGTACCTGCACAGTTTCCTCATAGGAGAAAGCAGGGTCATTTTTCATTTTCTTTTCCAAAAAATTAATAGCCTCTTGTTCTTTCAATCCAGCACTTGTGGCCTGCAACATATATTAAAAACATGATCCTTGAGCAGAAAGTGCCTTGAGTTTCACACAAATCAAGTCAAAATAAATTATCAAGAGACAACTCAATTAATTCAGTTTTACATGAAAAGAAGCATCCTGAAGTATAATATATAATGTCTTAAATGTTTAACTCACAAATATAGCATAAAGACCACTTTGCAACTTCTTTGAGAAGAAAATGCGTACATGTTAGAAATTTTTCTTCAAGATCTTATATTATTTTTTTCATATTGGCTTTACCAATCATGTTTCCTTCCATTACATCCAAACTCCCAAGAGCATGACCTGAGATATCCTAGAATATAGAAGCACTTGCAGCATGATTGCAATCAATTTCTACTCCATACAACAAACCCATCATGACCAGATACTTCAGAACGCTTTGGGATGGGATTCAAAAGTACAAATGACGATAAAATCAATGGTTAAGATGGGTTAATCTACTCCAAACCCACCAAAGGTTGCTAGCTCTATAATGATGATCACGAATGTCACACTTGCGTATGCATACCTTGCCATTCAGAAACAATACACATGGCATAAACATTATTAATGGTTGCACTTGTTCCCCTTGGTGAAAAGAATCAGTTTTTGACCTACCTTGTGACCGTAGAAGTGGCCAGCTGGATCACACTTGTAGAGCTGAGGCCCATTCTCCTCATCAATGCCCAAGACCATAGCAACTTCAAAGAAAATACATGAAAGTCGTTAAAAATTAATGGTTGCATATTTGCATATGTATGTATAACTACATATCCTTATGCATAAACATGTGGTGTATATGCATGGACACAAACATATTATGAACTACCACACAAAATTCAACCACATAAAAGCATTTACTCTCGTAAGTGAGAGAAAAAGGGACAGCGGTAGTAAAAACTAGACACATACCTACTCCAAGGGGTCTCATGTAAGCATGCTGAGTGTAAACCTGTGATTTATCTGCTATCCTACATGAGAAACCAGGATATAGTGTAAGTTCAATACAATTATTAGTTACCATAAACTAAAGGGGGAAATCTATCCCAATGACCACAGATGGATAATTGAGGATTGAAAACAATTATAAGAATGCAAGAGAAGCATGCATTAGAAACTATCTTAAGTCCTATCGAGGAGCCACTACCTTATGCCACAAACTGAGGATATGTCCACAATGTATGGGAACGTTTAGAAAGGCTCAGTTTTGACAATGAGGGCAGCATGCATTCAAATATGAGCTTAACTTGAGTGGAAACCAATCCAAATTGAAAAAACTCGCCACATATTGAATAGTTGCAGCGTGGAACATTGTTAAATAGTATAAATTCCACCATTACATATATTGATACAGAAATCCATTACCATTTGGCCAATACATCTACAGGCATTTCATATCCATATCTGAAACGAAACTCAGCTGCCTCATTCCGTGCTTGCTGGACCAAAGTTCTTGCATCAGCTGAAATAGTATTAAAATTCCACCACCACATTCTCTATATCCCCTAGTAATCCCCATTCACCATGTGGCCGATATATATCTATAATCTTAATGTTCACATATCCCATACTGGAATCGGAAAACTACAGCTGCTCTCATTCCGCTGCTTTGCTGACCAAAGTTCTTGCATCAGCCTGCAAAAAAGAACTACAACCATAAAAAAATCATACTCAAGCTTTGTAATCCATAAAAATTTGGATTAAGCAAGAGTCCTAAAACTTAAATTGGAAATGCTCCCCAATCATTTTACAAAAGCAACATGGGGTGAAACAAAGATGAGGTTGACCATATTATAAGAAAAAATCATAATAGTATGGGCGTGGCTCCAGCTTCCAATTCCCAAAGACAACCAAAGAATTTTACGGCCACACTTAAGGATTGGAACTACCTCATATCCATCACAACACCAAACAAACTTGTCAAGAGAGAACAGAAAAGCCTTGACCCAGGTCCATTGCCCAAGTAGCACAATAATTTCCAAGGTACTTGTAATTAGAAAAAGGGTGGGTGAAGACACCTAGTCTGATCCAAAAAGCTTGTTCCTGCTCCAGTATTCCCAAAAACAATTAACCAATTTACCCAACTTGCAGCAAAACTGAAATTCCCAGGATAAGAAAAAGAAACGGAACTCACTTTTACTTGCGAACTTTCTTTCTGCTCGTTGACAACACAGACAGAGTCCTTTCCGCGAACTCCGATCGAGAGTGATGGCAGCTGCCCTTTACAGGCCTTAAAACCGCCATATTCTGCCCCAAAAAAAAAATTAAAGCTCAAAAAGCTAAAAGCATACGGAAAAAAGAAGGGATAGGGCAATTCTCATGTAAGCATGCTGAGTGTAAACCTGTGATTTATCTGCTATCCTACATGAGAAACCAGGATATAGTGTAAGTTCAATACAATTATTAGTTACCATAAACTAAAGGGGGAAATCTATCCCAATGACCACAGATGGATAATTGAGGATTGAAAACAATTATAAGAATGCAAGAGAAGCATGCATTAGAAACTATCTTAAGTCCTATCGAGGAGCCACTACCTTATGCCACAAACTGAGGATATGTCCACAATGTATGGGAACGTTTAGAAAGGCTCAGTTTTGACAATGAGGGCAGCATGCATTCAAATATGAGCTTAACTTGAGTGGAAACCAATCCAAATTGAAAAAACTCGCCACATATTGAATAGTTGCAGCGTGGAACATTGTTAAATAGTATAAATTCCACCATTACATATATTGATACAGAAATCCATTACCATTTGGCCAATACATCTACAGGCATTTCATATCCATATCTGAAACGAAACTCAGCTGCCTCATTCCGTGCTTGCTGGACCAAAGTTCTTGCATCAGCTGAAAAAAGACATAAAAAATCAACTTTCAAGCTTGTAATCCATAAAAATGAATTAAGCAAGAGTCTAAACTAATGGATGCTCCAATCATTTACAAAAGCAACATGGGAAACAAAGATGGGTTGACATATTAAAGAAAAATCATAGATATATGGCGTGCTCAGTTCAATCCAAAGACAACAAAGAATTACGGCACTAAGATTGAACTCTCATTGCATCACAACACCAAAAAAAACTCAAGAGAGACAGAAGCTGACCGGTCATGCCAGTAGCCAATAATCCAAGGTACTTGGTAATAGGAAAAAGGTGGGTAACACTAGTCTGATCCAAAAGCTTGTCCTGCTCAGTATTCAAAACAATTAACATTACCCAATTGAGCAAAAACCGAAATTCCCAGATAAGAAAAAAGAAACGGAACTCACTTACTGGAACTTTCTTCTGCGTGACAACACAGACAGAGTCCTTTCCGCGAACTCCGATCGAAGTGATGGCAGCTGCCTTTACAGCCTTAAACGCATATTCTGCAAAAATTAAGTGGCAAAAAGCTAAAAACATACGAGAAAAAGAAGGAAGCAATATGCGAAATAGCGAGAAAATTTTGATTACTCACCGACTTGGAAAAGACGACCTTCAGGGGAGAAGATTGTGATATGGCGATCGTAACCACCTCCACTTCCTCTACTCATTCTTTGTTCAGATTATGATATGGTTGCGATTTTAAAGAACTTCAACTGCGAAGCTCTTTTATGGACCTTGAACTCGATTTGATTTTCAGCACCAAAGTGACTCGCTGAACAAGAAAACTTTGTCCATAATACCCTCCAATCTTTACGATTTCAATAGAAAACAGCTTGCCGTTAATTTACAAAATCGTCGATTGCTTGAGATTATTAGGGTTTCTTCCCAGAAGTGCCTTGGGCTTTGGCCCAAATGAAAAGTCGGATGATGGTACATGCTTTAGCCTAAACCCCTGGCTATTTTTATCGAAATGGCCAAAACTTATTTTTCTTTCTTGATTCAGAAATAAAATCTACAGGATACATACCAATTAATAAATTTCACAATGATATATGTATATCCACTTGTTAATTCTTATTTCTCTTTTTTTTTTTCTTTAAAAAAAAAAAAATTTCCTTTGAAATTTTCACTGCAAGCATAAAAGGATGGGCTATGAAGCAAAGACCAAATGGAAAAAAAAAGCCTGAATTTTTAATTCTTCTAATCTTTTCAATTTCAATAATACAATACTAATTTTTCAGTCTGTCTACCTCTTACATCAATTTTATGTTGATGTTGCCATTATATCTCATAAGTAGGCCCACAACATGACACGTCAGCGAGAAATCATATTTTCTTTTTTAAATTGAAACAAAATGAAGTCTACTTGTGAAATCCAACTTGAACTTGGATTCAGAACCAACAGAAGACAGATACTTGAACTGCTATAACTTCAATTTCCAGTTATTTTCTACACCGCACAGGAGAAGGAAACTAATACAGAGTTGGCAATGAATCCACATAACTTTTTGCCAAGAACTTCCAAGGAAATGAAAGTTATGAAAGTTACAATTATTACGAAGAATACAGGGTGCTGATTCCAGCATTCTTTTAAAATTACCAGTTAACTTACATGCTAACACATTGGTATATGCAGTGACAGATGCCTCTCCTACACAACAGACTGCCCAACTGCACCTTTTACGAAATTCTTGATGTCAAAATAATCTGCACCTACCTTAGTGATGACACCCTGGTTGAACAACATAAATCATCAGATATAAATCTACTAAATATGCTCTGGTCATTTCAACCATTTTTGAAGTTGCATATGCAAAGAGGGGAATGCCTGAGATAGGAAAAGAGAGAAAGAGCTACCTTTTCTGTTATGATCCCACTTATCAAATTCGCAGGGGTAACATCAAAAGCTGGGTTCCAGATAGAGATCCCAGATGCAGCAACTTGCTCTCCAAGACCTCCACGTGTATTTAATAACTCTTTGGGTGATCTTTCCTCTATGACAATTTGGTTTCCAGAAGAAAGGCATAAATCGATGGAGGTCAATGGGGCAGCAACATAAAATGGAATGTTGTGATGCATAGCACATAAGGCAAGGCTGTAGGTCCCAATCTTGTTAGCAGTATCTCCTGAAAGTTAGCAACACATATTAGTTGCACAACCCAGAATTAGGAAATAAAGGAGATGAATCATCTTTACAATAGAGTACCATTTGCAGCCACACGGTCTGCTCCAACAATTACAGCACTCACTCGACCATCTTTCATCAATGCAGCTGCAGCAGAATCTGCTATAAGAGTAGCAGGTATTTTGTCATGCACCAACTCAAAAGCTGTGAGTCTAGCTCCCTGCAGTTAGAATTGAACTTCATAAATAAAATGAAAAGATAGTACAACAGCTGAAACCATATGAGATGAAGATTATCTGTCACAATCCTTATAATTGACCACTTTATTAATACCCAATTCATAAAATTCCTACCAAAAATCCAAACTATCAATGCTTGCAAGTGCACTAATTTGCAATGATTTATGAGTCATTTCTAGGCAAAATTTCATCATGATAGTGAAAGATAATGATCAGTATAGTAGTTTGATTGAGAAAGGTTGTTCATCACCGTTATAATCAAAATCTGCCATCATCATCATCATTATTTATCTCCATCCTTTAGAACAATTTTACTCAATAATCAGACATGGCCCCTTCTCTTACCACTACTTTGTTTAACCAATTTTTCAAAATCAAGGAAAATTGCTTACTTGATTGAAAGGACGAGTTTCTGTGCAATAGGCCCTCTCCAATACTCCATCAGTATGAAGTGAACGGATCACTCCCAGGGCAGTACCATATCCAGCTGTAGCAAGACTGGCAAAAAAAAAAAAAAGAACGAACAAAACCTAAAGACAGTTACACTTCAGCTTTTCTCGAAGACCAGACACATATACACATGATGAGAGGGAGACAGACCTGCCAGTATTACAATGGGTCAGAACAGAAAGCCTCTCGATGTTCTTCAGTTGGTTCTTAATAAAACTTGCTCCATGAGATCCAATTGCTTTGTTGGAAGCAACATCATCCTCGAGCATAATTTCAGCAGCTTCAATGTAAGCCTGTCAGAGATAATGAAAGTAGAGAAATGAAAAATAGTAGTGATATTCTCCAGCTTAGCCTATCAAAATATTGCTAGAAGAAAAGCAAAGTCTTTGTGCTTCAGGTTTTTGTCAATCTAGCAAAGACTAACAACTTTTAACATGGATTTGAGGACCAACTACAAGAAATTGACTACGTAAAAATTGAGCATGGCAAAATGATTCCACCTGAAAAACAGCCTTGGATTCTGATGTAGCAGCAGCTGTCTTTGATATAACTTCTTTAAGTTTTGTTGCAGCATCTGAAAGATTCACTGCAGTTGGCCGGCTGAAGAAACAATTAAGATTAATCCAATAATCAGCTACTTCCCATCAAAAGCAAATGAATTAGTTACGATTTCAAAAGCACAGGTAATTAGGCAATCACTGTATCAGGTCAAAATAACGAAAACACCTGAGGATAAGATTACCCAGATTAATTGCAATTCAAACAGTTGACGTACAAGGTTACAAGTCAGGCATCAGATTCAACCAAAAAAAAAAGTACCTTGAAACGAGATAGTCCAATTTCTGGAAGAGGAACGAGCCAGCATCATCAGATGTACCATTAAAATCCTGCAAGTTAAAAACTTCAACTGCGAGTGAGAGAGCTGCTGCAATAGCAATAGCAGGTGCCCCACGGACCACCATCTCTCTTATAGCAGACCTGAGACATTAAAAGTAGGTATAAAGTTGCACAATAAACTTGCAATATAGAAAAAGAAACACTCGCTATTTGACTAACTTCGTGATAACACAATTATGCCCATTTTCTACATTTTAAAGCACGACCAACTCGTTTTAAAAACGATTTATCCAACAAAAAATTAATGGGCAAGCAATTATTTTTCACAATTATATAAAAAGAGGGGTCTAAGAAATGATACCATCCATCTGATGCATCTCCGATAACCAGATATTCCGTCTCGAGAGGAAGCTTTCTCTGTTCAACGATAATTATATTTTCGATGAGTTTCCCATATATATATATATATAAAAAGATACGAGCTTTTGTTCAATTGCGGTGCCAGAAAGAGAGCGAGGACCTGGTCGAGGAGATGAAGCGAGCCGCGTTTGTAGCAGATAGACTGAAGAGTGTTACTAACTTCAAGCCCAACACTGGAATTAGAATTGGTTGCCATACTCGACTAGAAGAATCTATTCTGTTTTAGGGTTCCGCTTGAATTGCTTCCTTCTTTCCTCCTCTTCTATTGCAGACGGTGATCGGATTGGTTCATGCCGTAGTAGTCTTTTTCACTCGCACAGGGCCAATCTGGGGAAATTTATATTCTTTGCTCTGTTTGCTGCGTGTTTTTTCAGCGAATATCGATCAATTTACATTTTGCTCCTCGCAATTATACAAATATTTAATATCAAAGCCTCTCTGGAGGAAACTTTTGAACAGGAGGGAAATTCAAATTGCCTTTGAACGACACTATGCACAGTGATGCATATAATATTGCCTATAAACAACATATTCTAATTAAAACCTGAAATTTTAATTAATTAAATTCAAAGTATTATTCAATTTCAAGATTCTTTTGCATAGTGAGTAGAAGGTTAGTAAATTTGGATACATTTGCAAGATTCTATATTGTAGCTTGGATTGATGAAAAGAAATGGATATGTTGATAATTTTGAACATTCTATTTTAAAGCAGATGATTAAGAAAAGAGAAGCAGAAATTTCAAGTGGATTAAGAAAAAACCATTAATTAAGAACTTTATTAATTTATGAACAATTGATTACACGACTCAAACCTAAGCAAAAGTTCCCTAACAAAGAACAAAAACTGTAATTTCTTGCTAACATAAAGCTTCCACAGCTAGAGTGCTCACAACTTCTCTCCCACAAGTTGTTGGCCCAAATACATCTTTTGAAACTTTAATTGCACAACTCTCCTTCCCAACGCATGCCTGTCAATCATATATACAAATTAAATACATTTGTTTAATTTAAATAATTAATTAGCTCGTATAGAGCATGTTTATAGTTGATTAGCAGTTACCGTTCGGATGATTGAGAAAGCATCTTTTGATCCTTCACAAGTGCCTTTTACGAAGGAACCAGCAGTCCATTGAGGATCACCAAAGCTAGCAAATTGAATTGCTGAAATGGGTTTTCCATAGCATGAAAGCTCTATTGTGTCCCCTTCATTGCCCTTCCCACTTACTTTTCCTACTGTAACTGTTTGGAAATTTACTTCTCCTGGGTTTCCACCAAACTCTTCAAATAAAACCAACGTGTTTTCATCATCTTCAAGGAAGGAACGAGGGACATGATACCTAACAATGATTAAACAAAAACATTAGAGATTATACGTACGTACGTACGTACATACATACATACATATATATATATATATATATATGTTTATGAATTATAAAAAAATTTAGAATTCTCACCATCTCTGGGATGGTTGGCCACAATTACTCAGACATTTGTTGTTATCATATGGACCTCTATAATCACATTCCTTAGTCTCACAGCCATTCTCGTCAGCAATGAAACTTGGCCAATATCTCCCAATGTTGTGCCCATTTACCCAGGCAAATCCCTTTCCCATGCCTTGCAAATCCAACACAACTGCATCTTTTCCAAGGGGAGCTTTGAAAGTAGTCTGAGATTAAGTTTTTGAAGTTACTTAATCAATTTAAAAACCAAATCAACTAATAACACAAGTTTAATTAATTGACTAATTACCTTGTACCAAGTCATCATCCTATTTGTGGGAAGTTCATTATCTTCTTCCCATAATTTGGAAGAAAATGGTGAATCCAAGGTATAAAGTTGATTGTTGCTCGAGATTTGATGGTTCATTCCATGCAGTCCCACCCTGTATGACCATTTTGCTGAAGACAAGTCTTTAATTACAATCTCATCACCTTTGTGTCCAATCAATTCTACTGGACTTAGAATTCCAGTTTGTATCAAGTCGAACTTGGGACCGTAATTCTGTCAAACAAAGTAAAAAGATTGTTAACTAGTAACTCTTCATTCCCATTAATTATGATTAATTTACAGATTAATGAAGATATACCTGTAATCCAACTGTTCCACTGAGAATAGTAATTAAGTTGTGTCCTTCTCTCAAAGTGATGTTCTTTTCAAAAACATAATTGAAAACACCATATTTTGCCCATTCAGAACCTAATAACAAATGAAATTATTTTAGAAAATTAAATTAACAAAGGCACAAATATATACAAACAATCACAATAGATGGATATGGGATTACATACCAATATAATTTCCATTAACATAGGCATGAATAATGTGGCCACTGCCGTTGATTCGAAGAGATAAATCATGACTCAAAATTGGATCATCTTTCTTGATATTCAATCTGTTAATTGCCAAATAATTAAAGTTCATATATACAATTAAAAAAATACAAAAATAAATTAAAGATGTTAGAATCACATGCCTGGTCATATGCCAAAGATAATCGCTAGCATCATTAGTAGCAGCTTTTTGATCAATAAGTTGATTTGCATGAAAATGACCCTTCCCGTGGAGTACAGTTGCGTCAGTGTTTTCTGGCCTCCATGACCATTTAAGAGAATAGGGTTCATCCTCTGCTTCGTTTTTTCTCTTCACCATCTCTACAGTTTGAGTTTGCACCTATTCATTAATTTATATATAGGCAAGTTAGTTTCAGAGAGTTGTTAAAATAATACTAACTAGTAATAACACAATAAATAACTAAACTTAATCACCTTAGCTGTATTATAAGCTACATTCTTGCAGTCGGGAAGAATACTAACAGACCATGCAGGAACTATGTACGTAGTTCCTTGAAACTCAATAGTAGCATCTAGTGAGGTATTTGCATTGCCGAAAAAGCAGCTCGATCCTTTCTCACTTGCATAAACAGTTGCCTGCAAGTTCAGGAAGTAAAATATAATTATATAATTAATTAATATCAAAACATGCAACAGGATGATTGTATTTACATGTATAATCTCCAAAACCAAATTAATAATATATTTACCGTAACAGAATTGTTATAATCTACTGCGGAGATGTTCCCATGAGTAAGAATGTATTCCATGGAATGCAAAACATCGTGAAGTTGCTTCAAGTGGCCATATTTTGGTTGATTCAAATTTCCTGTTAAGAATTTCAATATGAGCATATATCTGATGCTGATAAAAAACAGAAATTAAAAATACAAATATATTACCATATTCATCAAGAGGTGCATCATAATCATAGGAAGTGGTTATATATGGACCTCCGGCTGTTCTCCCAAGATTAGTCCCACCATGATACTGAAAATTGAACCAATTAATGCAAATAAACCATAACTTAATCATATACTAAATAATCAATTTTACTAATTAAATGATTACTTGATGATTACCATGTAGTAGTTTTGGAATGTGCCTCCGAGTTGGAAAAATCTAGCAACAGCAAAAGCAAGATCCTCAGCAGTCCTGTGTGGGTCCTTACCGCCCCAACTCTTAAACCAACCAGTCCAATTTTCAGTCCACATTTTTGGACTATTAGGGTTATTAGGTGTGAATTGATCGCAGTACCATCCATTGCATGTGTTGATCATTGGCTGGGGAGCATTATCTTGTTGGCACATAATCCATGGAACTCCAATGTCAAGCGATTGAGCCATACTCGCACACCAGTCAATATATGCCTCTCCACCTACTCCATAAGCAGACATCACATTTCCATATTCATTCTCAACCTGTGCAATAATAATTGGACCTCCTTGGGATGCAAAAAGATTTTCTTCTTTCATCATATTTACTATCAATGTGGTGAAATTTTGCATTTCATTCATAAACACATCATTGGCTGTGCGTAGCTCAACACCAGGCAAATTATGCAACCACACAGGAAACCCTCTGAAAGAAGAAAAGAAAATTTTTATTTCAGATTAAAAGAAGAGTCAACAGAAATCATAACTATAAGTTAAAGCCTTTTGTATATATATATTTACCCATAATTCCATTCAGCACAAACATAAGGTCCAATTCGAAGAACTGCATATAGTCCTTCAGCTCGAACGGTCTTGATAAACCTTATGAGATCAAGATTACCACTGAAATCATATTGACGACGAACGGGTTCATGAGCATTCCAAAAAACATATGTTTCAATGGCATCTAATCCACCTTCTTTTGCTTTCCTAATGAGGTCAGGCCACATCTATCAAACCCAAAATAAACAAGTTAGAAATGAGAAATTAACCGTCTGTTCTTTATGAAATATTAGCCATTTGGCACGTAAATTTACCCCAACTGTGCTTCTGGGATAGTGAATAGAGCCAGATAGCAAAACTCTGTGTTTCCCGTCAATTTTAATGGCTCTTCCATCATAAGCAACCAGTGTGGCAGAAGCCAATAAATGAAGGGTCAGAAAAGAAAAGCAAGTTAAAGTCGCAGACAAATTAAATTTTGCAGAAGCCATTTCTATGGAGTGTTGAAACTAAGAACCGAACGATGATGACAGGAATGTATGAAGGCTCTATTTATATAGAGACAATAGGATAAATATATCTCTGAAGGCTTCTGGATATCTTTACAGTTTATCCAAATCTAAACTGAAGATTATCATTTTGAAAAAAAAAAAAAAAAAAAAAACCAAATTAATTTTGCCCAGAAAGCCATTTTCTATGGACAGTTGTGAAAACTAAGAACCGAACGATTGATGACAGGGAATGTATGATAGCTCTATTTATATAGTGAGACAATTAGGATAAAATAATATCTCTGAAGGCTTTCTGGATATCTTTACAGTTTATCCCAAAGTCTAAACTGAAGATTATTCTCATTTTTGAAAAAAAAAAAAAAAAAACAAAAAATCAAAAAAAAAAAAAAAAAAAAATCTAAATCGCAAATTATTTGGCTTAAACATGCTAACGCCTTCATCCACGTTTGACTTGAATTTGGAAAATCAAATTATTTGAAAAGTTTACGTGCAACAAAATTACTGCTAGTTTAAAAAAAATTAGTTTAATTAGTTTGATAGACAACTAATGATGGTAATTTTAATTATTATCAGAGGTGATAAGGTTTCCTAATTTCAACATTTTGTTATTCATATTTTATTTTTTTTTTAAGGAAAAACAAATTTGAAACCGTAGAAAGACACGTATTGGTATCCAATGCAATACTTTGTCAATTGTGTATAATTAATAACTAATCCATGTATTATTCTTTCTATTTTTGCAGTATTTTAAACGTAATAAATTGAAACACTCCATGGAAATTTAGATTTCCTAATCAAATCATTTCTTTAATAATTCATTTATTTCTTTATAAAAATATATTGTTGTAACAGTTTTTATATTTGTATATATAGTTTTAAATTATTTGGAGTATTTGGACAAATTTCTATATTTTGAATAAATTTTTTATTTTAAAATTCTTTAAAACTCTTAATTTTTATATAGATTTGCTATAGTATATTTTAAATTCTTGTTTCTTACAGTAGTTGTTCTTAGAATAATAATAATATAAAGAGAGATTATGATTTTTTTTAAATAAAAAATTTTATGCATTTAGATGCCATGATTTGAAAAATATAATTATTATTATTATAAGTTTCATTTTATGAAAAAATAAGTAAAAATTATAATTTAATAATATTAATTAAAATTTTAATTTACGTGTAAGTTAAATTAGGACTCAAATTATGAGATGGATAAAGTATTAATTATATAAAAATAGGATAAAATAAAAAGTATATGTAAAAATTATAATTTAATAATATTAATTAAAATTTTAATTTACGTGTAAGTTAAATTAGGACTCAAATTATGAGATGGATAAAGTATTAATTATATAAAAATAGGATAAAATAAAAAGTATATATAAAAATTATTCTTTTACTAAAAAGCGAGTAAAATTCTCGTGACGTTTTTGTATTTGACGATCGTGTCTGGACACGGGTGGCTTCTTCCACAAACATTTGTCAAAATTCAAAGACAAGACGGTGGTGCCATTTCCGCTCCACTCATATTGTTTTATAATATTAATAGCTACTTCCAATCCTGTCCTTTTCTCTGTCCCTCGCTTTCTCTTCTCTTTTCATTTCTTATGATACCTGAAATACCATTTACATAATTATTCTCCTTATTTCTTTTCATTGCTTGTTTTGCTCACAGATTCTTGCTTATCAGGTACTTCTCTCAATCAGTTTGCACTTTTCTATTTTCCATGAATACAAAAAAGCATCGGTTACTTCTCTTAGATCGAAACTGCAGGATCTGTGTATCATTAATCCGGAATTATCGACTTTTTAATCAGTCATTGCTTTCTATAATTTTTTTTGCTTTTTTCCCTTTCCATGCATGAAAATGGCTTGAATGATAAACTGGAAAAATTGTATTCTGATTACAATCATTAAACAAATTTAATAATAAGGGTAATAATAATCAGCGTTTTCATTATTAATCGTTGTTAATAATGTGTATTAGTATTATAAAACTTTATTATCCCAGCGAAGTAGTAGCCTTCTCAACTGTTTTGACTTAATTATTTGAAAATTTCTCAGTTTGAGCTTTTTATGTGGAAATTAGAGGTTTTTTAGGAGACGGGTCTTATATATATATATATATAATTAATTAATTAATTAATTAATTAATTGCACTTGGAGAGGTTTTTTAGGAAATGAGTCTTGTAAATATTAATAATTAATTGAATTCGAAGACACTGATATGATTAAACTACAATTAGTAGCATGTTTTGTTTACCTTTTGTAATAATTCTTTTATATAGATTGAAGGACTATTTAAAGCAAGCCCAGTGCCTTTGGCAACAATTTTTACAAGTTTACTTGTTCATATTTGTGCATTTAGGATGCAAGGAGGCTTTTCCAAATTCAGGAGTAAAAAAACCTCTCTTCTTTTCATTGCTATTGTGGGGACTATAACTCTCATATGGGCGTGGGATGGAACGCTATTTCTCACTAACATACTTCCTCCTAAAGGGCAGTTGCAACTATCTGAAGGTATGTTTGCCAGTGTATAACTTTGACATATGGGTGTTTTCAATTTTATATTGGCATTTCTTCATGTAATCTTTACTGAATAATCATGTTACTGAACGATCTTTATAAATGGTAAACTTTTTGGAATGACAGTCATAGTTATTGTTCGTTCATGTAATCTATACTGAATTATGGTTGTGAAAATTTGCAAACTTAGTATTTGTCTTCCCGTATTGTGAGATTGGCATTTTAATGGCCAGTGTTATTCTTAGTTCAGTACGTTCAGAATCACATTTACATGCAAGCAAAGATATGAATTTGGCTGATCAGGATCCTGCAAACAACTATTCAACAAGAACACTTGTTCAAGAGAAAGGTATTAGTATATTGCTGCTTTTTCTTTTGCATTCTTTATTATGATAAGAAACCTGATGAAGATTTTCTGGCTTAGCCAGTATGTGATTTTAGCTAACTTGTTCTCATTTTATCTTGCGGATATAGTAGCGTGAAGCAGGTCTGTTATAATATCTACTTTCCATTTTCTGTTACTCCTTCCAGTATTTTTGGAATTTTATTGTAACTTGATATAAGTGTCTCTTTAAGTGCATACCAGAACTTATGAGACGAATGTGATTATGCAGAAACTGTCCCAGCTACAAAGGATACAGAAGCAAAAAGCAAACAGGTCCTGGAAGCTGGAAAGCATAACCAGAATGAAGGAGATAAAAATTTGAAAGAAACAGAACAAACTTTGGATTTGGCAGCACTGTTTGATTCAGATAATCAGGTTGTGACAGAAACAGAAGCTAAAGACAAACAGGTTGTGGAATTCAAAATAAGTAGCAGTGCAGAGAGCTCTACCTTGACAGAATCACTAGGAAAGCAAAACAAAAATGGAAGAGAAACAGATTTGAAACAAAAAGAAGAAAACCAGGATTTTGCAATGGCAATTGTTACTGCAAATATGAGCTCTTCCCTGGAGGAACAAGATGAGAACAATTCTACAATGCTTGTGCATACCCAAGGTATTTGCTGCTCGTGTGCTGTTATTTGCTTTTTATTTGTGAGATGAGTTATATGCATGCTTCTCTATTTAGGCAATTTGCTTCATTATATACCTTGTTTACGTGTAAGCAATAGATACTTGAGTGGTTTCCGGAACCAATACTGGATATGCTGAAAAAGGGTTATTTTTAATTTTTCTTTAAAATGGTCCATATTATTTTCAGAGTTTTTGGCTGTCAACTCTGGAGGGTGGTCTCTTATGATGAGCACAAAAAACATGAATGCTTAACCATGCCATATTGGCTGATAATATTTCCCTGATAATTTCAACTTCATCATGACTTTCCTTTATAATTGGTAAAATGACTATCAAATCTTGGAGACTGAGTTTTCCTGTGCTCTGATCTGCAGCTACTTTGGGACATAGAGTTTATTGAGCGTACTTGACATTTATTATTTTATTTTCCCAATGACATAGTTGAGACGCATGAGCATTGATGCAATTCTATTAAGATATCTACTATTATATTATTTATAACTAGCAATTCTCATTTTATCTGATCGTCTCTCCAGCCTGTAATTATGCAAAAGGGAAATGGGTAGTAGATGATACCCGGCCTTTGTATTCTGGGTTTGGCTGTAAGCAATGGCTGGCACAAATGTGGGCCTGCCGGTTGATGCAACGTACAGACTTTGCTTATGAGAAGCTGCGGTGGCAACCAAACAATTGCCAAATGGAAGAATTTGAAGGGGAAAAGTTCTTGAAAAGGTATCACTGCATTCTTTTTTGTTTGAACGTAAGCGTATTATGTGTCAGACTTTTTCATGGTTTTTCAATATGGTCATGGATTACGACTTAAGATGAATTGGTTCTATCACTAGAAACCAACTTACTGTGCCCTGTACTTATGTATGCATTCTGGAGTGCATAGATTCCATCTATATATATATATCTCGAAATTGACTGTTTTTAAGTTCTGAGAATGGTAACCAAGATGTTTCTCCTTGAACTTACTTGTGGGATTTGGTTGGAGTTTGGAATAACAGAATGCAAATTGAATCTAAAGTAAACACATGAACAAGTGAGAAAACAGTTCTGGTGACACCTATACTGCTTTAGTTGGAAAATGTCAATGCATCCACTAACACGATTTCTCAGTATAATTATAGGTGTGATAATCTTAACTCTTAGCCTTGATTTTTAGGCAAGTCATGGTACAAATCAGACAGCTTTTTTGGAGGAATCTAAGTACTGTTTTGAATCATTGTAGGGTTTGTGGTATGATGCTCTTTTATTTGAGAGATAATATAATCAGCCTTGAGTTGTATGCCTGTTAGGATGAGCCTTCTGTGGTTCAGTAAGCATGAGCCAGACTTGATGTTTGCTTAATTTGATGGGAAGTACCATTAAATATGCATAAGCCAATGCCTGAGTTGATGTTCACTTCAGATCTAACTTGAATACCAGGCTTACTACTTGATTTTGATAAAAAGTGCTGTCATTAACTTGTTATAATTTGCCAACTCATTAGTTTATATGCTAAAAAGCACCCACTATCTTGCAATATGTCTGCGTGTTGACTATCTCCATTCCTTGCTTTAAAATATGCATCTTTTTGTCTGATCTTATGATCATTGAATTGACACATGTCAGGATGCAAGACAAGACTCTAGCTTTTGTTGGAGATTCATTGGGCAGACAGCAATTCCTGTCCATTATGTGTATGATCACAGGGGGAAAGGAGAGGCATGATGTCATTGATGTGGGACATGAATATGGATTTGTCAAACCTCACGGTGGTGTCCGCCCTAATGGATGGGCATATCGGTTTCCAAGCACTAATACTACTGTCCTTTATTACTGGTCAGCTTGCCTTTGTGACTTGGAACCTATTGATATCAAAAACCCACCCACTGATTATGCCATGCATCTCGATCGGCCACCTGCTTTTTTGCGCCTGTTTCTTCACAAAATAGATGTTCTCGTTCTCAACACAGGGCATCATTGGAACCGAGGGAAGCTTAGGGCAAATCGCTGGGTCATGCATGTGGGTGGTATGCCCAACACTAACAAGAAGCTGGCAATGATTGGAGATGCCAAAAATTTTACAATTCACAGCATTATCAATTGGGTGAATATGCAGCTTCCAAAAAATCCGCGTTTAAAAGCCTTCTATAGGAGCATCTCACCTAGGCATTTTGTTCATGGTGACTGGAACACTGGGGGAAGCTGTGACAAGACCACCCCTATGTCCATAGGAAAGGAAGTATTGCAAGATGAATCTAGTGATTATAGTGCTGGCCATGCAGTGAAGGGGACGGGGGTTCAGCTGTTGGACATAACAGCATTGTCCCAGGTGAGAGATGAGGGTCACATATCAAGGTATAGCATTACCGCCTCACCAGGAGTACAAGATTGCTTGCATTGGTGTCTCCCTGGTGTTCCCGACACATGGAATGAAATCCTTTTTGCACAAATTAGTGACATATCTCAAGTGCAGAATGAATAATTGTTGATAGATATTATTTTAAGAAAATATTATTCTTTTTCAGTGGATCACCATCATACTATGGAGAAGAAAAGGTTCGCTGATCTCATTAACAGAGTTTCTCATTGGATTTTATCCGCTGAATTTTGACACATGGAGAAATTTCTATTAGTTAGTTCTCATGGTAGATCGTTGTTATTGTAGAAGTAGCCTCTTAGGCATAAAGCTCATCTGACCCGATTCCTATGTGTTATAATGTTGCACTTCTTTCAGAATTAAAGCCGCTGGATAAACTGCAGCTACATTTGTACCCCAGACATGGCAGAAAGTTAAGGCATTTTTATAATTTCTGCAAATATAGGGTCATATAGGAGGAAGAGGGAGAATAAGCAGAAAAAGTGTTTTGGGAATTTTGAATTGATGTAATTGATTGTGCAAATGCAAGTAAAAGTCCACATGATTGCAATGTATACCGTTTGAGAAACTTACCTATGATATTCTTTCATCATACGACCATAAATGAAACAATAATTGCAGTCTTTTTCTTGTTCCTTGATCTCATTGATGTGAAAAAGAATTCCCTTTTGATGCCTGTTGGTGCTTTATTTCCTTTTCCTACATATTACTTTTTGCTTTGGATTTGAAAAAGCTGTGCTGGTTGTGTGTATGGTGTTGTAGTTACTAAGCAAAGGGACATGTGATTTGCACCTAGCGGTAGCAGGTAGGTAAAATCCTTCTCTTTTGCATGTCTCGCGTGGTGCATTCGATGGCTGAGGAAGGTTTGTTCAATGTGGACCGCTCGTTGACATGCTCTTTTCAGATTTTCCACCTAAAACCGATTAAAAAACATTCAATTTTATATTTCTTTTGTAATATTTGCCAATTACTATTAATTTTTTTAGAAAAGAGAGCACCCAACATATAATTATTTGAATATAAAAACAAAATTGCTTTAAAATTAAAAATGCGCAGTTAATTAACTATTTGATTTTGATAATAAGGGCCTTTGAAAGCAAATTTGAAGGGTACAAAATTTCAATTCAGCGTCCCTGTTCCATCCACGTCGCCGATGATCAATTAACAAGCCATCAAATCAAAATCATATCAAAGGTAGTGGATAAGCATAAAGGTGATTGATGAGCAAAAGGTTCCTGTATCCTTTTCTTTGTCTACATGTCTGTAACGATCTCACGACAACGACATCTGAATGGTTGCCACGTTTGCTATACTAAATGTTGCTTTTTAACGATCTTTTCTATACAACAGCCTGTCGCGTTAACGTTACAATCTTTCGATTCCCCATACAGTTGTTTTATTAACTGCCAACGGCCTTTACCCAATGCAATCAGTAGTCGGCAACTTACGTGTCTCTTTCTCATTGGCTAGTCGAAGAAAAATAATGCTGACTCAGCTCGAGCGTAACGAAATGGGCAAAAATAAAAGAATAATAAATAAAATAAACTTGCCTAGACATTCAAAAAAGAATGCAAGAGTGAATGTGCCATTTACGCCATTTGCGTGAAGAAACCCAGCTCAGAGTGATTCTTTACTGTTTGTGTTTATAGGACTTATCCTTTTTAATTTCTTCGTATCTCGACAAACGAACAACGATAAAAGTTTGCTTCTTTTTTTCTTTTTTTTTTTTTTGGAAGAGGACATATCGAATCAATGGCTGACGAATTTGGGAAAGCCGTGGAGGATGGTCTCAGGCTCGCAAAGAGGTTATACTTCGGCAAGGACAGGGCCGTGGCGCCGCCTAAGCCGCTTCTTTCAATGGAGAGATCCGTCGATGACTACCTGCCAAAGGCGCCTATGGTTTACGCTGTGATTTTTGATCCAGCTATTGTGGATAATCCAGATATGGCGAGTTACCAGCCTCACGTGCACGGGAGGTGTGATCCGCCTGCGCTCATACCGCTCCAGATGAACCGGATAGAACTCGAGGCCGATTCTTATTTGGATTCTGTTATTGTTCGTTTAAGCGGATCCTGGCGGGTCCATTGCGTTATGGGCAGCAAAAGCTCTGATTGCCGTATAGCAATTCCAATGGGCGAGCAGGTGTGTATATTGGTTGAATATCACAGAAATTATTTCACATAGTTATGGTTGTTTAAGTGCTTGAATTTTGCTCTCTTGTTTTTTTTTTTTTTTTTTTTTTTTTTTTTTTTTTTTATTGGTTGAATATCACAGAAATTATCACATAGTTAGGTTGTTCTAATGCTTGAATTTTGCTTCTCTTTGTTTTTTTTTTTTTTTTTTTTTTTTTTTTTTTTTTGTCTGTCTCAAGCAATATATTATTTGGCTAACAGGGTCTCAATTCTAGGTTCTTTGAGGTGGATTTTCCTAAGAAATTCTTACCTGTACTGAACTGATTGCAATGGAGAATAAAAAGGATTATTGGAAAGGAATGCCGACTGAAAATGGTTTTTTTTTTTTTTTTTTTTTTTTTTTTTTTTTTTTGTGTTGTTCTCAAGCAATATATTATTTGGCTAACAGGGTTCAATTCTAGGTCTTGAGGTGGATGTTCCTAGAAAGTCTTACTGTACTGAACTGATTGCAATGGAGAATAAAAAGGATATGGAAAAGGAATGCCGACTTGAAAATGGAGGCTTTTTGACTCCCCATATATTTACCTTCACAATACCAAAAGTGAGTACTTTTTAATTGAGGGTAGCTAGTTACTAATTTTCTCTTATAAAGTTTAAACTATTTTGTTCTGAAGCATTTCTCTTTTGGTCCGTCAAGGTTGATGGGGGCTCCAGTCTTTCTATTAATGTTACCTGGATTCAGAAATTATCCTATCGCAATGGGGAGTTCTCCTTGAATGTGCCATTTAGTTTTCCTGAGTACGTAACTCCTGCTGTAAAGAAACTACCCAAAAAAGAAAGGATACAATTTAATGTGAACTCTGGTACTGGAAGTGAAATTGTTTGTAAGACGACTAGTCATCCTCTGAAGGTGCATCTTGGGCAAAGGTTACATTGCACTAAATTTTAATTGTTATATATTAATGGCTGATTCCATCTAATTTTGCTCGTTCCAGCAATTCAAACGAGAAGCAGGGAAAATGGGTTTCTTGTATGAAGCAGATGTTCTCACTTGGACAAATGTTGACTTTGCTGTCTCATATTCTGTAAGACTCGTGTCATTTTATTTGTTACTGCGAAACTTTCTGGCTTATCCAATGATGGATTCTTGGATGTTAAATCCATGTATGTGGAGATCCATGAGCATCTTTGGAAGTGGAAGTGAAAGTGTTATTTGTATGTATTGATCAACTTTTTCGTAATTCTACTATATTTGTTGCTTATTTAGGTTTCTTCAAATCATATATTTGGTGGTGTGATTTTGCAATCCCCATCTGCCCTCGATGCTGATCAAAGAGAAATGTTTTGCGTCTATGTTTCTCCAGGAGATGAGCCAAGCGGGAAGGTTAGTCTAGCATTTGCTTTATTTGATATGTGTAGTTTTAACCATCTTCTTGTTTAATCTATTCTATCTTAACAAATCTGGTAGGTATTCAGAAAAGAGATAGTATTTGTTGTTGATATAAGTGGAAGCATGGAAGGAAAGCCGCTTGAGGGTACAAAGAATTCAATATCAGGAGCTCTCGCCCAGCTTGGTTCAAAAGATTCATTCAATATTATAGCTTTTAATGGAGAGACGTATTTATTTTCTTCATCAATGGAGTTGGCCACGGAGGAAACAGTGGAAAAGGCTGTTGAGTGGATGAATGTAAACTTTATTGCAGGGGGAAGTACAAATATCTTGCTTCCCCTAAATCAGGTCATTTCTCCCTCGTGGTTTTTCTGCTATATTTTAGATGTGTGTGTGCATGTCAACTAATAGAAAATAGAAAAAGAAAACGATGTTAATATCCTATGTAGCATTAGCTGGACTTAGAGTTGTAAAACTTGATGTATTTCTGACCTTTTTGACCAATCACTTCTAAAATCTAAAGCAAATTAGTGAATGGTGCTTCCAAACTGCTGGTTTTGGGTGATTCTAATTAGGCTTTATTGCATTTGGTACCTGATTTTTCTCAAAATTAGCTTGCTTGAACTCGATATTATTTTTTGGCATAAATTCTAAGTGGGAGATGGGGGTCTTTTAGTATATTTCATTTACACTTGTTCTTTTAGCCCCTATGGACTTGCCTGACAAATCAACTTGTATGTCCCACTGAAAAAGAAAAGTAAAAGTGTATTAAAAAAAATTGTTCCTTTTTCATGCTTTCAGGCAATGGAGATGGTATCAAATACTCATGCTTCATTTCCTGTCATTTTCCTTGTCACTGATGGGTCTGTTGACAATGAAAGACACATCTGTGACTTAATGACAAATCACCTAACTGGAAGAGGATCAATATGTCCACGTATTTACACTTTTGGCATAGGTGATGGCTTCTTCTTTCTTTCTTTCTTTCTTCTTTTTTTTTTTGGCTTCAAATGATTGTATTGTCGGCATATCACCACTCACCTTAAACTCCTTCCGTCACCAACCCACCGTTCAATGGGAAAATATTTATTATTTCTGCTTGCTTTTAATGATTCTTCTGATTGTTTTCAATTAAATTTGCATAATGAAAAATTACAGGTACATACTGCAATCATCATTTCCTGTGCATGCTTGCAATGATTAGCAGGGGCCAATATGATGCTGCTTACAGTGTAGGTTAGTTCCATAATTGGTTTAAGTTTTCTTTTCTTCGCCTGGGAGCTTTCAAGCACATTTTTCTATTCTCTTCCCTACTGCTTTTGGTTTTCACATGGGAGATGTGAGGTTGCTGCATGATATAGTGATGTGAAGTTATGGTTACTGGATGTGGTGAACAACCTAATTTGAACTGAAATATCAGGGAAATTTCTGACATGAGTTGAAGGTCTATAAATCTTTGAAGCGAGAATTAAACTGGGTCCTTTCCATCATTGGTAGTTGATAGGCATGTTATCCGATATAAGATTTTCAGCATGTGCACAAAGATCGAGGCTGTCCAGTTTTGAAGCATGTTACAGCTCATTACCCCTTTGCAGGAGAACATAATCAGACTCACCATAATACAGTGGTGCAAAATCCTATGCTTTTTTGGTTTAGTCTTAGAACAATAATAACCATGTGATCCTGCAACCCTAAAGTAGCGGCTAACTGGCTGTTCCAACACTCTATAGGTTGTCCTTTTTATTTTGGGGGTTCTAACGCATCCAGATTTGTATCAAGTTTAATTTTATTCAATGCAAGTAAGGAAGTATTGCTAGATGACACGGGAAACACATATATCTAACACTATTCTTGTATTAATACTACTTACGATTTTGTAATTTTTATTTGTTTGTGGCCAGATTCAGTTCAGTCTCGACTGCAAAAGTTTTTCAGCAAAGGCCTATCACCTGTTCTTGCAAACATAACGCTCGACACATTTGATGATCTTGATGAAGTTGAGGTACATTGCAGATTATTTTTTTTGGTTTAGCCTCAACAAGACAATGCAGTTCCTTCCATGCTTCTGTTTTATCAACAATTTTAGTTGCTTTTCACTTGCCTGCTTCATTTTTTGCATTGAATAATACTTCCACAAGAGGAAAATGGATGATAATGTATGTAAAAAGCATGGTTTTTCATCTGGCTGATTTTATTATCCAACTGATATGAATTTAATGTTTGATCTGAATCTGCAATCAATTATGCAGGTGTACCCTTCCCGTATTCCAGATCTTTCATCAGAAAGTCTCTTGATTATTTCTGGGAGATATAGAGGAAACTTCCCAGAAAATCTTAAAGCTAAAGGCGCTTTAGGAGACCTGAGTAATTTTGTCATAGACTTGAAAATACACAAGGAAAAAGACATGCCTTTTGAGCGGGTAAGAAACAACTGGAGAACTTGCTTTTTATTTTAATTCTGCTTGATATTTATTGACACGATTTCATTGTGTAGATTAGGAACATCTGGTGTTATTACATTGTTTTAATTATGACATGGAGCATGGCTACTCTTGCCTTCTAAATTTTGCATAGCTTTTGCTTGTGTTATTTGACTGAATGATGGTGATCTGTGTTATCCTCCTTTCACTTCTCGAGGCAATAATTCTACAAGTTGCCTATACGTTATTGCTTGACTTTATCTATTTGTTGATCTATAAAGGGTTTTCTTTTATGTTCTTGGTGTATTCTCTCTATTGTTCATACTTATCATATGCCATTTTCCATAAATAAGCTAAAAATTCTGTTTCAATTCATCATTTGACCTTATCCTTCAATGAGGATGTTTGTAGTTTGTCTTTTTAAAAGCCTGTATTGAATACTGCATTTCATGTAAATTGCTTTAAAAAAGTTCTGATATAATTTCTGTTCTACGACAGATTTTTGCAAAGCAACAGATTGATCTACTCACAGCCCAGGCATGGTTTTCAGAAAACAAGAGGCTTGAGGAGAAGGTTTGTTTCCGGATTTGTTGCTTTTCTCTTCTTCTTTTTCTTCTTATTATCCAATCTGGATAACGTGTGGGAACAAAGGGAATGGAAGTAAAGTTTGATCAATGCAGTCATGTAGATATCTAAGAGTTCCAAGAAATACCAATTCTGAAGAGACTACAAAGCCTACAAGATTTTCTCGGCGAACATTTTCCCACTCTGGCAATCCTAACCCTGACCTCTTTGTTTATAAAACTCATGTGATGTTTTACCATGTTCTTTTGATCTTCAGAACGATTATCATAGGTCTACTTGGAAATACTTGGTTTTGCACTGCTGGTTGTTATCTCCATACTAGGAATGCTGCTGCGCACGTCTACTTATCCTGGCTAAAACTCTTCATTCTGTATAGAGGAAGTTACTGATGCTATTTCCACTTAATGACAGGTTGTCAAAATGAGCATACAAACTGGCGTTTTCTCTGAATACACTCGTTTGACATTGCTTGAGACTCAGAGAGGGAATCAAGCCACGGATTCACCCAGCACACGTACGGTAAGTACTGCCTCAGAATTTTACAGCTGTATTGCTGCAGTATATATCTTGTAAGTTAGAGACAATTCCTCGCAAACTGCCGATAATATATATAGCTCCAACTATATTTATTTCTTTTCCCGTAATTTTTTGCATGCTATTTGAACATAAAGTTAAGACTTCATCACTGATATACTTTTATTGGTCAATGCACGACTGAAAATACTTTGGCATCTGTCTGCTGTAACAACAGTCGGGCATGCTATACATCTGCATTTAGCTATTCATTTGAACATGACATGTTAAACATGTAAATTTTTGTGCAGCGTTTTCTTTCCTTCTTTTCTTCTTTTTTTAGTCTGATAATAACCAAGTGTACATATTACTGCCGGCTTGTTCAAAATTCATGTAAGCAGTTATTGCACAAAGGTGATTCTTCAAAGGTGGACTCTCAAGGCCGGAAAAGAATATTACTGCAAAACCTGGGAGTTGGCTTTGGGAATTTGGCTGCAACTGCTGAAAACATTCCTCCTGGAATTGAAGAACCGAAGTTGCCTGAGGCTGCTGAAATCATCATTAAGGCAGCTTCAAATTGTTGTGGCAGGATATGTAGTCATTGCTGTTGTATGTGCTGCATCCAGTGTTGCTCCAAGATAAATGACCAATGTGCAATAGTATTAACACAGTTCTGCGCTGCTCTTGCATGTTTTGGCTGCCTACAGTGCTGTTCAGATCTGTGTTGTTGTGGAAATGAAGGACAATAAGCAATTGATCACAATGAGTTTCATTAAACACTGTATATTAAAGGGTATAGAATAGAGAATTGTTTAAAGCACTATCCCTTATCCATTCATTCTGCCCCAAAACGGCATATTGTACAATAATTAACTTATTCATGGCTAACTCAAAGCCTATTGCTGTAATAGTTCCTGCAACTTCGTTGTATACTAGACTGTGATGATAGTGATTGTTCAATGTACTTCACAAGTGAAAACTGAGACACTTGAATGGATTCAAGCTGAGAATGATCTATCATGCCATGAATGTGTCAAAGACAGTTCGATTTTCAGTTTCAGTCTTCATAAAATTGTCCTAAACATATGCCTTAAAGAGTCATTTTACTCAAAATTTTACACAAATAAATAGAAAACAAAGTTTACTCAAAGATAGCAAGCATTCGTTCTATTTTATCGACAGCAAGCATCATGCAACAGAGAATCAAAGAAATGATTGGCAGCACCACATACGATTAGCAATTAGAACACTAGCAGCTATAATTGTATTCTGGTCCTCATTGCACATCATATCCATCAACAGCCTTCAGAGTTGCTATTCTTCTGTATTTTCCTTTTCAGATATCAATTTCTACTATTTTTCTTCTTTTCTTGAAAGATCAACGTCACTTCCAATTTCGATAAGATTTTCTTTGACATGATCTTCTAGTTTTAACTCTGATTTTTCCCTATCATCTGAACTCTCTTCTCTTCGGTGAAACGTCTCCTGGATCTTTATCACACCCTTCTCTACAGGCCGTATTGCTTGATTTATTGTTAAGACAACATCCTTGACAACCTGCGAAGATATATATATATATATGAACTCGAAATCCAAAGAAGCTGACATTTTCCATTTCAAGAGAATTACCGATTGACTTCCTTGAAAGACAATATCCTGGACGCTCTCAGTGACACTCGTACCAGGAGCCTCAACCTGCATATCTTTCTTTTCAAGCAGGGAAAGCTTCTTCTTTTCACCTTCCTCCGACTTTAATTCTGTTTTGGTTGTTTCAGCAGCAACCCTTCCATAATCAGAAGCAGGAACAAAATGATATGGTTCTGTTGAAAATATGAATACATGGGCAACGGCTGCAATAGTCATCTGACAAGCCACATGAAGATGTATTATGATACGTATCAGGTAATCACAGTTTGGCAATGAATTTTCTGGACATAAATCCCTTGAAAACTGACATCATTATTTCTAGCACTAGCTACAATTGAAGATGGTAATGAAATGTCTGTTTCAGAATCTAATAAAAACTTACTTCTATACAAATTAAAAAATCCTGCAACCCTTTTCGAAATTTTCCCTCATCGGGCAAAACTCCAGAAGCACACAGTAAAGCAATGCCCACACCTTGCCACCAGGTAGCAAACACAATAGCCTTGAAGCTGATGAACTTTGCAAGCGGCTTTATTGGTTTAAGTCTTTCGTGCAGCACGTTATAGAACTGCACAAGACAATACAATGCCCACATTTGACTGAAGTTCAGTACAGCTGCTATATATGGATATCTGCAGATTTTTCAAAAAGTTTCAAACCAGAGAAAATGATATTTCAGCAGATTTTTTGAAAAAGTTTCGCTGAAAAAAACTAACTAGGAAAAGAGAGTTTAAATGTGCATACCCATAGTGCCACTTGAATTCCCCATCGCCATAGACCCCAAAAAGCTCTAACAAGAATGCCAAGGATGCACAAAAGGTCTTTAGAATCATCTGAAATAACAGAGAGCTACCATTAGAATCCAGATAAGGTCACAAAAGATAGTACATATATATATAAATGGAAAAGTTTATAGCTTTTACTTACATACTGCACAAGGCCAAATTTTACTATCGTAAATACATAACTCCCGATGATGTATGGCTTGCAGAGAAAGCTGATACAAGACCTTTCTCTTTGACCTTGGTTCTCTTCTGATCCTTCTACCAAAGGTTGGCTGCGACCAAAACATTTTTGTTTTTCATTTTCAAGAAGTTCTACGACTCTCTTTTCGCCGCCTGAAATAAGAATTTGGCACAATACCAACTCAAATGACAATCTTCTCAGACTAATATCACAGATAGATCAGCATGTAGCAAAGTTCTGATAAGAGGGTATTATTTAAAGCATATAGGAAGAGAAATATTCCTTAAGTATTAAAGATTAATCATGAAAATAAAGAAATAACTATAGCTTACCTAAACAAGCAACCAAATAGCTACCAAATGCATACAAGGCAAAAGCTTCATAGCAACTCCTTAAAATGTCACACAAAAAAGACAACCTTTGGTTCCACAATGAGATAACCTATAAAAGCCAAAAACGAATACAAATCAAAACGAGATGATTCAACTATAATATGCCTCTCATTACTAGAGATAGAGGCCTTACTGACTCAGAAGCATAGACAGGAACCATGAAAATGACCGCAACAATCCATTTTTGTTCCTGGAAAATACTAAATAAAAGATTTAAATGGAAAAATAACAACACGATTAATTATAATGATTATACAATGAAGTTTAATTTTCTAGATGAGAAAAAACAAACTGCAGGATTGTTGTATGATCTGAGATGTTGGAATATGAGGAATACGGAAAGTACTACTGCGACAAGTGCAAAGCATCCTCCAATAATAATAGCTGGTTGCTGCAAATCTTTATATTCTGATGCCATTAGTTGCTGATGATAATCTTTCAACCTAAACACTGCAACAAGATAATCAGAAACAACAAAATAAATTAAAAATAAAACTCGATATGACAATGTTTAGTTTGTTCAGACTAAAAACCAAGATTCATTTTCAGTTCAGGAATTGACTGAAAACAAAAAGAGAACTGCCATAATTTATTATCTGCAAAAAATTAATTAAGCACCGAATCGAAATTTTTTTTTTCTTTTTTTGGAACAAGATTCTGGTCACGTAGTAATGAAACTTAAACAAACATTAACGAGTGACTAAATATTTGTTTTCCCCTGATTATGAAACCATGATTCATGAGCTTCATCTGCTAAACTGAAAATGAGAAGAAAAAGAAGAAAAAAACGTCATCAGTTGGGCGGGATTTTATATAACTGCTGGCTTTTGAAGTTGACACGTGCTGCCAGGCAGACTTTAGCAGTTACATTCAAGACACGTGGTTTTCTATCGTGGATCAACTATGTGAAGAATGTTGGATTTATTAATATATATAAAATAATAATAACAAATCCACTAGTTTTTGTTAATGTCTGAGCAACAAATTTTTTGCAACACGATCTAATCTATTATTTCGTCACCAGCTTCTGTAATTTTAATTTAGTAAGGAAAATTAATTCAATTTAATGTTATAAATTCCTTTTTTAAAGTTACAGTTTCATTTCGAACTCTAAATATAAATCACCTTTAAAATTTAATATAGAGTTATTTATCTTTTAAATAAATCTATAAAATATTATATTTTTAAATAGACAGGGATGAGTGCACAACGTCCATTTTGTAATTTTTTTTACTGTTAAATTAAAAAGAAAAAGAAATACTGTAAGAGCAGGAGTATTGTTGCAAGTTAATACGAGTTAGTTTCCCATTTAGGAAAATTGCCAAATATAGAGTAGACAAAAACCTTGAAACCCTAAAATCAAGAATGGCTTCTGTAAAAGTATTCACATGGTTGATTAGAATAATTTTTTGTCTGCAGTGAAATTTCAAATAGGTCTTTTTTTTCCTAAAACTTACTAATTAATGTCTCGGAGAAAGACACCATTACCATGAAACGCTCTACCATTATTCTGCATCTCGATAAACTTCGACAAGCTCAACTACATGGCTACGGTTCCTATTTCCCATCAGCCCACATGCTCTAAACAATAATATTCTTTCTCGATTTTGCTCTTATGTAAAATCAATTTTTTTTAAAAATAAATATATGTTAAAATAAATAATTCATTATTAATTAAATTTAAGAAACAATATTACACATAATGATTCCGATTATTCTACTAATAGTCGAACATTAAACATAAAAATGCATTTATTAAGAAAATAATACGTGACGATGTTATTGTCCAAAAGTATTTTGGACCACCCAAAACCAAAATTTTAGAAGGGTATTAATTATTTTCCACGAAAATAAATGGTACGGATATTAATGATTTTTGTGACCCACAATCTAAAAACTCGACTACGAAGTTTCTCCGTATACAAGAATGTTCATGGACCACATATATGATGACAAATGTCCACCTTGACTATATGATGCCATTATTCTCCAATCCAACGGCCAGGGTTTAACTGCTTAAACATGATACGATCCTAGTTTACAACATAATCTTGGGGATAATTGATATTTAAATTAGAAAAAGTAACACAATTACCAATTAATTATCTTGTATTCGAAAAATTTCTAATTCTATTATGAATGTATATTCGAATTATCTATCTACAGAGAGAAATCTATGGTGAGATTTCTCAAACTAGAAAAGAAGAGAGTGGCAAGAATATATTACAACTTCAATATTTTTATAACAATTGATTTTTCCCATGAAAGAAAATACTATAAATAAATAATTGATCCCAAATGTTGGCTGTTAGTCAATAATTTAATTAAAGTAGTTAAAAACAAAAAAAAGAAGGATGGTGAGAAATTTGTCGTGGAGAGACCATGGCCTTAGAGACACGTGTTGGTCTTGTCCAGTAATATTATTCCAATCTTCACAAGTACAAGTGCACAAAATAATTTACATGTGTGAGCCACGGAACCTCCACGTGCATTGGACAACTTCACGTGCCAAGCTGTTACCCCCATCCCCATGTATCCAAATGGAACCATCCATCATCAAATCAAACAATAGTTGATGTGTAGGCCAAGCCGAAAGCTTTAGATTTGTGGCTTTTGTATATATGACTAATATTGTGCCATTATTCTCCAACTCCAACTGGCCCAGGGTTTAAACTGCTTTAACATATACGATCCTATTACAAAACATAAATCTTGGGATAATTGATTTATTTTAAATTAAGAAAAAAGTTAACACAATTACCAATTAATTATCTTTGTATTCGAAAAAATTTCTAATTCTAATTATGAATGTATATTCGAATTATCTATCTACATGAGAGAAATCTATGGTGAGATTTCTCAAAACTAGAAAAGAAGAGAGTGGCAAGAATATATTTACAACTTCAATATTTTTATAAGCAATTTATTTTTCCCATGAAAGAAAATACTATAAATTAAATAATTGATCCAAATGTTGGCTGTTAGGTCAATAATTTAATTAAAGTAGTTAAAAAACAAAAAAAGAAGGATGTTGAGAAATTTGTTCGTGGGAGAGACCATGGCCTTAGAGACACGCTTGTTTGTCTTGTCCAGTAATATTTATTCCAATCTTCACAAGTACAAGTGCCACAAACACAATAAAATTTTAATGTGTGAGCCACGGAACCTCCACGATGCATTGGGACAACTTCAGTTGCCAAGTTGTTACCCCCATCCCCATGTATCCAAATGAAACCATCCATCATCAAATCAAAACAATAGTTGATGGTGTAGGCCAAGCCGAAAGCTTTAGATTGTGCTTTGTATTAATTATAATATATATATATATATATATATATATATTATTAGCAATTCACTATATAGCAATTCACTGGAGTTTATTGATTGTAACTTTTTAAAAATGTTCTTATTTATATTTTTATATAATATCAAAGGTAAGATTACAAAATCCACCTTAATAATGAGTAACTCTAGATTAAAAAATTATCATTTTGTCAGTCCAAATTAAAAACGAAACAGATTTTAAAGGCTGCAACGATGTTTGATTGGATAAAGGAATAAAATTTTTTAATTAACATATTAATAGACTTAATTTAAGCATTAGAATATTAATGTAGTATATAATTATATTATGGTTTGTTTGAAATTATTGATGTTAAGGCCACTATAAAGGAAAACAATTTGTCCAAAGTATTGACTAAAGATAACTATACTAAATTTCATTTGGTACGTTAAGAATTTCCATAGGAAAAGAAAATTTATTAGGGTTTAAATTCCTAACCCTCAAAAAATGGGGTAGGATTCATATCCCGTTTTTTGCTGCTAGAATTCCTAAATCCCTAATCTTTTTTGTATGACAAATATGCTCGATCAATGTCAAGATAAATGTAACTTCAAATGAAAAAATAGAGTAAGATTCGTATTCTTTTTTTTTTTTTTTTTTTTTTTTTTTTTTTTTTTGCTGAATTGCTTTCGTAGAGATAGTTTTTAGTCATTTTAATTATCAACTTGCATAATCTGGGATTAGGATTTGTTATGTACAATGAATTTTTCCATGCATGATCTTCAATTCATGGATTGCACACTTTATAGGTTCTTTTTTTTTTTTTTTTTTTTTTTTGCTGGAATTGCTTCGTAGAGATAGTTTTAGTCATTTTAATTATCAACTTGATAATTGGGATTAGGATTTGTTATTGTAAATGAATTCCATGCATGATCTTCAATTCAGGGATTTGCACATTTATAGGTCAAAAGATACTGTTCTTTTCCAAAAAAAGTTGAATTATATTGTAAAAATGTGGTGTTTTTCCATTTGCCCATCGGTTTAACACGAGCAGCATTTTTAGTATAGGATTGTGTTGTGAACTACTAGATCTGATGGTTTTCAGGGATTTGTCACCCTAAAAAGTTACAAGAAGATTTATTTACTCCTCAGGAGAATCTTCACTCACCAACTATAGTTCCAGTATTTTCAAAAATGAATTCACCACTCTACTATTTTTACAGGAATTACCTTGCTGTAGAATTACGGGCTTAATATATCAAGAGGCCAAGAGCCAAACATTTGTGTGCACGTCACAAGCAAAGCTTACAGGGTTTTGTGGGGAAAATTGGGTTGATCAGAAGTGGTGGTCGTGGTGGCCGGTTGTCCGGTTAGTGAGGGACATCCCCACTGGAACATGGTCTGTTAATCTCCCTACTCTGCAGGCTGGCTCTTTACCTCTTTTTCTATTTTTTTATTTATTCTTAATTCCTCCTTTTTTTGCTAATCACTCAGTTTTTTGGATGTCGGGGCAGCCTTTTCTAATATCCATGTCCAAGCTATTTCCAATAAGGAATACAAAAAGGATATATATATATTTGTCCAAAAAGGTCTTGTTAATTTTGTTTATGTCCAAAACTCTACGACTACAGTTAATTTTCGATTGTAATAAAGTTAAATTTGTCTCTTTTAATCTTTAATCGAAATTTCAAATCTCAACAAATCTTGTAAACATGATAAATTTAAATGAGCCGAAAAGAAATTAATTTGATTTGCAACACTAGCTTATTTACCTCTAAACAAGAGAAAAAAGAGATTTAAGGTAACTTCCTTTTATTTTTTATGTGGCGAATAAATAAATTTAGATAATGTGGAAATAAGCAAATGCAACAAAATAGAGGGAAAAAGACATTAGTAGTTGGAGCAAAGGTGACAAATAGATGGTGATAAGGCACATAAAGAGAGAGAGAAAAGGCGGCAAAAGTGAAGTATTTTGGGAACTTGAACCGATAGCACTGGCACTTACCATCTTGTCTACGGAATTTATCAAATGCCTCAGCTCTATATAACTCTCCTCCTCTTAAGTTCTTACTGGCTTCTGGGATCTGTGTATGCAACAATTTTTATTTCTTTAAGCCCACTTAAATTCTCACTTGCAACTTCACCACCAAATGAAGGCATGAGAAATTAATTACTCATTACTCTCTGGTTAGTAACAATTTTTTAATTTTTGTATTTTTTAATTAATTAGTTATTTCTCCTATAATTGTAGATATTCGGTTGGATGCAAAACAAGCTCAATGCCAAGCTTGGCTCCAAGAAACAAAATTCTATCTCAGTTAACAGTAAGCTCACATCCTTTTTTCTTGCCTGTAATTAATTGATCTTGTCCAAGATTCTGCAATTCTAATCGATGTTTGCTTGAACAGATAATAGACTGCAAGAATCTAAGAACGGAGAATTCAGTGATTGGCCTCATGGATTGTTGGCAATAGGAACTTTCGGAAACAAAGAAATAAATAAAGATTGCAAGTCTGATATTACTACTAACTATGTTCAGGAAAATTATATATCCCTAGATCATATGCAAGAACTTACTCTTGAACAAGTAGAAAAACTTGAAAAAGAGCTAAACTTGTTATTGCATAAACAAGTTGGATCAGCTCCTGATGATACAGAATCTGATACTGCTAATTCTAAGCTTGCATTTGATGACAAAATAAATGAGAATTACGATGAGGGAAGCAGTGTAATTATTGGCAGAGGGAAAGGAACATGTGTGGATAGTACAGGCAGTGCAATTAACAAAAAGTCGTTCTCTTTTCTTTTGAAGAAAATGCTTGGTTGCAGAGGTGGATTTACACCTACACTTAATCTAAAAGACCAGGTCCCGGAGTCCAGAATGGAAAAGGTATGAAATTTTCATATAAATAAACTAAATGCAGTCATTTACGAACGAATTCTATAATTCAGATTCGTTTCTGCAGATATTGAGGGCAATAATTCACAAGAAAATATATCCTCAAAATCCAAGTTCATCTTTGTTTACCAAGAAATACTTGGGGAATAAAAAAAATAAGTCCAGTAGGTCTGCCATTGCAAGAGAGGAAGATGAAATAAATCAAAAGGATGATAAGGGAAGTAAATGGGTCAAGACAGATTCTGAATGTAAGTTTATATTGATATTTACATGTAAATTTTAGATATCTAATAACAATCTGATATTTCTTGACATCATTTTCCAATTGCAGATATAGTTCTGGAGATATAATTCCAGTTGTGAAGATTAAATGGTAACAATAAGATGTTATTTCAGTTCCTGATATAATTAACTATATCCCAATTTTGATTTTAAGCTAAACTATTTTGCAGAGATGAACAGTTGAACCTAATCATTGAAGCAAAATTTGGCTGTGCTCTTTCTCCAGGAAAAATGAAAATTCCAGGAATTATCTGATATGGTCCAAATGAGTGAACTGTGTATATGCATGATGAGGATATGTCCAACTGTCCATATCCCGTGCTATTACCTAACGCCTCTGACATCTAATGTCATGGTTGGCTGTGTGTGTGGTGCTAGCACAAGGTCTATTACACTCCATTCATATTTCTAAGTTAGTTATATATATATATATATTCAATATTAACTATAGGTCGAATTTTTTTTCTTTTTCCTTTTTTTTTATTTACCTTTAAGGTAATTTATACTCTTTTCTTACCAAGGTAGATCCCACATACAACTTCTTTATGAAGTCACTCCAAATGTATTACTGCTGATAAAAGAAAGATTGATTTAGTGACTTGGTGGAGGTTTAGCCAATGTTTGAAAGATAATATATTCTCGTCTTTTTAAGGAAATTCCTACTTCTTTTCTTTAATAGTGAATCCCTGTTATGCAATTGCGACTTTAGGAGAATGAATTATAACAAGTTCAGAAGAAGAAAGCATGATAAATGGCATAAAAAAATCATGTATTCAATTTGGAAATTCTTAAACTTTAATAGCTTTGCAGGTCAAATTTTCATAAATTGTATTGATTTGATGCCTTCACTTTCATTAAGAACAAAATGTTAACCCTGAAATTAAAACCTTATTTTATGAGTCTGTCCAACAATCAAACCCTAATCTTTTTTACAAGACAAAGGTTCACATATTTTCAATGATGGACAAGACCGTTTTCTAGATAAATTCTGTATTGTACACTTAGCAAAATTACTGATCTTTAATCAAATTTTTAATGTCATAAATGAATGTATGAAGAGGGAGATTAGATTATTATGAGCTAGGTTTACTTTCTACAATCTAAATTGTAAAAGCCCAAAAATTAAAATGTTCCAAACATGACATGTTGACATCCCATAGGAGCGGCACTGGCACCCAACTGTTCCTTTAAAGGGCCATTTCCCTTTGTCCTCGATTAATTTAATATAATATAATATCGTTTCTAATCTGGCACGCGTCAAGATATAATTAACTGTTCACAGCGCCTGATGACAGATATTAGTATTAACTTGAACGATTAACCCCTAAACAGAGAGCAGATCTCATCTGATCTGGGGCACACAGCCCAATGATTGCAAAGCAATCCAACGGTCCATAACTTTTATGACAATAATTACAGCTTTTTAAATCTCATTTTCACAGAATCCCCTAATCAAAGGTCAAAGAGATGGGTTTAAAGTTTTAAACTTTATTGGATTTTAGTTGGTCACAGACCCATTTAATAAGAAAAGGGAAAGATGATATCTGTCCACAAAGGCTATTTGTCAAAAGTTGCAAACCTAACTCTTTTAAGAAGGTCTCATAAATTTGGTTTGCTTCTGCTCTGATTAGAGATAAAAAAGAAAAAAGGAACTTGTTTGGCCTTTGAAGGTGAAATTAGGGTTGGTGGTGGTCATTTGATTGTAGGGAGAAAGAAACGAGAGTTGTTGGGTGATTATTGTTGAGGCTTTGTTAAGAAGCCAATGCCAGTGGTTGGGTTGATATTTGAAGTAGGAAACAGAAGTGAGCTCGATGTCGTGGGCTGGCCCAGATGATATTTTTCTCTCCACTTCGCTTGCTAGCTATCTTGACAGTAATCTCTCTCTTTCTCTGAGACTGCGTTTTATACTTGTGTTTATATATCTTATGAGGTAGAAATAAGAAGCCGATGCAATTGGGCTGCTTTGGTTTTGAATTAAAAAACCTTTAACTTTGTGTCCTTTGGGAATTCTTTTTTCAATTGCTTCGTTAAGTTTGAGGTAATGGGTTTGTTTGCAATTCTGCGTTTATGGCGTTACTGTTTGATTTAGAAGTTGGAGTTTCCTTTATGCACATCTTTGCCCTGATATTCTATGTTAATAGTTATGCAAATATAATACGATGTTCACTTTCCTTGCAACCAACTTTATTTTTTCCTTTCTGATATGATTGTCAGTATGTGGATGGCCTCAAATAAACAGTGATTTTAACTTGGTACATTGGTACTGTTATATTCCATTTTAAATTAGGGCTTCGGCACAAGATATTTTTTTGGGACCTTGAAATGGTAGTAGAGTGGAGGGCATATGTCTATATTATAAAATACACAGGAGGTTAATCATGGGCATCCAATTTGCACAAGCCTTTTTGCTTGTGTTGTTTTCCATCTTTGCGGAAATGCTGAATGTTTTTGGCTTTACAAAGATTAAAGATTCCAAGGGCCCCGCTTTTTAACATCAGTAATGCCACAAGAAGTTATTCCAATCCATTGACAATTGCTTGCTTGTTGACACAAGACAGTCACCCTCTATAACTAGACACTTGACTCCTCAAAGTTTGATCCTTGTTGCAGAAAAGCTTCTCGTCTTGCTGCGAGATGGTCGTAAACTGTTGGGGATACTGAGATCTTTTGACCAATTTGGTAGTAATCCATTTCAAACAGTAAAATATTTTTTTTATTTGTCTTATTTTTCTTTCCCTTCTTTTGAACTTTGATTGCTGATGGAAATTTTATTTCCTGTGCAGCTAATGTGGTTCTTGAAGGTGCTTGTGACCGAGTAATAGTTGGAGACCTTTATTGTGACATCCCCTTAGGTCTATATGTAATTCGTGGAGAGAATGTTGTCTTAATTGGAGAACTGGTATTAAGTATCATCCTTTCCTTTGTGATACTATATCTGTCTACTGTTGTTGATCACTTCATCAAAAATTTTATCCTCTTTGATGCCATTTTATAGGACTTGGAGAAGGAGGAGCTTCCCTCTCATATGACCCGTGTGTCAGTAGCAGAGATTAAAAGGGTAAGATCGTGTAATGCTGATGAAATTGAACTCTTGAATACGCCAAAATTTTTTCTATGGCATTTTTTATGCACGTCTCATGGTTGAAGCCAGTACTTATGTAGCGCTTATGTTGTAGTAGAATAACGTCCTGTGAGGAATAGTTAGGGTCGTTTTTGCTGCCATGAGTTGATATTCTATATGTGCATGGGATATTAATATCAGATATTCTGCAGTGTTTTGAAACTTTGCAATTTAGTTCATTCTAGAAAACCGAACATGTCCTTTATTTCATTATATCTAGAGTCTAAACTAGATATGATAGGTTTAGACTCTGTTGACTCTTAAGGAAGCATGTTTTGTAATGGCTTTCTGAACCAAGCTTAATTCAAGCTTTTCAGAGCTAGCTTGAGTTTAATCTGGAATAAGTTTGCAAGTTAGCTCATTGGAAACAAGCTTGAGCTAAACAAAATTTATGAAATGGACTGCACCACTACCAAAATATTTCATCCTATGGTTGCATAGAACTTATTTAATGTGAACTATACTTTCTTTTATAAAGGAAAAATAACATTATTGTAGTTTTTGTTTGGAATGAGATCTGCAACCATGCTAATAAACACTAATGAGCCTAATAATGAGTTCGTTCGTAAGTTGTTGAGTTCAATTTAATTATAGTTTTGCTTGTTTTCCTAATGACATTTATTTTTAGGTTTGAGTTAATTTGTTAACAATAACATTGACAAAACCAAATAAGTTTTTATCAAGATTAGCTCTAAACAATTTATTAATGACATGATTTGTTTGCAGGCCTTATTTCCACATCAATTATTACATGTCTATTTGCTGTGTTATTTTGTTGTGTCAGGCTCAAAAGGCAGAGAGGGAGGCTACTGATCTAAAGGGCTCCATGAGAAAAAGAATGGAGTTCCTTGACTTTGATTAACAAATGATGCCATTATGTTTTAAGTTTATGCCATGTCCGCAAATATTAGAGCGGCGGTGATTCAGAAATTGGAGAGCTTGGCTTGAGTCTACAAGATTCTCACATTCAGTCTGTGGCTTGGGGAAGCTATAAAAACAGTAACAGTTGAACCTCCTTTGCTAAGTATGAGAGGAAATTGTATTTTGGATCTATTAAGGGGGCAATGCGCGTGGCTATGCTAGGCTCTTTAGTTTTAGTTCAAGATTTGGTTTCTCTCCTTAAGTTATACTAAAGATCATGTTCTATTTTTGCCTGTTGTTTCCCCTTCTTTTTTTTTTTTTTTCCCAATCCTCTCAGCTTTTCACTTCTCTGCTTAAAGCAATTGGGAAATTGCTTTAGTTTATCAAGTTGTGCCACATTTTGTTATTCGTGCTAATTTCTGTGATGTTTCACAAATCGATACAGTTGAATTCTCTTTTTTTAGTTTACGAGAAGAAGGATAATTTTGGACAAAACCAAATTATGAGTATTAATTGACCATAATCCTTAAATTGGAACGCCTAAATGGAATTTCATTCGACTCCGTTGGGTTTGCATTGCTGTTTTGGATTGCTGTTTTTAGTACTGAAAAAAAAAAAAAAAAAAAAAAAAAAAAAAAGAAAAAAAGGAAATTTGCCGCTTGAACAAGTTGAGAATTTCTTTTAGAGGGCACCTGAATTAGTGATACAAGTGTACGTTTGGCATGAGAAGCCAATGTTTGTAAAAAAAAAAAAAAAAAAAAGAAATTGCCGCTGACAAGTTGAGAATTTCTTTTAAGAGGCACCTGAATTAGTGATCAAGTGTACGTGGCATGAGTAAGCCAATGTTTGTTATCAACTGGTCAGTCATTAACGTTCCTCTTCTAACTTTATTTTCACATATCACATATAATAACAACAATATTTAATTAGCAATAACATTTATAATAACAAAACGACGGAAATATGAAAACAAAATGTCAATTCTCTAGAGTTTGTCATTTGTCAAAAATTCATCTTTTGACAGCATAACAGCGCAAGAAATTGGCATGTTCAGGGCCTTATTTAAATACAGATCAGTAAAACAAAGATCTCCAGGATATAAGAGCCCTGAAAATCTTTCAGATGGATAGTACACTAAAATTAAGGTTTATCTTCAATCTGCAAATGTGAGCAAAGATATGAGATGCTTGTGATTGGGAAACTGGGAAATGAGGTCAGAGCGTTTTGCCAGCTCAAAATCCTCAAACTGAAATGCAGGAGCACAAGTGCAGCCTACTAGGGAGTAGTGGCTCTCAGTGTCCCTGGGTGCAGCTTTGGCAACTGCACCGTCAGGGGAAAATACGTAGTCTTTGGTCGGAAATGCACCAAACCACACATTTGGAGGTACAGTGTATTGGGGTTGCTGGTTGTCTCCAGTTAGATCAGATCCAAGGCAGGTTAATTTGACCTGTCCGTTCTCATTCAGTTCCAACACCTGAACAGCGAATGATCCATTAGAAATAAGAGAGAAAAAAGAATATCAGCCCGTATTCTACTGATTATATTGTGAATTAAGAATAGTACATTCATTATAACGAAAGAAAAGTTTATTTCTATAACCTAAAAAGAATACGATAGATTACTCCTGGAATACATTCTTACCATTTAGGCTGAAAACTTAGCATGTGGAACTTGGTTTGAGGTCTCGCTGTGAAATTGCAAAGCCACATAAAAGGGAATGACATACTAATGAAACATGTCATCAAGTTTCTAATATCTAATTCAATTAAATAAAATGTGAATTAGATTATGTTCTCACTTTTTATGATTTCACATTTGGGTTACGCTGCAAGTTTATGAAACAATATTACAAAACAATTAGCGATTAATAACAACATCATAACATTTTCCATGTCTAACCGATAAGTAGAAGAAAAGTGCGTCCCACATAATAATTTGCCAATTATATTAGTGAAGTTAGATGATGGCCCATCAAATTACTTGGAAACTAAAATGGCCAGTGACCTTGGAATTTGTATGAAACACGAAAGAACCAATGGGTAGCCAATTCTACGCTGGAATTTAATGTGTTAAACTAAATCAGTTGTACCGTAATAGGTTCTCCCAAATAAAAATGCCAGGTTTCTGCACATGGGATTCGATGAAGGTGAGACACACTCCCAGCAGGAAGCAAGAAGTAGATAGCTGTGCTGACTGGACGACCAACCTTATCTGCAAAACAGGTACAGTGATATTATTGGAGGTTAATACATGAATGGCTCTGACATTAAATTACTGAAGGTTCAATTCGGTGTGTATTATTCAATAATTCACCCAACCAAATTATCCAAGGATCAATATATAGAAGCAAACTAGAAACCTATAAATGCAAAACAACCCAAAAATATAAAAGTTAATAACTTTTTGCCACAAGTTTATCAATTTTTCCCGCTCAATTAAAATCCAGTTCAGTTCTGCTTGGCTGCGCAGACACAACCTAAAACCAAAATTATGCAGAGTTAATTCTATTTGGAATTCCACTTCAATGCAATCTAGCATCTCGAGCTAGATCCCTTTCAAGTGTCTAACCCTAGGCAGCAACAAACGCAGACTAAACAGGAAAAAAACTAAAGTGAAGTATCACCGACCAAAAAGATTCCTAAAACCAACCAGAAAGAAAGAACGCAACGAAAAGCTTAAAAATGGCTATCACTGTATCTTCAGATCCCATATTATCAATTACCAATAAAAGCAACCATCCGTTAAAAAAATATCATAGCTCGATTCATGGAATACGAGATTCCTGAACAATGAAAAAATATAAACAGCCACATAACTCAAAGGGGATAAAGAAAAGGGATTCAAAGAAAATCTGAATACTTACATCCAGAGGGAAGTTGAGAGGGGGAAAGAGTGACAGATGAATCTCTGAAGGTTTCCCAGTAGAATCCTCCTTCTGGGTGAGGCTGAAGATTCAATTTTTTCACAATCTCAGATGTCGAAGCCATGCTAAAGTTTTACTCTTTCCGTATTAGATGCTCTTTTAAATGTTTTTCATTCAGTCAAATGTTTTTTCCATCTGAATGGCACTGTCAATGTTAGGTTAGGTCTGAAGATTTTGTTAAAACTTTAACATTTATTTTTTCCTTAAATTAGATTATTGCAATGGAAGAGCAGACATGATGATTTGATAAATTTTGACTACTTTTTATGCAAAGTCATACATATGACTAAAAAAAATATTAAAAATAAAAACGACATTCATCTTAACCACTGATACAGGATTTTGCGATTTAATTAAATTATTTATCTTAATTTTTATTTTTTATGAGAATTCTTCAAATATAGTTTTTCCTTGTTTAATATTACCTTTCTATTCCTTCCATACAAGTCAATCTTATTAGGTTGGATCTGATAATGAATGGCATAAAACAATATGTACCATTTCAAAATTTTATTGGGCCTAATAAATAAACTTAAGAGAAATGAAGATACATTATATGGGTTTTGAGAAGGTAAACACAATAAAATGTTTCAAAAACACTTCATATGCACAATAGGAGATCCAGACTCCATGTACTCTTCCTTGGTAATCCACATCTGCAGCAGAAACCCATTGTCAAAAGTTAATATAATATTTCCAATCATATAAAATAAATTAAATCACTGGAGAAATTTTAATTCTCCAATAATATTCATGAAAAGAGTACCTGCTGAAAGGTGCTTAAGGAAGCTAAAATGGATCCACCAATCCAAACACTAAACATTCTCTCAGGAGGAGCAACAACTCTTACTCTAACTCCAGGAGGCGCCAGAGAGGTAATCTCTTTAGCCAGCCTATCAGTCAAGCCTGGAATCAGACTAGTCCCTCCACTAAGCACCACATTGCTAAACATTTCTCTCCTTATATCAATATCGCACCTTCTGATTGACCTAACCAAAATTTCATGTACACCACCTGACTCTATTCCCAGCCTGCTTGGATCAAACAGAATTTCTGCGCACCTAAATCGCGCAGCTCCTACTGTTATGACTTGCCCATCTGGCAATTCATATTGCTTGTCTAACTCTGAACTTTTCTTTGATATAGCAAGCTCTTTATTATAATCCATTGCTACGTAGGAAACCTTCTCTTTTATGCTCCTGACTATTTCTTTCTCTGCAGAAGTAGTGAAAACGTAACCTTCTTCTGCTAATATTCTGGCCAGATAACCTGTTAGGTCCTTTCCTGCCAAATCAAGCCTATGGACTGCATGTGGAAGTGCATACCCTTCATAGATTGGAACTACATGTGTCACTCCTTCTCCAGAGTCCATAACAATGCCTGCATTTTCAATTTTCTTTTTTTAATATTTCAAATACTCTTATCACGTACTGCATATTCAGATATGTAAATACCTGTAGTTCGGCCACTAGCATATAGAGATAACACAGCCTGGATAGCAATATAGGTGGCTGGGATTTCAAAGGCTTCAAACATAATCTCCACCATCTTTTCTCTGTTGATTTTGGGATTGAGCGGAGCTTCTGTTAAAAGAACAGGATGTTCTTCAATGGTGACTCTAAGCTCCTTATCAAATGTATGCTCCCATATTCTTTCCATTGCTTCCCAGTCTGTTACAATACCATGATGGATAGGATTGCTTAGTTTAAGAATTCCCCTTCTAGCTTCTGCTTCATCTCCAAAATACATATCCTTGTGTCCAATGGCAATCATGGCATGCTTGTTTCGAGGCCGGCCTATTATGTTAGGAAACACCACGCATGGATTATCATCACCAGCAAAACCAGCCTGCATCAGTAAAAAATACATTAGAGAGAGAATGAAAGAGACAGATTCTTGAATGCATGCTCGCTCCGGAGGGAACCTAGTCTTGTTAAACATGTAAGCTGGCCTGAGCATACCTTAACAGATTCAAACAAGAGAAGGAAAACATCCACACTAGGTTACCTTTGTAGAGCCTGACCCACTGTCGCAGACAATTGGCCGGCCTTCAATTAAATCAAAATCCATCAATTGCCAGTGATTTAGAAAATTGGTAAAAGGATTAGGAGGAGAAGAATATTTAAGAAGATCAGAAAGTCTTAAAACTTTAAGATGAATTTTAGAATCAAAGCGCTTTCAGTTGCTTTTGGAGAATGTAATAGCATATGTAGAGGACAAGTAGTCGCAATACTATATTCACTTCATCTCATTCTCAGGGTAAAGTACCGGGACTGTTACGCATAATTAAGCACTCCATTTCTTGTTTTATGGACTACTGATAACTGATAAGCATAATTTCTGAATAATAATTGACCATCCATTACAGTGGAGTGGACAATAAAATTAATAATAATTTCCCAATTTGCTAAAAACAACACTAAATTATATTCTTGGTTGCAAATAAGATGTTCAAATATTATCCGTAAAATTCATCTTTTGTTGAAACTGGAGTCATCCGACCTTCGTTCAGACACCAACGTCTTTCATTTGCTTTGAGAATCAATGACATGTCGGTTGGCAGAGGATCCGGCCTCATGGTTTCGAAAAAATGTCCATTTTTAACTCAAACAGCTGGTGTATTTGAAGCCTGTAAAATTACAGTGAAAATGGAAAAATATTGAAAGAAGAGGAAAATACTTACTTAAATCGAATTTATGGCCCTGACAATTGCCAAAATCAATAAAAATAAAAATATTTCAAAATTACTTAGTTTTTTTTATTGCATATTATCAGAAAATAATTTGTATTTCCGTTTATCTTGAAAGAAGAATTCAAGAAATGAATACTTCATTGTCACAAAAATTTGTGATTGAAATATTAAAAATTTTTTAATATTTTTTTTTGGTTAAATATAAGAAAAATAAAAAAAATAATGTAGCAATTATGGTGACAATGTGGATATTAAATATTATGTTGTAGAGTAGTTGGTCAGGACATTTTAGCTCTCATCCGAAACATCCGGGTTCAAGACCCGGCAACGGAAATTCTTTTTTATTTATTCGAAAAATGTAAGTTGCCCATTTTGGACACCCAGCAACGGGATTACCCCACTGAGGCGTTTGTAATTTCAACATTTGATTAACGGACAAAATTTATTGGAAAGAGCAAAAGCAAATTCTTAGCAGTGGATCATTTGAAAGCAAATATGTGAACTCAGACCAAAAACTTTAAAAAATGTTTGAGGCACCAGGAAAAGCACTGTAACACAAACATATTCTACTAGTTATCCCTCATCAGAGATGATATACAAGAATTTTCTAAATTATGGGACTGGCTAAGTGAAAAACTGGCAGCCTTGGAAACTTAGATTCAACCCGCGAAAACTTTCTTCACAAATCCTTGCAAAGAATTCCCCATTCCAGCGCCAACAGCTTCAGCCAAATACTTTGCCTGCAATATGGTCATAAAGCTATTATCTCTTCCCTACAAAAGATAACTCTTGAATTGAAAGGAAGATTGAGTGACAATACCTCTTGAATTGACTTCTTGAAGTCGAAGGCATCTTTCACTCGATCATCCAAGAATGCCCATGTATCACGAAAATCTGCCAGAGAATGAGGTCAGTAATGAGTATACTCAGACAAGTAATTGCCTATGGCAGAGGGATGAGGTACAACAACGACTACTAAGCCTTAATCCCAAACTATGCAACTCAATTGGGAAGGGCAATCTAACACAAGCTCCACAAATAACCAACCAAGTAAGAGGAGAGAACAATCACACTACAAACTGCTCCACTTTTTGATCAAGATGAAACTTAATGCTAATAAAGAGATAAAAAGTTTATTAGGAAACACAAACCTGGGGAACTATCAGTCAGCATGTAGATCTCAGTTGTTGAGTATATTCCTCCAAGAACAGTACGCTTTGCATACCAATCGATATCAGAGCCCTCATCACCAGCAGCATGCCAGATCTCATCAAGCAGTATTGCTCGCTGGTTAAAACTTGTTGGAATATTTGATGGGTGTGCCTGTGAAGAAGACACGTGACAAACATGTTCAAGATTGCAGCTCCACAAATGTAAGTTAGCAATTTAAGAAAATGGGTAAGAAGAATGGCACTTGGATGCTCAGTGCTTGAGGCCATTTTGATATGTAGGGAGCCTGCATTTCTAAACGAATCTTGACAAGCTTGGAGATGCGCTCACTAGGTACCAAGTTCTGCAACTCCTCTCCAGAATCTATTCTATCAATAAGCTTTTGCAAGCACTCATCCATAAAAAACTGGAAAAAGAAAAATAGAGTTGAACTTTTGATAAACAAAAATGCAAGCATCCACATGCTGAACCATTACAACTGAGAAAGAATCAAAAAGAATACAGGCATAGCTATTTTCATCTCCTTTTCCAGGCTTTGCAATCACAGGGCTTGAGTTACTGACTGGACAGCACAAAAAGCAATATGATAACAAGAGAAAAACTCTTTCAAACCAATGAACCTTAATAGATGCACAAATTGTGCAGGCACATCAACCTCACAGTAGCCATTACCCTGTTTCTATTCTCAAAAACAGTTGTACCAGTTATAATAGATTCAATATTGTTATGCAAAAGTATCATTAATTCTTCAAAGGAAACAGTTCTCAAGTGGTAGGAGTGGATGATTTAGATCCTAGATACAAATCACATAGCTAAACAAGAAACGAAAAATCCATCCCAGAATATAATGTAAAATACAAGTCAATAGCATACCATAGCTACCACTAGTTTAAAAACAAATGCAACATAAAACAACATTAGAAATATGAAATTCCGAAATCTTAGGCAGCATCGCGATAAGGGGAAAAAAACAAATACCTCAACTAGTGCTGCTTCTTTTCGAGGAAAAGATCCCACGATTGCAGGGGAGACACCAGCGTCCCTTGCACCCGCAATCATGGCTTCTTCACTCCATCCCAACCGTATCTGCAACAGTCCGTTCATGCGAATTTCAAAATCACCTCTTTAATATTATTCAAGATATAACCAAACCCATTCAACAGTTTGTTGTGTTTCACTAACTCTTAACCAAAAAAAAAAAAATCAAATACAAACAAATTAAAAAAAAAAAAAAAAACCACCCGCAATTCATGGCTTCTTCCACTCCATCCCAACCGTATCTGCAACAGTCCGTTCAGCGAATTTTTCAAAATCACTCTTTAATATTATTCAAGATATAAACCAAACCCATTCAACAGTTTGTGTGTTCAACTAACTCTTAAACCAAAAAAAAAAAATCAAATAACAAACAAATTAATAAAAAAAAAAAAAAACCGAGGGATTCCAAATTTTGAACGAAAAAAAAAAAAAAAAAACCGAGGGATCCAATTTTGAACGATACGAACCACGTGGCGAAGAGAAGATTGAAGCACGCGCGCTTGCTCATCTTGGTACTCAACACTGGGTCTCCGCCTCTCGTGATGGTGATGGCGCGGAGCCTGTTCAAACGTAGATGACGCTGAACGACTTGAAGACGAGGATGATGTTGACGATGATGATACAGTTGAATGTGAATGGCTATTAGGGTTTTGATCAGAGATTGATTGAGAACTCGCTGAGTTACAAAATCGAGAACCGGTTACAATTGTTTGGTGATTAAGGAATCTGAGACGAGCGTTGCTACTATTACCGACGGTTGCACCGGAGAGCAACCGCCTCGCTGCCGTTCTATACATTTTTATTTCAGCACACCGTGCTTGCTCCGTCAAAAAGCAACACGGAAAAAAACAGGCGATTCCGGTTCCAGGGCCAAGAAAGATCTATAACAGGTATCAGGGCTCCACCTGGCTGTGATCTATCAGTCCACGTTTCAGCAACAGCTGCCAAGAAGAGCATAGTGGGATTCACTTAGAATTTCTTATCATATACTTAAAAAAAAAAAAGTAGAACCACTTTTAAAAAAATTATTTTAATTGATTTCGTCGCAAGCGAGGCAATAGATCTAATTTAGCCAAGTATAATCCTTTTTTTTTAAATTGATTCATCTAAATCGGATTCATATTCATAGTTTCGCCCATGAATTAAATTAATAAAAATAAAAATTTTTATTAAAATAAGATATTTATAATCATATACTAAAAAAAAAATAAAATAAAAATAATTTTTAAAAAATTTATATTTTTATTAGTTTGGTTTATAAATAGGATGGTGGATTCAATTTGAATAAGTATAATCCTTATTTTTTTGGTATGTTATTACTAATCACTAGCTTAAATATGCTAAAATTAACTATGATTCCGAAAAATTTTTAAAAAGTTGTTTTTATATAATCAATTGAATGCGTTTAAAAAAAAAAAATTTAACATCATTTTCATATGAAATTTTGATTAATCATTTAAACATCCAAAATTTATGGAATCATAATTAATGTAAAAAAACTTTAAACAAAAATTAGAACCAGATATCCTTTGGTAAAATTGAGGAATCTGCAGATCAATTTTCGACATTATTATATTTTTTTCTCTTCTAATTTCTATTGCTTCATCAAATTAAAAAAAGTTTGATAAATCATAAAAGAAAGCAGTTTATATGAAATTATTATTAAAAATGATATATAGACACTTCTATGATTGAATTTCTATTGTGCATTTTATTATTTTTAATATTATCTAAGAAAATTTATTGATTCAAAAATAAATTAAAATCAATGATTTTTAATATATATTTCCTTTTCTTTCAATTTTGTTATACCCATTGATTTTTATATAATTAGTCTAATATTTTGAATTTGAAATCCATTGATTTTATATAATTACGTCTAATTTTTGATTTGAAATTAAATGTTAGTCTAATATTTTGAATTTGAAATAAATGTTCTTTAATTTAAATAATTTTCAACAAAATTAACAAATATGAAATTATAAATAATTCAAATTATAATTTTTTTTAAAATAAATTATATATTTTACTATGCATAGCACAGGGATGCTGCTTATAATGATGCTGCTAGTAATGAGTAAAATCAAAAGTTAGGATATTAGAGTTATTTTTCAAAAGTAAAGGGATTCAAGCGTCAATGTAACACAATTTAGGGACCAATTTATATTTTTCTCAAGAGCCAAAAAATTACAGGAATCTAATCAAGTTTTAAGCAGAAACCGAACCTCTCATTCCATTCTTATCAATTTTACATCGTGAAATTTGTAAGAACAAGGGAAAGAAAAAGAAAAAAACATATAGACATAACAGGAAAACAAAAACTACCTTGACAAAAATTCTAAAAACAATAAAAAGAGAAAAAAAAAAATGTAAACATCATGGCTGGAGACTAATTTGCCCTCACAAACCATACTTAACCTGTATCAAGAAGAAGAAATGTTTCTTAATATACATCTTTGAGAAGAAGCCACCACCAGAATTTGTCTTGCAAACTCAGGTCATTCTTTCTTGCTTGTTGATAAAATCCCAAGAAACACTGCAAATTTGATCCCTTTAATGAAATTTCTGAAACTTATCCTTCTCCTGAGCTTATAATGAAGATTGGTGACAATTTCAACTGTTGAAGCCTTTAATGTATTTTGCCTAACAAATGAATGAAGCAGAAACTTCGTATTAACCTAGTATATGTGTATAATTAATCAAATCCCTCAAACCTTTACTTCCCCTATCCTCCTAATGGCTTCCTTCATGTCTAATCGTAGCGCAGTATTACTTTCAGCACAAGCAGCCCCAATTCGAAGCAATTTAACCATTTCTTGAATTGATTCTGCACTGCTACCGTTTGCTATCTCAGGATCAATCACTTCTTGCTCTTTCCCTTCAGCTTTTGCTCGTTGTACCCATTTAACTACATCTGTTCCTCCTTTGCCGTTTGCAAGATATTGAGAAGGGAATTTTCCTGTCACCACTTCAAGAATAATGATTCCGAGACAAAACACATCGGATTTTGCAGAAACCTGATGATTTAGCAGATATTCAGGCGATTTATAAGCAAACATTGTCTGTGCAGAATGGTTTGGGTTGGTTAGTGGATCCAAAGCATAGTCTGTTAGAAGTGGCTCATAATCATCGTCTAAAACAACATTGCTTGATTTGAGATTTCCATGAGGAAGGTTGTACGTCGAATACTCTGTATGCAAGAAACTCAATCCATTTGCAATTCCCTTTATTATTTTCAGACGGTTTTCCCAATTTAGTTCAGAATGACAAATACCACGATCACCTGATAAAAAAAAAAAAAAACCATTAAAACACATTAACATGTAAGAAAATAATTAGTAAAATGAAGCAAAAAAGAATTGACAATATTGTCATACCATGTATGACATATAATAAGCTTCCTTTAGGCATGTATTCTGTAACCATAAGCTTCTCCTCTTTCCTGAAATGGTAAGCCAATGGAGTCAAAATGTTTTTATGTCTAATTCTTCCAAACTTTCTCATTTCAGCATCAAACCCATCTCTCGACAACATATTCATCTCTCTTATCCTCTTTACGACCACTGACACTCCACTCGTCAGCATGGCCTTATAAGCAGACCCCAAACCGCCACTTCCAAGCACTTCTGCTGCTGCCTTCATCAAATCTTGCAAACCAAAAGTACCCCTTTCATCATTAATCATTATAAGATCACCCATACCATTCCTTCCTTGGTGGGGTCCTCTTCGTGTAGAACTAGTACTTCTTCGACTATTATCCGATGGCTGTCTCTTGTTTGAACCGCTTGCACGTACAGATAGCACCACCTCGTCAAGATTCTCTTTCTCTAACATGCTAAAGTCATCATCTTTATGTCTTCCATTCGGAGAACAAAGAGTATACATAACTAAAAATATTATTAGTCCCAATACTACAAACATAACCACGTTTTTGCGACTACCTTCTGAAGCAGAATCCGAAGGATTAGAAGAAGAAGCAACAGAGGTGGCAGCAGCAGAAGAAGAAGATGATGATGAGTTAGGTAATGATACAGCTAATGATGGAGTGCTTGAAGAGCAAGCTACATGGAGTGGTTGTCCACAGAGTTTATCATTATTGGCAAATGAATCAGCGCTAAATGTTGAAAAAGACGAAGGAATTTCTCCTTCGAGTTTGTTATTTGATAAGTCTAAGGAGGTTATAACCTGTTTGGCTTGATTCAATGGTGGGATTGGCCCAGAAAATTGATTCCCTTCAAGATGCAGTTCTTTAAGATTTTTGAGTTGCATAACTGATTCAGGTATTTTTCCTGTGAATTTATTATCAGAAAGCCAAACTTTCTTTAAAGATAACATTGGAGCAAAGAAATCATTTGCTATTTCACCAGAAAATCCATTATGGGATAATAAAAGTGACTTCAGCGCACCAATTTTGTTAAAAGCAGGGATTGGACCTGTAAATGAGTTATTTATGAAACTTGTTGTTCTGAGGCCAGGAAGTTCTTGTAATGCTTCAACATCAATAGTTCCTGATAGACCTAAATTTGAAAGATGAAGGCCTGTAATGGTCCCATCAAAACAAACAACACCAACCCATTTTTCTTCACAAGGGCTTGGCCCTGAAACCCAATCATCTAAAGCCTCAGCATTAGTTAAAGATTCCTTGAATTTGACAAGAGCCTCATTTTCTGATAAGGAAGATGAGAGGTTGCAGAAGGAGAGTATAAAGAGGAAAAGGAGAACAAGAAGGCGAACAACGGTCATCTCCAAGCCGGAAATGAAGGGTAGCTCCGGGTAGAAACGAGCCGCTGTCGGAGAAATTTTTTGTTGTTCTCCGAGTCTTTTTCTTTTTGGTATGGAGGTTTTGTCTCCTTTTGTTTAATTTTGGGTTAAGAGGGTGTTTCATGCTGGTGTATGGGTTGAGAGATGGAATTGGTGATGGAGCTGGCAAGTTTACCTTAGATTCTAAGAATAGAATTGAAAGATACACATTAGAGAGAGGGTGAGAGAGTTTATGGGATTGAGAAATAAGGGAGAGGTATGTAGCTATCTTAGACCCGGTCAACAAATTTAACATCTATACTTATAGTAATCTCTATTATTAAGGTGTGTAATTAAAATCTGAATATATTCTTGGACTAATCCCAGTCAATATCCCTAAACACCGTAATTAAATTATTATATTATTAATTTGGTCTATTTGACCATAGATATAGACTAATAGTAGATATGGAGGCACTGAAAAGAAGAGAGATGCATTTCCTCAAGTCACACTGAAAGTTTCAATGCTACTCATTTTGATTTCATAATTGGATAAGCTAAATATATATCTTTCAAAATGGGACAAACGGACAGGCAGTACAAGTTAAAAAAAAAAAAAAAAAAAAAAAAAACATAATTGGATAAGCTAAATTATATATCTTTCAAAATGGGGGTACAAAAGCGGGAACAGGGCAGTAGGCAAGTTATAAAAAAAATAAAAATAAAAGAAACTAGGAAATAAATCTCTACTGGTTTCTCTGCTAATAGTCTTTGTTGTTCTTATGCTAGTTCCTCTGAAAAAAAAAAAAAAAAAAAAAAAAAAGGAAAATTAAACTCTGGTTTCTCTGCAGTCTGTTGTTCTACTAGTCCTCTGATCATGATCTTACCATCAGTTTGCTGTGAAAGCCTGCAACCGTGAAAATATGCATACATGTGAATTTCAAACAATCTATAACGATTAAATGATTGGTAATTGAATATAACGAGGTGGGTGGAGAAATTACAGAGAATATATTGCAATGACCAGGATCTGCAATGTGAGCCATCAAGTTTTCGATAGGGCCTTCACCAGTATAAATGGCCTGGAAGCAGAACCCAACGAATGCTAGCATAGCAAGACGCCCATTCTTTATCTCTTTAGTCCTTAGCACCATTACAGGCTCAGGAGATCCTCTACCCCACATCAAGGGATCAAACCATAGCCCACCTGGGTAACCAACATCTGGTTTTGGTCTTGTTATGTGTGGCAACTTAGGCTCTATGTCAACACACCCAGGCTTGATCATGTCTGCCCATCTTCTTCCTTCAACCCAACCCATTAAAACTAATTGCACTATAAACAGAGTTGTTGGATCTGCAAAATATTCTCGAGCACCTGCATCGAACCAATTATAATTTTCAATGAAGCCTAGGCTTTCAAGCCATTCTGGAATGAGAATTCCTGCCACAGCAAGCATTGCCCACCTGCTGTGCATTAGCTCAGCTTGTGCAAACCATTTCAGCAATTCTGGATCAGAACCTGAAAAAAGTGAATATATATTTAAAAAGAAGCACGTAATGTAAAAAGTGTGCCCGCGGATCTTGAGAAGCAATGTATTTTATGTTCTTGCAACCAACTTCGGGAGAGAAAAGTTTAGAGGAAGCTGAAATCAGTTTCGTTACAAGAGAAAACAGCAACCTATGAAAGATATAACAGTAGCATATAACGGTTTTAAAAAAATATAACAGCAATAGCAACATATTCCCAATTGTGGTAAATTACTGGCAAGAAACAATTCAAATTGAAAGAAGTTGCCAAAAGGGCAATCAAAATTTCGATAATATGTTTAAAGATATATTGGGATATCAAAACTAAAACATCCAAAATAGATGGCGTACCTAATCCAAGTGGGTCGAAACCAAAATCTCCAGGAAGACTACAATCAAAAAAAGGAAAGAAGTCATATTTACATTAAGCAAACAAGCCTACTCTATTTCATAGCGTTAATGCTTTTGTAGCTTATTACAAATCAAATAAACATCAGATAAAGATTCCATGGCAAAAACTCTGTTCATAATTACTGAAGCAAATGCAATTCAAATTATAAGTACATTTTAACAATTGGGTTTTCGAGAGAGAGAGCTATACAAATGAAAAATATACCTATATAGTAATAAAAGCAGTAGAATTACCTTCCATCTAGCCATTCAGGTGGAGAACTACCAGGGAACCACAATGGTCTATCAGGAGGAAGTGGTTCACAGACACTGGAGACCCCTTTTGTTGCATTCACTTTCACTTTAGCTTTCCCTACATGGCATGTTGAGATCTTCCCCAGCAAGGCTTTTTGAGGTATATTCCTGTTTTGTTTAACAAGAAGTATAGGAAATCAAAAACTCAAAATATTTTGATACAGCAAAATCAGATGCTTAAAATTCAATATACAAAAACCAAAAAACAATCAGGACCTGGTACTGGTCGGAAGGCTTGTCAATGAGGTAGAGGCAATACTCAGAGCCATGTTTCCTTTGCAGTTTGGTGGATGAATCTCTGTCTGTTAATTTAATGGGCTTTCGTCTGGGCTTATCCACTGGAAATTGTCGAAAGACATGGAAGATTGTACTTCTTGCCACAGAAGAAAAGGAACCAATTGTGGCTTGACACATGTAAAGATTAGACAGTGAATTGTTTTCTCTTTTTTTATATATTAGTGGCTCTTTAAATGCATTAGAGTTGGCTATAATCATTATATATTTATTATTTTTACTTATTTAATTTTTTATTTATATAATATTAAAGCTATTTATTTATTGTAAAAAAGATTTAAATCTTACTAATTGATTAAGTAATAAAAAAATATTATTAAAAATAAATCTCTTTAAAACTCAATATATAATAAGAAACAAATTAATATAATTACTTAAGCAATGTGATTGAACCTGTTTTAGAAGGGCTTAGCCCACTTCATATTCGTATGCAATGGATTAATATAATTATTCTTTCTACATATGGCAATAAACTATTTAACATTTTTTTATAAAGGCTTTTAGAAATTGAAATCTCAATTTCTTTCTTGCCCCTTCTAGATATATTTTCCAATGTATGTATATGATTAATAAAGAGCTGCTTAAATTTATTAAACTAATAAAGACAATTGAAATCTATGTTTTAATTTAAAACTCAAAAAACACGGTTTAATAAATAATTAGAATTTAATTTAAAAAAAGAAAATACATTTGCCAACTGTGATTTTTTTACTAAACATATTAGGGTTCAAGATACATTTTTTGCTGACACCATTTGGTAGAAGGACTTTATTTTGTATGTTTGAGATGTATTCATTTAATTGCTCTTGGTAGGTGTAGTTCATCTACTCCATTTTTTTTACGGGGTAGTATCATCTACTCCATTTTCAAAAAATTCAGTGACCAAATGAAACTGACTGTAACACTTTACCAGCTTCACCAACCTTGGAGCATTTTGTTTTATAGTTTTCTTCGCAATTCAGCGAAGGGGACACATCCAAAGTTGTATTGATGGAGATGATAGCTTGAGCCATTAAAACAAAAGGGAAATTTTCTTCCTACATAATTAATCTAATAATAATTATAGCTTGTCTAATGGAAACAATATTTTGATTAATTAATACATTATAAAATAGGTAGCTTCTTAATTGTTCTTCACTCACGCAATTGAAACAATTGATTTTAAGGTTGTCTTGTCTCATTTTGAAACCAAAATGGGGCAATTAAAGAATTGTGATTAGCTTTGATGTCTAAGTTCAGCTTCCAATGAATATTTCAGAAGAAACTAAAATAGGAAACTATATGGAAGCTTCAATATTGATTTTTTATCTTATAGGAGTGCTATTTTCACCTTATATGATCATTACCCAAGTATGTTTGTCAAGACTTTCTCCACTGTAACTAATACACCTTCATTAGATGTTCCTTTGAACTATATCTTCATTGGATAATCATATTCAAATCAGGTTATTAGTAGAAAAAGTTGGAAAAGGTAATACCTTTTTTCATTTTGCTAGACCAACATATGTTCCCTTATTTTTGGTATTGGGGATTCAAGTACCACTTAATGGTATTTACTTTTATTAGTTTCAATTAAAATTAGGTGTTCCTATCCAACTACAGCGAAGGATAGCAATCTGCAATAAGAATAAGATCACCTCTTTTTAAAAAATGCACAAACAGTGAGGCATTAACAAAGGTTTTCCCTTCCCTTTAAATACACTTAATCCTCAACCGACAAATATCAAACTGTTTGATATCTCACATTTCACCCAATTCTCTTTCTCCCAAAAAACTAAAAAAAAAAAAAAAAAAAAAAAATTAATCCTCAAAACCGACAAATATCAAAGCTGTTTGATATCTCACATTTCACCCAATCTCTTTTCTCGCCAAAAAACTAAAAACAAAAAAAAAAAAAAAAAAATCTTCCTCTTCGTTAGATCCATGTCCAAACCCCCACCGTTTCACTTCTACATTCCTTTCCATATTTTCTTTTCACTAAAATCTAAACTATCCAAATAACCCACTACAGAAGGATCAAGAACTGAAACGTGAAAAAATTATAAACACTTGAAAAAAAAAAAAAAAAAAAAAAAAAATCTTCCTCTTCAGCTTAGATCCATGTCCAAAACCCCACCTTTCCACTTCTACATTCACTTTCCATATTTTCTTTCACTAAATCAAACTATCCAATAACCACTACAGAAGATCAAAACTGAAAACGTGAAAAAATTATACACTTGTTTTAATTAAACATGCTAGAGACTATGCCACTTGGGCGCTTTCAGTACCAGAGGCTGGAATTGAAGCGGTGGGCACCAGCATTTTTGACTTCGCACAAAACCCTCTTCACAGTGTTATGGATCGCGGCGTTTGCCTCCGTGTTCATGTGGCAGAGGAATGTGGTGGGCGGTGGGTTCGCGGTGTTTTGGCGGGTACCTATGAGGCCGATGCCGAAGCTGAGACCTGTGGCATTTAATTTGACGGATTTTGGTGGAGTCGGTGATGGGGTTACGTTGAATACGGAGGCATTTGAGAGGGCCATTTTGGCGATTTCAAAGCTGGGGAAGAAAGGTGGAGGGCAGCTTAATGTGCCTCCAGGGAGATGGCTCACGGCGCCGTTTAATCTCACTAGTCATATGACTCTGTTTCTTGCAGAGGATGCTGTTATACTTGGAATTGAGGTTAGTGTTTCCTTGTATCTCCAGCTTTTAAGTTCTCACTTATTATAGCGGGTATCATAGTAATCGTTGAGTTGCTCTAATAATTAATTTGTTTTTCTCTTTTTTATTTGTGTGTTGTTAATATGCTGATATCTCTTCAATTATGCTGTTTCATTTCTGGTGGATTTAAAGTATATGCATTTGGGTTGTTTGCATCAGTCGGATGAGAAATTCCATATATTGTTGGTGGTCTGGATTGTGTAAATCTTGTCTATCTAGATGCCCGTGGTGGATACACTCTTCAAGTTTGGTGTTTGTTGCATTATGATTCCAATGGATATCAGTGATTAAAAGGATAGGATGAAGGAATCGTGTGGTTGTTGAAAAACTCATTAAAAGAATCACGTTTGAAATGAGAAGTGTACAGATTTAGTGCAAGCATTAGCATATAGAAGATCTGGTTAGTGGTTTAGCTAAATACAAGCTGATAAAAGCATCAAGCTTGGTAAAATCTCTTAAGTTGCCATAGAAGTTTGAAAGGCCCAGGTGTACACTTTTGTGATTGTAAGGTTAGGGAAATGTGTACCGTTTTTCTTCCCCTTCATGAGTTTCACCATGCTGTGCAATCTGCATGTCCAGATTATTCAACTACTTGTATTTCATATGATTTAGAATTTAGAAAGCATGCTTCCCATATCTGTGCAATATGAGAAGTAGTCTGATAGTCTCCAATGCATTTCTTGAATTTCCTAGCTCACATATGTGCTTCCTGATATTGATGTTTGCTGCACATTCTTGCGCATGAATCTGGGAAAGTAATGTTTCTCTCAAGTATTTTTGTTACTCTGGTACAAAGCTGATGTGCTTTTGATGGCATGATTTCATAGGTCAACTATAAAGTTCTGGCAATGTTACAGTCGTGTGTCATATTTTGATTGTGCGATTGGTACTCATATGGAGTTTGCACTTATGCTTACTAAAAAAAAGGTTATTTAGAAATATCTGTTTAAATATTTTCCACTTGCTTTTCGCACATGCCTGAACTCCTGAAGTAGAGAGCCCTTATAGTTGCTGACTATATATTCAATCAAAACCAGTGTTTGGGTCAGACTGGATTGTGCCTGGATCCACGGTATACCATAAGGTTGCGAAGGTGTATATGTAAACCACCATCTAAGGCGAAATAGGCACAAGGAAAGAGCAACAGATAGGATCAACCTACAAATATGAAACATTTATTCCAGGCCATGGTGAATAGGAACTTATAACATTGTCAAACAAATGCTTATAACATGTGTTCCAAACAACTTTCTGTTACGTGTGGTATAAAAAGTGAGTTGTATCAATATATTTAACAACTTAGAAATATATTCAACAGTTAATTATTAAATTCAATATCATACTTTGGCAGATATAACACCTTTTTTAGCATTATTAAGGTCACCTACACCCTCTTTTTTAGCAATTAAATTTTACTTATTTATTTATTTGGGTCTTTTGGTCCTACCTAATCAATTTTATTTCTCATTTTTGTTGTGCTCCCTTATGTGATATTTAACAGGATCAGAAGTACTGGCCATTGATGCCTCCATTGCCTTCATATGGATATGGGAGAGAGCATCCTGGACCTCGGTATGGTAGTTTGATTCATGGTCAAAACCTCAAAGATGTTGTCATAACAGGTGAGTCAAATAAATTTTCATCAATCCTCGCTGAATTAGCTTTTATTACTTGTTCCAATATCTTCTTTTAAAGGCCTTGGTTAGGAAAGCTACCGGTATGATATACAAAACTTGTGTTATTCATAGATACATATGCTCTAGGTTGTCATTCAGCTCAGGAATCACATTAGTCTAATTGGAAAGTGGAAATTTGAACTTTGGTCTTTCATGAAGATATCCATTTTCCAAGAGAGACAAATAAGGTATCCAAACTAAACGGTAATTTGAACTGATTAATCTTAGTATCCATAAAAGAGTGACTCAGTGCATGAACCACCCAACAGGTGTGGGCTTTGGGGAGGGTTGATGTACACAACCTTCCGTGGCTCAGAAACCGTCATCTCCAGGTCACAACTGGAGTAAATTTACCATTACACCAAAGCCACCTATTTTATTAATCTTAGTTTCCATTTGGCATTGGAACACTATTCAAAGTCACGCATGAATTCTTTTAGGCCGGGCACTTGATCTCTGAATGTATCAAGAAATTATCTCATGAAAGTCACAGTGTAAATGCAGTGTAATTTATCAAGAAGTGTACAAATTTTGTCGAGAAAACCAAAAAGGAAGTAGCTCGAGTAAATGATAGTAAAAATCATTGGAAAACCAACAAAATATGGTAGTAATTTAATTATGAAGGTCTCCCATATGAAAAATTAAAATGCAGTATATCTCTTGGGACTTAGTGCAGCCAACCAATTGAAAATTCTTGGCTATTTTATATCACATTTAAGAGAGTAGGAATCTTGAATGGCTATTTTCTGTAGCCATCAATTCTGCAAAATTATCTTAGGTTTTTGTGTTGCTTCTCCCACTGCAGCATAGTGCTTACATAGAATTTTAGAGTAACTTTAAGCTACAAGAAACTCGCAGAGAGAGAGAGAGAGAGAGAGAGGATGAGAACTATTCTTTACATCGTATGCCTATTTTTTTTGGAACATTTCTAGTGCTTTTGGTAAAGAGAGAGAGGCCGGTAGTCTTTCCTCTGGATGCTGCAAAAATTCATTTGCCTGTTATATTTTGCCTGAATTCAGAGTCTTATAGATCATATGAAGTGTATATCGATGCCAATTAGGTTTTCACACCTCATTGCAGGTAAAATCATCAATGATTGAAATCAAACTAATATGATACTATTGCTAGATAGCAATCATTTATATCTATTTGGTCGTCTCTTGTTTGAACTCCTTATAAGCGGATCTAATAGTAGATGAGTGTAGGTCTGTTTTCAACATTGTTATTGTGATTATTAAGCCTCTTTTATTTGCAAAAAGGTGATCTGATAATAGTCTATGTTTTTGCCAATCAACAGGGCACAATGGTACCATAAATGGACAGGGTCAAACATGGTGGAAAAAATATAAGCAAAAGCTTCTCAACCACACAAGGGGTCCTCTTGTGCAGATAATGTGGTCAAGTGACATTCTCATTACTAACATAACTTTGCAGGATTCACCATTTTGGACACTCCATCCATATGACTGCAAGAATGTAACAATCAGAAATCTTACCATTTTGGCTCCTGTGCATGATGCTCCAAATACTGATGGAATTGATCCTGGTAGGTATTATCATTTCCCTCCCAACAGGATAATAATGGACTAAATATATGGCTTTTCTTTGACCTCAACTTAGCCTTTAGAGATGGTAAGCCTTTTTATAAATCTGAACCTCTTAACATCTTTTTTAAACTCTTTTAAGAGATGAACTGCCAATTGAATAATGATCAAACAATAATCATTCTCAAAGATGAGAAATAGGTATGTTGTATTTTAAGGCAAGTAGGAAACTATTTTATCAATAGTACTATCATAGATTGGAAAATGCTTCAATATGGAAGTTTAGGTGCCATTCATTTCAAAAACTGGGAATTGATGAGCGAGTTTTATTGTGGCAATTTGAGTCCTTTCTTTTCTATATTCTTCATTTTAATGTCCTAAACTGACTTGGTTCTAATATGTAAGCAAATTGCTCTGTTATTACTATCATTGTTCCTTTATTCTATATTTTCTATTTTCTGGTTATTTCTTCTGTATCGCGGCTTAGCATCAATATGTTAATGCACCTGTTGCATTAGCTTGCCCAAAATCCTATTATTATGATCTAGTGTGCCATTCAAATATTGACTGTGATCCTACTTGTTGATTTATTAAGGTAAACATGCTTATGAAGATTGTTAGCAATTTTTTCTTTCCATCTTGAATATGGGAGCTTAAATTTTTCGGGGCATGAACAGATTCATGTGAGGATATGATAATTGAAGACTGTTACATAAGTGTGGGGGATGATGGGATTGCAATCAAAAGTGGCTGGGATCAATATGGAATTGCATATGGACGACCTTCAATGAATATTCTCATCCGTAACCTGGCAGTTCGCTCTATGGTCAGGTAAAATCTCTTTCATTTCTTCCCACTTGCTTCAGATTCTGTGTTCTTGCTCTTTTCATATCAGTGAAAAGACTAGTTTATGGCCGCAAGCTTGCATGGCTTTTGAACTTCTTCATGCTTCCATGCTGCATTACTGAATCTTTAATCTAATATTTTGGATTTATGCATGTGTATGTAAATCCAAAATTTTATATTGCAAACATGCGCAAGAGGGTTGCATGTGATTTAAAATGTACCTATATTTATGACCACACTATTCAATTATCCTAAATCTAAATTTGCTTGAGTAGGTGGCTTGTTTATATGAATTTTTTAAAATTAGCATTTAGCATGTCAAGGTTCCCCACTTTTTCTGAGAGTCAATTGCAAGATCCATGAACTTTCCTGGTACAAAACAAAGATTTGTAACTTCTACTGCAAACTTACCAAATAAATGAATGGAAACGCTACTATCCTCAAGAGACTCTGTAGTCCATATGGCTTTTTGGTCCTGATTTTGGGTATAGTGAGCATAAGTAACTTCACTTCAAAGAGAAAGAGAAGAAAGTAACAGCCAAAGTCAGAGCCGTCTATAAAAACTTTTGTGGTTTGATTAACTGCAAATTGATGCTTTTCTACCTCTCTCAACTTGCTTCTGTATAAGACTCTACGGAACAGCTAAATCAGATTGCCACCTTGGAGTTGTCCTGTGATGGAGTAATTGCATGTTTCTACTATTCAGAAGGCAACTAAGATTCACCTTGGTTTGAATTTTGCAACAGTGCTGGTGTGTCAATTGGCAGTGAGATGTCAGGTGGCGTATCAAATGTCACTGTGGAAAACCTCCTTGTATGGAGCTCGAGGCGTGCAGTTCGGATCAAGACTGCCCCTGGAAGAGGTGGATATGTTCGACATATAACCTACCGAAACCTAACATTTGATAATGTTCGAGTTGGAATTGTTGTCAAGACAGATTACAATGAACACCCTGATGAAGGTTTTGATCCAAAGGCTGTTCCAAGACTTGAGGACATAAGTTTCATAGGGGTACACGGTCAAGGAGTTCGTGTGCCTGTACGGATACATGGGAGCGAAGAAATACCGGTGAGAAATGTAACCTTTCGGGATATGTCAGTGGGACTAACTTACAAGAAGAAGCACATATTCCAGTGTGCTTTTGTTCAAGGTCGTGTAATCGGTACCATCTTCCCTGCCCCATGTGAGAACCTTGATCGATATGATGAGCAAGGGCAACTTATCAAGCACTCTCCTTCCCAGAACTTGACAGACATAGATTATGATTTTTGACAAAATGTTGGATCCCAATCTCCACGATATAGCTTGACTGAAATCAATATCTTTAATGCCCGTCTGTCTGTATGAGATAAGCTGGATAAATCACCTTGGAGCAGTTAATCTTGTTCTTATGTTTTCTGCCAAGTGCATTTTTGCTCCATCGTTACAGAATTTTTTTCTTTTTAAATTCTTGAATAGAGTTGTATATACAGAAAATTCTCAGTTAAATACATATGTGAGGATATTTAAAACCTCCGGACCCCAAATCCTCTTTCACTCCAAAATGCTGTTGGAGGTTTGTACTTGCATGGTCATATTCTCCATCTGGAGGGATAATGAGAATTCAAGATCAGTTTCAGGTCTCTGTCTTTTTATATTTATCATTTATTATTTTTGTATGTCCTACTAAACGAGTGGAAAAGAATGGGGTATGGGTTCTTCCCCAAAGTGGATACAAGTGGGCTGGACCAACTCTTCCCTAAAGTAGTAAAAAACAAAGAGGAAATAGAATAAGATCGATGATAGTGAAACAATGGAATATATCAGTCTTTTATTTATTTATTTATTTATTATTTGTTTTCCTAAGAGTATTTTATATATTTTTTTTAGTACGAACATTTTAGAATTCGTGATTGGCCATCCCATAATGTATGTTGGGAGGATTGAATATTCAGCAATTATTTGGACCGCATTTATTTATATTTACAAAAAGTAATCACATAATTAAATACAAACATAAAATTTCTTGGTCTATTTTGGTGCTTAATTGAGACAAAATACATGTATTTTTTTATGCATGCGGCACATGTTTTTACTGGATTAAAATATTCAAATAAAAGCTTCTTCTAGATTATTCAACTAGTTTGATTCCTAATTTGTAACGGAGAAATTTCAATTTCTCGAAGCACGTTTTGTTGTGTTGAGTTGAGTTGAATAATTAGTTGAAGGTGAGAATGTTTTAATAATCATTGCATTTCGGAAACGTAATTTAAATTGGTAAATGTGTAACTCACGTTTTCATTTTTCTTAGCAGCCATTACACAAGGACCAAATTACCTTTGCTTAGACAACACACTTATTTTAACTTTTTTATTTATTTATTTAAGTGTATTAATTTTATATTTATTTAGAAAAAAAAATCCCATATTTATAGAAAATATTTTCCATTAAAAAAAAAAAAAATCGATGTGAGCTGAGCTCAACATCGGCTGGGCGCATTTTCCGCATTATAGAAAAAAACGGTGGTTGAGATATAAAAAGTAAAAGCACGTTCTAAAATAGACCGCATCTCCAAATATACACCCAACAATTGCTTGGTCCGTATCTGGACCACTGATTTTTGAGTGATACTAGATTCTGCTTCCTAGAATAACAGTAACACATTTCTACTCGTAGTTTCCACAATTTCACGTGTTTTTACTTTTCAGTGCTAATTAAGTGGTCTTTGATGTTGATTATATTATGTGGTTGTGGTCCATTTCTAATTTGATTTTGATACTTTCTTACTCTAATTCAACCATAAATAATATGTTTTGTCCAATTGATAAAATTGTTGTGTAAAGAATAATGCTTTTCAACAGTTAATTTGGTGGAAGATCATGATTAATCACAACCTAATTAAGATTAGTCCAATATACCAATACTAATTCACAGAAAAGCTGGCATTGATGATTTAAGTTTTGTTGGTTTTAACAGTATAATGAGCGATGGAACACCATACCATAGTGGTCCCTGTACCATTAGATATTTTGAAGCTGGATGCCATCTCCATTTCTAAAAATGCTAGCTAAATTTTGTTTTATTTTATTTTTACTGGGATAATTATGCCTAATTTTAGAATTCCAATTAATGAATGGAGTACAATATGCTTCAAGTGATAGTGAAATGGGAAAGGGATTGAAATAAATGGAACTTAGCATCATGTATTAATGTACAAGTCCCTCTCATTTTGACTTATATGGTCATTTATTGGTGCGTTTAGACCTAACCTTTTTTTGGGGTTTGCATATTTTAATTGTATTAGCAACTGAATTGACCAAATTGCCAATAAATAAATATTTCTTTTATTTATTTATGTATAAAAATATCGTATAAATCTACGATTTAACGGTATTGAAAAAAAAAATTCAAATTTGAAATTTAATTGTTTTAATCTTGTCATTTGGATTGAACATCACGTGTGCGATAAGTTGAGATTTTAGTTGTTAGGTGGCAATATAATATCCACACATTACATTTGCATTTGCCTAGTTGTTAATTATTTGAAGTTTGACATATTTATTTCAAATTTAAAAATTTCATGTGAATGTGATTACTTAAAAAAATATAAAGGAAGTTTCCAAGAATGAAGATTAACAAATGCTAATCACTATGATTGGTCTCGTTTGAAATTGATGACTATTTTTATTTTTCTAATTAAAATAAGCTCCAGTATTTTTATTTTTATTAAAAAAACAAAGATATTTGAATTTAAATTGCAAATTATAAAATACATGAGCTTTTTGGGAAAAGGAATTCAGAAGGTGTGGAGTATTGTAATTTAGTGAAACAAGAAGGGCGTTTCACGAACTATTACAAATAAATACCAAAGAGAGGCACACAGATCACGTGGCTGATTCAGAAGATACCCCTTTTAAATGAAGCATTAAAAGTACGTCAAACTTCGCCCGTGAATATTGAAGTACTGTGTGATTGTGCATACACGTGTGTTGATATGTATTGGTTAATCATTCGAATCCTATTTCTACTCTGTAGAATCTATATCACCATAACCTGTCTGCCTCTGGGGGGACCCACTTGTTTTTTATTCAAATTTCTTTCTTTTTTTTTTTTTTTAGAATTATTTAAAATTTCTCTTTGGTTAACTGTGACCAGACCAAATCAAATAAATGTGAAAATCAAATCAGTTGAGAGGAGACACTGTGCACACCACCTAATATGTGAACACATAAACTAAAATACCTTTTTTAGGTTTGATTAATTGCTTTTTCAACATTTACTCTGCGACTTGTCTTCGCTTAGTCATCCCATCAGCCATCTAAATGATAAAAAAAGGATTCAACAAGTCTCTTTTTTTCTTTGTCATTTGCCATACTTTCTTTTTATTTCCTTGTCTAAATCAAAGTTGTAAACCTTTCATACTTTGATACTATGAGAAACAAGAATAAACCACTCAACCTCTTATCTATAACGACGTATCATTAGACATATGACCTTTATACTTGTACTTAAACCAACGTCGTTGATTTAGATAAAGAAATTTTGTATTTAATTATATTAAAAAATAGAAAATAAGCGTGTTTAATGATTTTTTTAAAATAAAATTACAGTGTCTATTCCGTCATTTCATTTCATTTCATTTCTTTTCTTCTCTTTCGTGTGAATGGATTGGTATTGGAAATTCTCACGTGCTCGTGTTCCTTTTCTTTTCTTAATCTGGTGTGGCCTTTGCATGTGCATTTGTTTCTCTTGCCTTCCTATCTGTGATCTCTCCACGTTTCGCACACGATTTCTACTCCCTGGCTCCTTGCCCTTTTTCAATTTCATGCCTTTTTCTTTTGTTTTTATTTATTTATTTAAATCAAATGTGTTTAACGACTCATTTTAAAATTTAAATTTAATTAATTAATTCCATGATTTTATAAATAAATTTTAAATTTAAAAGTTCATTTACACCAAATAAAACATTAATATTATTAGATGAATTTACACTGACTTTTTCATATTTCATATATAAATGTAATTGACTAATACTTTTTTCTGAGAAATGTATGATATGTTTTTTAGTGAAAATATATGTACTTTTATTTCTACTAAATAATCTATTTTAATGGCTGATGTATAGGTGAATACAAACACTCTGTGAAGGTACATAGTACAAAAATACTAAACTTTTAATACATCCACCTCATCTTCAGTTATGTCTACGTATGTATGACATCACGTCAGGGAAAAAAATCCGATGATAACTTTCAAATTTAAAGTGAGATCTTCTGAAATTCAATTTCCGGAGTTTTCTGTTTCTTGGTACGTGAGATTTGGAATCGATTTATTGTAGAAAAAACAAAATTCAAAATTCAAAATTTCTTTTTTTTTTTTTAATTTGTAATATTCCAATAAATGTTTTTAATAATGGTGGCTCCAAATCTCTTTAAAAAAAATAAAAATACATTTCTCTGTATATTTTTACTTCCTTAACAAAGGGCACTCCCATCCATCAAAGGCTAATGCACAGAAATGGGACACGACTGGGCAGGCACGAAAATCTCGGGGCAGAGTAATAATAATGACTAATAAGCCGATATCAACATCCAATCGGTGACTATTGAAATTCCCAAGCTCGGATGGCAATCAACTAGTATTTTCCACGTGTCTATTCATAATTTGTTAAAGGAACGTGCGCAAGCCGCTTGCTTGGTATTTCCACAAAACCATTTGCTGAGTGGTCCCCATTTCGGTCGTATTGCTTACCTGCAAGTCGGCACGTAAGTTAAACCATCACCTCACCTAACACCGTTTTCTACCGCCGTTTAAACTGCAACAAGGCGTGGAAATAAGTGCCCTGAAGATTGTTTGGGAACTGGAATATACTTGGACTTGGGCTCGTTCGCTCATCTTTTTTTTCCCAAAAATGGTAAGAAATGTTTGCCCGACAATCACACCGGATTAATTAAACTTGCTAAAAATGGCTGAATTTCTTTCTTAAACTATAAAAATAGTATTTTTCATTTTTTTTTTATTTTTCAAATGCGAAAAATATGAACTTATTTTTCTAAAATAAACAGAATCTTAAAATTAAGATAAGTATGTAAAATAAACTTATTTTAAATGAAGGCCAAATCTCCTTCTAAAATTTTAAATATATGAGAAAAATGAGTTTTTTCCACTAATTTCAATTGGTTCACAAACTTTTAAATTAAATTATTGTACTCATAACTGTATAGTTAATAATTTCAATCCTAATAAAAATAATAATTGTCACAATTGTTATTCTTAGAAAATATATGGGAATTTATAGTTGCAACCATAGTTATTTTGTAACATTAATGAGGTAATGTTTTTTTTTAGAAGTATTAATAATGTTTATTACTCAATCTCACTTAAGTTATCTAATGAAATAATATTGAAATTAATTTATTATTTTTTATAAATAAATTTACCTGAGTTTTTATATTTATATAGATATAGATAGAAAATATTAATGAAAATGAGAAATGCAAAAAGCAAATAGATGAAGAAAAGCAAAAAAGAAGTAAAAAAAAATGTAAAAACAAAAATATCAGAAAAAGACTGGGTAAGCAAACCTACCTGAAGACAAGGTATTTCCGTGTCATGGGGTGGGAGAAGTATATAACCGTGTACGAACACCAACCAAAACAAGAGGCAACACGGTAAATGAAATGTGGCAACGTGACCAAAAGATACGCAAGTGGGCAATATAATTATAGTTTGTGGAAACGCAAATGTCGCCGTTTACGAAAAAACAATAAAGAGAGCAAAGAACACGTGCTTCAAATATAAAATAATAAGATATTTAATTTACTAGTATTCAACCCACATTAACCTCCGCGCGAAGCTGCAAGGAACAAGCTTAAAAGCCCCATATATTCCTCGTGCTTCTTTAACCCAATTATTCAAACCTCCAACCAAAAGATATCTCTCTCTTTCTCTCTCTCCCCTTCTTTCTTTCTTTATTTATTGTAACGCATATGTATGTGCAAATGCAGGCTTAACTTGAAGCTATTGGATTTCGATAATTGTTCTTTGGATTTGTTTGTTTGTCTGTTTTTTATTTGAGATTTTGTCTCATCTTTTTTTTTTTTTTTAATTCACCGGAGGATTATGGCTAGCTCGCCGGAATTCGTTGAATTTGCCGGACAAAAGGCGAGTAGGTCACCGGAGAAGTCGAACTTCTCTCAGACTTGTAGTTTGTTGAGTCAGTACTTGAAGGAGAGAGGTAGTTTTGGAGATCTCAGTCTTGGTATGACATGCAATGGGGAGGGAAGTGGAAACGGTATGCGACACTACCTTTTGTTTTAAATTTTCTTTTCTTTTTCTTTACGTTGAATTCGAATTACGTTTTCGGGCAAATTTCGAATGTTTCGAAAGCGAATTTCATTCAATTTAAAGTTCGGCATGAATTTCATTTTTCCTTTTGAAATGTTGATTCTGTCACCTAGAATAGAACGGCCAAAGATTATATAGGAAACTTTAATTTAGATCTGCAAGTTTCTTTTAGATCCAAAATAATCTCATTTCTAATTGACCAATTCTCGAATATTGGATAATTATTCTAAGAAAGCGGTCCTATTTTCTCTCCTCGAAAGATTTTTCAGAGGGAAGAAAATATCATGCGGCAAATCTGAGTTATCGGAAATGTTTTTTTAGAAAGAAACTTCGTCCTCACAGTCAACTCAATAGAGCTCATATAAATAGCCATTGGTTTTTCTTTGAATCTTTTGTTAAGTGTCTTTTTCTTTCCCTGTTGCTGAAACTTACTAAAAGCTTCAAAAATAGTAGAAATCTAATGTTTCCTTTGACGTTCTATCCATATTTTTCAGGTAGCACGCCTGAGACGTTGCATCAAACAGCAGCAGCAACAACAATGAATTTATTTCCAATGAATGATAAACAAGATGACATTTCAAGCAGAAAAATGGCTGCTTCTCGAACTAATTTTAGATCCATGGACTTGTTCCCTCAACAAGCTGGTTTTGCTCCGAAGGAGGAGACACAAAAGAAGGTTGATTCAAGGTGTGAATTGATTTGCTATGACTCGTATTTACGTTAATCTTTGTATTGAATTTCCTTTTGGCTGATTAGTATTTTTGTGTTCCTGGTGGAAACAGGGCTGCAACTCCAGAGCCTCAAACTGCACAAATGACTATTTTCTATGCTGGAAAAGTAATTGTGTTCAATGATTTTCCAGCTGATAAGGCTAAGGAAATTATGCAGTTGGCTAGCAAAGGTAGTTCCCAGAACTTCACTCGGTTTCCTTCTGCTCCAGTCAAGAGTGTTTCTCCTGTTTTTGCTCCTAATGCAGCAGCTAGACCAACAATTGAATCTAGCAGTTCACGCCCTTCTAGTCCAGGCCCCAATTCTGTTCCTAATTTCTCCAATAATCTGATTCAAGACCATATCCAACCTTCACCTCAAACTATTACCAGTGGTAACTTCTTTATACCCACTCTGCTGTATTAATAATCTGCGAGAATTATTTGATTTTGTTGATTTTTTATTCTTTGGTTTACTATCAACAGATCTGCCAATTGCAAGGAGAGCTTCCCTTCAGCGATTTTTGGAGAAGAGAAAAGATAGGTAGGGTTTCATACACAATTAAATTCTGTAGTGCGAGAGGGAAAAGGGTCAGCTTGCCAATTGTTTGTGTGAAATTAGTTGTGAACGTACTGAATTAATTAGATTACAATATATGATTGAAATGTTTAGAAAAAATACATGTTATTGTACTGATTTAGTTAAAGAAATATACAAAATTGGAAAAGCAGTGTTATATTTAGAAGCAAAACAATAGAAATTTGTGTTTTGATTGATTGGATTTGTTATCTATTTTTGTTTACAGGGTCATTGCAAGAGCTCCATACCCAATGAGCAGCCACTCCTCAGCTGCTGCTGCTCCTTCCAAGGAAGCGGAAAGCAAGTCGTGGCTCGGCCTGGCACAGTAGCTCTATTCTTACTAATTATATTCATTTTTAGATTTTATATAATTTAGGCCTGTTATCTCATTTTGTTTTAGGCCTCTTATATTATCATCCTACTTCCTGGATTTTTGGCGGGTTGAATCCTGCTTCCTTCTTGAGCTCTTCATTTGGTTGTTTTAAGCCAAAGAAGGCTTTTATGTCGCCTACCTTAGATCTAACTGTTTATCAATCTCTTACTATTAGTTCATCATGTAATTAACTCTTTTGAGAAAATAGTTTAGCTTGTGATTATTTTAATTTGATTAATTATTAAGTTCCTATATAGAAATCTGTTTGGTTAAATGCTTGGATTGGACCTCTCATTAAAATTTATAAAATTACAAATAATTCAGGCATTTTGATATCACTATATTTAAAATTAAATTAGATTAAATTAAATACATTGTTTAAAGTGAAGGAGATAAGATCGTATTTCAGAAGATTTACAGCTAAAGATGAATTAGTCAATAATTAATCAAGATTTAGTTTCATCATATGTCATTATTCCTATGCTGCTCTATTGGTCTACATGATTATCAGAAAATGGGTCCTACTTTTTTGGAATAATAAAATTTAAGTAATAAAACAAAGTCCAAGGATGGATGGTGGTTGGTGCCTTTGTGGTGGCTGTTAAAAAAAAACAATTTTAAGGTATTTATTGTGGTTTTTGATTTCGCAACTCATTTTTTTAACATAAAGTGTCAAAACTTGTAAGAAAATAATGTAATTGATAATGACATATAAATACTTTTTCCATTAACAAACTAAAAAGTTCCACTTGATTGATACGATAATAAAAGTATAATAATACTACACCACGCGTTTTCCGAACATGAACAACGCGGAAACTGACTGTTCATTAAAAAATTGATTTCATATTAGGTATCTGATTATTATTTTCATTAATCATAATAAATCAAAGAGAAGGGTAAAGCCACCAAATGTTATAAACAAATGTGTACACATTATTTATGTCTTAGGCTTAGTATATTAATTAATTAATTAATAATTTATGTATTTCAGGATGGAAAAAATAATTTAATTTTTTATTTTTAATTAAGCTTCACATGCTATGTTTGAAGGGTATGGGTCGACTTATTTGACCAATTCTAGTACAAGTACGTCGTACTAATATTACTATAATTTTTATCATATGTACGTATGTCTGCTTTGCCAATTATCCATTCACCTATTTAAAAAAGTATTTTTTTTTATGTTAATAAAAAATTAAATAGTACGGCTTATTTGAAGAATATTATTATCAAAGTGATGTTTCAATTTATTATTATTTTTTAATTCATTGAATGTTTTAAGTCCGAAAAAGAACTTAAACTCGAGACATATCACTTTTCACTATATAAGTGATAAAATCAACCAGCCACTAACATACCAGATTAGCGATATTCAATTTATTGATTTCTAACTAAAATAAAAAAAAAAAAAAACTTAATTGGAGACATGACAAATTATTAATAATATATACTGTTATTTTGGACAGAGGTAATGATGGTATTGTAATTTCTAGGGTGGATGCCCCACTCTCCTTGCTTTATCTTTGTCAAAGCACTTGTTTTGTTTTCCACATTTGAGTTAGGTGAATTAATAGATTTTTTAGTGTTTTCAGATTCCATTTTTGACCCATTCTTCTCATTTGGAGAATACTATTATATACTAATATTTTATTATATATATAATTTTTAATCAAATACGTGCCTTTTGCAAATCATATTTATTTCACTCTATTTTAGATAATTTATTTTTCGCTATAAATATATATTTTTTGAAGGAACAAGTGGAAGAGTTTATCCAATTATTATTGAATGGGAGAAAGGTAAAATGAAGCCAACTGTTGGGTAACCAGCCCATCTTGAACTGGTCCTGTTTCAACGTGTAAATCTACTCAACGCATATTTGTTGGCATAGTTTGGGGCCCATATTTTGCAATGAAGCCCAACTTATATGGGCCAAGAAAGGGCGTGCACAAATATAACGCTTCCCTTTTTCTTTTTTCTTTTTTTTATAAATTAAATAATATTAAAAAGTTAAAATAATTTTTTGAGGAAAATAAAACATTTTAATTTTAAGATATTCAAGAGATTTGACAATTCTTATTCTTTTTCTTTTTCTTTTTTTTTGCAGAGGCAAAAAAATAATATTTTTTTTTTAGGGAAAACCGAAAAGTAGTATTCTTCCATAAACAGTAGCAATTGAAATGTTATTAATTGGTATTTTTAGTTATGTAAAGAGCATGAGATTTTCAATTCGGACTCTCGCGATATAAAAATTATATATCCTTAATGTTATTCAGTCCATCGGACATCCCAAAAATAATTTTAAAAAAAAAATTAAAGACAAAAATCATAAAATTTTTTAACAGAGGGTGAATTATACAGTATTAACTATGTAAAATGTTTGTATTGTCTCCGACATATTGAATATTCTTATTCTTAAAACATTATTAAGTACTTACATTGTTCAGAAAAGTAGTAGGACCAACAAAAATACGTGGCAAATCGATATCCAAATTTCTTGTGATCAAGAGATACTGAACGTGCGATTAAAAACACACCCGAATATTCATGTTCTTCAGAGCACATGATAATTTCTCAAGTCTTACCTTCCTTAATTTTTTATAGACCATCTATAAAGAAGAACTAAGCAGTCTCGTCTCCTCGTTTGGGTCTCTCTGTTTCCTGATAATTTCTCAATCTTTTTCCCTCCCTCTCGAGGGTTTTTTTTTTCCTTTTTTTTTTCTTTTTTCTTTTTTTTTTTTAAATTTTATTTTCCGTTTTTCAATTTTCCATTTTCTTTCTTTTTCCCTCTCTTTGAAACCCTAACCCTAGAGTTTTTTGTTTTTCAATTCTCACTATCACGATCAAAACTACAACGCTTTTAGTGGAAATTTGCATCTCTATTTGATAGATGATGCAGCATCAGAGGTTGAGGCAACAGGCCATGATGCAATACCCCCATCCTGCTGCTATTCTAGCTGCTCCCCAGGTTCTTTTTTTTTTTTTTTTTTTTTTTTTTTTTTTTTTTTTTTTTTTTTTTTTTTTTTTTTTTTATTCTCTTAATAGTTTATTTTAAAGCTTCTGGGATTTGGATTTGTTTATTATTTTATAATAAATTTTGGGATAAATTAGTTTTTTTTTTTTTTTTTTTTTTTTTTTTTATCTCTTATAGTTATTTTAAGCTCTGATTTGGATTTGTTTATATAAATTTTGGGATAATTATAAGGAACTTTGTCTTAAATGGATTTCTTCATTGAGTGACTGCTGGCCTTTGTGGAATCAGTGGTTAATATACTGATTTTAGGTTGTGGTTAGCTGATAATATGGTTAAATTTATAAATTTAAAGACTTTGGTTTTGCTTTTGGCTGCCTTGGTATCGAGCTTCTCCATACTATATTCAGTCACTAAAAAATATCTGTCTTCAATTACTCACGGGATAGTCATTTGAAATTAGTCAGCTGTTTATGGTTGTATTTATCCTGTAAACACTATCATTTTTATAGAGTTTCAAGTTTATGTTTTCCCACGACCTATAATATCTTTATCAAGCAACTGGTCAGGAGCCTAGTGTTTTCAAATTTTTTTTGTTTTATTTTTACATTTTTATTTTGCAGATAGAGCCTATCTTGAGTGGAAATCTGCCTCCTGGCTTTGATTCAAGCTCATGCCGCAGTGTGTGAGTGTTGCAGCCTTTTCTTTTTCCCTTTAATTTCTAGTTATTCTAGCATTGATGTCTGAACTGAATGAATCTTATATCTTTCCGTCCAAATAATTAAAAGGTTTATTCTCTCTTTAGCTGTGTGTTTGTGTTCTCTCCTCTCTTTTTAAGTTTGTGTTTGTATTAGTCTGTGATTTATGCACAATTGTTCACCCTCTTAAACTTCTATTGATGCTAAATGACATGCTTTATATGTTCTCGTGTTTTTACGTGGGTGGGTTCTTGTTATTTGGCTATAATTTTGAAGTTATGTTTACTATTATTTTTTTTTTTTTTTTCCAAATGACAAACTGCAGGTATGTGGGAAACATCCACCCTCAGGTTACGGAGCCCCTTCTTCAAGAGGTTTTCTCAAATGCTGGAGCCCTTGAAGGATGCAAGCTGATTAGGAAAGAGAAGGTTATTTCCATTGCAACAAATCTTAATGACTTTTCATATCGGGCTCCATGGTCAATAGCAATCTTATATATCTCCTTTTAGAGCTATAATAGTTACTATTGGACTGAGTCTTTTCCTGGCAATAATTGTTCGCCATAAGTTATCTTACCATCATATTTAATCTTATCAATTTGCATATTTTTGTCTTTGTTACCATCTTCCTGCTGATGTTTTGACTCCTTTTTCTTACTTATGCAGTCATCCTATGGTTTTGTGGATTACTTTGATCGCCGTTCAGCAGCTATTGCGATCGTGACCCTTAATGGAAGGCATCTGTAAGTTGGAATCGGAACTGAGTTTTGATTCAAGCTACTTCTTATTTCCTAATACATTTCTTTTCTATATAGGTTTGGACAGCCTATTAAAGTCAATTGGGCTTATGCCAGTAGTCAAAGAGAGGATACATCAGGTTTATTAAATGCAATTAACTACGAATTATTTTTTAGTATGGTGAATTTGATCTTTTGATCAATAATGGTGCTTTTATCGTTTCATACAGCTAATACTATTTTCTTATTTGTCTGCAGGTCATTTCAATATTTTTGTTGGTGATCTTAGCCCTGAAGTTACTGATGCTACTCTGTATGCGTGTTTCTCTGGGTATCCGAGTTGTTCGTGAGTATCCTTTCTCATTTTTATTCTGTGAACACTTACTAGTTATCTTACACTGGGAATCAAGATCATTTGGAGGCTAGACTGATCTGTACATTGGTTGCAGAGATGCAAAGGTTATGTGGGACCAGAAGACTGGGCGCTCAAGGGGTTTTGGGTTTGTTTCTTTCAGGAGTCAACAGGTGCAGAATTGGTTCAATGACATATTTTGGTTTGTCCTTTTGTGAATAGTTGTATTCTCCATTTTTATGTTGTACCTCTAATTTATATTTTTAACATGTCCAGGATGCCCAGAGCGCAATAAATGACTTAACTGGTATGATTGCTTTGTTTTCTTGTTTTGTTGTGCTATATATGTCCTTTTGTCCTATCATTTTATAGGATGCTGCATATATATATAATTTCTTTACTGTTTTAAGAACCATAATAATAGAATTTACAGCAGGATGGGACAAGGAAGTTGGAAATTTTCTGATGGGAATGGAACACTATGAAACTTTCGATATATTTATTTGCAAATCAAATATGGTACTCTACAAAGCTATTATGACATGGCTAACTGCGAGAAAAAATATAGTGTATGACAGCATGGCAAATGACTTGTTTGGATTCCTCAAAGTTCTTTATGGGTGTTGTGCTATATGCATATGCCTAGCTTGCTATAATGACATTGGAGAGGCATGTTTGTGGGAGCTTCGGTCTTATCATGAACTATGTCATTTACATACTGATACCTGCACAGGCATTAGAATGTCTTATGTCTATTCGGTCGTATGCATACAATTCATTTCTTGTTGGGTGTACTTCCTCCATTTTTCTTGTCATATAATAGTGTTTTGTTTTTGATATTACAGGAAAGTGGCTTGGAAGCAGACAAATTCGGTGTAACTGGGCCACGAAAGGTGCTAATGCCAATGATGACAAGCAGAGTTCTGACGCCAAAAGTGTCGTAGAGCTAACAAATGGAACATCTGGTATCGATCAATATGAAATTTTAAGTTCTTGTCGTAGGATATTAGTAATGTTGTTGATTTATGAAGTTTCTCTCAATTGCTATGTTTATGTGCAATAATTTTGGTACCTGAGTTGTTAGAGAAATCAGCGCTTTTCAAGCTGAAGGAATAAGGATGAATTGTTGAATTTGGCCTTTGCAATGGTGGTTTCTATTCCTTTATGTTTTTGATATTACTTTTAGATTGTGATCTATATTTTTTCTGCCTCATGGATTGCAACAATCTACTGGCTTTTTGCAGTGTTCAACATGCAAATTTTCGTTTTAAATCACATAATATAAGTGCTTGGTTCTTAAGAGTTGGTTTTTCTACGTACACTTGTTAACATATGCTTCCATGGGCTATAGTTCTTTTCAGTTTAGTGGTATCACTGATGTTATTGTTGGTCTCTTTTGCTTGTATTAATGGGACATATGCCATTATTCCATTGCATGTATCTTCTAAATGCTAGGGCTTAGATGATGCTTTTGCTCATTGCAGAAGACGGCCAAGAAAAGAATGATGATGCGCCAGAGAATAATCCTCAGTATACCACTGTTTATGTTGGCAACCTTGCTCCCGAGGCAAGAATTCTTCTTTATCTTGCAATTACTGGTGAATGCAATTTTTATACTCGGGTTCCAGTGGTGCATTCATGGTGCGGACCATATTAGGCCTGTTCATGTAAAGGAGAAAAAGTTGTACTGTAGTTAAATGCTGTTTGGTGGCTTCAGGACTGGATTAAATTCAGGGCATTAATGAAAGCCTTTTTGACAGAATTTATAACTTTGCCTAGATAATAGGTTTGCTTGTGGATTTGGCATGATAACTAGATGGAGTTTTGTAAATAAATAAATATCCTAAAATCTTCCATCACAACGTTCCTAATGCTGATATATGAATTTTTTTGATTTTAGTAGACTTGATAGAATTGTTACATGAAATCAAAGTGTTTCATCTTTTAATGCAAATGTTAACGGGTAAATGCCATTGTCAGGAAATACCATTGTCCTCTGCAGAAAAAAATGCTACTGAAAATTTTATGGGTGTTTCTTTCTCATGAAAATATAATTTGCAGGTTAGTTCTGCAGATCTTCATCAGCATTTCCATGCACTTGGTGTAGGAACTATTGAAGATGTGCGGGTGCAACGAGATAAAGGTTTTGGTTTTGTGAGATACAGTACACATACTGAAGCAGCTCTTGCTATTCAGATGGGAAATGCTCGTTTTCTACGTGGCAAACCTATTAAGGTGAATTTTCAATAGGAAATTGGGGTACCATTTCATTGATGTTTTTTTATTTTATTTTATTTTATTTATTGAAGTGTGTTATTGTTCTGTCATAAATCTGTAGTGGTGTGCATGGTGTTTCTGGCATCTTTTTTGCCCGATGCATTTATATTTGGAACGTTCTGAGAGATTGGATATGACTTGTCCGATAATTTAATATTTCAGTGCTCGTGGGGAAGTAAACCCACTCCACCAGGAACAAGCTCTACCCCTCTTCCTCCCCCAGCTGCTGGACATATGCCTGGCCTTTCAGCTGTTGAGCTTGCAGCCTATGAGCGGCAAATGGCATTGAGCAAAATGGCTGGTGCTCAAGCCCTCATGCTTCCACAAAGTCAGCATGCCCTTAAGCAGGCCGTCATGGGAATGGGTGCTGTGGGATCTAGTCAAGCAATATATGACGCCGGATTCCCTAATGTTGCTACAAGCCAGCAGATTATGTACTATCACTAATATAGTGTTATCAGAAACCCTCATGAACCCTGGTAGTGAGGAATAAAATATTTGAAAAACTGTAGGATGGTTATTATGTTACATATTCTGCTTTGTATGTGTATGCGATAGAGTCTCGGTTGCTTTCTTGTACTAGGTTATGATATGATGAAAACAAGTATTTGCTTTTATAGTTTTATTTGGGAAAGAACATTGCCTTTTTCTCTTGCCTGCGGATTTTTCATCATCAACTTTTCTGTTTTTCTAGTTATGGTAATTTTTCATCATTGTGTTTGTGTATAATGAAGGAAAGAAAGTGTTTGAAATATTTTTTGATTGTTTGAGATATAAATGCGAAGTAAATTACCATAAAGTTTAACCGGATCGACAAAGGCTTTTTATCATTTCTGTTTTAATTTTTTTTATCAACAGTATGACTAAGATTACAAAGTTAACAAATTAATTTTGATTTCTGAAATCAACAATAATCATCGATTTAGAAAATGAAGTTAAAAAAACGCATACATTCTGGAATTCTTCGGATTACAAATTTCTTCTTTAGGTCTGGTTTCTAACAGCAAAAGATTTGAAGGACACCCCATCTCTTCGATAACCAAATCCTAAGAGGAGCAGACTCTCGAATAACCCATTAACCGCACATACCCAAATGTCTATCCTCCTCTCATCCACATCTCCTCTGCAGCTCTACTCTCCTCAAAGATTTTTGCAACATTGAATTAGTGTATTGTAAATTAAGCAATTTTAATAGAATTTATTGCTCTTCCAAAGAAGAGCAAATTGTTATGAGCTGCTTATCACGTGTTTCTTTGTACACTGCGGCTGTATTTGGAAGGGCGACCCATAGCGTCTCGACGAGTGCTTCTCATCAGTGTTCTACTCCCTTGTGGAAAAGAAGCTTTGAGCAAACTGGTATTAAAATAATCAATTCGGAACCTGTGTTGCCTAGATTTCGTATTCAGTGCTATTCCTCTACAAAAGGTAGTGTAAGAGCTTCACGCAAGAAGGAATCGAATCTTGAGCCAGCAGTTATGGAGCCAGAGATAGAGAAAGACGCTTTCTTTGTTGTGCGGAAAGGCGACGTTGTTGGCGTTTATAAGAGTTTCGCTGATTGCCAGGCTCAAGTTGGATCATCGGTATTCTTTTGATCTTTTATCTTTGAATAATTTCAAAACTTGATGCTTTTTAAGAATTTGTCTGCAAATTACTTGAATTTCATAGAATTTGACAATGGCGCAAGTATGTTAAATTCCATGGTTATTAAAGATAGAATTGCCAAATGAATTTTCTTTTTTAGATTAACAAGCATGTTTTGTGTGGATTGGGAGTGAATTCCATAAAATTTTATAGAATGCTTTTGTCTCAAACAACCTATTAATGATGTAGTTTTCACATTTACTTTTTGTGGTTTTAAGTTGCTTTTGAATTATTTTCTTTTCTTGTATCCAACTAGGACATTTTGGATGCTACTATATGTAACTCTTTATTAATTGGTTAGTGCCATTTAAAGGCAGACACCAGTAAAATGCCCATCCTAAACAATTGGTTTTTCACTGTTTCTTGTGTTTTACTATTAAGAGCAATGCTATAGAACTGTATGACATTCTAATGCAGTTCCTTTTGTTGGATAAAAATGTGACTTTAGATGAGTTTAAAAAATGTTTAAACCTTTCTATTCTCCTAGGTATGGGATCCTCCTGTCAGTGTATACAAAGGGTATGCTTTACCTAAGGACACTAAGCAGTATCTTGTTTCTCGTGGGCTCCAGAATGCTTTGTACACAATCAGAGCTGAGGATTTGAAAGAGGACCTTTTCGGGACGCTTTTACCTTGTCCTTTTCAGGTAAGTTGACATATTAATTGGTGTGAATGCTAAATCATTTTCTTTGGTAGGCAAGGACGACCAATTTTTTTTTTTTATTGAAATCTTTTCATGCTCTTTTGCCTATCCATGGTGCTTGAATAAGATCTAATAGTTGACCTGTATGATAGGAAGTTTTACTCAATATATTATTGCAGCAACCCACTTCTTCCAGAGGAGACTCATGTGTGCTGGATGCAACAACAAAGAAGAGATCACATCAATTAGTGGAATTGCAGACCGTGGTCAGTTTAGAGTTTCATCTTTCTCTGAAATGTAGAATCATTATATAAGTGTGAAAATGCACTTATGCAGAATATAACATCACCTTATATTGTTTCTTTCCACTGGAAACGAACTTGATCATCTTTTTCTCCTCATTTTCTGTCTTTCTGTATGTGTGTATGGCAGTTAAAAACTTCCATGAAATGTGATCCTGCAATGTTTTGTGGGTATATGACATGACTTAGCTTTGATAACTTCAGTTTGCAAATTCTATTGGCAGGCTATTCCCTTTTCGTAATCATTTTATGTATGCACTTCATTTAGATGCATGTTTATTGCATCGCAGGAAGCAGATGGATCAACATCTAGTTTAACTGATCCCTTGAGAAAGCACGTCAAATTGGATAATCAAAGTGAGGCTCAGGTACTGTATCATGGTTATGCATGCAGATGTCATATTGAAGCATGATGGATGCAAATGTATCTTTATTTCTAGCTTATCATTTGTTACGAGTTGATACTATAGATAGTGAAAGAGTTACTCTTGAGTAAGTCTTGTGAGGATTAGTTGATGAATGATTTTAATTGTATATGTAAAAGGACATTGTGAATTTGGGAAACAATAACAAACGTGATACTTTATTTGCAGCAGTCCTGTATTCTCGAGTTTGATGGTGCTTCAAGAGGCAATCCTGGACCAGCTGGTGCAGGAGCTCTATTGCGGACTACTGATGGCAGTGTGGTATCCATTATGGCTTTTCCTATATCATCTTGTCTTCTGTTAGTGGTTCAATCTCATTAAACCTCCAATTCATAAAGATCTGCAGATTGCGAGAAGGGTTGGGTACAGTCACATGTAATGTGGCTGAATATAGAGCTGTGATTTTAGGATTGAAATATGCTCTTAAAAAAGGCTATACGAAAATCTGTGTGCAAGGTGACTCCAAACTCATCTGTTCTCAGGTTGGTTCTGCCTTTTTATCTGCATCCTCCTCTCCTACTTCCCAGTTTTCTTATATCCGGTGTTGTGCGTGTATATATATGTGTGTCTGTCTGTGTATATTTTCTATATCATGTATATTATATATATATATATATATATATATTCTTTTTCTTGTTGAAGTTTCGCTTGAGATTGAATAGTTATCAATGTACAGAATGCTGCATGCATATCTTTGTTTCTTTATCTCTTACCTTTCTCCCCTGGGGGTTAGGATTGAGGGTGGGGGAGGATAGGATACAATGGACTGGGGGATTTGCTTGGTTTTATGATTGCATAGTCTTTTCATAGTTTCAAGTTCAATGCATGTTTTTTCTTTTCTTTCCTTGTCAAAAATAACAAGGCAAAGCCAGTGCATCTGCTAGATTTTGGACCACAATTCATGTGGGGATAATGCCATAATTTCTTCAAGTCTGTATCCTAGTCCCAACTCAGATTAATGAGGAAGCATTTGGAATATTATCAAACTGCCCTTTTCTTTCTTTGGCTTGGACTTGTAAGTTTGTAAAAAAAGAATAATTCGCTCCAATCTGATTCATGGGTGAAAAAGCTCAGAATCCATGTTCAGCTGTTCAGTTCATGTTGCATTTGTTATCTAGTGGATGATCTTTTATTTTATCATGGATAATCCTAGGTGTGTTTTGATATCATATTTTCGATTCTCACATGGAAAAGTATGGAACAGATTCAGGGTTCATGGAAGGTCAAACACAAAGACATGGCCAAACTATATGAGCAGGTCAAAAAGCTTAAAGACAAGTTTATTTCTTTTCAGATCAGCCATGTCCTAAGGGTTTGTGCTGTTCATTATAATTGTACTTTTGTGACTGTGATCTATATCTTGTGTTGAAGAACTTGCTTCTATTTGCTAATCTAATAACTTGCCAGAATGCTTTTCTATATAAGCTAATTTGACTCATCATAACTGCCCACTTTCTCATAGTAACATAAAAGTAGAAAGAGCAGTTCTTAGTTGAAAGTCTGTAATCCAGTGCTAATGCTTCTTTGGCTTTGTTGGATCATTCTAGTACCCTGACCTAGTCTTCTGTGTTTCACAGGAATTTAACTCTGAAGCTGATGCTCAAGCCAACTTGGCCGTCGCTCTTGCTGGTGAGGTTGCCTGTTTCAACGCCTACTGCATTTAAATGTTGTCCGACTTTAATTATATCAAGTATTTGTCGGATCTCTTTCTGATGCAGATGGCCAAGTTCAAGAGGAATGTGCAGAGGGATAGAGACTGAATGGTGTGTTTTCATTTGAACTCGTTCATTTAGAGATCAAACTGCAGAAGCAAGTGAATTTACAACTTACAACAATTGCAGAGCAATAGCAATTTTACAATAAACATTTTCAGTTTGATCTCCGAATGGATTTGATATTTTGCCTTGAATTTTGAAGCAGCACAGAAATAGATTTTTTCAAGCCCATTAGCGTCACCGACAATAGCCAATGGTGTTGGCTCATTTCCCATTGCCGGTCCAATTTTAAGAGAGAGAATTGTGAGCTTTTGGGTGATTTTGAGTTCAGGTTTTGACTGTTATTTCCCATTTGTATTTTGTAATTCTTCATTTTATTAGTGAATTTTGCTCCCATTTGCTCCTGGAATAGGCTTATGTCCAACCACGTAAAAAAAATTTTCCTTAATTTATTTTATCTATTTTGTAGTTGCATTCTGTTTAACCTGAATAAATATTTGCTTCTGTTGCACCAAAGTGTTACCTCTGCACCTTTTATTTTCTTTCATGACGTTAACAGTCAGAGAAACAACTCTGGAACTTGGTGGTCCATTTGCGATAATGTATGTTGTTTCATGTCTGTATTATAGCATTTACGATAGAAGTGCTGGGAAATGACAAACAGGACAAAGGCAAACCAATACTGTCAAAAGCTGATGCTAATTATAAGCTAACAGACTATAAGCTCCTTCGTCATTGAGCTTAAAGTTGTCATTTTGTATTGAAAGCTTCATTGCTTAAAGTTATTAGAAAAAAGCAATTTGAAACAATTATAGAGCAGCTTTTATATGTTTATTATGACCTCAACGCATCAATTCAATCTTCAATGTAAGTCTTCATTATACGTAATCGACATATGTTCAAGAAAGCATTGTTTGTTTTTACAGGAAAAAGGAACAGAAATTTTGACAGGAAAGAAATAAAAAAACCATCATCTTTCTTTATGTGCTTTTTGTGAAGATGGGTCCTAAATTTCTCTCTCTCCCGATGTCAGTTAAAAGACAGAACTTTACATGATAATATACATGATAATATCCAACAACTGCGAGTCAGTCTCCAATTAATTTTGTTGCATTCATTAAGTAATTGGAAATAATATATTTATTTTCATAATAATAAATATAATTATAATTGCATTAAAATTCAATTTATGCCTATCATATCATCCCATCATGCATGAGAGATGCCAAAATTGACTTTAATTATTTTAGGGGCTGTCATCCATCACAGATTGGTCCGTCCGGTCCTACTTTAGTGACCAAATGGACAGATGCTTTTGTTTTTTCTTTCTTTCTTTCTTTTATTTTTTGTTTTCATATGCAAATAATAAATATAGTGGCGTTGATTGAATTGTTACAAAACGATAAATCATCCTTCATAATATCATAATTGTAAAATTCTGACCAGTACTTAATCATATACCGCAATTACAATTATTTTCTCAATATAATAATTACATTTTTTTTTTTTTAAAAAAAAAGGTAAAAATCCATTTTCATATTCATAATTTTCCCTGCAATCCTAATTCCCGAACAAAAATTGTTTCTTTCTTTTTTTTCTGAATATTGAGAAGATAAGTTGTCATGTATATAATAGATGTTATTGCTATATATAATAGAGTTTTAACCGTAGTTATATGGTTTTCTAACGCTAAATGGCAAGAATTCCAGTAGAGAAGATAGGACTTGTTGTGTATGGTGAGCTTGAAACATCTGCAGATCTTGCAATTTCTGATCTGCACTGTTCTTTCCTCTCATCTATCATCATCTGCCTCGACCGGCATTCTACGCTACAGAATGCTTTCTCTCCTCTGTAACAATATTTATTCCAACACTATAATTAATTCTAAAAGCTCCAATATTTATATATAAATCAATCTTGAAAACAAAGAAAGATATAATATTAATTACCTGTACATATATATATCTCTCCCATGGAGCTTTTTCTTGCACAAGTGGCATGAACTAAGAAAATCTGAGGTTGGATACAAGCTGGAAACATCGCCATCGGAAAATTTAGCCGCCGGCGGTGGCGGCAATGGCAGCGCTTCCTTAATAACATGAAACCCAATTCTATGATTTCCATGATCATCATAATACAATTTTGTCAAGGACTTATTATCTGGTCCATGGCTGGTTACATACGTAAAATTCTCCAAACTCTGATCCCTTTCTCTTTCTTTACAATAAGAATATCTCTCACATTTCTTACCAGAATTGACTGGTATAGGATCTGACCTGTTCATGTTCATATTTGCACTGCAAATTGCATACTTTGCTAATATTTCATGTCCTCCATCGCAAGTAGACTTCTCAAGAGCAGCAACAATTCCTAATCCAACTCCACCAATATCGTAATAGTTCTTTAACCCTCTTGGTGATTGAATTTTATACTCTAATGGGCTTCTTGGACTTGGGGTAGTACCAATTTCCAAGAATCCTGCACGGTTGCCGGAAACCAATAATTCCGATAATCTTCCCATCATTGGATGAGTTCTCTTGCCCAGCATGGCTATAATATTTGTATTTGTGTATGAAGAAGATGAGATGAAATGAAATGAAATATAAAAATAAATCTCTCTGCAATTGCAGAATGATATAACCTATAGGAAGTGTCTGTCTTGAATTTATTGTGGAGTTGGTGCACTTAGCCCTCAGGTTTTTGGACTTATGTGATTATTGATTGCTAAAAAAAAGCTTATATTATTATTAATTTCACCATTATTTTTAATTATTAAGTAATAAAATAATAATTATAAAAATGTTGCCTATCAAGGTGGGCCCATTATTTTATCATGTCCACATCCAATGATTGGGACCTCTTATTGGGATGTGGTCCCGTGATGAGTACAAAAAGATTCCAAAGTCGCTTACTGCCGTCCAGATCGATGAACGTGTCAAGATCTTATGCAATTTTGAGTAAGCAATAATTACTTAGACCACCAGGAAGTTGGATGAGCCCACTGAATTGAAGGCCCATGCTTTTGGCATTGAAAATGACATGCTCTTTGCCCACTCTAGTGGGTTTTTCCGAGTGAATTACCCTTTGCTCCTCCACTTGACTATTTCTCATCTTCTATTTCTTTTACAAAATTTGCACAAAATTTTATTACTTTTGTAATCGAGCCTTTAACTTATAATAGAAAGAATTAAAAGAATTAGTATTAATTTTTAAAATTTATTTTTAATTATTTTAGGTAAAAAAATAATATGTTTAAATTTTATTTGAATTATATTAAATAATACGTGACCTTTGTATCTCTTTAAAAAAAAAACTAGTTATTCTCCTTTTCTTTTCATATACTTTTTAAGAAAATAATTATTTTTATATAAATTTCTGCATCGATAAAATAAATAATAGGTGTATTTATTATAAATCTTATAGGAATATATTGTAGAAGAATATTTTTTTTTTTTTTAGTTTTGCAAATCTTGTGAAAAGAGAGGGAATATTATTATTTTTTTTTTTTGCTACAAAGATTACAAGATTTTTTTTTTTTAAAAAAAAAAAAGAAAAATACTGAAAAAAGTGGGAGAAAACAGTTAAAAGAAAAAGGAAAGGTGAATCATAATTAAGTTTTACATAATAAAGGTGATACATTATTGTATTATGTAGTGCAATTATTAAGGGGCATTTAGGGAATTTGGGGTGAATAAAAAACTATGTGAGTATATGATATAATGTGGGATACCCTAGGTTGTAGGTTACAAAACTAGTAATCACAGGCCACAACAAAAGCAAAGGGACCCATTTTTTAATGTTTGCATATGTAGGATTTGTGGTTTTCATGATTTGGTTCAAGCCACGACCCGAATTAATCCAATTAGGTCGGACCGGCTTGCAAATGATAATGATTTCTTTATTTCCTATTTTTAGTGGAGAATATCATCTATCAAGATATTGACACGTACCTTCAATTCCTCTTTTTATTAGGAAAACCTATCTTTTATTATTAATTTTCTTTATGACTTGTAATATCATGTGAGGTGTACAAGATGCTGACCCTCACTTTTTAATATTTCTCTCCTTATTTCAGGGTTTAAATTTTTTTTTTTCAAAAAAAAAAATTTGGAGAAAAAATTAATTAATTAGATCAATTGCATTTTTAAAATATTAAATTTGTAAATTTTAAAAATTATATTTATCAAATTGTTCATTAATTGGAATGACAAAGACAGCCTCTTATTCAATGAACTGAATTGTTTCATTTGGATGGACGTGAAACCACCTTGCTCCCTAGCAAATCTGGGGGCATATGATAAACTTTGAAAGGAAAACAAATGACATTTAAATATTAATATATGTTAATGCAATTATTTCTTTTATTTATAATATATTAAATATTTATAATATATGCTTTGGAATGCCAAATAAGTAATTGTATAAATAATAAGTTAATGTATTTATGTACTTCATCCGTGGTTTGCAATTAATAATATCATTTAATTATTATTTTGTTATATCGCCAAAGACTTCTAAAATATCATGGGCTTTATTAACACTATTCAGCCCAAGAATCATAAATCATCAATTAAGCTTCTTCATGTGTAATGCAATATATAGCAGATTGGTCTGGAATTTTTAAAATGACCTTATGGCGGTCAATAATAATATTTCACAGTTGTTTCTCCTGAGACGACCGTCGTTCACTGACATTGTTTTTGATGGACGACCTGTCGTCTCTTGAATTATACATGCGAATGTTAAGATTTTGTTTGTTCTTAAAATATTGAAGATGAAATCAGTTACGATTTTATCATAAAAGGGTCAAATGTAACATTTTTTTTTTCTTTTTTTCAAGTGCTAAACTCCAAATCATGTTTCAGATGTGAAGCTGTTAAAAGGATTTTGGATTATATCAACTTAAAGATAGGAAATGTTGTTAATCTCTCATGCTACTATAAAATGCGTACAAGTTTGTTACTCTACTCATCAAAACATCAACTTAACTATCTATGGCTTCTGCAAATTTTCTTTATGCAATTTGCATTTGCTTCTCTTTTCTGGTTCTTTCATCAGCTACAACTGTTACGCATGACGGAAGAGCCATTAAAATCAATGGCACACGTAGAATTTTGATATCAGGTTCCATTCATTATCCAAGAAGCACGCCTGAGGTAATCTTTCTTTGGTTAAATTTTATTCCCTATGCTAATATAATGTAGCTTCTTTGTTCTTGATATACCTTAAATTCTCTTTTTTCAGATGTGGCCAGACCTGATAAAGAAAGCTAAGGAAGGTGGTTTGGATGCCATTGAAACATATGTGTTCTGGAATGCTCATGAACCAGAACGTCGCAAATATGATTTTACTGGTAATCTTGATCTTTTCCGGTTCATCAAAGCAATTCAAGCTGAGGGACTCTTCGCAATTCTTCGGATTGGACCATATGTTTGTGCTGAATGGAATTATGGGTAACCAAGAATCCATATAAATTGAATGTTTGTTTAGTTTTTATTTATACGTAACTAACGTTTTATTTTCTTATTATTAGAGGTTTTCCTGTATGGTTGCACAACAGGCCTGGCATCCAGTTTCGCACGGCAAATGAAGTGTTTATGGTAATGTTCACGTTAATTAAGATCATTTAGTTTTACCCTTATCACTTACATTTTTATAACGTATTACTATTTCCCTTCTTTAGGATGAGATGCAAGGTTTTACAGAGGAAATAGTATTATTGGCCAAACAACAGCAACTCTTTGCATCACAAGGAGGTCCTATCATTCTTGCACAGGTATATATGTGTATATATATATATATATAAACTTGTATTTTTTTTTTTTTTCTTTCCATTTAATTATTATGACAAGTTTTACAAATTATGAACAGATTGAGAATGAGTATGGGAATATAATGTCTGCATATGGAGCTGGTGGAAAAGCATACATTAATTGGTGTGCAAATATGGCTAATTCGCTTGACATTGGAGTTCCATGGATTATGTGCCAACAAGATGATGCTCCCCAGCCAATGGTATATACACATTTATCTAAATTAACTAATTATGATTTTGTTTTATTAATTGAACAATTCAAATGCTTTAATTAACCAACTGCACCATATTTCTTATCAGATCAACACTTGTAATGGATGGTACTGTGATCAATTCACACCCAATAATCCCAATAGCCCAAAAATGTGGACTGAGAATTGGACTGGTTGGTTTAAGGGTTGGGGTGGTAAAGATCCACACAGGACTGCTGAGGATCTTGCTTTTGCTGTTGCTAGATTTTTCCAAACTGGAGGCACATTACAAAACTACTACATGGTTAGTATTTAATTAAATTATCATTAGGATTAAATTCTAATTTATAGAATTTTATTTTTTTAATTACTTCTTGGTTTTTTTAGTATCATGGTGGGACTAATTTTGGAAGAACAGCTGGTGGTCCATATATTACTACTTCTTATGATTATGATGCGCCCCTTAATGAATATGGTAGGAATGTATCTTTCAGCTTTTATTTATTTATTTTGTTTCTGTCATTAATATATTTATGTTGAAATTCTTAACAGGAAATTTGAATCAACCAAAATATGGCCATTTGAAGCAGCTCCATGCTGTTTTGCACTCCATGGAATATACTCTTACCCATGGAGACATTTCCACAATAAATTATGACAATGCAGTCACTGTAAGTATTATTGGTGTAATTGGAGATTATACAATTAATCAATCACCCTATTTTATATAATTAATTATAAATGTTTTATTTTTGAATTTGCAGGCAACAATTTATGCATCTGAGAAAGGGTCAAGTTGCTTTTTGAGCAATGCAAATAGCACAACAGATGCTACCATTGTGTTTCAATACTTAGAATACAAAATTCCTGCATGGTCTGTCAGTATTCTTCCTGATTGCAAAAATGTAGCATATAATACAGCCAAGGTAATCTACTTATTTATGAATATTACATCTTCTTGGAAGAAAATAAATAGTCTGTTATTTAATCTTTAAGTATGTCTATATAGGTGACAACTCAAACTACAACGATGGTGAATCAAAAGACGACTTCATTTTTTGACTGGTCATGGAGGCCAGAAGACGTTAACTCAACCATTGTCTTGGGCAGTGGCGATTTTTCTGCAGACCAACTTCTTGATCAGAAAATTTTTAATGATTCTAGTGATTATCTTTGGCATATGACCAGGTAATTAATTTCAAGTTTGTCATTAATTGGATAACCTTAGCATTATATATTACTAATTGAATGATTTGATTTATTTGACAATTAACAGTGTGGATCTTAAGAAAGATGATCCCATTTGGACTGATGATATGTCTCTTCGAATTAATGGTACTGGCCACGTTCTGCATGCATTTGTCAATGGAGAAATTGTTGGTACGTACTTGCATAAATAACAAGCATTATTATGTATAAATACCATAATTAGAAAACAGCTTATAATTTATTATTATTATTATTATTTATTTTTATCAGGTTCTCAGTGGAGGAAAAATGATCTCTTTGAAAAGAGTATCAAGTTGAAACAAGGAAGAAACTTGATTACTATACTCAGTTCGACAGTTGGTTTACAGGTACAGACATTAGTGTGTTTATATTAATGGAGTGTTAATTAACAGAAATGAGTTATAGTTAATTGATTTTCTATTGTTTTCTTTCAGAATTACGGTGCAAGATTCGACTTGGGACCAACTGGAATTCCAGGGCCAGTAGAGTTGGTTGGACGCAAAAATGATGAGACAATTATTAAGGACTTATCTTCTGGAAATTGGACATATAGGGTTGGATTGCAGGGATTGAACCAGACTGTCGTGGACAATAATATAATGTACAATTTGAATTTACCTGAAACTTTCAAATGGCAGGATAAAGATCTTCCTTTTTTCACGATGATGACTTGGTACAAGGTATGCATATTAATTTATGTAAAAAAACTATTATCTGATTTTAAAACTTATGAACTAATTATACTTGTGTTGGTTAAAACATTTCAGGGCACTTTCAAAACTCCCTCTGGAAACGATCCAGTTGTATTGGATATGCTTGGCATGGAAAAGGGATTGGCTTGGGTAAATGGTTACAGCATTGGGAGATATTGGCCAAGTATTCTTGCAGACGACGATGACTGTACAGAGAAATGTGACTATAGAGGGGCATACAACAATAACAAATGTCTCACCAATTGTGGTAAACCTAGCCAAAGAGTGTGAGTATTGTATTAACTCTCTGGTTATGGTTTCTAAATTTTTGTTATTAATTTAATTTGGTATATATAAAGGTATCATATTCCTCGATCTTTCCTGAAAAATGATCCCAATGCTACCAATACACTGGTTCTCTTCGAGGAGTTTGGTGGAAGTCCATTTTTTATAACTCTCCAAACAGTTACAGTTGGAAAAGTAAGTGGGAGAGGCAATGAAGGAGACACAATAGAGCTTTCATGCTATGGAAAACCCATTTCAGCAATCCAGTTTGCTAGTTTTGGTGATCCTCAAAGGACTAGTAATGGCTCCTTTGAGAAAGGCAGTTGTGAAGGGTCTAAAGATGCTTTATCAATTGCCCAAAAGGTAATTAGTTTTGTTAATTGAAATTGAGTTAAGTGGATATATACCTAATTCTTAATTAAATTGTTTGAACCATAATTTTGCAGGCATGCGTTGGGAAGGAGACTTGTGCAATTAAAGTTTCTGCAGATGTATTTGGATGCACAAATTGTGAGGAAGGTGTTGAGAATAGTCTAGCTGTGGAGGCTTTGTGTTAACAAGATGAAACTTTTGTAGTTTTGGGCTAATTAGGTTGGTTTTTGTTAGGGATTTAAAATTTTGCATGGAGATGTACCCAAAATTGTTCATAAATTAATAAAATTAGAAAAGCTTTAATTTCTCTTATATATTCAACTTGGTCTTGCATTTCTTTGATTTGCAGTTGCCCATTTCTTTTTGCAATGCTCCTATCCTCAATCTTAAATGTTGACCTTTTTACCCACAAGCGACAAGCAAACCACCTGTCGTTCGACAATAGTGATTCAAGCATTTATCTATTTAATTTCAATTTACAAGTTTCCATGTGGGTGATTAAATAAGAATAATTCTTTTTTAAGTATGTCATAGTTATGGATAAATAAGAATAATTCTAGTATCTATTTTTAGTCCTTCATTTAAGATTTTTTTTTTCCAGTAATTAAGGTAAGCTAAAAAAATTAATTAATTATCCCTAATTTCATAAATAATTTTGGAAAACAACTTTTACAAATAAGAATCAACATAGAGAATAATTAATTGTATATGAAAAATAATGTCTAAGGCTTGCATATGAATTACTTTCTTGGATCAGATGTGAATGAATCATGATTTACAAATATCACTAATTTACAATAGATGATATCAAATAACCTATTACAGCATTATTTCACCATATTAATTATCACTAAATCAAAAATAAAAATATTACTAATTTTATAAAATTAAAAATATATGAATTTGCACATACAAACATATATATAAAAAATATGCATTTAAAACTAAGTTTTGTAATACAATTTATTTACACCAAACAGTCTCTTAATCTTCTAGTGAAAGTAGAAGCACACTATCACATTGCAAGCCAACTTCATACTTAGAATTTTAGATACTTAGAATTATTTACAAGAAGCCATTTCTTATGGACTACCTAAATCCTATTTCCCATAACTAACTACAACCACACTTGTGCGACATTGAACACTAATCACTAAATAAAATTATATATAATTACGTTCATTACGGCATTGGCATCCAGATGTGAAGTGAATTCAATTGAATTTCTTTAGCACAGCAAGTAATATACACATAATTTTACAAATTAGATATATCAACATTAACCTGATTACAGCCATTATTTCCACCCATATTGACATTTTATTCCACTAAATCAAAACATAAAAATCATTACTAATTTTATACAAAACATTAACGATATCCATAGTAACTTGAACTTTGCACATTACAAAAATCATATATTAATACAAAAAAAATCACAAACAATATACTAAGGTTCCTTGTAATACCAATTTATTACACCAATAATCAGCTGCTAAATCTTCTAGTGACAAAGCTAGAAGCCACACTATCCTCACATGTGCTCAACTACAACCATATACTTAGAGCAATTATTAGATACTCTTAGGCAACTTAATTTTTACAAGAACAGCCCATTCTTATGGGACTACCTTAAAATACCGTATTTTTCCATAAAACTTAACCTACAACCAACACTTCGCTGCGTATACATTGAACACTTCAACTCAACTAAATAAAACAAAACAAAAAATATAATATACTACTCCATATTAAACCTCATATACTGATAATAATTACCAAAAAAAATTTCAAAATAAGCTAACTTACAATACTAAATGCCCCAAATTTAGATTACTTGAGATTTATTTACCGTATTTGCCAATTGAAGATTGATATATCATTAGACCTGATATACATGCTACATAATACTAGGGGGTTCATATCAGATTTCTTCATATCTCTTGCAATATCATTATCCTATCACCATCCATTTCTTTATTATAAAAGTGAGCCTTCCACATGGATTAAAACAGTCGTAAGCATCTCCAAGCTCACGTATTACCAAAAAAATTTCAAAATAACTAATTCAATAAATCCAAATTTAGATACTTGAGATTATTTACGTATTTGCATGAAGATTGATATATATTAACTGTACATGCTACAATTAGGGGGTCATATCAGATTTCTTCTATCTCTGCAATATCATTATCCTATCCACCATCATTTCTTATTATAAAAGGAGCCTCCACATGGATAAACAGTCGTAGCATCAAGTCACGATATTGCTAAAGAAAATGTCGAGTTCTTGGTTTGGAACTCTTCTTACTGTGAGTTTTGCATTGTTAGTTGGTTCATGCTTAGCAGCAGGTGAAGTTGAATATGATGCGAAAGCTATCATCATCAATGGCCAACGAAAACTTATCATTTCTGGATCAATTCATTATCCTCGAAGTACTGCTGAGGTATATATAATCGATTAGCATATACATGTATATATGTATAATACTTTTCTGTATTTTTAGAGTTCCAAATTATTTTTGTATCTGTTTCAGATGTGGCCTGATCTAATTCACAAGGCAAAGGAAGGTGGCCTTGATGCTATTGAAACATATATTTTTTGGAATGCACATGAGCCTCGCCGTCGTGAGGTTAGAACCCAGAATTCAAATGTTGATCTACATGTGTATATTTTCCAAAATGTTTAAATACATAACTTCAATGTTAAAACTTCTTTTTCTTTTTATGTCTCAGTATAATTTCAGTGGCAACTTAAACTTCATAAAATTTTTCCGAGAAGTTCAAAGAGCAGGACTATGGGGAATTGTTCGCATCGGTCCTTACGCTTGTGCTGAATGGAATTATGGGTAAATCTTAAATTTCCTTTCTAGATCTTTTAACTGATAAAATAATTATAATTAAGAACTTCAATTAATGTTCATACGTACATTTTTATATGCTTTGACAGTGGCTTTCCTGTATGGCTACACAATATTCCAGGGATTAAACTAAGGACCGATAATGACATTTACAAGGTTTTAATTTCAACGTTGATTAACTTTGGTTTAGAGATTAACTTTTAGTTGCAACAAATCTAAATACAAAAGTGTTTTTTGTACAGAATGAAATGCAAATTTTTACTACAAGAATTGTGAACATGCTTAAAGAGGCTGAGCTCTTTGCATCACAAGGAGGACCAATAATTCTTGCACAGGTATCTTTCAGTTGCCATCTTTCATGAGTGAATTAATTATTACAAGTAGCTGTTGCTTGAGTGCTAAACAATAAATGCCCATATTTGAATGATTACAAACAGATAGAGAATGAGTATGGAAACATTATGAGTTATTATGGAGAAGCAGGGAAATCATATGTTCAATGGTGTGCTCAAATGGCTGTAGCTCAAAATATTGGTGTTCCTTGGATTATGTGCCAACAATCTGATGCCCCACCTTCTGTGGTACCTATATGTTTTTTAATTTATATTTTTCATATATATTGAGATTTCTTAAATTAATATATAATTAACATAAGCACTTGATCAATATTACATAGATTGGTTTTCATTTTTCAGATCAACACATGTAATGGATTCTACTGTGATAAATTTTATCCAAACAATGCTTCAAATCCTAAAATGTGGACAGAAAACTGGACTGGATGGTTAGTTTTCTTAATTTCTTTATTTTCTTTTCTCTTTGTTTTCCTAATATTTTAATTTAAAATTTAAAAAAAAAAAAAGAGATTTTGTAGGTTCAAGAAATGGGGACAAAAAGACCCATATAGACCTGCAGAAGATTTGGCATTTGCTGTTGCACGTTTTTTCCAGTATGGTGGTATCTTGCAGAATTATTATATGGTTAGATCAGAATCACTTCCCTAAATTCTTGTTCTTCAATTAAAAAGATACTTAAAAAGTATTTACTATTTTCTTAATTACAGTATCATGGAGGAACCAACTTTGGACGCACATCAGGAGGCCCATTTATTACAACATCCTATGACTATGATGCACCATTGAACGAATATGGTTAAACAATAATGATAATCACTCCCTTTAATTTAAAAATTAAGACCCATTTCTCTATTGTTTTAGTCAATAAAAGTTTTAACATCGTTTTTCAGGAAGTTACAATCAGCCCAAATGGGGACACCTCAAGAACTTGCATGCAGCGATAAAATTAGGGGAAAGTATACTGACTAGTACTTACAGCACAGTCACAACCCAGAAATTCTTGGATGGTTGGGTTGAGGTATGAACTGATCAGTGTTAAATATACATCGTTTTTCAGGAACGTACAATCCATGCCCAAATGGGGACACCTCAAAAAGACACTTGCGCATGCAGGCGCATAAACACTTAGGCGGAAATGTATCATGGACTAGTACTGTCACAGCACAGGTCACAACCCAAGAAATTCTTGGCATGCGGTTGGGTTGAGGTATGAACTGATCAGTTCGTTAAATATATATAATATTAATATTCATATATTATATATATATACTTCGAAATGTTTTAATTTAAAGAAAGTGATGAAATTTTAATTTTATGAATCAGCTGACGACATTCACACGAGGGACCTTGCTACTGACGAGATGATTTCCTGTTTCTTGCGAGCAATACAAAAAATGAGTACAGGAATTATTGACTTGCAACAAGATGGCATGTACTTTGTGAGGCCTGGCCTGGTCTGTTGTTATATATATCGAAATTTTAATTTAAAGAAAGTGATGAAATTTTAATTTTATGAATCAGCTGACGACATACACAGACCTTGCTACTGACGAGAGATTCTGTTTCTTGAGCAATACAAAAAATGAAGACGCGAATATTGACTTGCAACAAGATGGCATGTACTTTGTGCCTGCCTGGTCTGTTAGTATCCTCCAAGGTTGCAAGAATGAAGTTTTCAACAGTGCAAAGGTAAGTCTAGATAATATTTTGCAGCTTAATTACTGTTCAGTCATTGCTCTGATTGATCTATTTTTTAAAAGCGAACTAATTAGTCCTTAACACATTAACGTTTCTGGGTTTAAACAGGTTAATGTTCAGACATCTTTGATGGTAAAGAAACTACATGAGAATGATAATCCTCAAACACTATCATGGATGTGGGCACCAGAGAACATAAGAGACGCCCTTAACGGAAATGGTAACTTCAGAGCAAAACAGCTTCTTGAGCAAAAAGAAGCAACTTCTGATGCAAGCGACTATTTATGGTACAGTACTAGGTACGTATATTATTTATCTAGGAAAGGCAATTATATTATCTTATCTCCAGGCTTTTCTTCATTTAGAACTTCTGCAACGCAGAGTTGATCACAATGATACAATCAAGAACAACGTTACCTTGCATGTGAATTTCTCAGGGCAAGTCCTTTATGCTTATGTTAATCGGAGGCTTATAGGTAATTATTAATAATAATAATCATGTCCTATACGTTTAATCTATAATCCATACTAATAATCTTCATTTACACTGATTACAAAAACTACAGGTTCACAATGGGGATACACTTTCGTATTTGAAAAACCTGCTCTGCTAAATCCAGGACCAAATATAATAACTTTGCTCAGTGTTACCGTTGGATTGCAGGTGTTTATTTGATAATGTATAAATAAATTGGACCTGAATTGCCATGAAAATATTCAGAAGTTCAATCTAATGTATGATCATGTTATATTTTGCAGAATTATGGTGAATTTTTCGATGAGGGACCTGAAGGCATAGCAGGAGGCCCTGTTCAATTGATTCATGGAAACACAACAATTGATTTGTCATCAAACCTGTGGGCTTACAAAGTAAGTTGTCATTAAAACTAGTAGTTAACAGTTTAGACTAATTATATATATGATTGATTAATTTCGTGGAATGAAGATTGGATTACATGGGGAGGCAAAACGACTCTACGATCCAAATTCGCTCCATGGAAATCTGTTCAGGACATCTGATGAACTTCCTGTTGGGAGAGCCATGACTTGGTACAAGACCAAATTTCAAGCTCCCTCAGGAACCGACCCTGTGGTGTTGGACTTGCAAGGCATGGGCAAAGGTCATGCCTGGGTAAATGGACGTAGCCTGGGAAGGTTTTGGCCAACGCAGATTTCTGATAGCAACGGATGTAGCAGTACATGTGATTACCGCGGCAATTATAGCGGCGACAAATGTTTAACCAACTGTGGAAATTCTAGTCAAAGATGGTATTGTAACATCACTTATCTACAATGTTTCTGAATACAGACAGGAAAATTAATGTTTGTATCATCAATCAGGTACCATGTCCCAAGATCATTTCTGAAGAAGGGTAGAAACACATTAATTTTGTTCGAGGAAGTTGGTGGAAACCCTTCAAATGTATCTTTCCAGATTGTTACAGTTGGAACTATTTGTGGGAGTGCATATGAAGGAAGCACATTAGAACTGTCTTGTACCGGTGGTCGAATCATTTCCGACATAGAATTTGCCAGTTACGGCGACCCACAGGGAAGTTGCGGATCATTCAATAAGGGGGATTTCGAGGCTACTCATAGCGTTTCTGCTGTGGAAAGGGTAATTATACTAAACATTCATTTTTTTGCTTTTTCCATTTATATGAACCAAATTATGATTGAAAATTGCATTCTCTGTTGTGTTCTGTCTTTATAGGCATGCGTTGGGAAACAGAATTGTCAGTTACCAGTTTCAAATGCAACATTTGGAGCGACCAACTTTGGCAGTACAGCGAGGTTGGCAGTGCAAGCTCTTTGCATGGGATCCATTGAATATCAAGCAAGAAAGGGAAATTGAACCCCGATAAGTAAGGGATGTCTATTAGATAGGGTTTCTAATTGCAATTATGCTTTGTAAGATACCAAATTTTCAATTCATCATTCACTATTCACATTGTTAATTGCAACATTTCTCTTAAAATGAAATTTTGCCAACTAGACGAAATTCAATCCTCTATATATTAATAAGCAAAACCATATAAAATTCCTAGCTATTGGAGCCTTCTTGGCCTCAAAATGGACTATATAAATCAAAATCCATGGAGCGAAGTCTACGTAAGTTAGAATATTGAACAAAGGAAAATCTTGAAGAAATAAAAGCAAAAAAAGGGCCTCAGCTAATAAACTTAAACTATCCACACACCAGGTGTTTGATAATATGCACCACTGGAAATCCTTTCCGAACTTTCTACTCTACGCTGCGTGGCAGGCCAAAAAAATAAGTCTCTCCACGCAATTCTGACGACTCCTTCAACAACCCAGACGCCTCTTCCGATGCCGTCATCTCCGGGCCCTTTCGTGCATGCCTAAACGCAACATCCCGAATCTGAGACGGCGAGAGATCAGTTGCTGAAGGAATATCCGGTGGATTCATTGGGAAATTGAGAATCGCAGAAGGTCCACGTAAGCAAAAAAGCGCAGCATCATAGGCTCTAGCTGCTTCCTCTGCAGTGTTATAAGACCCTAGCCAAATCCTACCTCTGCTATTCGGTTGCCGTATCTCCGCCACCCATTTCCCCCATTTTCTCATCCTCACTCCCTTATATTTTTCTCCTCTACCACCCTCGCTCGGCCTCACCATATCTCATAAACAACAGTTCTTTCCTTCCTTATCAATTTCAGCGTCGTCTTCTTATCAATCTCAGCATTTTGGAGTGCAATAAAAACCGAGGGTATAGGAGGGGAAGTAGGAGACGCAATGAGTAGAGCTCGTGGAGGCTTATTACAATGCCACGTTGACTTACGGAGGAAAAGCCGCGGCGATGTTGCTGGGATCGGAACGTGGAAGGTTACAGGTGGGAAAGCTGGTACCGTACGATCAGGATTAAGATTTAATTTAGAGCATTACACGTGGTTATGTTTACTGTATCCATGTGGAAAACGGAACACGTGGCTGCCATTACGCTGCTTCGATGAATGGTGCTATGGAATAAGAATGACGAATCCACATCTGATCGAAAGGAATTTCTAGAAGGTCAACAGTTAGCGGTGCTTGGAGTCAACTGTGAGTTGCACTTTACCTAAGTTGCAGAGGATGGGTGGTCTATTATACCTAAGTATCTTTACAAATATGAGGTATTCTTTTTAATTAAAACACATGTGTATCATGTTTGGTCTGGTGGAATTTTTCATTAATATAAATAGCGAGAAGTCTGGAATGTAAAATGTTTGATCACAAAAATTTTACCAATGTGATAAATTAAGAGAATAGTACTATTTCAGCTATTAAATTTTAATTAATAATATAAAAAAAAAACTTCTTTATTGTGAAATTAGAGTCGTTAGACTCACAAAATTATAAATTTGATAAATGGGATTTAGTGTTAGTGAAATTTAAATAATGATAAATGATATAGCTACTATAATTTTGCTTATCAATAAAAAAATTTTATCAGTTTTTACTTTCTACAGTCATTTTAGCCTCAAACAGTTTTGTTTTTGGATCTATTTGTGAATATGATGACTAAACTCTTCCTGTATGGCTTTGAATTAAAAAGTGCAACGTGTGACTTTTTTTTTTTTTTTTAAATAATATAAAAACAAAAAACTTCTTTATTGTGAAATTAGCAGTCGTTAAGGACTCACAAAATTATAAATTTTGATTAAATGGGATTTAGTGTTAGTTGAAATTCTACTAATGATAAAAAAATGGGGAGGGGAACTATAGCTACTTAATCAATTTGGCTTCATCCAATTAAAAAACACTCATTTATCACTTCTTTACTTTCTAACAGTCATCTTTAGCCTCAAAAAACAGTTATTTGTTTTTGGGGATCTATTGGTGGATATTGATGACTAAACTCTTCCTGTAAATCGTCGGCTTTTGAATTAAAAAGCATGCAAGCGTTGTGACTTTACCCCGTCGTTCATGCTTTTTTTTTTTTATTAGTTCACTTATATACATTGAAACGCGGTGTCGAGCGTAATTCAAAGGAACACATAAGTTAATGCACTAAAAAAAATAAAAATTGGCCTATTTTTTAATTTCTTTATACCCTTACGAATTTAGTCAATATTTTAGTGATATGGTTGGTCCCAATACATCCCCTTTAAACTAATCATCAATAATAATAATTAAATAATGAATAGAATAATAATAATAAAATAAAAATCTCCATATATTATAGCTAAATTAGCTAAATTAATTTTTTTTTTTTTTTTCACTTATAACATTGAAAAGCTTCACTAATTCAAGAAACAAGTAATGCACTAAAAAATAAAAATTGGCCTATTTTAATTTCTTTACCCTACATAGTCAATATAGTGATGGTGGTCCCAATACATTCCCCCTTAACTAATCAACAATAATAATAATAATAATAATAATAATAATAAATAAAAATCTCCTATATTATAGCTAAATTAAGCTAAATTAACACATGAGGATCTCTATTTTATTTAAACTAATTATGAATATTTCTAAGTTGTGATTTCATTAATATTTCAATCATTTTGTAAATAATAATATTTTTTAATTGTCAATTAACTGAGAAATAATATTTTAAATTGTAGTCAAAATAACTATCAAGTCGCTAATTTATGATTTTCTTTAGTGCTTTGATCTCTTTTTTATATAGAATGATAAAAAATATTAATAAAATTATAATTATAATTTAAAGATTTTATAGTTAGTGTTTTTAAAAATGTTCCTGTATACTAATTTGATTATAATATTGAAACAATTTTTTCTTTTCGTAATATAAATAATAGTTGATGAGAAGATTTTGAATTGGACGCATTTTATGTTAGGTCCCTGTCAGCCAAAATGCACAGTTTTCCAACGTGTTCTATAAATAAAAAAGAAGATGCTGAGAATGAGACATTCACTTAAATTCCGCACATGAATATTGTGATTCTAAACTCCCTAATTATTAAATTCAATAAATAATTACAAAATTGACAAACTTAGCACAAACTGTAATCAGTTCAAACAAAAAAACTACCAAATAATAAAAACAATGACCGTTACGTGTTTTAACTTCAAATTTATACTGCTGTCTATCAGGAATAGGAAGGTTGGCCATCAAAAATTTGTCCATCAAATTCAGTACCCGAAACTATTAAACCCGGGTAGAAAAAATTGTCAGTAAGTCTGGATACTAAAACTGTCCAGAACTATCCGACCCGAAAATAAATCTAAAGAAAAAGAAATTTGTATCTTTAGAAGTTCCAAAGGAATGAATCTTGTGCTACAACACCATCTAAATTCTCCTCTACCAAGTCAGGGCCAGGTCCTGTTAACGGTGAAAAAAAATCGTTATGAAGATCATCAAATCCCGGAAATATCCCATAATCCGTATTCGCTAACAAATCCAAGAACGGTATGTCCATCATCAGTTCACTACCATCTATCTGCGCAGTCAAATCCGACACTACTGAAGGACAAGGAGACTCCGCTTGCAATTCCGTTACAGATTGATCCGTTGAAGAATTCTCCAATTGTTTTCTCGAAGGATACGAATTCGCAAACCTAGCAGCCGCCGCTTGAATTTCGGGTGGGGAAAGGGACCTTCCGCCGGCTATTTCAGGTGGGTTATCGGGGAAATTGAATTTGGCAGTTCGGCCACGTAAGCAAAAGAGTGCAGCGTCGAAAGCACGCGCCGCTTTCTCTGCTGAATCGTATGATCCTAACCAGATTCGCTCTCTACTGTTTGGTAAACGGATTTCAGAAACCCATTTCCCCCATTTTCGCTTGCGGACACCTTTGTACTTAGAATCACTTCTGTCGGCAGGCTTATCGGTTGTGTGTTTCACCATTTTCTGGCCAATTAAAGATTCTGTCTTTTGTTTTGCTTTTATTTTAGTGAGTAGGAGTATGAATTGAACGCTTTCTTTGGTTCTGTTTCTTGTGGATTAGCTGAAGATGCTTGTTGGGGATAAGATTTTGCGGCTCTGCGCTTATATATGTGGGGGACGCTGGCAATCGTCAACGCAAAAGAGACGCGTTCCGGTAGAAAGTATGCAGAAAAGAGTTAAGAATGATCCACGTGGCGAGCCAGCTAAGCAATCTTCCACTGCTACGCGGGGGTTTTAGATGAGAGTTGAACGCACGTGTGTTTATTTCTATTTATTTTACTAAAATTGGAGTCACGTGTGTAATTTATTTATCGTGCGATTCAATTCATCAGTCGCATCTCAATGCTAAACAGAAAAAATAACATGGAAAATATAAAATTGGGGAAGAGAAGTAAAACGACAAACTTTTACATCGCGTCAGAAACATTTTGTTGCTCGCATGTCGTGGGACCTTCTTCATTTGTTCTTTAATCCTTTGTGTTTTTGTTAGTGATTGAAACAATTATTAATTTGCATGCGTTTTTAGTTGAGGTATTTTAAATCAATTGCCAATATTTTCTTTTGAATTGTCTCTCAATGAAAAAAAAAATAAAGTTGGATAAATATTTTTCAAATAGAGAATTATATAAAGTGTGTGGGTTAATTCCATATTAGGAAAAAAATATTAAAAAAAGTAGTAAATGGCAACGAGGAAGTAAATCAATTAAATTGTTTTTTTTTTTTACAAAGATAAATTCAATTTATTAGAAGCTCAAATTATAAGTAAATTACCAATGAATTTGATTAATGGCTATTAGGATCTATATTTAACACGTCTCAAAATCTCTTTTTGTTTGTGTTAATTATGACAACGGAAATTATATCCATATCATTATATATATATATAAAGGAGAATCATGGTCATTCTCACATGTGTTTATGTGACATCTCCACTAAAAAAAGAGAGTTTATAGAATTTAAGTATTTAATTTTCAGTTGGCCAGTAAAAATTTAGCTCTTAAAATTAAATTGCATGAGCTGTAAATTAGAAAATGTAACTCACTTATTTAAGATTGTCTTTATTGTCTTCAACATTATAAAATATAATCACAGTTTGGAATAAATGAATCATGGTTGTAGAATTCATTTGTAAATGAATTCCAAATAGAATTCATTTGCAAATGAATTTGTCATGTTTAGTATGCTACAATTTAAAATAAGAAATTCAATTGAATTTCACAAACTTATGTTTGGAATAAATTCTTAAATGAAAATTCATTTGTATGTATTTCTTATAACACTCTTGACATAATAATTTAACAAAAATAGATAACATACACCAATTATGTTTATTATGTACAATATAATAACTTGTCATTTTTTTTTATTAAAATCTAAATAATAAATTTCATATAAATAAGTACGTTAATATTTCATGCTAATTAATTAATTATATAAGCAGTAAGATAAAACATACACCCAATTATGTTTATTATGTACAAAAATATAATAACTTGTCATTTTTTTTTAATTAAAATCATAAATAATAAATTTCATATAAAAATAAATCTAAATAATAAATTTCATATAAATAAGTACGTTAATATTTCATGCTAATTAATTAATTATATAAGCAGTAATATTCATCATAATAATTATTTTTAATTGAGATAAAAAAATTTTTTGATTTAAGTAATTAATTTGAAAACTTAAAAAAAATTAAAAATGTTACTATTGTTTTTAATTGCATTTGAAAATAATTGTTGAAGTTTCTATAGTTTTATAATTATATTAACTAAGGTTATTACTATACTTATAAAAAAAAACGTCATTACTGGTATGAAATTTTCAAAAAAAATAAAAATAAAAGGGAAAAAAATATATAAACTAATGTCAGTATTGGATTAAAAAATAAAAAAGAAAAAAAAAGTAAAAATAGTTGAGTTTATGGTAGAGAGTAATTTTATCAATAAACATTAAAATGGTCAATTTTGTAGAATTCATTTACAAATTCAATCAATGTTAGTAAAGTTTGAGTTAGTCATACCCAATCTCATAAAATTCAATTCGTAAAATTCAAATCTGTGTTTTTTTTCATTTCAAACATAATATTTTAGAATTTCAAATGAATTCCACAAGTTTTTCTAGAATTTATTTGCAAACGGGCTCTTAATATTGCCTAATTATTATTTCTCCATACCTTCTTAATTTTGTAACATTATTCAAACATTTTCATATTTTTTTAATGAAATTAATCAATGATGATTTATGCATTACACACTGCGAATGCCTTATTTCTTTCCACTTTTTTTATCTTATTTAATTGAATCGATGACAGTTTGTGCATCAATTGGAAAAATTTTATTTACTGTGTTTCGGATTTACAACATATAAATACAAACAGATTTATATGCATATTAAAATTCAAACAAACAGATTATATGCATATTAAATTCAATTAAAATCTATTATAAGATCGAAGGAGGCTTTAAAATTGAAAGGTTTTAAAAAAAAAAAAAAAAAAAAAAAAAAAAAAAAAAAAACGCATAAATTTATGGCTTTCCTCGTCAAACATTATCCTCTAATTGATGATTTTTTATGAATTTAGCTTTCATGAATTTTAAGCACACAATATGTTTTTATGTGGCTATTGGTGTTCTCTATATTAAAAATTAAAATAATATGTCTATTTTAAAATATATATCACTAAAATTAAAATTCAAAAAAGAAAAATATGCCTTCATCAAATTAGAACCTCCTCCTATTTTCATGATCTATTTACAAATTAACCTCTATAAATATTCTAATTTTTAATTTTTCTACTCATAATTTTCATGCATTTCATTTTTTTATGTCTTGCTTGAATATACGAAACTCTTTTATTTTTTCCGTTCATTTTTGTCCTCCCTCTCTTTTCTTTATCTATCACGTCTTTTACCTTATATTGATTATCAAGTTCAATTTATTTTTCTGAATAAAGGATACTTTTGTTTTTTTATTGTGCATTATATTTTATTATATTACTATATTTTTTGAGATGTTTGCAATCTTTAAAATTTGATTTTCAAGTTATAAAATTTAAATGAATTCTTATCTGAATGAATAAGAAATTCAAGTAATATATATATATTCAAGTAAACTATATATATATATATATATATATTATATGATATTCTTAAAAAAAATAATTTACATATCAAAAAATGCCAGTGTAGATTATTAATATATATATATATTCTTAAAAAAAAGTAATTTACATATCAAAAAATGCAGTGTTAGATTATTAATTATTAAAAAAATTCATTTTATTGTGACTGTTTTTGTTTTAAAATGATAGCTATTATTAATATTTGTATTTTCTTATTACATTAATTTTATAATTCACAAGCTGGCGCGATTAGCAAGGCACCGTCTAGTGTGCAAACTAAATTCTTATTTCAAATGAAACGTCATATAAAATTAAACTGGGGTGGGGCGGCCCAACGATGCGCCGGACTTTGCAGTGTCAGGTGGAGGAATGATGTTTTTTTGACCAAACGACGCGTATTGAGAAAAAAAAGAAAAAAACGGCTGCTTCTTGCATTTGCGTCATGGATGAGCTCCAAAGAGAGTGTGTGTGACTGACTTTGATTAGAAGTCAAACTCGAATGTCGAAAGGTACAACGGACAAGCTTCTAGTATTTGGTCCCACTCCATTAACCGTGAAAAGCGGAGAGACAGATCATACAATTTCACTTCACCTATCATGGATCTCATGCCTTGTATATTCACTCCTTTTAGCCATAAGTGGAGATTTCAAAAGTTGATAGAAGGCCCACTGTGGTCAAGAACACTCATTAAGGTCCAATTAAGGGCCCATTTTGTTCATTGGACATGTTTGTTGCCACCGTAAAAGGCCCAAAATACTCTAGTTTCCATGTCTAGAACTCTCTGATGGCGTATTTCCCACTGGCCAGTAGCGCTCTCACTTACTCAACAAAATTCTAGAAGTCTCTCTTATCATCTGATAAAACCCATTTTTAAACCGAAATCTCTGCTTCTAGGGTTTTATCTTCTAGGCTCCTCCATTTCAGCTCAACTCTACTCTTTTCTTCCTTCTTCAATCCCATAATACCATAATTAAAAGGTAATACTTAAACATTATCTGGTTGTTTTTTGAGTTAACTCAGGGCTTTCATTAATTGTAATCTGTCTTTGTTTGCTCGAATTAGGTCTAGAAATGGCTACAGCTCAGCTCACAGCATCATCAATTTCAGTTACGGCTAGGAACTTGGCGTCCTTTGAAGGGCTAAGACCTTCGACAGTCAAGTTTGCGTCTTTTGGGAACTTGAAGGCAGCAGGTTTGTCCCAGCGGTCTTTTCGGGGTTTGGTTGTCAAAGCTGCTACTGTGGTTGCTCCCAAGGTAACCTCTGACTAATTGAGTAGCTCTGAGTCTTTTTATAAATGATATTTCTCAGAATTTGATTTGACATTTTCTTTTTATGTTTCCGGATATTACTGGACTGTCTTGTTTGAATTGGGAACGTCACTTTAATCTTATTGGTCATATGTTTATTCAGAGATTCACCCACAATTTGGATAAGATTCCGTTGTCAATTTCAATGTTTTTGCTATTTTCTTTTCTCTTACATATTGGGCTTGAATTTATGTAGTACACTTCGATTAAGCCTTTGGGTGATAGAGTGCTGGTGAAGATCAAGGTTGCAGAGGAGAAGACTGAAGGTGGGATTTTACTCCCAACAACTGCACAGTCAAAGCCTCAAGGAGGAGAAGTTGTTGCTGTTGGAGAGGGAAAGACAATTGGGAAGACCAAACTGGACATCTCTGTCAAGGTCATCTTTTATTTACTTGGATGTTTTCCCAACTCTTTGCTCTCCGTTATATATTGTTACTGCATTACTGACTTCATGCGCGCTTCTGTTTGTAGACTGGCGCCCAGGTCATCTATTCCAAGTATGCTGGGACTGAGGTGGAGTTCAATGGTTCACCACACCTTATCTTGAAGGAGGATGATATTGTTGGTGTACTTGAGACAGATGATATCAAGGATCTCAAGCCTTGCAATGACCGAGTTTTCATAAAGGTTTGTTGCACTTCCGATGTGTACTTGGTTTGGGAATTATCAGATTTTCATTTTTCAGAGCTTTTGATTGTTGTTATAAAAAGATGTTGGTATTCATAGATCTGTCCATCTTCTGATGTGTGTATGGTGTTCAGAACCTCATTGGATAATTGTATTATTATTCGTTCTCTAGTAACAAAGGTGAAGGGGTTAAAAGTATATAATTGCCCCTTTTTTGTTTTTTTCTTTTTGGGATTTGATTGCAGGTTGCTGAGGCTGAGGAGAAAACGGCTGGAGGCTTGTTGCTGACAGAGGCAAGCAAAGAGAAACCTTCAATTGGCACAGTAAGATGAGGCATCTCTTGCGCTTCTTTCCTAATGCACCATTACAAAAATTGATCTTTTGTCGTTATGTTATCTGCACTTGGTAAAACAGGTAATAGCAGTTGGGCCTGGACCTCTTGATGAGGAAGGCAACAGGAAACCTCTATCAATCACCCCAGGAAACACGGTTTTGTACTCCAAGTACGCAGGGAATGACTTCAAGGGAAGTGATGGTACCAACTACATTGCACTGAGAGCTTCTGATGTGATGGCAGTGCTCTCTTAGTTGTCTGTTCTTGATGTTTTTTGCTTTTATCACTGAATTTTGTGGTTGAGTTGCCTCAAGGCTTATGGATTATAAATCTAGCATTCTAGTATAAATTGATCGCTGGTTTACTGTTCTGCGGTGAATTATAGCGCTTTTTTTTTTTTTTTTTTTTTTTTTTTTTTTGTCTGGCTTCATGCTCGCATTTACTCTTTCAGAAAAGTCAAGATGTGTTTGGTAAAATGATTTTTTTTTTTTTTTTTTTTTTTTTTTTTTCTCTGGGTGTCTGGCTCATGCTCGCATTTACTCTTTCATAAAAGTCAAGATGTGTTTGGTTAAAATGATCCAGGAGTGATCTCTCTTTTGAGATTGAAAGGAAAAATGAACTCTGTAGCTTTTTTTATTTAATAATTTATGTTCGGGTGCATTTGAAGCCTTAAATGGGACTTCAAGGGGATGGCTATGGTAAGATTTGAGCATGGACTTGCTTATCTTACTTGTTTTCCTACCATCACCCATTTGATGTGGAGTCGCGTGGTTGTAATCCCTAGTCTATGGACTTCACAGCTTAACGTCACGGAATGTTTATTTGTCCGTCACATTCGAGATTATAGAAATGTATAATGAAGAATTTATGGCACAATAACTACGTTTGTTCAGTGAATAAAGAGTACTGGTTAGAAGGTATTTTATGTGCCAACAGAGGAGGTTTAACATGATCAAATAACTTACTCTTCTGGTGTAATGATTTGAATCGAGCTAAAGCTTAAAGCTCTCAATGGTCAGAGAGGGTTATGGCTGGTGTAACAGCAGATATAAAAAAATGTTTTAAACTTAAAAAAACAAAAAAAAAAAAAAGAGGCGTTGTTCACAAACGGTCGAATGTTTATTTTCTTGAACATTTTCATAATGCAAAAGCTCCAATGAATTCGCAATTCATAACTCACATCCCTTTCAAGAATTTTAGATCTACAAAAGGAAGAAAAAACAGAAGAGAGAATTCTGTTAACAGTACAAACTGAATCTGTAATTGAGACAGTTACCGTCAAAGCATTTACAAGTGTTTGTCAGAGCTTCAAATTAGGTAAAGATCATATTATACATCTATTCTTTGTCTTTCCTTTCCGTTGTACTTCCAAAATTCTATTTCCCTCCTACGTTACCAGTTTCCTTCCATTTAATATTGGAAAGCCAGAATTTGCAAAGTAGATTCTAACATTATGGAAAATGGTAACACCACAGCTGCACCTATGAATGTAGCACCTGATGCCACTATTTTACAAAGAGCTCAAACTCCAGCAGCACCGATGATTTAGAGATCACACATGATTGATGCCATCTCTGAGCAACAACTTTTTCTCCAGTACTAGTGTTCCTCAAGGAAGGGTCAGCTGTTTTCACCTGAGTTGATAGGTGCCATGCGGTTGTTGCTGTGCAGCCAAAAGGTTTGTAGAAGACCATAGTGGGAATTGTGGCACTAGCTCATACTTTCAATTTCGGACTCTTTATCTATTAAATGAGGCAGCTGAGTTATCATCATAGTGTCCTCTCCATGCATTTCCGCTGTCAGTCCCACTGCATGCTTGATTTGGAACTGGCATACTACCAAGATCACCATCTAAACTCATTTGTTGCACTTCGGCAGATGACAAGATCTTTATGCTCTGAACACAGCTAACAAATTCCCTGCCAACAATTAGAAAAGAGAGTTGAATATAAATGGATGAGAATCTATACACAAACTACTTTGCAAGTTTGGTTCTTGACTTACTCCCAAGGGTCATCGCCAACAAGTAGTATGTCGTTTTCGTGATCCACATAAACTAACTTCCAGTCAGAACTTTGTGGATCTTCTAGTTGCCCTTCAATTCCAAACATGCGAGCTAGGTCATGCCTAAGTTCATCATACCCTTTATACCGGGTGACATCAATAGACCTGCCCACTGAGCCACGCTTTTGAACCTGCAAATTTTGAATCAGTTAAAAATTTCATAATAACCATCACTGTATGCAGAAAACAAAATTGTTAAAGAAGAGATTATGGTATATGTTAAGTGCTCAAAGCTGCTTTGTTGGTTAATTTAGTTGAGAATAACTTGCATCAAAGCTGTCTTCACCATAGAGGGGGTGTTGATTGACAGCTAACAACTAATCGCATGCAGGAACTACTAATCTAAAATTCAAAAAGAAGTAATCAAACATTGAGCATTTCTATCCAACCCTACTTCCAAAGCATCTTATACTCTACACGTAGTAATAATAATAAAAACTAAAACCAGAAAGAGAAAATTCACTCTTCGTTAGGCATGAAAATGTCCTCTTATCTCATCTACCTTGATTATAGAGTTAAATAATTTCAGAGACACAGAGAGAGAAAGAGTATGTGCAGCAAACCTTTGTATATGTTCGCATGCGTTGAGTCTGATTGGCCCACAATCCACCATTCAAAACCCCAGAGTCATTGATTGCAACATCATTTGAACATCCAGGCTTGAAGGGCATGATTGGCACCCCAAATGACTGAGAGCTTATTGCAGCAGTGGACAATTCTGTCTCAATATCTCTTGGAGTCCCACCATAATTAGCTAGCAAGTTTTGAAGATCTTTTTGAGAGTCATATCCCCTTGTCAACAAAGTATCAGGCGCCAAGCTCTCAATATTAGTTGCAAAAGGCAGACTGTTCCGAGGATGTGATTGGACATCACCATCCAAACCAAAGGTGGGGAGTGAGAAATTTTGCTGGATGTTTCCAGCATCGAGACAATATGATGTCCCAGACGAGGAGGCTTCCAATTGATCTGTTATTGTACCTTTGTATTTTAGTTGGTCTGATGCTTTTGAACCAGGAAACTCATGCTTAACCCGAATATCAGACTTGTTATTGAGCTCTTGAACAAGATTTGTTGCAGGCTCAATCACTGAATCCCCCATCAATATAGCAGGTGCTTGTTGGTTTCTGTTCAGGAAATTTGATGGTGCAATCTGGCAATTATTAGTGGATGGTGAGGTTGAACAAGATGGAGCATCTCCATCTGTAAGAGTGGAATGAGCTCTAATTGTTGGAGATTTCTGAAGGGCATGGTGCTGGCTGACAGGAAAAGATTGTGATTGCATGAGTGCTGCCGTTGAGAAGCTGTTGCTACCGAGTGGTTGCTGCTGGCTCTGTGAAATAGTTGACTGCTGGAACTGCAGGTTTTGTTGATGGGTCTGCTGTTGTATCAATTGAGGTTGCAAAGGTGAGCTTGAAGGGGAAAGCAACTGCTGCTGCTGCTGCTGCTGCTGTTGTTGCTGAAGTTTCTGCAGCAACTGCAAGTGAAGCTGTTGATCTGAGAGGCCAGGCTGCGACAGTTGTTGCGCTTGTGGCTGTGACTGTGATTGTGGCTGTGCCCTCTGTGACAGATTTTGTTGCAACAACTGCAGGGGAGACTGTTGCAGCTGTGTCTGCTGCTGGTGTCTCTGTAAGAGGTTAGATTGCTGCTCCATTTGTTGCTGGAACTGGGGGTCTTGTGGCAAAGAGGTCAGTGGATATGAGTTCTTATTAGCAGATGGAATGTTCTGGGATTGGTTATTACTTGCCAGTAGCTGCTGCTGCTGCAGCTGAGAGTATACAATTGGTTGCTGCAAATTTTGATTTGGAATTTGGTTAGAGGTAACCACACCATTATTTACTGGTGGTGATTGGAATATCTGCTGCTGCTGCTGCAGTTGCAATTGTGGAGGCTGTTGTCGTATTTGTTGAGACTGTGGCTGAGGCTGAGGCTGAGGCTGCGGCTGCGGCTGCGGCTGCGGCTGCGGCTGCTGTTGTTGGTTCAGTTGTTGCTGTGTTGGTTGTGGTTGCTGCCTCTGTTGTTGCTGCTGGGGGTGAGGTTGCTGCTGTTGCTGTTGAGGATTTGATGGTTGTTGCTGGTTGACATTACTCTGCAGTAATTGCTGCAGTTGCTGCTGCTGAGTCCATGCCATTGATGTCTGTGGCAACTGGCTGACTTGGTTTTGTGGGTTCGCTTTGTTAAACTGGAGGCTTGGTACCGAAAGGCCAGGTGCTTGAAAATTCAATATCTTCGACGGATCATCAGAGCCAAGGCTATTGTGCAAGGCATTGGAAGGAAGCATTGGTGGGAAGAATCCTGCTTGAGCAGCTGGAAACTGATTATTTTGTTGCATGCTCATCCACTGAACTAAACTCAAACCAGGAAAAATTGAGCTTGGGGAATCTTTCATGCCAAAATCATCTCCAAGCCAGGGCATGGCCCTTTTAAAAGCATTCTCAATGTCAGACTCATCATCTGCAAAGCACTACTAGGGATAAGTTATAATAGACCAACGAAAGGATATGATGCAAACAGATTATACAGAATTAGCAACAGTTAAAAAGGAAAATAATAGATATAGTGGAAAGAAACTATGCACACAACACTATTTGACATCCATCAATTGCATGAGATGTTACTTGGGAAGTGACATGTGAGGTCTTTCTGGTTTTACCTGTGTCCAACATTTCATTCCTAAAACAAATTCCATTTCAACTTAAGCAAAACTTCTCGAGTTTTAATCAAGACACCACATAAATTTGTAAAGGTAAGTTCCAGCATATTTACGACTGAACATAATATGTACATTATAGAATAGGATAATAAATGAATATGATATACCTGGCATCCCTGGCTGTCTAGGGAACTTGGGTCTGAAAAATGGAGGTGGACAAATGTAGAAAGGAGTTACAACGGGTTCAATTTCCCAAATTGAAACTCGGCTTGGCCGTTCACCAGCAGTTGACTCGTCCCATCCAACCTATCAAGAAAAGTGATTGGCTTAGGCTAAAATATAAGCCACTCAATGGAACTTGCGGTAAAAAAATATATTATTTGCACCTAGAAAAGATCAAACAATGAAACCCAAAAAGAAACATAAAGGAACAAGATAACAGACTGTGCAGAGATTTGAATTCTGGATCTGGCAGAGATAAAATAGAGAAATACAAATGATCTAAACGTGATCCATAATGGAACCAAGGGACTAGTTAAAATTGAAGAGAGATCAAATGTGAAACCTTCAAAGAAACAACAATCCTATATATCATTTATGCATGGATAGATGCTATTGTCTTTTTAAGCAAAAAAGAATATCATAAACCGAGTTTAAAACTTTAAGCAGGTAACAATACCTGAAGATTGCGCCATTGTGAATTTTTCCACCTCACTGGATCCAAATCACTGATGCCAGTGATTGTGCCCATGTACCTACGAACTCCTGACTCCTCCGTCTCAAACATCATTCTGAATCTCATGCCCAGTGAAACTTGTGTATACATTGCCTTGTTATACTTGGAGAAGGGAATCACAAACTCAGCAGGGCTTGCCCTATTTAAATCAATTAAATTTATCAGCCATGACCTTCATGAAGTCCTATCTAGCAGTGACGAGATAATTATGACAAATAAAATACATTCACATCGTTACCTTGGATTGTAAAATACAGCAAATGGACTGTTATTTGCAGCAGCATGGGCTGCAGCAGCAAGAATTCCAATATGCATACTGTCGCTGGATATGACTGACGAAGAGAGTGCTGGCTGTTGCCTATTAGCACGCCTAATGCCCAAGAGGAGCTGTGACTTTTCATCTCTACATCAAATCAGATTACTTCAGCTAAATACAACAACATTTCCAGCTGAAATTTTTTCTTATCAAATTCATCTTGTACCTTATAAATAAAACAGAATCACCGGCAAAAAGTCTTTTTGTGCTGACAAACACACTCCAACCTGTAGTCAGCAGATGTCGTTTTGGTTGGCCTGTGATCAAGGAAGTCACAGTTCAATGCACTGTTCTGCTTTCCAAAAGTAATTAAAAACATAAAAATACATAAACCTTCATTTCATTTTGGTCAAAGACAGATAAAAAAAAAATATAAATCTCTTCATAATAAAATTAAGCAGATTAAAATTTTGTTATACTTTTGGAGAAATGCAAGCAAAAATGTTAACCTTTCAAAGAAACTTAGATATAAAAAATCTCCAATGAAAACCTTGCTGTAGGAAGAAACCAGAATTGATGATTATACTCATAAACCATACTTTAAAACTCGGGAAATTTCATGCCTTCATCCATATACATTATTTAAATATGATTAGGGCATATGAGCAGATATGAGTTGAAGGGGTCAATACCGCGATAAATATGTCTAAATGTCCATGTATTATCATGTAAATCCCTGGCTACCAGCTCCTGGGCAGGTGGTTGCATTGAAAAATCCTATCAAATAGGATGTAAATACACAATGTATAATACACATTTATAGAACTTCAAAATTGGAAATAGAACTTGAAGTTATTGTACGCACTAGTGGTGGGAAAATCTTCTCAGCTGCTCGGCGAGGTACGGAGAATCCACCATGTGTACTTGTGTCACTAGCTGTGAGAGTTTTGCAAAAGAATTCGGCAGGTTGCCTGCTTTGCTTGAGGCCCATATCAGATGCCAGTAATGCTTCCTTGTCATACTGCAGGTTACATATTTTAAGCAATCTTCAATATATTTGTATGTGCAAATAAAAAGAAATAGTCAAGTTATTAATTCATTAACATCAAAACTGAATAGCTGACCTACTTTGCTTACAGGTTGAAGGGTCATCTGAGCATAGACCTCATCAGTTTCTGCATCAGCCTGATTAAATACATACATAAACAGTAAACATTCAACTTTGGAATAGCATAATAGCTTTTCGCACTTTATTTCACTTTGTTCCTGTGCAACCGTTCAAAAATTATTATGGCAGCATACTGCCCTTGACTAGCATTCAGATTGTAATACATCAAACCCACCCTCAAGTAAATTAACTAAAAAAAACAGATAGGCATGCAAAAGAGAGCCCCCGTTTACTGCTTTCCAATTATATAACAGACGAAATCACCAGCCAGGATGTGTTCATATATAATATATACCAGATCTATTTAAAGGCAACATTTTTCATAAAAAAACATTCAATTAATATAAATTAGCTGTTCCAAGCAAGAAGGCTTTCATACATGCAATGTGACATTATGAAGCATACAAATCAACTTGGAAGGAAGGTTGGGATAGCTTGGTATAAAATCAGTCTCCTTTTGCATAGATGCTGCGACCTGAAATTCATAGCGTGTAGAAAATTGCATTAGAAACCACAATCCAGCATAGTAGCTCTCCTAGACTCAATGGATGGGACGTACTTGCTCACTGTGGCCTTGGGGGAAGTAAACTACAAGACTTCCAACTGGAGGCAGAGAGACCAGCGGCCCCGCACATGCATGCCATAGCTCTGAATTAATACTCTTCCTTTCTCCTGTTCTCGAACCAATCCAAAATATCATCAGTATGCTAAAGAAACCACAATTCATGAAATTGCTGAATAAAATTTTCCAGCGGATGTCCATCTCCATTTGCTTGTTTGTCATTTTCTCCCCCATGACTATAAGATATAGTCATTGAGGAACTTTTTTCCCTAGACTGACAACAACCTGCCTTTTAAATTTACCAATAACTTAGAAAGAGATTCATTGATTGGAATCTCAAGATTTAAAAAATTGAAAATTATAGTGGCAGTCAAAGAACCATGCTAAACAAGTTCATGAAAAGAGAGAATTTATTAGAAGCTTGAAAGGAGATGTTGAAGTTAGAAAATTCTTTTTAAGAGACAAAACAATCCAGTTATAAAATCTTAGTTTATTTGGAAAAAAAATTCTCGGTCTATGGACAAAACAGTGAACTTTGTCATCCTCAAATGCATACTATTATTGATCCCAATTTATGGATTATTCAGAACTTAGCTTCGTCGCTCCAAATTCTGTGAGATGCAAGTAAATTAACGAACAATTTCAACCCCGATCAAACACGCATGCAACATAGCTTCAGAAAAATCTGATTTCCAAAACAATTAGTGACTAATAAAAGAGAAAGAGAACACAATAAGAACCCATAACTGCCAATCCTATTTTCCACCTTCAATCAACTTGATTTAGCCCCACAAGCGAAAGAAAAGTAGAAAACAGTAAGAAATCGCCAGGGTCATCTCAAATCTTTAAATAAATCATGAAGCATTAGCTGAGGAATAAATCACCAATCAAAAGAGTAAAAAGAAGTGATGCGATATAATCAAAGAAAGGGGATTTAAAGCAAAGACAGCTGACACCAACCTTCTGCAGAATTTGACATAAAACCATTTGGAGGAGCCTTCATTTTGCAGAGTACTAATGGTAAAAACTGTTCCTTTAGGAAATCCAATCACTTGTTTTCTTTCACAAAGATATTAACCATACACTTCTCTACACCAAACTTCTGTTATTTTCACCATAACCCAGCTATAGTTCCGTCTCCAATAATTGCATAATCACTTCACTTACAAGAATCGACTTCAATGCTTTTACAAATACCAGAATCTCATTCAATTCAATAAATCAAACCCTAACTAACTTACTAACTAACTTGCACTGAAATTACTCACTAAACAAAGCAAACACATAGAAGATTTTCCTTTCCCAGCTATTTTCTCTTCTTCCAAAAATCCAGTGGATGAATCTTCTCCATGAAAAATCAAACTCAAAAGAACCCAAAAGAGAGAGAAAATCAGAATGTTAAGGGAAAGGAATCCAAATTCCCACTTTACAATTCACAAAAACAAAAAAATGGGAAATCTCCCATTTCACTTGGGGATCAAAAAAAGAAAAAGCCAGAAGGAAAACTGACTTATCGCCGAGAAATCAGAGAACGAAACAGAAGCAAAAGCAAAAGCAAAGGCAGCTTTTTATTTATGTGAACAAGCCGACATATAATAGACTGAGACAATCAGACCTCTCTGTCTCTCTCTCTGGATTAAAAAAAGATTTTAACTTCAAACAGAACAAACACAGAAAATGTAAGAAGCGTGATATTATTAGTTGATTAACTATGTACTTAGTGGGAGATTAATATTGTTTGCTTGTAATTAAATTCTTGCCAAATTCACCTCAGATTTCACCTAAATTCACTCTCATTTTACTTATTATATATGGATTTATCATTTGTTGGAAAAAAAAAGTTGCTTTTTATGGTAATTTAAAGGTAGGCTCAAGCCCCAACGTCGAAATATTCTTAAGCTTTTTGCTGACGTGGCTTAGCATTTTGATGCTTGACTGTGGAGTTTTGTTTATTTTATAATAATTTTATTTATTATTGTTTTCAAGGCTTTTCCTCCTTATTGGGCTTATTTCCAGGAATCTTGACCTACCCTACTCCCTCTCTTTTTTTTTTTTTTTTTTTTTTTTTTTTTTTTTTTTTTTTTTTTTTTTTTTTTCCTTTAAAAAATTATTCAATTATTTTTTCTTTCATTATGAAATAGATATTTTTATGCAATGAACTTCTCAAGTAATTAAAGGTAAGTTTGTTTGTTTAGAAAGAAAATAAAAGTATTAATTAGTAAATCTTAAAAAGAAATCATGATAAGCAATAATAATGATAAATTATTTAAATGAGAAAAATAAAATAAAAATTTCCCAAACCTATAGGTTGGTCTATTAAATTATTTATAATCGAGTCAAATGTTTAACATTTAAAAAAAGGTCAATTAAGTTTAACATTTTAACTTTGGAAGATCTAATTTAATTGTGAGAAAGAGGTAGTAAAGGAAAATGACGCTTTGATTCATCAAACTTTTTTCTTTTCTCGTGTGATAGAGATAGATAGATGAAAATATAATATAATTAATAAATCAGTAATTTAATAATGGAAAATAAATAATAATATATGAATCTTGACTACATAAAGGAGAAGGAATTTATTTGAAAGATTAAGAAATAGCCACTAGCCGCAAAAGCAGGAGATCTTCACATGTTACAAGCTTGGTGGTTCTGGCTTCAGACATCATTATACATCAATTAAAGTTATAAGCATGGAAAATTAATAATTATTATCTTTTTTTAAAAAAAATAAATTTCTTTTATATATATGTAATATGCAGCAGTTGAAATGCTTAGAAGATCCTGATTTTGAGTGCCTGTAGGACCTGCCAACTTTGCCTTATATTCCTCTCCTTTCAACCAAATCAATTAGCCGCTCCTCTTCCCCAAAAGAAATAAAATTTATAAAATAAATAAATATTCAATTATATAAGCCCACTCGAACCTACGATGGGAGAAAAGGAAAAAGAAAATGGATCATATACCTTATGATCTCAATCATGGAAAATATAAAAAGACTGGTTTGGTAACAATCAGAAAAAAAAAAAAATTTCTATCTTTTTGATTTTTCCTCAATAAAGCTTTATGAATCTTCATATGATCACGAGAATATGTTTCAGCACTCCATCATTGTATAAGTATGATCAAATGTTTATCTCGTAGTTAGAGAATAGATAATACAGAAGTGGTTAGAGTCGCGTGGAGGATTTTTTTTAATTCTGTGAGGCTGAAAGTGTAAAATATATCTTAATAATCCAACTTGGCTCTCTGCAATGGAATTTCTATCAGTAAAAGCTTTGTTCAATTAAACCAGTTGTAATGTGGGTTATTATCATTAATTAATGCACTAAAAAAATTAGAGATATTGTAATAATTTGTATATCAGAGTCAAGATTGATGTGGGTTATTAATCTATATATTTTACTTAATAAAATTTATAATTATCTGTGGAGATATTGAAGATTAAAAAAATCAATAAAATTTTAATAATTAGTTTGGAGTGTTAATTAATCAAAAGATTAAGATTTGGAGTTATATGGTGCAGGCTAAGATATTCGAGTACGTAAATGAAGTTTTTCAATTAGTTCTCTGCCAATTGCTAATTAAGATGCTGCTGCTGTTATTATTATTATTATTATTATAATTATATAAAGCTTTTATAGTTCAGAAAAAAAAACTAATTTCTTATCATTTCTCTTTTAACCAATCAAAAAATAATAATTAGGAGACAAAGCAGTTACGTGAGAATTCGAATTTATGACCAGAAAATATAAAGAAAATTGATTACACGTGTAATGTTTGTGAACCAAATGAATGATCAGATCAGTAGCAGCGATTGTTCTAGCAAGATATCAGAAATTTTTACGAAAATGATGTAATTAAAAACTTAAGATATATATATATATATATATATATAGAGAGATGAGAAGAGAAGAATATATATGGAGAGAGAGAGAGAGAGAGAGAGAGAGAGGATCAAATGGCAAATGGCAAATGGCAGCAGCCAACACATGGTAATGGTATTGCAAGGAAACCTCCCCTCCCCCAACCATGTGCACAGACAGAGCTAGGTTATTGTCGGGCCAACTGCCTCCAACTCCGACCAGATTGTGGGGTTTTTATTTAATTATATATGAATATTTTTTTTTCCATTTCATGTCAAATCCCATCGATCTAGTGGCTGTGGATTCTCCGGTTGGCCACTGCCTTTCTGTATGTTCTGGCCCCCGTACGGAACACGGATTATTTTTCTCACTTTTTATGTTGAGTCTTATTTTCTAAAGTAAATTGACAGTAGATATCAACTATTCAGCTACAGCTTCTCAAAAGATCTTCCATTAAAACAAGAACAAGAGATCAAGTGCTTGATACTTGTAGATGAAGAAAGAAAAATCAAGTTTCCTTCATTTATTTCTTTTCAAATTGTATGAATTAGAGAATTCAGTTTGTCCTCAACATATACAATGCCTAATTATGAATCTGAAATTTTATTTTATTGAAACCTTAACGTACCATAAAGATGTAAGTATACCATATAAATATATGACGCAGACGTTTTTAAAAATAATAATGCTAGCGTGAGGAAGCAACAGGGAACATTCTGAAATTAGTCAAGATTCAAGGAGGAGTTGGATAGAATCGAAACACCTTCAAAGCAAGTAAAAGCAGACAAGACATAACTAACTCTTAGTCACAAATGTTGGCAAGCATATTATTATTGTTGTCGTTGATAATGAAGAAGAAGAAGAAGAAGAAGAAGAAGAAGAAAGGGTAAGGGTCTCATCTAATATTGTCATTTCTGATAAAGAGAATAAGAGAGCTTAGATTCTTACCACCATAAGACAATGAAAGTTGAAAATGTCTGCCATTACTAGTGACTGCTAGTGACCACATGCAATATATATCACTCAATCACAAAATCCTTCATGACGCAAATATATATATATATATATATATATAAAATAAAACAAAATAGAAAATTTGCAAAACTTCCCAAATATTTGGTTGCCATGTTAATTATAATTATGAATTCATCTATTTTAATTAGCAATTTGCACGTGGCTTTTTGAATAGGATAGTGGAAGAAAAGAAAAAAAAAAAAAAAGAGGGAATTGAATTAGGAAGAGGAGACAGTGAAAGAATAAACTCATGAATTAGGTTTTTAGGGTTGTTTTTATTTAAAGCTAATGATAGGATTATTCCATGACTAAAAAAAATAAAATAATTAGAAACCTGAAAAGGGTTATTATATATAGGGTTTGGATGGAATTTGAATGCATGAGATGTTAGTATATCTAAAGACAATGACATGACATTGATATCTGTATGATGGATCTACCCACCGTTAAACACGAGTCATGGTCCCTACGCTGCACTGCAAATTTTAGCATCAATAAGAAAATGGTGGGGATGCTTTTGCTTTTATCACTTTTGTACTTTTGCCTTCTTCATTATCGTCTGATAGTACGTATAATAACTGATTTTTACTCCAGAAAACACCCTGTCTCTCCATTAAATTTAATTCATAAACCTCGAGTAATACATGAATTAAGGCCTATTGATTAGTGAGTCATTAAACAAAATAATGGCAAACGATGCTTGACCTAGACGTATAAAAGCGCTAGTTTCGGTTCCGGTTTCAATTACTATTAAATTTGTAATTTATGCCCTAAATAGATTTATTTGTGTTTATTTAAAGTAGAGATATGCAATTGGACCGTTGAATTGTAAATTCAAAGTTAAACTTTTTTTTTTTCTTAAAGCCAAATTTTATTTAATTGGATTTGAATAAAAATAACTTATCCTACATTACCAAATAAAAAATCAAACTCTGAATTTATCTAAAATTTTAAATTGAAAGTAAATTGAAAAACGTAACTAAATTTTAATCATCTCTAATTTAGAGAGTGGCTCATTCCTATTGATTTTGAAGTAAAAATGGTAATGGCTGATCTCAATTTCTCAAATAGGAAGACAGAAATAAGAATATGTAGTCTAAATCTTAATTTCATATAGGAAAAAAAGTTATTTGTAATTGAAAGAATTTAATTACTATTTCTTATGATTTTTGATTCTAGAGAGATGGGATTCCATTTGGTTTTGATTCGGATTGATTTCAAACCCAACCATGAAACCGTGGCCACATGTAAAGGAGCCACTAAGTGTAAGGTCATAATCCAGGTGATTCAACTATATCTGTAAATAAAGGGGAAGGTGGTCTAGCTCAAAGTCGTTTTGTATTATCCATAGTTGAAAAAAAAAAAAAGAAATAATTATTCTTCCTCTAAAATGTGGGTCCTTTATTTGGAAGCCAATATAAATGCACCCTGTAAAAGGTGGGGTTCTGGGTTCAATCAATCAACTTCCCACTGCCTTGTTGGCCGCCTCTCAAACTTCACAGACATTATTTGGTTACTGAGTTACTCTTTTTTAACTTATAAACTCAAATTCAAAAACACGTTACTATTTTTATCGATCTAACTTGCTATATTTTTAAACAGTTGAGAAAAAAAAAAAAAAAAAAAAAAAAAAAAAAAAAAAAAAAAAAAAAAACTTACTATGAACATAAATAGGTAGGTATTTTCCATATGCATGTGTATATATAAGTTTGAACAGAATGTACAAATCATTGAATCTCTAAATGCAGAAAAAGCAGCCATATTTATCATAAACGAGGCATCATATACTCAAATGTAATG